TCGGGAATCGGTTCAACTCTGGAATAGAGCGGGCGGGGAAGATCTGAGCGGGGGTTGAAACGGGGTTCGGTGGGGCCCTTTATGAAGCCAGAAGAGCGGTAAAAGATCGTGAGAGTGCAGTGTTGCGAATTCGGATGAGGCGGCAATGCCGTTGTTGGAGCGGGCCGTTGGGGTTTTGGGACGAACCCGTAGGCTCACTCACGTTGACGTTGGCGGCAACAAACGTTTGTTCCTCGGGGACGATGAGTCAGGGTCCTAAAGACAGTTGGGATGCAGGAGCCCAGAAGTAAGAAATCAACCAGGGGTTGGAGAAGGGGGATGGGATGCGAATATATCCGATAACGGAGTTGCGGGAATGTGCACAAGAGCTGAGGCTGAGTAGATCCTCGCTTCACGGAGTGCCTCTTTCGGACAGAGGTACATCCACCAAGAAAGACGGGAGGTTGGAGGAGTCGGGGACTCGGAGCGACTCGAATGTCGAACCTTAATTTATGGAATGCGAGGTGTCTTGAATGACCAAAGCTGGGAAACCGACAGGGTTGTCTTCTTATTCGTTGCTGCGAGGCTCAAGAATTTGACAAGATTTCTCGCGGCAGCGTCAAAGATGCAAGTTTGCTTGTTAGAGGGCACTTTTCCGTGCTTTCTGAGACGACGATGTCAAGATGGTCGGCCCCCTCCTACCAAGGCAAGCCGTGACCCGAGTCAGGCCGCTGATTGGCGGACCCTCAACAGAAGTAGACGGCCTGGTCTGACAAGAACTGAGAACTGACAGGACTTGGTGCCCGTCACTTCACTCTCCGGTCCTTCTTTGTAACCTTGCTGGTGGATAGATGGTATTCCACTTGGCTCACCCTCAACCATAAATAGGTAATGGAAGCTCTCGGATGAATCAGCCGGTTGGAGGTCCGGGAGGTCTGCGAGTTCGGATGTGCGGGGCTTGATTGTGAAATGGCGGGGTAAGTCTGCTGCAAGCCGATAAGCAATCAACGGAAACCCCGGCGGGCCTAGGATCCAAAACGGCGGTTCTCGGGAGGTGGCTCCAGGTTGTGGGTTGTAAGATGCAAGACTTGGCTCGCTTTTTCGCCGAGGATTGACGTTGGATCCCCTTCTGTGCACTTGTAGGAGTGGGAGATCTGCAAGCTTCGATTGGTCCGCGTTGCGGGATGGTTAAGGTCTTGTGTGACGACAGACGGACAGACAGACATATAGACGACGAGGGTTTGTTGAGGCCCGTGCAATAGGCGATGGTGAGCAACAGTGAGGGTTGGTCCAGCAAGTCCAGGAGATGCGAAAAAGGTAAACCTTGTCAGTTCGCAACATGCCGCGCATGTGGAGAGCGGAAGCCTTTTATACTTGCTCGTCCACTCCACCAAGAAGGTCTACTTTTCGCAGAGTTGTACCTCCAAGGATCGGGACAAGTCGTCTGACTACTGGACGAGCTAGAAGTTGGTGTGCTGATAAATAAGGGACATGGAGTGCATCAGGGCAAACCCGGAAGTGGCCAGCTCGTCGTGATGCCTTGGCTTTCCCACCTGGCTCACCCTCGCTTCACCGAAACTTGTCCGGAGGCATAACACCTGAGAGTCAGTGTGACTTCGCAGCTGAGACATTCAAGGCACCACCAACAGAGAAGCGCAGCCACCCTGCCCTCGCAGGCTCGGTGGGCAATACGTAATGCCTGCTGTCCAATCCAACTCCAGCGGCGCCACAGACATGCCGGGAGAAAACGGTGATGAAGCCTTAGAGGACCGACACCTAACACCACACCTCTGGTTCGCGGCAAAGGATGCAGGGAGGAGGAACTGCCGGCACTCGAAGCCCCACCAACTGAGATGTCAAACTCTGGAAAGGGAATCGGCCCGTGTGATACACAAAACATCGTGCGCTCATCGATTGCCGGATATGTGCCGTGTTGAGGCATCGGTATATATAAAGCGGGTTGGTAGGATGGGACATGTTCCAGTCCGCCGTTACGGTCGTTGCCTTGGATCCGCGCCATCGACACCAGCAGATATGGACTCGGTGTGGGGTTGGCGGATATCCAAGCGTCTCGCTCTCTGGCCATCCATTTCCCTAGGTACCTACACAATAAAAAGCTCACCTTTCGGGGGCCCGAGCTGTCTAGGTGAGCAGCCACCGCTTGTCCCGAGCAGACCCGAATCCTCATGTCCATCCGTCCCAGCGGTCCCAGAAATGTCACACTGTGGCGCGGCGCGGCGCATTTCGCGTTTGAACTTCCGATGAAGGGGGCTGGGGGTCAAGTGAGTCCCCACGTGCTAAGCTGATCTGCTGCTTCTAGGTATTCGCAAACCACCCGTATCTAGGTACCTATGTCGGATAAGGTGTGGAAGACGGATGTGGGTAGTCAGTTTTGGGTAGGCACGTCGGTTGGAGTAAAGGTGCAAGCAGTGATGGAAATAGAGAGCCCTCAAGACTGGATGACACCCTCCTTCGAAGCTGGATGGTCCGTGACCAAATGTTGCGGGGCAAGTATGGTCAGAAAAACCAATCACATGGGTAAGATCGACGAAGTGGATGCCCTCCCGGCTTTCCGCCTGCAAGGATGCTGTTTCCACCGCTTGCGCAAGCGATGAACCGCAACCAACTTCCTGCTCACGAATCCATCTCGAGGCACCGGCCGGAAACAACCCTCCACACAGCCCTAGGAGCGCCACGGCCGCGGCCGCATTGGCATATTTGCGTTATCTTGCGGAGGCTGCGGAAACGACCATTTCAAAACGACGGCGAGAACGGAAACCAAGGAAGGGGAGAGTAAACGAAGCAGGATTGCAAAGCAAACACGACCCCCCTTCAGCGACACCCCGAATCATCTGAGCACCGCGTCGGATCGATCTCGCTTCACTAGCTTGCCGCATGACTTTACGAGCCGCGACGGTGTCAAACAGACGACTACACACCTTTCTACCTTCATCTCTAGGGCAGCATACCCGTTAATGCTACCGCGACGCCAGCCCCACCCACTATCCTTCCGTCGTCAAGTCGACCTAGCTCCGTTTACTCTGCGCCCACACACCATACCCGACCTTCAGTGTGGTCATCAGGAACCCGTCAGCCTCGCCGAGCTTCCCCTTTAGTCCCCCACCTCGCCGACTTTCTGGCCGACACGCCCGACGCACCCGACGACGCGTTCCCGCCCCTTCGCATCAGCCCCGCCGGATAGTAACTACGACGCGTGGATTGGTGAACTACAACGCCTAGCAGAACATGGCCTCGACATCATTTCTTTGACTCGATCAACTCGCTGGGCGGGTCGCGCCGTGATGCGGACCTCCCGGTAAACACAGCACCACAAGGCGGCTTCATGTCATCGCTTCAGTCTCTCAACCCATTTGGCGACCGTGGCTATGTCCAACTCCCGACGAGCGAGGCGCCAGGAGCCCCTCTACCTGCGTCTAATCGCCGTGAAGAAGAAGATGCGTGGTTTGCCTGTGAGTCAACCCACTTTCCATGCTGCCTCCCCCCCACGCCACATTTCGCTCTGGAGCTTCCCGCCCACGGACTTTGCGCCCTTGCTGTCCTTGTCCCCTTGCTGCCCTTGCAGCCAGACCTGGAATGCATGGCATGTGCCGCCGCTGCATGGCCGTGTTTCAGGGCGCCCCACCCCCCTTGTCTTGTCTCTATCGTGATCATTTCCCCCACGACCTGGTCTCAACCCGACTTGCTCCGGCAACCAAGACTAACCAAGCGAGACATAGTGAGTCAGTGGGATCGTCTGCTGATCTTTGGTGGCCTGCAACCTCGGGGCTCTCGCTTGTTTCGTCATCTGCTTCTTTCCTTTTCCCCGTCATATCTGTGGCGAAAGCCGCGCAAGCTAGTTGTCCTGTAAGTGTTCGAAACCCAATGTTCTTTCGGTGAGGGCGGGCTTTCAGAGCGTTGCCTTCGGTGACGCCATCGATGCCAGTCATGCACCTCTTTCGGTCGACAGTAGGCTGATTCGATATCTGCCCGTAGGTGGACACTAGGCTCGATGTTGTTCCTGTCGTCCTTTGCCGCTATCATGGGCCCGTTGGCCCTACCTTGAAACACCTTTGCCTTCAACCCCGCGGCTGCCTTTTACAGCCGCCTACTTCGGATCCCTTGGGACTGACTCTGTACTTCTCCATCGGTGTAAGTCGAACCCGCGTTCAGGTCATAGCGGGTGCAAGTGCTAAGCCTTTCCCAGCTTCAAAGCACTATTCTTACCATGTTTGCGGGGCTTATCCAACTGGCCTCCCTGTTATGGTATCTTGTGAGCTACTTCCCGATGGGTTCCAGCGGACTTCGCCTTGTCAGCAGCTTTGGCGCCCGCCGCGCAGCAGCCTGGATGACAAGTTGAGAAACGAAAGAAGCCGCGGAGTACGGCGCCCCCAGCAAGCGGCATGGCATCGTTTTTGCCGTTGTACGCTATGTACATTATGCAAGGTGGTTTGTTTCGAAAAACCAAACTGTGATACTATGAGCCTTGGAGAGCATCTCTTGGAGATAATCCCATCGTCGCATTCGCGGCCCGGTCCTTTTCTGCATTGCGTTGAACCCTGTCATTGCGGTAAAAGATAACTTCGGCCCGAGCTCCTGCGATCATCAGGCAACCTGGAAACCCTGGCAGAGCAGTTTCGCCCAGCTTTTAGCCGGTAACCCCCATTGCCGGGCTGGCCATACGGTCTTGCCGTTGAGAAATGAGGAGGCCACGGCACGGCGTGAGTAATTTAGTAGGCGGCCCTTGAAGATCGCATGGTGAAAGTGAACTTAGGGTATACGTTAGTTGCCCTCCGTTGAAGCAGCGAGGGGAGAAGCGAGTCGCAGAGAATCGCGGGGTGTTTTGTGGATGGCGGCCAAGAGCCGCATGTGCAGATTTGCAGGCAGCGGCGGGCAGAATTCAGGCAGACCAGTATTATTCTACATGAACAACGCACCCTCCTCTGTAAGGATCGTCCTAGTCTCGATTGGGACACTGGAACCTTATATTTATCAACTACAACTGCATCGTTCGAAAGGAAAGACTCCCATCAACGATGGCCGCTTCAGTATGCATAATGCATTGATAGCATGCTCAAGTCAAAACTTTTGCAATAACATAGCTCTCATTCCACCGGGCTACTCCGAGAAGCCTGCCCTACCATCTCAAAGCGAGAATGTGTGCGTGAAACCCCACCTCGGCCGACCCCTCCGCGCGCGGGCTCGCCGCGCTTCCGTCACAGCGCAATACGACGCTCATTTGAGGGGCCGACGCAACCATGTTGAACCACACAAAGTGCGCCAAATTAAACCACCTACGGGAAATGACAAAGACCCTCTAGAAATAGGTGTAAGGGAGGACTAATTATATTCGCTTGATTTGAATTCGAGCTGGAACGCTGCTGGTTGGTGGGAGAGCGAAAGGCTGCCGTTTCCGTACAGTACCGGCTGGTAACAAACAGTTAAGTTACGATATCGCTCTGTCTCTGGAGCCAGGGCGGGGCACCCCACCTCACCTCAGGTACCTACTACATACATAACCGATCAAAAGCACCACTGCGGAGGAAAGTCAAGCCATCACTCTCTCCAGATGTCTAATCTGCGCTACAAAGATGAGCGGTCCGCTGTCCCCCTCGCCAGAATGCTCAATGGCGGGTTTCTGAACCCAACCCAGACCCTTTTCTCTGCCAGGCGCTGTAACCGCGGGTCTCAAGGAAGGATCATCAGTGGTTCGACACCCTCCACCTTGGGGGCAAAAAGATAAAATATCAGCCCAGAGTAATGGAAACCAGCTTACTCATGAGAGGGCCCAGGCCTCGCATATTTGAGACAGAACGGGAATTCGGGAAATGGCTTTGTTATCAGAGGGATTGCCCATCCGTGTCTGCTAGGAATGTTGGGGAAGAGTCCAGTGTCAGCCGGGCATTGCCCAGAGCCGAGTTCCCCTCACTAACCCAGGGCGGGCAATGCACAGGTACACACGTGCAGTGGTAATTAATAAATTAGGTCACCATCACAACCACCCCGGATTTTCCCAGCAGAATGCTACCAGCCGGGGCTTGTTGAAATTCCTCACACGGCGTCTCCAGGTCCGTGGGACATTTCCTAGAGCAACCAATCCGACGGAACTGCGTTGGCTGAAAAGGGTCGTTTTAATGTTGGCTGGATTGGGAGGGAATTGCGCCGTGTGCGGACATGGTGTTAGTTCCAGATCGTGTGACATCGCCGCCAACTTTGCTGGCTACACCGTTGCAAGGTCGAGTTTTGGGTTGGGGTTATTGATTCCGAGGCAGGATCGGAACAGAAACCATCTCTGCTCGTAACGGTGGAACTTTGTACGCATAGGTGGCCAGGTTGCATGTCATGACTGTCGAAGAAATGCAAAGTCAGGTTAGGTGGTTGGTGGAGGTACTCCCATGTATCCGTGGGTTTGTTAGGCTGTCAACACCTCCCTACGCCAGCGGTACGAAAGCACCTAACCCAAGGCAACAATCAGAAGCACTGGATGCATTTTTCCAGCCTTACGTGCTAGGTTGGTTATGGCTCGGTGCCGCCTGGCACTTTTTTTCTCTCATCTTCCCTCATACTTTCTTGCTGCAGTCGACGTGCAGTACGTCATACTACTACGATTTAATCCCGCAAATGATTACCCACAGTTCTCGAGCGGCTCCTCTCCGCTCCGAACTCCCGTCCTTCCAGAGCTGGGGCACCCAGACAATGCTAATTGTTTAGGTACTGGGCACTATCTCCACCATTCTTTTTGGCAGAGCCTGGGAACCGAGAAAAATTTATTCCCACACACACACACAAATCTCATCCACTCTTCGCCCTGGGAAGCACTTCTGCATATCCCCCCGGCGCACTTTTTTTTCTCTCTTCTTTCCCTCTAACAATCCTTCACTCACAACTCCCATTTTTTGCCCTCCCTGCATCCAGGACACTCTTTTTTAGAGGTCGGTCGCTAGGGCGTTGTCTTCGGTTACCCGTTGACGTGAGGCTTCGTTCGGGCCGCATAGCATTACAGAGCTGCACTGGAACCCTTCTACGAGCGTTTGCTTTTCGCGCTCTTTCCTCGGTACCCTTGGTTCTGTCGCTTCACGAAGCTTGCAGTGCTCACTCTAAGAGGCACCGCCACACGCGTGATCCGTCGATTCCGAAGAGTCACTCCCGGAAACCCAGCCAAATCGAGCGGGTGTTCACCAAATCTCGCCCCACCAAACATTTGGCCCTCCCCTCACTCCCGTTTACCACGGCGGGGTGTTTGTTGTCCGTTTGGATTTATCGATCAATTTCGCCGGCCGCCAGTCGATCAATTCAAATTGAAACGTCATTCCCGATCCCTCCCTCAGGCATCGACGCCTCCAGAATTCCGTTAGTGCGGGGAGGTTGTGTTGGCCTCTCCGGACATCGCCTGACCTCGGCCAGGCACATCAAGGTCAGCAAGTCAATACTGCTTGCCTACCCTTGGTCAACTAGGGCTCATACCTGTTCGCCCTAGAAGGTTGATCTGCCCCTACCGTGCATCCAGCATCAACCTGCACCGCGGTGATCTCGACCCCCGCATTTAAAAATGTCGGCCGCAGCTTTTTCCTACGCGCAAGCCGCCAGAGGGCGAACGGTTTCCCAACCGAGTCAACAAGAGACATCAAGCCCTGCCCCTTCGACAACTGGCTCTCAGGGCAAAGATGACGCCTCTACCGGCGCCACTTCCGTAACAGCGCCGTCGGTTACCTCGACCAGCCCGGATATCCGGGATACAGAGCAAACGGCCCACACTCTAGTCGAGAATGGGTTTTCGAAACAAGACCCCGAAGCCGCCTCCGTTGCCGGCTCCAATTCCTCTTCAGCATCCGTCGCGGAGCAACCCGACAAGACGACTGAAGATACTGGCGCAAAATCGATCGACGGCCAGGCCACGTCCCGGAGTCAGAGCGAGGATAAGGCCTCTCGTTCTACCAGCAGGACCTCCCGGGCCAATGACGGCGCAGAGGGCAGGAAAGGCCGGAAGGGTAAGAAGGGCCGTTTCAATGACAAGGAAGCGCCAACCGATCAAAATCAGGAAGAGGACGCCGAGAAGGTGAAGGAGCCCCCAAAGCCCGTCATCCTCACAGAGGCACCCCTCCCCACTGTCAACCCCTGGGCAAAGCGCATGGAGGCACAGAAGGTAGTCCAGGTTAAGGGCTCGGACGCACCCGCCGCCGACGGCGAGTCGAAGCCAAGCCCCTCGTCGGAGGAAGCCGGCTCGCGCGGCACCGTGTCTAGTGGCGTTAACGGAGACAAATGGCCACAGAAGAAGTCAACTGAGGCATTGCGGCTCGCCGATCAAGCACCACGCCGAAGCGGTCCGCGCGGCAGCCGTGCCGGCGACAAGGACGAAAAGAGCTCAGTGGCCTTGCCTCCAGTTGCGGATCCTACGTCATGGCCAGATCCCAAGTCTGCCGCAGAACGAGAGCAGCCCGCCCGCAAGGCACAGGAGAAGATTGATACAGTCGTCGAGAAAGAGAACTTGGATGAGGCTGGTCCGACGCGGAAAAAGACATGGGAAAAGCTCGAGATCGTACATTCGGTAGTTTTCGAGACCCAACTACCACCGCTTCGTGGATCCAAACCGCGCGGCGGTGCGGCCCGAGGCGGTCGTGAGGCAGGTTCAATGAGGGGTAGCCACCCCGCCACTGCCGCTGCCGCTGCCCCCCAGACCACCACCGGCGCTGTGAGTGACAAGGTACCTTCTCCCGGTGGCTCCGCGGGCCCCAAACCTACTACCACTCGGCCTCGTGAGGGAAGCATCCCTTCGCGCGGCGCGTCTCTGCCGAAACGTGCCTCGATTGATGTCGCTTCGCGAGACCAGCGCAAGCCAACCGTGCCCAGCAGCACAACGGAGCAGGCTCGTGATACCAGTCTTGATGCCTCATCGGTAAGTTCAGTCGCTAACGGTGGCGCGCAAAGTTCGCACCATTCTTTTCCCCTGTCGGCCGCTAACAAAATGGTAGTCATCGAAGCGGGCCAGTGCTACAAGGGACATCCGCCTGGAAAACGATTCCTTGAGCTCCGAAGGTGGGCAAACCGCTGCCCGAGCCGCACCCCAAGACCGTCAAAGCTACCATGCCAGGGGCGAATACACCAAGGATAGCCAGCAGTACCCGCGGGACGGCCGGCCGGAGCGCGGCCGCGGGGGTTTCCGTGCCCGCGGTGGCCACAATAACTCGTCACATATCCCCTCGGCGTCGTACCCTACCAATGGCCACTATCCAGCGCCCAGCAGTTTCCAATCCCGCCAGAACCCCAACGCTCATAGCCCCCCGCCTTTCTCAAACCAATTTCCGGTATCATTTGGCCACTCGTCAAGGGGGAGAGGAAACAAATGGGCTAGCTCCAGCCAGTCCGCCGGACGCAACGGCGCCGGTGCCACCGGGTTCCCGCCCAAGGTCGCCCAGGCGAACGAGTTTGCGGTTGGTCAGTACCCGCCGTACATGTACTCGCCGGTTTTTGATGCCTCGGTCCCCATCCTCAAGACTCAAGTTGAGTACTATCTCTCTGTGGAGAACCTGTGCAAGGATTACTATCTTCGACAGCACATGGACGGCCAGGGTTTCGTTCACCTCGCCACGATCGCCGCGTTCAAGCGCATCAAGGCCGTAACTGAGGAATTGGAGTTGATTCGCCTGGCCTGCTCCCTCTCAGATCAGATTGAATTTGGCGTTGGCGGTGATGGCATTGAGAGGCTGCGAACTCGCGACAAGTGGCAACATTTCATCTTGCCTGCTGCCGAACGGGCCGAGCCTTATCGTAACGATGGCCCAGCGAACTGGGACTCCCTATGCGAAGCCGGATCCCCAATTCGCCACTCACTTTCCTGTCCCGATGGTCCCTCAGCCGTACCCCCCTGCTGCTGTCGGCGGCTACCCGGCGTTTGCCGAGGACCAGATGTACCAGCCGCCGTTCGTCAACGGAGCCGCCTACGACCCTTCGGTCACTAATGGCGCGCTGAACGGCCATCACCATAGCCATGAGACCCGGTTGTCTGCCGGTGTTCCCGAATACGCACCTCCTCAGTCCCCAGTTACATTGGAAAGCATGACAAATTTTCCGGACTCTCAGGTGGATAACCTGATGGTGGTTTTGGATTACGACGACAAGGGTAATGCAGGCCCAGCCGGTCCTGTCAGCGTGGCCGGTTATGTCTCGGACAGCAACCAGGCTGCGACTTCACACAAGTGAGTACCCGCGCAATCCACGACTAGCCTCCTTCCACTGTGCCGGTTTGAGCAGTTCTAACTTGTCGATAGCGTCAGCGGAGAGGCGGGAACCGGCTCTGCCAGTGCTGAAGCGGGCCAATCCGAACGGGGAATCGTTTGGGTTGATGAACAGGCATCTGCCCCCACTAAGGAACAGAGAGACCGAAAGCCGTACACCGAGATCCGCAAGGCGGCTCTTGAGCAGCGGCAGACTGCCAAAGCAAGCGAGACTCCCAAGGAGATGCAGAAGCTCTATAAATTCTGGTCGCAAATGCTTCTCAACGACTTTAATGCCAAGGTCTATGAGGAGTTCAGAGGCCTCGCTTTCGAAGACGCCTTGCGGGAAGCTCCGTCGAGACATGGGCTGAAGTCTCTTCTCGAATTCTACGACAAGCTTCTGCTCAAGACTAACACTCGAAAGCCTTGGCCCCAAGACCGAGCCGTGCCTGAGATCTTCACGGCTCACATGAACGAGGCTATGGAGCTCGACAACAAGCTGAGCGGAAAGGACGCGGCCATGGCCTGAGAACGGCCTCGATACTAGCTGCCAGTCGGTGGTCCCCAAGCTGCCGACGGCCCTGACAGGATCATCGGTATTGTCTTCGTTTGACCTACATCAATATTTCAGATGTCCACAACGGGCCGGGCTAGTTGGTTGATTCGACTCGTCCGGATCCAGGCACATATTTCACCTAAATGGCCGTTTGTTGGGGCCAACAATCTTCACAACATTCCACGAAGCGGCTAGTTCTTTCCTCTTCTTGGCCGGGAATATTGGTGTCGCCAACCGGGTTGCTCCTTTCGATGGCGATCTTTATTATCTGGGTCACCGCGACCACCCAGAAAACATTTCCAATTCGCAGCGAAGCAGTTTTGATCTTGTGCGGGCATGCCTCACGGCATTTCCCAAGCTGGCTTCTGCAACATGGCCTACATCATTTGGCAGCTTGCTTCGCTGTGGCTAGACGTCTTGTGGCGTCGTTTATTTTCTTCTGAGGGTAGTCTACATCATGGGGGAGGGCGGACAGCTGGGAAGGCGTTATGACTAGCGGCACGGATCTGGGGAAGGTTCCCCGAGGAAGAAGTGCTTGGACGTTGATGAGACCCCGACATGATCACTTCTGGGGCGATAATCTTTCTGACTTTTTGCGATTTGTCAATCTTGGGTTTCATGAACTCGACATATTCCCCTGCATGAATTCTGGCGTTCATTCTGGCAAACATCCCCCATCCATCTCTTCACCGACCTTTCAACGAACAACCGGAGGGGGAGTCCTGGCGATCTTGTGGTAACGTGCCAGACGGACACGCCCGGCAAGGGGTATACGGGATTGGGTTTGTTCTGTCATTGCTGGGGCTTTTGCCGGGTTCGTCAGCGAGGAAGGCAACTGTTGGTTGTTGGTTTCGAGCAAGGCGAGGAGGGTGTTTCTTAGGGCGGAGGCAGTTTGACACAACAAATCAGCGATTTGCTGTTGCATTTAACGATGGGGAAAAAGAAGGGGTTTATGGATGTCGGGGTCAAGAGAAAAAGATGGGAGGGTGAACTCGACGACGTTCCAGACCTGACACTACTCTTTGGAACCTCGGCCTAACTGTGGGAATTGCCGCGTTCTCATTCCTCTACGGAAGATAAAAGCGTTTTGACTTGTAAACTGTATAAATAGACAACAAAAATGAAAAAGAGAAATCGTTGCTTTACACGTGCCTCCATACCAACACAGAAAACGGCAGGGGTAGTGGCCCATCTCGAGGTTTGGAAGGTCCCTCCATCAGTGGAGGTGCTGGACGCACACGCGTAGCACATCCATTAGGAGGAAACGTTTACCCCAGGTACCTTTCTCCTCTCGCACAGCACGTTACTTTGCTGGTCGGACAATTGCTACAAGGGAAGTATGGAAGCTTGGGTTGCTTAAACGCCAAGCGTGAGCGACATTGGGTTTTCGTGGGTTTTCATGCTGCCGTGGAGCGGCCGAGGGACCTTGCCCATGTTCGGGAAAGAGGTCAAGTGTCCCCGCACCGAGGCTATCTGGAGGGTTCAAGGCGCGTGGGCGCCAACATCGGTCCAGGCACAGCGGGCACAGCGGGCTGAGCAGTGGGGCAGGTGTTTTTTCGGAACGCCCACATGCCCGCGGCGGCAACTTGTCATTTGTAATAACAACGGATCTGAGGTCCCTCTTCTTGCATCTCCCCAAACAGAAGAAGTCTCAAGACATTTTCACTTCCCAAGCCTGCTTTGGTGGCGCCGACATGCCTCAAATCCAGTGACGGTTCGGTTAATTTCTCACTTTTTCCATGGCTTCTGCCTCCTTGCAGGTCCCGTGCACCTAAAAGGACAGGAGCATCATGTCGAAAAAGAATAAGGCCAACCCGTTCTGCACGAGAGCTACGATCACATGCCGATAGTAGCCCGCAGTTCAAAGTTCACGACTCGGACTACAAGCATACAAGCCATTATAGAGGCCGAAACGACGACATAAATTACCTTATACTTGCGACATCCTCTGCTATCAACATTTGCATTTAATTGTCCTACACATTAGTCGAGCAAAATTACCCTTCCCCGGCCCCGCGGCGACCGCCCGCGTCGGGTCTCCCTCCACGGCCTCGCTCGAGGTTGACAAGTTCATCAAACTGAGCTAGCCACTTTGACGACTTATTCGGCACGCTAGTTGGATGGACGCGATGACAAACTCCGCCGCATCATCGCCGTCGCCCTCCTTGTCCCCGACCTCGGCCAATCTCAAGGCCGCGGCCGGGGAGAAGAGACGTCTGACAGAGAAGGAGAAGAAGGCGAATCACCTGGCATCAGGTAAGTAGCACCCACGCAGTCCGGGCTGCACGCCGCCTGTTTGTTGAAATGGCGAATATGTGACTGACCGGAAAACTAGAGAAGAAACGAAGGGAACATATCCGAGATCAGTTTGACCGGCTTTCGAACATTGTCCCTGGTCTCGAGGGACGAGCGCGGTCGGAAGGCCTCGTACTCCAGAGCACGATAGAATATATTAGGAAGCTAATGTTGGCACGGCGAGAATTGATCCAGAGTCTGGAGGCGAACGGTGTTGAAGTCCCAGTAGATTACAAGAGGTGAGTGTCTCGAGCTCTGTGTGTTTTCTACTCAGGCAAGACCCAATATGCCTGGAGACGCACGACGCCGACTCGGCCACTGACTTTCTTGATGCCTAGCTCTCTAGAGATGCTGCCCAGATGGTTTTTTGACGATGATTGGGAGGCTCAAATGGAAAAGAGCATAGCTGGTTCGAAAGGGGGCGGCAGCTCGCCAGGAGGTAGTGAGCCGCCTGGACCATCAATACGGCCATGACCAAAGCGCCATAGATAACCGGCGACAAGAACGGCGCAAAAGTTGATACCCAAGGAGATCGAAATGGATGCAATGCCCACCGGATAGTTTACTGTATGTATCATGTCCCGAAATTGGAAACTGGAAAAACTGTGGAATTCCGATTCCTCATTAGCAGCCCCTTGCCTGTCGGGGGACCAACTGGATGGCCGATTCGCTTTTTCACGCCTGATTTTGTTCCTACCGGCATAGTTCCGTAACGGTAGGCTCCTAGGTATTGTCCATGGTAACTCGAACGTTTTTAATGTCTCAACAGCTCGATGAGGGCCAACCAACTGAGACATTCCGAACTCGCCCTTCATGGGTCTCCTTGGTGTTTTTAGTGTGGCTGACGCTGTCCCCATGACATCATAGGGCAAGGCGCAGACACGGCTTGTGACTCTGGTAAGTGGATGCACCACCTCCCAAATGACCTCGAGAGATTGGTCCTCTCCAAGCTCAGCTCTCATGACCCGGCCATGGGCGAAATGCCCCATTGCTCGGTTGGCCATCTCCAGGAGGGTTTGGATTTTTGGTGGTGTCGCACACCACCTTCTTTCTGTGCCCGACCAGCCAGCGCCGGCCTCAACCTTCGACCACACACATAGGTGGGCCACGCCGAGTCCCTGATTCCCACACTTTCTCGGGCAACGGCATCTCGCATTTTGCGGTGGGGAGGCAGCCAGCAGCGAGGCAAAGGCCTCGCCAGAGCCGCCGGCCCGTAGGAGGATCAGGGAATCACGGCCGCGACAGGATTATTCTCCAACTCACCGGCCAGGTAATTAGTTGAATGGGCCGAGAAACTGGTGATGTTTGGTGTGTTGCCGAAACGACCCCTGCCTTCGACCTCGAAACACAAGGAAGATAAAAAAAAGGGGGGGGGAATAGTTTAATGTAGACTCAGGTAGTAGTCTCGTACTGACAGAAAGCTGTGCCACAATAAATAGGGTCGTCGATAGAATGACAATGTTTCCATGGCAGGCCAAAACAGGTGGGCCAAACAGGCGGCCGCAGGGCGTCTCACCACCAACAGCAGCGCCCGCGGCCCAGGAGCCTTGCCGGGTTTGAAGATGGCCAACAGCGGGCCAGAGGTTCGCCAGGCCTCTCCGGCTTCTTCTCAGATTTCTTTTTTCTTCGATTTTTCTCTCGAGGTGTATTTATCCAAGGAATCACAAACGGTTCGTCTCATCCTTTGCCAAGGTCAAATATCTCGGGAGTTGCTGTTGAGATCGGACGGCATCGCCGAGGGGTGCCTGGGATAATTCAGAACCCACTCTCACTGCCCTGTTCCTGTTCTCCTGCCTTGCCCCTCCCTCCCCCTCCCCCTCACTTAAGACCCTGGGTAGCCCCGCTCCGAGCCTTCCTTGCCAGGCAGCCTTCCAACCCAGCTGACCTCACCTGCACCGCACTTGCCTCTTCCTGAATCTTTCTAGAAGAGCGAAAGCCAAGGGAATTATCCGACTACCGCAAACCAACAAACAATCCCAAAGAGAAAAAAAAATTCATTAGAGGTCAGCTTGGTTGACTGTGTTGACCGCACCGCCATTTGGCGATGGCTTCATACGACCCCTATGACGCACCTCCCAGGGAGCGCACAACCAAGCGCTACTACCGGGAGGAGCGCCGCGAGGAACGCGATCCTCGATACTACGAGTCGCGCGAGACGCTCCATGTCCAGCCGTCGCGCGATCTTGTTCCCAGAGCCCGTGAGGATAGCGACCTCTCGGTTGAGGAGATCCGCCGCGACTTTCCGCCGCCGGGCTACTCGAGCAGAGATCTCCGCCGCGCCCGGTCAGCCGAACCCGGATACTACGATGAGTACGACGACCGCCGCTCTTACTATAGCAGGGACCGGAATTATGATGACCTCGACCGCAAGTCTCGCAAGAAGACCGATGTCGTCTACGAGGAAGAGCGCAAGAAGGCCCGCGTCCTCTCTAAGCAGGAGCAGATCATCGCCGCCGTGACTGGAGCTGCCCTCGCCATTGGTGGGAAGGAACTCTACGACCGCCGCGACGCCAATCAGCACGGCACCGAGGTCCAGCGGAACATTTTGGCTTCGGCAGCCCTCGGCGCCGCCGGCGCCCTTGCCGGATACCAAGGAACCGAGTTCTACAACAAGCACAAGGAGAAGGAGGAGAGGAAGGCCCTCGCCCACCGATCCGGCTACTACTCGGACGACGAGGAGAGCGCCAAAGAAAAGAAGGGCCACAAGAACTTCTTGGAGAGTGCACTTGCCGCCGCCGGTCTAGGAGGTGCCGTCAAGGCTCTAACAGGCAAAGACGACAAATCGGACACTAGGAGCCGCCGCGGCAGCCGTTCCCGTTCCAGATCCCGTTCCACCTCACGCTCTCGAGGCAGGGACAAGAGCAGAGACGGCAAGAGCGAAGGAGCCAGTAAAGTCCAGAAGGCCGCCATGGCCTCGCTCATTGCCGGTGCCACGGAGGCATTCCGTATCTCGAAGCAGCCAGGCTCGTGGAAGGGTGAGAAGGCTAAGCGCATTCTCACCGCCGCCGCCGGCGCTGCCACCCTTGATGCGGCTCAGGACACCGAAAAGGCTGGCAGCAAGCTTGGCCTGACCGAGGCTGTTGTCGGTGGTCTGCTTGGTAACCGTGTCATCAACGGTTCCAAGAAGAACATTGAAATGGACGAGAAGACCGGCCGCTCCCGGTCTCGTTCTCGTGCTCGCTCAAAGGATGGGAGCGGTGGAGGCGGCGGCGTGAGCGGACTTGCCGCTCTTGCCACCGCTGGCCTGGGCGCTTTTGGCGCAAAGAAGATCATGGACAACCGCGAGCGGTCTAGATCCCGGCGCCGGAGCGTAGACTCCCGTGACGACTCCCCCGACCGCCGCCACCGCAGCCGCAGCCGAAGCGTGGTGGACTCTGCCCGCCGTCGTCTGGCCAGGGTGGGCATCGGCAACGGCCCTGATGATGATGACCGAGATCGCCGTGACCGCAGCCGCAGCCGCGACCGGAGACGCGATCAGGACGATTATGAAGATACCGGTCGTTCCCGCCGACACCGTGACAGCTACGACGACTATGATAGGGACCGACGGAGGCATTCCTACGACGATGACCGCTCGCACCGCGGTGGAGGACACGACCGCCCCCGTCACAGACGCGGTTCGGTGTCGTCGGATGACTTGGGCGATTCGGACGATGACAGGAAGCGAGGCAAGAAACTAAGAGGTAAGCAACTCATCACCACAGGTCTGGCCGCTGTGGCGACCATCCACGCGGCCCATAGTGTCTACCAGAGTATGGAGAAGCGCAATGTGCGGAAAAAGGCACTCGCGGAAGGCAAGATAAGTGAGGAACAGGCCGAAAAGCTCAAAAACAAGGCCATCCTCCAGGACGCCGCTGCCGTCGGTATCGCGGCGCTTGGGATCAAGGGCGCCATCTCGGAGGTGAAGGAAGCAAACGAGCTGAGGCACGAGATGCATCAATGGAAGCTCGAGAAGCAAGAGAGACACCAACGGCGCGTTGAGCGACAAAGACGCTTGGCAAACGGTGGTCTCGTTGATCACGGTGGTGGTACCGGCCAGCTCGTCAGACGCAGGGCTGACTCTTGGGATTCGGTAGCTCCACCAGGGGCCAGCCGCTACGACGATGGGCCCCGTTATGTTGATGGGAATCCGTACGGCGCCATGCCTCCCGGCCCGTCCGACAGGAGGTAGAGAGGATAACATATTCGCTCCACCAACAACGCCCGTCCGCCGACCTCAAACCTTCCGGAAAGCCTTGCGCCAGTACCCAGCTCCCTCGATTGAGATTCCGTACCGCCGCGTTTCCACATTTCCGTGCCGCCTACCGTTTTCCCGGTATGTGCCACACGTATACACGCACAAATTCCCCAACCGTCAGCGCCATCGTCAGCTGTGCCTCCATGGACGCCACCACCACCGCCGCGGGCGGTACGAGATGCCACCAATCAGCCGACACAGCACTCAGTAGCACTAGCAGTTCGGTGGCACTTGACGCGTTGGGCGTTTTTCTGAATGGTCGTGGGCCGGCTACACCAGGCCCCTTGTATCCATACTCTGGTTCTGGCACTGCGCGACTCACTCCTTTCCCCCAATTACACTTATAGACTTTTGGAAAGCAAACATCCTAATTAATCTGTTACCCGTGATAGACGATCGCCGCCGCCATTAGGGCCCGACTTAAGAGCCCCCCTCCATCGCCCCGGGCCTGGCCTGGTAAACCGGCCGTGGAGGGGGGGGCTTACTAAAAACACGAACCGGGTGAGACGTGGACCCCAAGGGACAGCATTCGGCAAAGACGGAACCGGAGACCAAGGTTTCGCAACTGGTCCGCGACGTCAGCAAATCAGATTCGCCTCCTAGTGTCGTGGACCGCATGAGCTTCCCTACTCGGCCGTCGTCCTATTCCTTATTCGTCTTCGTTTCGCAACACCTGTTTGGACCTGTGGCTTGTTTCATCGCTTCCGACGAGCCTCGCAAGCACACGCTGGACGATACCTCAGTTCTCTTATCATTCGGTGGATTTGGGTCTGAGGCGGATCGGTGAGGGCGGGAAGAGGAAAGGTGGAAAGGGTAGATGAATGTTTTTATGATTGTCTTTTCACTTTGTTTTTTTGATGTTTCGTTTTCTTCTGGATGATGAGGGATGACTTTGATGAGAAAACCTATGAATGATGTTATGTAGCTGCAATGATGACTGGTGCTTTTGGTTTTTTTTTGAATGGCAGACAGGGACCGATGAGCTTGTGATCCTGTCGGCCACCTTATTCCCGAATCACATACCCGATGCCGGTCAAGGAGCTCGCTCAGTGCTGTCGCCCCAAGTCGCGACTCTGCCAGCCACTAACGTGAGTCGGTTGTATCGGTTGAAGATGGAGGGGCGCTTCACGCTTTCTTAGAGACCGGATCCAGTAGCTCATGCCGCATGAACAGGTTGCGGATTCTTCTCATTCGAATACAGCTTCAGGTCGAGGGATAGTTACACATGACCCCCGAGCTCCAACGAAACAAACCGCGACAATCACCCACTCCATCCAAGGAGCCCAACCCTTCAACCACACCCTCAGTCGTCGCCAACGACCTTTCCGCCAGTCTGCTTCCAAGCACTGGCCATGGCCAGCAGGCTCGACAAATTGCTGGTCTGCTGGTCGTCGGCCGGGAAGATGTAGTCGACATACTCCTCCCACGTGTCGTCGTCCAGCTTTCTCTTCTTCTTGGTCTTGCGCGGCATCTGCTTCTGGATCTTCTCGATGTCCTCGGGCGAGCCGTGCATGTTCTCGAACTCCTGCCAAGCCGCCAGCAGCGACGCGCGCTCCGTCTTGAGCTCGCGGTCCTTCATGTTCTGGTGCGCGCGCTCGAAGATCTTGCGGGCGCGCGCCTTGGCCTCCTCGCTGATCGGCCGCTCCTCGGCTTCTTCTTCTTCCTCTTCGCCCTCGTCCGCCTCAGGGATGTTGATCTCGAACTGGGCGAAGCTGATCCAGACCTTGGGGTGGTCGGCCTTCTCAAGCAGGCGCTCGTACAGCTCGCGCGTCCTCTCGTACTCGCCCTCTTCCTCTTCGAAGTCGATGTATGCCTTCCATACTACCTCTGGCATGTCCAAGACTGGCTGGCTGATGGCGAGCTCGAAGATGGCGCGGGTGCGGTCAAGATCGTCTAGGCCGCGCTCCAGCTCGGCCCACTTGATCCATGTCTGGCAGTTGGACGGGTTGTAGAGAGCGTGCTTCTCGTACAGCGTCCGACACCTTTCGAATTCGTACAGTTTCTGTTCTAGCGATATGTACTCTTTGAAGAGCTTGTCTTTGGGGCACATGCCGATCGCCCGCCCAAGCGCCTTTCGTGCCGGAGTTAGTTGCCCCTGGCGAATCTCGAAGTGCGCCTTGGCGATCCATATCTTGGCGAAGGTGAACTTCTTGTGAGGTATCAGTCCGAGACATGTGTCGTAGATTTGCCGAGCACGTTCGATATCCTTGGCTTCCCGCTCCTCCCATATCGCGTAAAATAGGAAGAGGAAAATGTACCTCCGCCAGTGTCGCTTCTCCTGCGTCGGGGGTACCTGGGCAATGGCCCTCTCATATACCTCCCGCACGCGATCCGCATCGCCCCCGGTTTCTTCCAACCGGGCAAAATCAAACCACACGTCGTAGTTCTTTGCGTTCTCTTTTACCTGCTCCTCGTAGAGCCGCCTCCTCTTGGTAAGGACGACATCTTCGACACCTTCCCGGTCTCCGAATTGCTTTTCAAATGTGGTGTACTGCGCATGAAGGGCCATTGACTTGGAACGCGGGAGGTTGTCGAGACCAAACTTGTAGATGGCGCGCGCCCTCTCATACTCCTTTTGGCGTGCTTCGAACCTGGCAAATGCGATGAACAGCCTCTCGTCCACCTCGTCGTCGCCCAGCGTCTCGGCAATGGTCTGGATCGCGGTCTGTAATACGTCACGGACCATATCGCCCGTCCCATATTCCTCTTCGAACTTGGCCCACTTCAACCATGTCCTCGGCTCGGGATGCACCGCGGTGAAGAGCTGGAAGATCTGCCTGGCCCGTTCAAACTCCCCATAGCGCTTCTCCAGTTTGATATAGGCGTTCCAGGCATCCTCATCCGGCTCCCATTTCATCCACCTGTCGAATACTTGGCGTGTGCCGGGGATATCGCCGAGCATCTCCATGACCCAGAGGTACTTGTACCACAGCTTGGGGACCCGCGGCAGCCGAGTGACTGCGCGATCCAGAAGATTGCGCGCATGGTTAATGTTTCGGTTCTTGATCTCGGCCTCGACATACCTGATCCAGAGCTCTATCGCATCATTAGCGGCCGTCACTTGCCATCTCCCGAGGGTCCAACGCGAGAAGTTGAGCGGAAGACTTACGCGTGTTATTCGGATGCACATCGAGGGCACGCTCAAAGACTGAACGGGCGCGCGCAAACTCCTTCTGCTCGAGCTCCCACTGGGCATACTGAAACCAGTTGGCGAGTCGGACGCGATTGCGGCGGATGTAGTCCTCGAACTCGCGGCGCTTCCGGCCCTGGTATTCCTTCAGCTCCTCGAGGTCGGCGAAGCGCTGCGTCGGTTTCTGGATAGCCGTCTCCTGGCGGTCGACGGCTTCTCGAAGCAGCTGCTCGGCCGAAATCTGCACCGGCGCCGCAGCTTTGTTCTTGACCCTCGGTGGGCCGCGCGCGGTCTCCATGATGCCGGTCCCTCGGTATATTACCAGTGGCGTCGGAAATGTGGTGATAGGGGAGGGCTGTGAAAGATCTTTGTTTCAAATGCTTGAATTAGATCCCGAATTCTGATTGCAGATATGGAATTACCAAAGCAGCGCGCTTTCGTCGCACCGCGAGAGAGCTGATGGACCGTGCGCCACCATAGATCTTGGCCCCGATAAGGCCAGCCAAGGCGCTATAACTTACTGCCTACCACTCAAAGCCTCTTCCTCGGACAAAGATCCATCGCGGTCGTCACCTTGCATGCTTGAACTCGCTTCTCCCCTCACAACTTTCCAGCTCCGCTTTATCACCAAACACACTATCACATTGGAACCCACTAAGCACTGGACCCGGGAAGTCTAACGAAAATGTCGACCCTCGCGGACGAGCTCCTTCAGGATTTTGAGGATTCTGGGTCAGAAGCCGGCGGCGACGAGCACGACGATGGCCTCTTTAACGAGGCCGGCTTCTCTGGCGGCGCGAGGGCGGATGGGGGAGACATCGCAATGGAAGAACTACGCGACGAGGACGCAGACGAGAATGAGGATGCCGACATGATGGACGAGGCCGACGGCAGCACTACTCCGGCAGCCAACGGTGACGACGAGAAAGCAAACATAGAGAAAATGCAACTGGGGGGCGTACGCGATGTGCGCGCCGTGGCAGGCCTCATGAAAACCTTGACGCCCGTTCTTGAGGTTAGTAAACACCATCCCTCTTCTCCCCAGTCTATTCCCATCGGTTGTGGAAAAGCGTTTACATCTGTTTTGAGAAATAGCCCTGACAGTTTACCTCGAACGCTGCAGAAAATCGCACACTACCAGTCGCAACCCGCTGAGGCGATCGATAACGTGGGCAGTGTGGAGGACCACCCAGAGTACCACCTTCTGACCCAGTCGAACGGCCTCTCGACCCAAATCGATAACGAGATTGTCCTCGTCCATAAGTTCATCAGAGACCACTACTCGGTGCGGTTTCCGGAGCTCGAGACGTTGATCACCAACCCTCTCGAATACGCAAAGGCGGTAGCAATTTTGGGCAATGGACCGATGGATTCGGAAAGCATCAAGTCTCTCCAAACATCAACAGACAACCCCTTGGGGATGACGCTGAAGTCGGTGTTGGATGGGCCGTCTTTGATGATTGTCACGGTTGAGGCTACAACATCCAAAGGCCAGGCTATGTCACCAGAACAACTTCAGCGGGTAGTACAGGCATGCGAGATGGTCATCGCTCTTGACAAGGCTAAAAAGACCTTGACCGAATATGTGCAGTCGCGCATGAACATTTTCGCGCCAAACTTGACGGCGCTCATCGGATCCCTGACGGCAGCTCAGTTACTTAACCAAGCTGGCGGCCTGACGGGCCTTTCCAAGGCGCCGGCATGCAACCTACCCGCATGGGGCTCTAAAAAGCAGGCCAGTGCCGCGCTGGCCACCAACGTCGGCATCCGGCATCAGGGGTTCATCTTCCAGTCGCCCGTGATCCGGACCATCCCAAGCGACATCAAGAAACAAGCCATCAAGATGTTTGCTAACAAGATTGTCATGTGCGCTCGCACCGACTGCTTCCACCAATTCCGCGACGGCTCCGAGGGGGAACGCCTCAAGGACGAATGCCTCGACCGTCTGGACAAGCTCCAACAAAAGCCCCTGAGCAAGGGGGCCCGTGCCCTGCCCGCGCCCGACGACAAGCCCAGCCGAAAGCGTGGTGGCCGCCGGGCGCGCAAGGCCAAGGAAGCCACGGCCGTGACAGAACTAGCTAAGGCCCAGAACCGGGTAGCATTCAATAAGGAGGAGCTGGAGGTCGGCTACGGTGCGGGCGACAGCACCAGAGGCATGGGCATGATCGGGCAGCGTGACGACGGGCGGCTGCGTGTGACTCAGATCGACAATCGCACCCGAGCCAAACTCAGCGCGAAGAGCAAGGGCTGGGGCGGCGCCAGCTCGCTCACCAGCGGCAGCGCCTCGTCACTAAGGGGCCTCGCTGGCGGCACGGGTGTGAGCAACCTGAGTCTGGCCAGCAGCAAGGGCTTGCGCACGTCCGGTGTGGGGACGACGCTGGGATCTGGGTCGGCCACGGCGGGCACGGTGTCGTCACTCGCCTTCACAGCGACGCAGGGTCTGGAACTCGTCGACCCCAAGGTGCAAGCCGAGCTTAGCCGGAAGCGCAAGGCGGACGACGATCGATGGTTCAAGAGCGGTGCGTTTACGCAAGTGGGCGGCGGCAATGACGGCTTCAAGAAGCCTGCGCTACCGCCGAGCAAGAAGCTCGACACAGGCTCGACAAAACAGTAACGACCTCAGGTACTCTCGTACGATATCTAGGGCGGTTGGGGTGGTGGGAGCTGTGCGGAGAATCGCTCCTAGTCTTGCTGGCTAGTGGAACAGTCTAGATGCCCGATGCTCCATCGAGATGTAGTATAGACTCTGGCGGGGGGCGGCGTTGATTACGCGGACATTATTTTGCGGCGTTTGGGTGGCTACACCTAAGGGGTCCTGGTGTTAGGGGTTTGATATTTTCTCATCACGGTCGATCAGCTACAGATACTGTAAGATGAAATAGGTACTGAGATTCGGCTTCGACTTCATGGCTGCTTCTACTTTCTTGAGAATCATCGCTCTTGGGCACTCTGTGGGAGATACTCTGACTAACTTGTACCACATTGCCCGGCTCATACCTCAACTCAAACCACATCGACTTCACCTCTTTGCGGTAGGCCGAAGAGGAGCCGCGATGGGGAGCATACAAACAAATGTCTAGCCACCGGGGTCGAGCACCCTCTACTGGCGGGGATGATCCAGGAAGCTCGGCTCTCCTGTTGATGAACCAAGGAAAAACCCCGCATTACGGAGGGCGTCATGGCATTTGAAGAATGCCATGTTGCCTCCTCCAAATGCCATAGGGGTGTCACGCCCTTCGCCCCGCGACACAAAACGAATGTACCGCGCAAGTACTCTCCGCATCTCCCGCTACCGTTTTGTCGCCCCCCAAGGCCCATTCACCTGATGGGCGATGGGAAGTCTTGCTTCGTTGCGCCATTGGCCTGCCTTCATTTGCCGTCGTCTCATCATCCCGCCTCGCGGGCGCAACTTCTGGACACCATTTACCTCGAGTGCCGATGAGCCGATGCACTTTTCGGTCCGTTCGCTCGCTGCTCATCATTGCCACTCCCGGTGCGGTTTGTCTTGGAAGGGGGGGCGTTTGAAAGGTCCCTGGGCGAAAAGGAATCGGTTGTGTCACCAACCTGGCTCTCGGCCAGAGGAGAAATCCCAGGGATGTCCTTTTTCTGCCTTTGTTCTTTTTTGAAGACGGCGAATCAGAAAGGGAAAACGGTGTGGGTTGCCGTGCATCGGGGCTGGGCTGGCTGTGAGCTAGCAGCCGTTGGTTATTGGACCAACGGCTGGCCTGCCGCCTGCTTGCCGTGTTCGGGGACTGCAGGTTGCAGATGGGCTAGTTGAGAATCCGACCCCCGGCTTGGATGGCATTGTCTTGTTGTTCGATCCAGACACGGGTAGTGAGGACTCGAGCATCGGCGCCCTGTTGTTGTGTTGATGAACGGGGTTGGAACTCCTCGGTACTCTGTACTAACTCAAGGTGCCATCACACTGCACTAGCTCTGGTACTGCGCATGTACTGAGTACATACATCCATGTTTTGGGGCTGCGCGGAAATGCAGAGTGAAACTGCTTCTTCTGCGCTATGTTCCATTCTAACGTGCCTTCGTGTTGTTCGCTCCTGCGATTGATCAGGGTCGGTTTCATTCTGGGCAGAAAATGGATCGGGGAGGGGAGGGGTGTGTGTTCCTCACCGAATGGCGGGCAGCAGCGACTCCACCGATCGATCGATCGAAGCTCTGAACCGAATGAAGCAAGGCTCGGGACAACATGACAACATGGCTCACATGGACCTGCCCGTTTTCCGGTTTGAATTGTTGTTGATCCAGAGAGACAAGTCAGACAGCTACGCGAGGCATTTTAAAATTTTCGAAGTCGTGATCACAAGTTTTTGGCCCCAAAGTCACGATGGCATAAAATGGGTGCGGAAACGAGAAGTTTGGGGTGGTCGTGGCAGAAGCAGGTGTGAGTCAAGCAGGAACAGGGCCGGCATCCTCATAATTATTATGTACAACAACCATGTGCGTAGCTACCAAACATGTCGGGATGTTCCCCCAAGGACGTAACTCAGCTTAACCGCTGGCAGCTGTGGTGTTTTGCGCGCTCCTTTCCGGAGAAGAATCTCCGCTGAGCTCAAGCAATCCAACCGGTTTCCTTCCCCGCAACCTGGCAACGGCCAGCCGGGGTCGACATCCCTGAAGCCACCCTTCAAGCTTCCAACTTGGGTCCGTGCTTCTTGATGTCGTCACCATCAAAAATAAGTCTCTCCATGTGAGGCCGCTGCTCCAGTCACATCTCGGCCCCGTTATCGCTATCGGCATGCGCCGTGACGCTTCATTAAGCCCCTCGCTTCACTTTTTCTTTGTCGAGCAATTGTCCGGTTGACTTGGCAAGTGGGCGACAAATTAACCCACACAGCAAAAGCATCCTCATCACCACAAACCACCCAACAAAAAGGGTAGTTTATACCGGTCTTCTCTAGCAGTTCTTCCAAAAATGAAGCCATTAAATTGGCCAATATCTTACCTCTAATTCTCACATATTCTTTAAGTGAATAGGGGTTGTTGAATTGTGGTGACATGGTGATGTTTGGTGGTGCGGATGTTTTGCTGTGTGGCTTAATTTGTCGCCCACTTGCTTGGCAGCTCCAACGGAGACGACGGAAGCTCAGGGAAGTCAGGAACGGGCCAATTGCCCAGCCGCCAGCGCCCAAGCTGGGCAGGGGTCCTGAGGTCACCAAGTGGGGCCGTCCCGCATGGTCTTTTGGCCAGGGCCGAAGGGGTTCTCGATCGTCGGCCAAAAGCTCGATCCCGCTTCTGCATGGCTGGGGTTAGCTCTCAAAGTCAGACACCGATGAGAGACCCTGAGAATTCCCCATCGCCCTGCCGCGCCTGCGAACGGGAAAGCGCGCGGGCGGGGGTTAAAGGCGTTTTGTCACTTTTTCCCAACCAGAACTCTGTGCTCCCAATGCCCACCTGCCTGCCTGTTTTGCTGAAGATGGGCACTGCTCGCACCCCATCTCCACTTTGAGGTTCAATAGTATCACAATACGTACATGCCTACCTAACAATAAGCACATAAGGTAGGGCGGTCGGGAGGGGAGGGGTTTATCTCGGCGTGTTCGGGTTCCGGCTATCCTGCTTTCGCTACTCAAGGAGTCGCTACTCAAGGAGTCGCTACTCAAGGAGTCAAGCTCTCAAGATCAAGGCAGTATCCCCAGGGACAAGAAATGACTTGCATTGTGAAAGATCGCGTGGCTTGCGAGCTCGCGATCGCTGGTCCTTCGCCGGAGCTTTTGCCCCTGGTAACCAACAAAATTCTCATGTGCCAACTTCGCAAACTCCTGTCAACAATGGGGGCAACGGGGGCAAAGCCTCAGGGTCCAACACAAGCCGGATTTAGCACTCTCCACCCGGGGTAGCCTGGACGCTCCCCCACCCCCTTGCTCTTCTAACCCGCACCCCACCACCCGCTTGTCAACGAGCCAGCAGCCAGCAGTTCCCAGAGGACCAGCCAAGCAGCCAAGGAACCGCTGTCCGGGTGAAGAATCCGGGCACGTCGCGGGGTTGCGGTGCAAGAATGACGACACGCGACGGCGTGAAGCAGGGTTGGAATTTCGCGACAGATCAACTTCCGAATCTGGCATTTGACCTGTGTTGCGCTCGGGTACGAGGTGCCGACACTGGCACATCGAATCGCATGGCAACAAGCGTTTCACAGGGAGACAGGCTGACAGGTCCCTGAGATGCGGTTTCGGTCCAACCCACAATTTTGAGTTGTCGTCGAAACAAGTTCCAACAGCATTTGGGGCAACGGATCTTCATTAGTTATCATACCTGCCTGGACTCAACTCTTCGACTCGACTAGACATGCTCAACTACTTGAAAAAGAACGAAACAAAAAATAAAACGTTGTCGCTCCACCATAGATGCACTCACCCGAGGCCCAGAGCCGCTAGAAACTTCCGGTCGCTTCTTTATTCGAAGCCGGGTACTGCGGGTTCTTGCCAAGAATGAGGTTCGGCGAGGTGCCCCGAGCCCTGTGGAATGGTGCAAGTGGAGATGTAACTAGTTAAGGCAAAGGCGGGTGGCAGGTAGTTAGGTAATCGATAATCAACCTCGAGCTGTCTGCCTTGTCGCCATTACGAGAGATGACAGCAATTTTAAATTTCAAGGAATCGCCGAGCTAGAGCTCTCCATCTATACCAGCATGCACGCACAAACCGAATAGTTAGCGCCTGCCTGTGGCTGGAACCGCGAGCCAGACTCGACGCTTGCGGGAGCGGGAGCTTTGGTAAGCCCCGCCCTTCTTGGTGGAGACCGTGAGAAGGCCAGCAACCCTGGCAATCACTGACGTCATCGTGAGATTCTGCCGAGACCCATCGAATGTTCCCACCGCAATTGCTTTTTTCGACAGGTGAGCGCTGTGGCGGATCTATGACCATGTTGGATGTACCTTATGTACACTAAACGCAGGCTCTAGGTAAGCAGATCGGCTTCGCAGCGTACCCCACGGGACAATAAACTGAGCCAATTGCCGTGCACGAGAAGGCAAAGCCAACTCAGCAGGGCAACAAAGCCAAGCTGCCGGTACCTCGCGACCAGGACCCGGGAGAGGCGCCGGGGCAAATGGACCAATCACATCAGCCGAGCTCCCTTTTGTCAATCGCTCGCCAGATGTGTGCTTTTCCGCGTCCCTGATCTGCCCCCCAGAAGGATGTGCAAGCGACCAAGAGCCGCTGACCCCAATGATCTGCACAGCATCGACCTGAACGCCGGGAATTGACGAAGTTTTTATACAGTACGCAGACAACCAAAAACGACCAGACGACCTCCTTATGTTATGCCTTGCCTTAGGTAGGTAGATGATTTTGACGAGCGCAGTATGTTTCCGCTGCGGGAGGAGGCTGCTCGAGCATCTCGATGTACAAGTATTTGCGTCATCGAATCCACACCCCCCCCCAGCCCGGAGCTTGATCCCTGAATGACTCGCAGAGTCCAAAGGTGCGACAGTGCTCAGGCTTATCAGACTCGTGATAAAGTCGAGGCAGAGAGCTCAAAACGATTGCGAATAACGGGCAAGGGCTGCAGCCCGTCTAAAGACGGCGAGCATTTGCTGTGGGACATACAATGTTCCATGATACTCCTCTTTAATTCGTCGGGCAATGGTGGTGAGAGAACGAAGGTCAACAACCTTGAACCAAGCTCACCAAGCATAGGCCAGTGGTTAGATAGCCATAACGGCTGCAAGGACCTGTGAGTGACTTTCGTGTGTAGCATGCCATAAATGGATGGAAGACAAAGGCGGGTCCCTTGGTACATTGTAGCGTACATCCATCCATCCATACATCCCACATCCCTGGCGAACCCGCGCTAGTCTCCTGCAGCTTGAAGGGCCAGGCCACCGAGGATCTCAAGCCTGAGCTCATTGCGCACACCCCTCCCCTCCTCCCTCGTCGACGACCCCTGCAGACAAGGATCTCGCATCGCCGGGGGCACGCCTTTCCTCCCTAATCGAAGGTGTTCTCCTCTCCCCTCTCCTCTAGTTACCATAAAGAAGCATGAACCCACCCGTTCCATTGTCCGGATTTGTTCTTACTTTTTGCATCCTGACTTTCTCTTCTCACCATCTTCTTGCCTAAGAGATAACGGCGCATCCTTCGCTCAAAGCCAAGTCCCTCTTGTCAAGCTCACACTTTCTCTTCTATCTTGGTCACTTAGACGCCCACCCCCACCTTCTTATGACCGCTGAGGTGCCTCGTCGCTCTTCACTTTCTGACTTTCTGACTTCCCTCGGCTTGGGGAATCCGCCCTCTTTCGTCACCTTCGACATCTCGAATTACAATGTCGACCTTTCCACAAATGCGAGATGCAACAGGCCGTTGTATCGACCTCCTTAACCGCGAACAAGACCCACCTCGATCCGCGAAACCCACTCCCATGGCTTCTTTTTCCCCCTTCGACCGCCGAGCCCGGCAAACCTCTTCTATCCCAGCCACTCCTGAGTTGTTCCGGGCCGACTCATACGACTCCCAGGAGGGACCCGGGCCAATTTCGCCCATCACTCCTCTAGACGAGCCGGGGTACTCATACACCTCACCCTTTGGGCTCGGGACCCGGACTCTCCCCGAGTACGCCGTCGAGCGCCGCTTCTCGTACGATGTTCTAGATCGGCGGCCATCGTACGAGGCTAAGGTTTGCACCGGTCCTGCCCCCATCAGCCGCCAGGGGAATGAGGAGCCGGAGAAGCGCTTCCCCTGCCGCTTCCGTGAAGAGCTCGGGTGTATGAAGGACTTCACCACCTCTGGCCACGCCTCACGCCACGCCAGAATTCACACCAAGCAGAAGAGTGTCCACTGCACATATGACGGTTGCGACAAGAAATTCACGCGCGCCGACAATATGAAGCAGCACCTGGAGACACATTTCAAAAAGCAAAAGCGCGCAACCGCGCCACGGTCTCCCCCCGGCAGCGCGAGACGAAACTCCGCTGCGAGTCGCCGGCTGCCCTCGCCGCGATCGCTTTCCTCCGCCGCGAGGCGGTCGGCCCCGTCGCGAGAAGACCTGGCGGACCAGCCGGCGAGGATGGCGATCGAGGCCCAGGCATACGCAGAGGTCAACCGGCTACCGCTGTACCCTGCGCCGCAAGTGCCCGAACGGCCCTATTACGGGCAGATTCTGGCGGCGACTCCATCGCCGACCATGCCATCCGCGGCGATCACGGGTCTCGATACTCTTGCCTCGGTCGCGTTGCAACAGGAGGAGCCATAGAAGGGACCACGAGCCTAGCGAAACCTTTGGGCTCGCCCTCTTTTCTACCCCTTTCCTTTTGTTCTTTTTTTGCTTTTTGGAAGGAACTCCCTGTACGACTGTGGCGTCCTGGACGGATATACAAAGAGGTTCCTCGTCGGCACGAGTTTGCATTCATGGGCGTAACGGCTTGACATACGACGGCGTTTTTTGGTTGGTGGTGACAACTGGGGAATGACCAGTGCTCGGGACTCGGCATTTTTTGGTCGACGGAACGGATGGGGCAGGTGTTAACGGGTCCCCTTATGATATATGTAATGTTTTTTGCCCTTATTTTGCCGGGCAAAGCCTGCCTGTTCTGGGGGCGGGGTGGTTCCCGTCAGGAACACGGCAGTGAACTTTTGGCGGCGACCGGCGTCTGGCCTCAGGTTGCCCTTTGGATGGGCGAGAGGCTTACGGAATTGGAAATGACACAAGCTATGAACAATCTTCAGCCTCCTTTTCCGTGGATATAGTCATATATATATATAGGGAGGTCAAAGGCTGTGTAGTTTGTATAAGCAATTGGACAATCCAACAACACGTCAAACAGAGCATAATGCCAAAAAAGATGTCTACATTATACCACAAGATTTTTATATGCTGAAGTGTGAACGCCGTGACTGATGGTCCAAGATTAAATATGTTGCTTTCTATATTGCTAGAAGCAGTCAGTCCCAGCGGAAGAGTTCGTTTATCTGCTGGGGCTTCGGCTGTCTGTAAGATGGCACCTGAGTTGTACGCCTTCATAACATCATCGCGTCGCTCCATCCAAGAAACCAGTACATAACATCCTCTAAACATAGACATCTCTCCCCTTTCCGCGCCTGGCAATCAATAAAACAACAACCAACCTCTCTCCTCCTCCACCAACCTCGAGTCCACCAACACCCCACCTCGCCTACCCACTCCCCCAAAACTCCGCATCCTCCGCACACATCCTCGCCATCTCAAACTGCTCATCCGTCCGACAAACCAACACCCTCGGCCGCGGCCTCCCCCCTAAGTCGGAGCCCCCCGCCGCCTCCCTCCCAACATCCACCACAACAGCCCCCTCCCCCCCATCCCCATCAAAATCTTCATCCCCATCCGCCGCAAAACCAAGACACCCCACCTGCTCCACGACCGCCGCCCGCAGCGCAGCACTCCGCTCACCGATGCCGCCCGCAAAGACGAGCGCGTCGACGCGCCCGTGCAGAGAGACGTAGTAGGCGCCGACGAAGGCGCTGATGCGGTCGACGAGGAGGGCGAAGGCGAGGCGGTGGTTTTGGTTTTGGGGGTCGGGATTGGGGTCGGGATTGGGGTCGGGATTGGGGTTGGGGTTGGGGTTGGGGCTGGGGGTGGGGGAGCTGGTGGTGGTGGCGGCGGCGGCGATGACGCGAAAGTCGGTAGTTCCCGTGAGGGCTTTCCACCCGGCTTGTTTGTTGAGGATTTCTTCGGCGCGCGAGATGTGCAGGTCTTTGGTGGAGGCGGGCGAGAGCTTACCGACGTCGCTGGCGTAGTGGAAGACGAGGCTGAAGGCCCGGGGGGGGGGATGTTAGTTACGGGTGGAAGGGGAATAATAAAGAGAGGGGGGGAAACGGACCTGGGGTCAACACTGCCGCTCCTCGTTGCGCCCGGGAGCCCGGCCAGCGGGGTTAACCCCATGCTGGTATCCCAGCTCTTGCCGCCCTTGATCGCGCACGCGCTGGCGCCGGAGCCGAGGTGCAGTGCGATGATGTTGACATCGGACGGGTCCTTGCCGAGGAACTCGGCCGTTGCGCGCGTGATGAAGGAGTAGCTGATGCCGTGGAATCCGTACTTGCGGAGTCGGCCGCGGCGCGCGATGTCCTGGTTGATGGGGTAGGTGCGGATGTGCTCAGGGATGGTGGAGTGGAATTGGCTGTCAAAGCAGGCGACGTTGCGGGCTGAGGGGAAGTCCTGGACGCATAGCCGCACGATGGGCAGACTGTTGGCGTTGTGTAAAGGGGCTAGGTCGTTGAGGTTCTCCAGGTGGTGGTAAGTCCCATTCGTTATCAGCTGCGGCTTCGTGTAGTCGCCGCCGTGGACGATGCGATGGCATATAATGCCAATGTCGTCCTTGGTCTGGATGTCGTGCAGGTCGTCGTCTTCAATAAGCGTCTTGAGGATGAGGCTGAAGGCATCCCGTTGATCGCTGACTTGGTCATCCACCTCGCGGCTCTTGACAATGGTCTTGCCGCCCCGCTCATACTTGAGGGATGCAGGTGGCGCCGTCAAGCCGCTCACCTGAACCTCTGCGATCTGTATTGGTGATTGTCCCTGCTCGGCGGTGTAAGCCGAGAGCTTCACCGACGAGGAGCCAGCGTTGACGGACAAGATGACTGTCTTCATTGTGCCAGAGAACTGATTCAAGGAACTAGTTTAGGAAGCGAGCCGTGGAGCGTCTAAGCTGATTTTGTAGAATGGAAGAAGTGATATTCACAAGCAAGTAAACAACGTATCTAGGCTGTCATCTGCCACGATGTCTTGCGACAAAAAAACACTTAGATCACCCGAACAATCCTTGGAATCTCCTGGTAACGCAGAAATCACGGAAAGCCTCTGCAGCAAAATATCGGTTAGATGGTGTTGTGTGTTGCATTATGACGAGGAGGACAACTTGATGGATGACGGCACCGAGAGTGTAACTATGACGTCGTCCCGTCTTGGCTCGTTCATCCGTGGCCCGCAGCGGGGCCGTCCGAACGGTCTCGGCCACAAGAGTTGTCTCAGCCGTTGAGGCTCCATGGTTTGGGGACCCGCAACCTGGGATCAAGTGATGCAACCACCCGGCAGCGCATATGCCCGCCGGAGCCCAATCGGTTCAACGCCGAATGCCTTCACTCACGGGTCCAGTGATCGTTGAACCGTTTAAAAGTCATGGGGGAACAAACTGGCAATGCAGGCGCAAATCGGGTATCTATTGCAGCAAGATCGCACACAGCGCTTGCCCACCTTCCCCTCGTCCAGGACCATAGCTCAACATTGTGGGTAGAAGCGGCCGCTTCATGGAGTCCTATCTGATTCCGGATTATACCTCGGCTCAGCGACTGGGGGTAGACTCCCCAGCAGCTCGGGTGAGGAGAACTGCGAAGGGAGCTCCGAAACTCCGTTAACATGGGGTGGGCCACGTTCAAGATACCCATTCATATAAGGAGAAGGTAACTCGACGTGATTCGTCGGAAACGTTGCCTCGAACTGGGCGTCCGCTGTATGTGCAGAATGCCACTGTGAGATAAACCTGCTATGGTCTACGTGATAGTCAGCTTGCTACCTGGACCGAGCAGTATACTGGGTTGAGCCCAATACGGAGAGGAAAGACTCCGGGAGCCGGACGGCTTACCATCGCTCCCGGCTTGGATGTTAGGGTTCCGGGAGAATTGGATGCCGAGATAACGTATGTCAAGAGCGCTCTGGGCGGATGACGAAGCTGTGTTGCCATTGGTGGCTGGGGGGTTGTTGTGTCTGGAAGATCGGGAAAATATCGATGGACGGCGGCTCTGGCCGCGCCCTTGGTTGCTCTCGGATGCACTGCCTCTCCTGGCGCCGCGGGCCCCTAACTGAACCCGCTTATGTCGGTCGTCCCGCTGGCGAAAATCCGTGTCAAAGTCGTCGAGGAGGTACTCTTTCCAGCGTCGACGGTGGTTAGCATAGAATGTAAGATAATGGAATGTCGAATACCGATCCCGCCACAATTTTATCCTCTGGATCGTGCCCAGACCCCTCACGCTGCCGTACGAGTCTGTCCTGCGGTCGGTGTCAGACCAGACGACGTCAGCGTCGAACCAATCGATCAGATCTCTCCTCCTGATGTCGCTCTGCAGCTGAATGGACCCCTCGATGGTCGTGAACTCGTACTTGACTTCGATGTACTCGTCGTGCACTATGCCGTCGGTGGTGGTGTACCGAATGCGGTGTGGCTCTTGGAAGGAGAGGTAGAGCTCCATTTCCCGCGGGTCGCCGAACCGGCGGTGCTGGGCATGCAGCGTGTGGGGGAAGAGTTCGTTGGGATTGTCAGACGGGACTGGATTTCTGTCTCAGTGGTTGGGGACTTTCCAGGTCAGTGGAGCGGGACGGGCGGTAGAAAAAAAAACACGTACGGAAATGTTCCAGTACCTCGCCCGCATAACTGCATTGCCACAGCAGGCGGCGTGGGTTGGCACCTACAATCTCCCAAGGGCCGAGGTACACGGTCATCTCGTTCGGCGTCCGGTCGAATAGCTTTCTAGACAGCCGGGGTGTCAGAAGAGAGATCGCTGCGAGGTCGGGGCTGGGAAGGATAGGCCATGGCGGCTATTACATTGTCGCGTGGTAGCCAGGGGGCCCGAGGTCGAGAGGCGCCGGGGGGGTCTGTGGGGCCGATGACTCGGCCGTCAGGGCGGAAATGGCGGCGGAGGTGGGTGTGAAGGTCGAGTCGACCGGGCTGGCATGCTGCGGGGGATGGGAGGGCGGGGCGCTCAGCGCCGAGGAGGCGAAAGAGGACGAGGAGCCAGACCGCCAGGATCTCGACATTGTGAAGTCTGGCTGCCGTGCTGTTCTGCTCAGAGCGTCGAACACACCGCCGTTCTGCGCGAGTTGGTGTGTAGCCGAAGCCCAAAGAGCCACAAAGAGGCTGTCAGGGGGGTTGTCGATGCGGCAGTCCACCATCTCATTAAAGAGGGAGAGGTGACAAGCCAGACCCTGTCGTCCAAGCTGCTGGCGAGCCGGAGAAAGCCCGACCCGCAGACAGGATGGAAGATGAAAGGACGAGAGATGGACAACAGGCTTGGGCAGTCGGATGCCGTCCACAACGGCATGCTCGTCGGGGGCAGGTGACGGCAACGCTGGCGGCGGCAGGCGTGTTCCAGGCGCGGGCGATGGCGTAGGAGGCTGCTTGTGCCGCGGTACAACGTCAGCCGCCTCAGCTGTATGTACAGATCAACGTGATAACAACCTGGAGCCTGTTAATGCGGAACAGGCCGGTTCGAACTTCCCGTGTGGGCAGGGTACATTACCTACTGTGTACTCGCAGTTGGGTTCGCCGCCAGGTAGCAGGATTCTACCTCCGCACCTAGCCAGAACATGCGCGGGGGGTCGGGGCAACTGGAGTAGCCGCTGGTAGGCGCCCCACTGACAGCGTTCCCCAGGGACCGGACCAGAGCGCTGGTCCCGTTCAGGCGCGGCGCGCGGTTCTCAATGGTTCCAGAGTTCCAGGCTGTGTGGGGGCGGCGGCTGCGATGGTGTTGCGGGTTGGGCACTGGCCGCAAGCCATGAGCCCACGGGCTTGCAGAACGCTCTGCGATTTGCGAGACACACCATGTGGCTGGTGGACGGGGCCCTGCAGGGTACGCATTAGCTTGGATCCCCCCCTGTTGCTTGAGTTTGCGTGTGACCCCAGAAAACCCCCCTAACAGCCAGTCAGCGCCACTGAAGCCACTGAAGCCACTGAAGCCACGGCCGCCATGGCCGCCACGTTGTGAAGAGGCTGAAAAGTCTCCTCGTTCAGCGTCATCCATCTCATGCCGGCAAAAAACGGGCAAATCATCAGTTACTTTGCATCTCGGGCCGAGTGCCGTTCGGCTACCATAGGCGATCGATCAGGGTTCTGGATTTTCAAAGTTCGCGGGATGTGAAGGTGACCTTCCGTTTGTTGAGTGGGGGTTTTTCGGGGTTTCAGGGTTCTGACACACCTGGGCAAGCTCAGCGGAGATCTTATGATCCACCCCCTAACCCTGAGGATAATCCTCGCTCGGAAGTTCCCGCACGTTTCGATCGGGAGCCGCTGCCCCACTCCAAGTTCGACCTCCAAAGCAACTCCCGCCGCCATATCGGCATGGGACAGATCCGATCATGACTGGCAAGCAACTCTCTGACGACCACCGGGCCATTTTATCGAAACTACTACAGATCCCCAAACTTACCAACCGCGAGATCTCTTGGGTTCTGGGCGTCGACGACAGGACGGTGAGGCGCCGTCGGATAGAGTTCGAGGCAACGGGCGAGATCAAGAAACACAAGGATGTTAGCAAGAATGCTGAGAAGCTGAAGCCGCAGCACATGGAGGTACCGTTACCCGATATTTCGTCTTATATTCGCCCCTCGTGCCAGTTGCTGACATTGTGCTGTTTCGGCCTGCAGAAGCTGGTCGCGTGGCATAAGGACCACCCCGATGCCCTCCTCGACGACATGCAGATGTTCCTGCGGCTACAATGTGGCCTCGAGGTTAGCCGACCGACTATCAGCCGACAGATTCGGAAAGCGTACGGCGGGACGTTTCGGAGAAGCGGCCGGTGTGCGCGGATACGGTCGAGGAAGCAGAGGGAGGCCGAGGGGCGTTCCATCGCCCTGGAGCTTCAGCAGCAGAATTGCGGCGCGGACAATAGTGACCAGAGTTACGAGGCCGCTTCTTCCGACCTGTTCTATGACCAGCGGCAGCTAGCTCCGCTGGGGCAAGCACTGGGACCGCCGCAAGAGCCGGCGCGGCAGGAAGAAGAGCCGGCTTACCAGGCGGGAGATGGGCAGCAGCATCCGGCCCGGCAGTGTCAGCTAGCCGAATGGAAGGGCGCTCGGCGTTTGGTGGATCACGGATGCAGCGACTGTGTTTTTTTTTTTTTTTTTTTTGCATCGGTTTGAAATCGTAGTTTATAATGGGTAACCATCTTTACTTGGCTAGGTAGTTGGCGCCGGGTATGCTGCTCCGACCCGACATGCCTTGGCAAAGATATCGCGGCGTGTATCCCGCGCCCAGAATATTCCTTCAGGCACGCCGAGGCTTGCAGTAGTGAGACGCATCAGACGCCATGGCGGACGGCATGGCGGACATGGATTTGCCCATCCTTTTATCTCCCTGCCAACATTTTATCTCCCTGTTAGCATTTTATTTCCCTGCCAGTCCTTCCTGCTCTGGTAGTAGTTACCTACATTTACGTATGATCAGCGGAAGAATTCGGTGTTCCCTCTGATGGGTCGGGCGAGTACCTCGCTCCAGACATATGTAGTGTAAGTGTACATACATACAAGTAGGTGGCTATCAGCGACCAAGTACTTCATCCACAGCTGCTGTGTCGTCACATCAGGATCACCTTGGCCGAATCAGATCCAAGCCTCCCGTTTGCCAGTCTCAAAAGCGACTTCCCCAATCGGCCAATGGGATGTCTGAATTGCACCAGCAGGTCCAAGATTGCAGGTGTGATTGGCCACTGTCGGTTTCGCTTGGTGCCACGCACGGGACGCAATGGGACGGTTGAGTGGTGGGATCGGGGTGGACCCCTTGTAAAGTCTCCACGATCCCCGAACCCAAGTTGCTGGGCCCTGCGACGCTCCGACTGTGCGGAATGGTCGTGTGTGGCAGAAGAACGTGACAACCTCTGAGATCTCGAAGGCAGTGAAGGAGCCAATGGCCCAATTTGTGTTGAGATCAAATGATCAACATCTGAGCTCTGCGTTGGACGTTGTCTTTTTCTTCGAGATCGTAGGTGACAAGGATCAGGCAACGACACTGCCAAGGCTGTCCCGCTAAATAATGCGCTTGGCAAGAACTGGTCGTCTGCCTCGTTGTGTTGGAGCATGAACGTAGTGCAACACGCAACACCAGGCTCGCATCTCCGGTCCCTTTTCTTCCTCAGCCGGACGCATTTGATGCCGAAAGAGGCAAAAATTACCATCTTGACGAAGGATAAGCAGATGCCAGTTTTCTTCCTTCACCCCCACCCCATCGAGAATGCAACACTCTGTCGAGATGGAGATCGGTGCTGTGGAAAGTGGAAAAGCCCTAAAAAAGAAGACAGCACCCCCAAGACCAGTAACCCGGCACAGCACACCCGGGGGCTCAGGTCTGGCTTCAGCCCCCCTGTTCCAGCTCCCCCACACACACCAATGGTCAATCCTGGGTAGCATTGGATGCCATGCTTTTCTGCCTTCGGGGGCTTGGGTGATTCTGGGCCATGGTGGGGGTTCGTCGCGCTTGGCCCTTAGCGAACAAGATGAGCTCCGTTGAGTGAGAGAGAGCCTTGGGCGGATCAAACTAGTAGACTTGACAACCACCAGACCTGACCTCAAACTTCACCTCCTGACGTGCCCCCCGTCTTCACCTTATACCGAGCGCCTTGTGTCGGGTGTGCGTTGGGCAATCATCGGCAACCCGAGTTCGTCGTCGCGTGGATTCTCGGCCATGGACTGTCGGAGTTGCATCGTGAACCACCTCGCAACCTGCAACCTGACTAACTGACAAACCACCTTTCCAACTTTGTGGCGGCCGACATGTATCCCCACCCCGAAAAGACAAGAAACCGCGGTTATCTGGGGCATGACAGCTCAGCGCTCTCGCCACGAGACAACCAGGTAGCCCACCCATCACCCATCATCTTGTCATCCATCACCCATTACCACTGTCCCAGCACTATGCTTTTTGCGAGACACGGATGATTGCTGACCGAGCATGCCAATCATAGGACCGCCAGCAGTTGCGCTATGAGCTCGATCTCAACTCGTGGAATCTGAGAATTTGGGGGGTGGCCGCCTCGGGCTTTCTGACAGACTCGTGCGTTGCCCATCAACACCCCCCTCAAAACAAGCGCAATCGTAGAATTGACCGTATTTGACTTGCAGATATAATCTCTTTGCTACTAATGTCATCCTCTCCACCGTCTCGTTTGTCTATTTCCCCCACGACAAGTGGTGCGGCCTAGTCATCAACCTCTTTACCTTGTTCGGGTACGTATACCGGTCTCCCCCACTGGATCCCTACCCAGTACGCCGGCAACTAACGGATTTTGTCAGTTCTGTGTTTGGTCAACTCCTCTTTGGCTACCTCGCCGATAAATATGGAAGGACCCGTCTGTATGGCATTGAGCTCGTCCTGGTCATCGTGTCCACCATCGGAGTAGCCACGACCAGCAACGGCTATGGCGATATTTCGTTTCTGGCCCTCTTTACTTGGGTGTGTTCTTTTCTTGTTGCGCTGTATCTTTACTGGATTTTATTGTGTCTTACTCCAGTTGCTACCTCCAGTTGCTAACGACGATGGTAGTGGCGGTTTGTAATGGGTGTTGGTGAGTCTCGAGCTGCCACACCCCCTAACGTCTCCAGACCCAACCCCTGACCTATTCTAGGAATCGGCGCCGAGTATCCATTATCTGCAGTGATAACGTCGGAATGGTCCAGTACATCCTCCAGGGCGACCATGCTGTCGTCCGTGTTTTTGATGCAGCCGGTCGGCCAAGCGCTGGCTCAAATCGTGGGCGTTTGGGTTCTTCTAGGCGAGGACGCTGCTCATGGCCTCCACGACCTGCAATGTGGCCTCGACTCGCTGCATGAAGAGGAATGCAAGAAGATCATTGACGGCACATGGCGCATCGTCATCGGCTCTGGCGCCGTGCCCGCCCTCCTGGCCATCATCTTCCGCTTCTTCCTGTACGACTGCGGTCTCTACACCCTCGAGGTCAAGAACAAGCCCGGAAACGCTTTCAGGGACACCCAACGAGTTTACGGCCCGCCGCCCTCCACCAACGGCATGCCCTTATCTCCCACCGGCGGTGCAAACTACCCTGAAACGGAGGCGATGCCCCTTCAGTTCTCTTTCCAAGATCTACACGACTACTTCATCAAGGACAAGAACTGGTATTACCTCGTCGGCACCTCCATGACCTGGTTCTTCCTCGATGTATCCTTCTATGGGTTCAGTTTGGATAACCGCGGCACTCTGGCCGACCTGTGGGCAACGACTGACCGAATCCCTATCGACTCGAACCTTGCATGCTGGAATTCCACCCTTGTGAACGGGACCTCCCTTGTTCGTGACTGGCAGAAAGGCGGCCTACCGACTTGGCAAACCGACCGCACGAAACCTTGCAACACCATCTACGAGACCATCATCGAGCAAACGAAGCAGTACCTCCTCACCGTCTCACTCGCCTCCATCGCGGGCAGCGCCTGCTTTATCTTCTTCGCCAACCGGATCCGTCGCCGAGAGTGGCTGACTTCCTCCTTCTTGATCCTTACTGTTCTCTTCCTCGTCACGGGTGGCGTCTACTACGGCGTTGCCCACGGATCAGGCGCCCCCGCAACCGTTGTGTGCGTGGCCATCTGCCATTTCGTCTTTAACTTTGGTAAATCCCCGCCCCCTCCCCCCTTTCTAGTCTCAAAACCCCCACCCCTTTTCAACACCACCACCCCCACAACCCACGACCGCAACAAGCCGAAAAAAAAAACCACATAAAAAAATAGAGCAAACAATCTAACTAACGCAAACCCCACTCCCCAGGCGCCAACACCCTCACCTTCATCATCCCCGCCGAGATCTTCCCCACCACCTACCGCAGCACCTGCCACGGCATTTCCGCCGCGGCCGGCAAGCTGGGCAGCATCGTCGCCGTGCTCGTCGTCTACGGCATCAACTCGGGCTACAACTCCACCACCCGCCAGGGGCTCATCTTCCTGCTCTTCGCCACCTTCATGGCCCTCGGCGCCATCTACTCGTGGGCCTACCTCCCCGACGTGCAGCGCCCCGTGTACGACGGCGGCGACGGCAGCGACGGTGGTGGTGGTGGTGGCAAAAAGCGCCTCGAGACGCGCACGCTGGAGGAGCTGGGCGAGGGTTATGTGCGGGCTTGTCAGGAGGGGCAGGCGATTGGGGTGAGGGAGAAGTGGGGGTTGTTGAGGGCGCAGCTGCGGCATCGCGCGGGGAGGAATAGGGAGCGCAGTGGGATGGAGGAGATGGGGAGGGGGGTGAGTACGCCGCCTTCGGGGGGGGTGGTGGTGGTTGAGGGGAGGGCTGGGGGGGGGAGGCCGCTCGCTGCGGAGCCGGTGGAGGTGGATGGGCGTGGTATTGCGTGAGAGGGGAGGGGAGGTTGGGGTTTGTGGTTGCTTTGTTGTTGCTGTTGTTGTTGTTGTGCGTGAGTTTTGTTTAATTGCTACGTTATGTTGAGATATTCTTGATGTATGTATGTATATATGGATATCCATTCCCTCTTTTACGTTTCGGTAATGGATATGCTAAATATGGCGCGCGGCGGGATATGGAGGCGGTGCTGCGGGATGTGACGTGACACTCTTGGCCCAGCTCCGCTGAACGGGCTTCGCGCGAACAGCTTACTGTGTGCATTGCCATGCTTCGAAGACCCTCCTCGATTTCTACTATGCGGGTAAACAATCACTCCAAATAGATAGACTAGTTAGCGGGAGTGCACTTGCCAGGAGCTTTTCTACTCGTGAATTCCCATGCTTGTGGTCTGGAATGTTGCAAATGGTCAGATACATGTATTGGAGTGGGATGTTCCCTGTCTACCCTCTGTTTCCTAAGCCCAAGTTGATAGAAATGTAGAAATGACCGTGGAGACCTTGGTCTAGCCGCTCTTAGGCTCCAAATGAATATGAAAACCAAGAACTCCGTGTCTGAACGCCGTAGCCAGTGCACACTGCGAACCTGATGATAAACAGATAACGGCTCGCAAAACGGTATCTTTGCGGTGGTATCCCAAGGAGAAAAGCCAAAACACACTCAAATCACCATCAAACGAGTCCACAAATATATGCCCGGTGCCTACCCGCTCGGCTCCCAACCCATATCCATCCCATCTATAGGCCCCATGCCCATGATCGACCTTAGAACGCCCTCCGCAACAGGTGTCATCCCCTGCTGCCCCGACATTTCGGCCCATGTTGGCGCCGTATGCCCGGGGAATTCGGTCGCTCGATCGCCATTTGCAGCGCTGCCACCCGGTCCTCTGGGGCCGGGCGTTTCACCGGTCGCAGTCATATTAAATCGTTGGCCGGGTGTCAGACCCGTCGAGACCCCGCCCGACATGCTAAACGACGATGGGTCCGTACTGAAGAAGGCGTTGACGTTCCGTTCGACATCGCTTGATGTTCCCGAAATGTTGTTGATGTTTTGGTGGGACGAAGCGGGACTGGTCTCGAACGAGTTTCGCCCGGATCCGCCGTTGACGTGCCCGTTGCTGGTTGCTGCTGCTAAGTTTTGGCACTGGGGGTCCGAGGTTCCCCCTGTTGTGCTTGAATTTGGCGTCCGACCGTTGCCGTCGGGAGAGGTGCCCGAATGATCGTTGCTGCTGCTGCTTGTGTCCATCTCCGGGGGAGGACCGTAGTAGGGAGGGGGGGCGAGGCCGTGACTGGGCACATAGGGTCCGGTGTGGCTGCGATCGCGGGTTGGGAGGGTAGTGGGCTGATGAGCGGGTGAGTAGTTCGCGGTACCGGGGGCAGGGTCGATGTCGATGATATCCGGCGCGGTGGCGGGGTTGCCGTTGTCGCCTGGGACCTTCATAAAGTTACATTGGTTGCTGTAGGACATGATGTCGTGTCTCTCTCCTTCCGCTTGAGCTTGAGCTTTGCGGGCGTGTCTGAGGCCCGGGGGGAGAGGGGAGCCCGGCTGATGTGGTCAGCAAACTGGAGGGAGCATCACATGGTGGTGGGAAGTGCTTACGGTATCGCTGCTGCGAGGAAATGCGGACCTCAGTTTTGGGATGCGCACCCCTAATGCTTCGAGGTCCACGTCGAGTTGAACGAGGAATGACTCGGTGAGAGGATTCCGTTTCTTCAGTGCGTTCATGGCCGATAGCAGAAAACGCAGGGAATCCGCAGTCTGGCTATCGTCCGGTCTGCTCTTAAGGTACTGAACAAATACTCGAGCAGAGACGTATAGGCAGAACGAAATAAAGGGGTTCATCTAAGGGAGGGAAATCAGTATCGTCTTTTCTAGGCGTGCGGGGCGCACATACCGCGGATAAATCAAGGTGCGAGACCATCCTCATGATACTCGCAATTTCATTCGCCGCCGTGATACACCGTACTTTGCTCTCCGAGCTCACCGAAGCCGGTAACCTGTTCTTGTCGGCCTTGAAGATGGCCGCCTGGTGGAGGCAGATGGTAGATGTGTGGATACACATATTGGTGAACACCACGTTGGCATTTCCGAGGCCGTTTGGTAACTTCAAGTGGGTTGGAAGGCATAGCGAAGTGTTGAGGAGGATGTTGTCCATTTGTCGGTGACGTTTCCAGAACTCGCCGTTAAGGTCGTGGTCTCTGTCGTCGACGTCTGGCCGGTGCAAATGCACGAGGTTCCGGCCGAAAAGGCACGCCATCAACGCAACCCCAGCAAAGGATGAGATCTTGCCTGCCCCCGCGGGGCCCATGGCCTCTGCAAGAGTGGGGGTCTGCTCCGGCCGGCTCATATCAAAAGCGTCGTCGGAAGCTGGCAGGTTCGTCAAGATATCCTTTTCGTCGACGGTCATGGGCCACCCGGTGCCAATACTAGCGAAACGGTCGAGGCAGAATGCCATCCAAAAGGTTCTCCTACGCTCTTCCCTCTCCGTCCAGTCCCGAGGTGGCGGTAGGCACTGCTTGACGTCTAATCCTGCCCCATCGAGGCGGTGAAGTCCAATCCTGCGAGGCATTAGCAAAGTTCAATTCTCGCCAAACGATAGGTAGGTCGTACATCTGAGATAGTCGCGCGCCTGAGCCGGTGCTCATCCACGCCCTAGGAAAATACATCCACTTGAACTCGTATGAGGCCAGCAAAACGTGGGTCTGGGCATGGGCGACCGAGATGATGTGTTCGCCGTAGCCTTTGATGTAATCCGACTCGAGATATTTCCTTGAGCGGGCGTAAAAGAGGTCCTTCAACGTTTGGAACTTGTCCGAAACGGAGCAGGCCAACGTCCACATGGCGTATCGCAAACAAACGGGTGGCCGTTGGGGAGGAGCGCTGTTAATGGTCAGTTTGTGGGTATCTCATATGGAAACGGTGAAACATACAGGTTCATCGCTGCTAGATACCGATATTTGTGGATCATGGGCACGGAGGGGTGAATCTTCTCGAAGTAGATTTGGTGCCTGGGCAAAATGTGATTAGTGTACGCCTGAGGGGTTCGTTAAGATGCTTTCACAGTCACTTACAGCTCGTCGATCGTCTCCTGAGGGGGTAGCGGCTCTTCCAGGCCCAAGCCGATCATCTCCCACGTGAAATTGTTATCAACTCCGCCCATACCCATAGCCATGCCGCCGTTGAAGTTGAAATCTTCCAGGGGCGGGTTATTAGGCGAGTCAGCATTGAAGTGCCAACGATCCATATCACGGCTACTGGCGATGTTGATGGAGGGATCTGTGACGTTGAAGTTGGCGGTGGCAGCAGCGCGTTGGTTGAGGGGTTGTTTCGCGGCCCCATCAAGAGGGATCGGCATCCCTTTCGAGCCATCGGCACCAGAGACTTCTTGTGTTTTTAGCAGTGTTTCGACTTGTTCTGCAAGAGACGGTTAGCCGGGACAGGTGAGACTAGGCCAGTGGATTCGCGCACTTAGTCGTTCTTCCAACGCCTTCACATAGCCCCTCTTGGGCCCGCTCTTCCTCCTGACTTCGTCGTAGGCGCAGGTGTGGCCGAGACGCGAACATGTGCTGCAGCTCGGTTTAATTCCGTCGCACTTCAACTTCCGCTTCCTACAAATCATGCACGCCAGCCGCTTCGGCTTGGGCACGCTCGAGTTGCCTCCCGTGGGGGCCTCGATGGAAATGTGGTCACCGTCGGCGAGCCTGTCAGCACCAGGGTCTGAGACCATGATGGTGTCGGGCGGTGTCTCAGAGGACGTCGACATGGCGGGCAACGGCTCGGAGAAGTCGGGCAGTTTTGATCCTCCTGAGCAGCCGGCGAGCAGCTACACAATAGGCATGCGCTGTATCGCGCAGTTTCGTCGCTTCTACCTCCAAGAGGCGATACACTACTTGGGGCAACTATCGGGTGTTCTTGTAAGGCGTGAGAAGGCTGCAGTATGGTTGAATGGTTTGTTGAGGTTGATTTGTCACGTCGAGCTCAAGACGAGATGAAAGTTGGTTGAGAAGTTGGGGCAGAATCGATGGGCTTCAGCTGGTCCAATCTTCGAAGGATCGCTGACTATACCAAATTGGCGATGCGGACCGTGCGGGGCTTCGAGAACCCAAGTCGAACGATAAGTGGTGACACGAGGATGGTTCGCGAAGGCGGCTCTTGGTGGTTAAACGCGGTTGCGAAGCCAGATAACGAACGGTGTACAGATGAGATCGCGGGGGCCACGCGGTTTACAAATGCCTGGTGCGGCCCTCCAATCGTACTAATCTCGTCCGGGACAGCCTGGAAGGCTTGTTCGATGACCGGGAGGTGCTTGGATGGGGATGGGGATGGGACTGATTGGGCTTAGTACGCCGTACCCGTGCTTTGTCGAGCTGCGGAGTGGGGATTTGGTCGGGATTTTGGAATGGGTGACCTGTTCGAGCCACAGCGCCACTCTGTCGCACATCTGCTCCGTTGGCGTGGTTCCAAATAAGCGGAGCCAAGCAGACCAATAAAGCAGCATCATCGAGATGGAGCAAACAGGTTGAGCAAGGTTCATCAGCCTTCCCAACCCGAGTCCCTGAGAGTCCTCCCTAATTTTACTAGTCACCCCGCCGCGCCCCTCTCTTTTCGGACTCGATGAGTGAGCAGATCGCGCTTGTCTCGTTTCGAGATACCGTTGTGAACTTTGACATCTTGGCTCTCCGTCCGCCAGGTGGATAGGTGTGCGTGCGCAGTAGTCAGCTTTAATTAGCAACTTGATAAAAAGGCGGGAAAGCCTCGGGTCGCTTCCAGACGTGCGGGCCCCGCGGACCCCTTCGCTGGGGACTCGCTCTGGGCTCCCTAAAAGACACAATATTATCCCACCCAGCGGTGCGTCTGCAGTTGCAGGCGACATGCGCATTCACGACATGGCATACCTCTCTCCTCGATCAGGGTTGCAGTGATGCGGTGCCTGGTACCGTCTTGGAGGCCCAGCAATTGGTCCAGATTGGTAGCTAGCGTGCCATATTAATAGCACCGCCCACACTGGTCCCACACACCACTCGACTACCCACATGCTCAACACGCCTTGGAGATGATCGACGGGCTGAACGGACTCAAAGTCCGCAAGCGTTACACAATCGAGCAGGCCTGTTGTGTGGAGGAGATGCATTCTCTTGATGTCGGAAGCTCAACGATGAAATTATAGTGAGGCCCCGGGAACGAAATCGTGATTCAAGATGTCAATGGGCGTGGTGGAGATAGCTAGTTGGGTTTTGCTGGTCATTTTATTAAAGTGCCTGGACGTCTGTGGTATTCTTGACTCAGTGCCATGGCAGTACCAAGTACTTTGTACATACCAGCTTCAAGTCTCCACAACACTGTTTGTTGTTCGTCCCAAAAACCGCGGACTTCGAGAATACTCTCTCCACAACCACTCCCGCCTCCTTTCCCACGTGGTCCTCATCAATGTGGGATATTTCCGGACTTTTTACTCTCGTTCGGGTAGAGCCGCACAGCCACATCTAACGACGATCTCTGTAGCTTTTGCATAGAATAGCTCGGCGCAGCGCGTAGGTCGGGGCAAAATTACCCCGTGCTGAGGTTGAAGTTCCAGAAACCGCTTCCATGGACAGACTTGGCATAAGTACCTTGTTTAGGGGTCACCAGCGGTTGTGTGTAAGAAATCCTCGGAAGGTCCTCGAGAAGCCGTTGCCGAGAGCATCAAATGATCCCTCCCACCACCCTCGCGTGGAGCCCCCTGGGTTCCTTTCTCCACGGCACTCTATGATTTCGGCGTGTTCTTCTTGTCTGCGTCAATGATACGCAGCACGCCTAGGTCGCCGTAAGCGAGGCAGTATCTTGTGGGAGCCCACGCGACAGCCTCGCACGGCCCGGCTGTCTTGAACGTGTGGACAAGTTCGCCAGTTTCTGTATGAGTGACATCGATGCCAGAACCTAAATGACAGAAAAGTAAGCAGGCCGCGCTTGTTCGAAACGAGAGGTCGTTACTGCCTTACCTTCTTCGCATCCGCCGACCACATAGCATCCATCAAATGAGAAACCTAAAATTAGATCAGCATTAAGGTTATCGATCCGCGCTGGGGGCGGTGCCGCACTTAAGCATTTAACAGGCCCGACCATGCGGGAAATAGTACGCTGACATATCCAGTCCTTCGTGTCAAAGAGCGAGATAATGGAGTCAGCACCTCCGGTTGCGAGGTATTTCCCAGTGGGCGAAAGCTCAGTCGTCAGACAGGAGGCGGTATGCCCCTTCAGCATGAACTCTGTCGAATTCCCGTCCTTGGTTGCGTGGTTGGCATGAAAAGCGGGCTCTAGCTCAGGGTACGAGAGTATCCGTATCGCGCCCTCGGTCGTCGGAACGAAGACCTTCTCCCCGCTCCAACAAAAGGCCATTTGATTTGTATCAACCGGTAGCTGGCAAGATGAGACCACTGCGGATTTCGTCGGTGATATCTGGAAGAATTCCCCGCGCTGAAGTGCCGAGCCGGTCAGTGAATTGCACGCCTCTGCAAGCCATGGTTCGAGGACCTACCCGGTTTCCCACCAGCAACGAGGAGCCATCAGGGGCCCAAGCCAGAGTGTGTGCGTTACCCAGGCCCTTGATTTCATTGACACACGCTTTTGTCCTTACATCCCAGAGTTTCACGACCCCATCGTTGCTGACACTGCAAAGCTCTGCCTCTTTGACTGGGTTGAAGGCTATCTTCTCAATCGCAGCCAGGTGGCCACGGAGTTCCGTGGAGTTTTTGACATCCTTTCTCTCGGGGTTCCCTGCATCACGTCAGCGAGACTCCTGTGAAGGAAAAACCGTTGCTACACCAGTGCTGCGACGAGCAGGAGACGACTCACAGACACGGAGTGTTTTGTCCGAAGTGACGGTGGCGACGAAAGTGCTGAGAGGGTTCCAAGCGATATGTCGCAACCTAGACAGTAACCACTGTGAGAATGGCGTCTCCCACACGAACAGCATCTGGCGAGGTAGACGCACCTATGGTGAGATCCCGCCCCACGGCCGGAGGTTGACTCGTGGTAGGGTAGGCTTTTGATGTCCTTGAAGTAGGGCGAGAATAAATCTCGAGGAATGCGGCCGATCCTAGGTCGGCTGGGTTGCGACATTGTGAATTGGAGGATGTGGATTCACTCCCGAACGTAAGTTGCAAAGTTCCTCTTCAGTTAACAGGCGGATGCACACTCAGGCGAGACTAGTTGAGTATGTTTTTGTTGATGTGTTTTATAAGGGTCGTGAGGTTGACGGATTTGGGAGGCTGGAGGTAGCGCAGGGGCCCAACGTCATCAATTTCTGATCAATCTAGACGAGAATTGGAAGCGTTTTTTGGAGTTACCGATGATGTTGCGATGGAATCGTTGCCCAGGGCAGCTAGATACAAGTGATGGTACCTGGTAGGTTGGTGGGCACTGACAGCTGCCGCAGCCCGTCGGATGTACGCCAAGTAAACTTTCGGGGCATCCAGAAATTGCGGCATCGCCCGTTGTCCTCCATCCCGTCTTGGGCCCGGTTGCTCCACAAACACCCCGGCCACATCCCACCCGCATCGGCAACCGGCCTTTGTCATCGGTTGCACACCCGACGTCGTCACCATCACCTATCTACAACAGTCGAGCCCCGTTGCTCTCAATGGGGATACCTTACCGATTACCGGGCGCCAACGACACCTCGACATGAATTGACGCCGAGGATAGAGCCATCTTAAATTTGCCGATGCGCGTATGAGTGCCGCCTCTGAAGGGTCCGGCCTCGTGAAGAGCCATGTACTGGCCGCTTGGGACACCGCGAATTTATGCTACGAGCAGCTCCCGCCAGCCGGACTCTATCCGGGTAATATCGCACGATGGCCTCCCTAGCACGCCCGGGCGTCCTAAGCAGAGATTCGACAATGCTTCGCTCCTCTCTCCAAACTCCGCTGTCCTCCAAGACGGTCCGGGTACCTCGTCCGCAGGTCCCTCGACAAACCCCATCACTCCGGTGACACCGATTACCCCCTTGACCCCTGGCATCAAACCCGTCGAACACGACTACCTTGACGAAAATAGCCCCGTTCATTCGCCAGGGATCGCTCCTCCTCCCATACCTTTACAGGAGCCCATCCTAGCTCTACGCGTAGCTCGCGCTGGCCATATCTTTGCCGTTATCACGGCGACATCCATAGTCATTTGGCAAACAAAGGTGTGTGTAACCGCCTCATGAGTTCCTGGCATTTTATTTACCTCGTCTGACGCTCCTCTCAGCCAACCGTCGTCCTCGCTGTCGTTGTCCGTTCCGAAGCTTCTCTCGAGACCTACGGCACCAACACCAACCTGCTTATCCGACCGGACTCAGCCATCCTTGTCCTCCACACGAGCTTGGGCTATCTGATAACATACTCACTCGCCACGGACCCCGAAGCCCGGATTTACCGACCACACTTTGCCAACCACACCAATGTCCAACGAAGACGCCAAAACCATATCGGGGATCCCGGCCACGCTGCCCCCGATCAAATACTCTGGGGTCCGGGCGAGGGGCCCGGGGTGCGGGATGTCAGTGTTCGCTTCCGGATGGTGATTAAGGTGGATGCGGGGATTGAAAGCGCTTTGGCCCTCGATGACGAGCTGGTTGTGGCGACACGCAAACCCGCCGCCGTCCAGTGCATCCGCTGGGCGCCCGATAACTCAGGAAGCCAGACAAGCACCGAACTGTTGAGCCGCATGAGCTGGCTGGAGAAAAAGGTCACAGTCAAGGAAATGACTCACGATAGGCCCATGAGCCTCTCAACGTGGATCACGAGCGATGGAAGGGCGTACGCAATGCAGCGACTGTCCTCTGCCCAGCAAGAAAGCGGCTCGAACGAGCCTACTGACACCAAGAAATTATTCAAAGGATACTGTTTCCACATACCCCAGAATGACGGGGACCATGCTGTTAGGTGTGTGATCAATGCGAGGTTTTCGCTCATTGCGGTTGGGTGTACCGATGGAAGCGTTCGCGTTTACTCGGCGAGGGACTACTCCGGTAACATTCCCGCATCTCACGTTCACAACGTCCAGGCGTCTGCCGCCACGTCCGGCAAACTCACCGCGCTCAATTACTCCCCCGATGGGTACTGCCTGTTCGCCGGGTTTGAGAAGGGCTGGTCAACCTGGAGCGTCTATGGAAAACCATTGAGCAGCACTTTCCAAGCCGACCTCGCCATCTCCTCTACAAACGGAGAAGAATGGCTCTCGGGTGTGCTGGATGCCGCCTGGATCGGAGGGTCTTGCGACCTTCTCCTGGCTAGCAGGTCCCATGAGGCTGTGTGGCTACTGGAAATGGCGCGGAGCGCGGTAACGGGGTGCTACAACCCAGCAAACCTATTCCGAACTGTGCTTCAGAGCACCTCCAGTGTCCTGGTGTACCGGGGCTACGATTTACCAGATCTCACATCCATCTCGGCCGAGCCCTCCCTTTGGCACACGAGCCGGATCCCCGCCACCTACCTGCTGAACCAGTGGCCCATCAGGTGTACAGCCATTTCCGCCGACGGCCGCTATTTCGCCGTGGCAGGCAGGCGGGGCCTGGCTCATTACAGCGTCAACAGCGGCCGCTGGAAGACCTTTGCGAACGAAGGCATAGAGAACGAGTTCCAAGTCAGAGGGGGCATGTGTTGGTACCAAAACATCCTCGTCGCCGCTGTGGAAGCCAATAGGTCCTTCGAGCTGCGTCTTTACTCCCGCGAGTCAGCGCTCGACGGTACTGTGGCGTACACGCAACAAATGGCGACACCTGTTGTCTTGATCACCTCCACTGGCGAGGACTCCCTGCTGGTCTACACCTACGACAACCTCCTCTATCATTACATTTTTGCCCCAATGTCCGGCTCAATCAAGTTGATTGAGGTCGGTCACATAGCCTTCCACGGTATCGTAAGATCACCCGCAAGAGTAAGGGGCCTGAGCTGGATCCTACCCGACCACCAGCTCCACGAGGGGGATCCAACTCAGGATGTAGCGCATGCATCTGTCCTGTTTCTGGTGGACGGGAAGCTGGTCCTTTTGCGCCCTTCGGTCAGCGACGGCAATCTGAAATACGACATGCGCGTCATTGCTCACAATGTTGAGTATTATCTCAGCATGAGGGACCGTCCGCATACACTCGAGACCACACCACAGCGGCTCGTTCAGGAAGCCAATGGCGCGGGAGGCAAGGGTCTTGGAGACTCCCTATGGTTGTTTGATGGCAACGAGCTGAAGGCGTGGCCAGATATGGACCCCGTCATGAAGGCGATATCGGGGGAGCTTCCACGAGAACTGCCCGGCATGGTCCCTATCCCTCTCGACTTCTATCCACTCTCGGTCCTGCTTCCGAAAGCCATCGTACTCGGCGTTGAGCCGGACCTCATTCAACGCCGCGATATCAGCTTCTCCTTCTTTCGCTTCTCCATTCGAGTAAGACAGCCAGCAGTCTACCACCAGATAGTATCAAGCTAACCCGGCCCCAGACCCACCTTTTCTTTCCCGACATCCTACGGTTTTACCTCACCGCGAACAGGGCTACCGAGGCATTGCAACTAGCGCAACAATACGAGGATTTGGAATATTTTGCCCATGGCCTCGAGATCCTCCTACATCATGTACTAGACGAGGAGGTAGATGCAAATCCCACCCCCGCGCCCGAGCACGCCATTCTCCCGCGCGTACTCTCACTCCTCTCGTCTTTCCGACAATATCTTGATATCGTGGTTCAGTGCACACGCAAGACCGAGGTACGCTCCTGGCGCACCCTCTTCGCATACCTGCCCCCGCCACAGGAGCTATTCGAGGAAAGCCTACAACGCGGTAGTCTAAAGACGGCAGGAGGCTATCTCCTAATTCTCCACACATTCGATGAGTTAGCCACGGCCAGCGAGCAAAGCGTACGGTTGCTGAGCCGTGCTATGCGCGAGGAAGATTGGGATCTGTGCAAAGAGCTTGCGCGGTTCTTGGCGGCGCTTGACGAAACCGGCGATACGCTGCGGGAAGCAATGGAGATGGTGAATGCCCGCATGAGCCAGGGGCACGACGCTGATGAAGGGTCCGTAAGGAATGGTTTCATGACCAGGCTTGAGATTCCATCTGCCGGAATCTACCCCTCGCTAGGCGGCTCAACTGGGGCCGGCCTTGGACGGATAACGGGGAGCGATTCGGAAGCAGAAGGCCGCTCTGCCAGTGACGCGGGATCCTTCATCAGCAACGCCTAATCAGACACAAAGATGATCGTGTATCGGCAGCACGGCGCGGATTCGGATGGAATGGCGGTAGGCGAGAAAGCGCCGTGGGACGGAAAGCTGTGAAATCCGAATCAGTTATGAAATGGATACACCGCCAATATCGAGGGTTGGAAAGCGCATAGAGAGAGGGAAGATAGACGAAGAGGTTCGTCTAAGAGCCCGCCATAGGTAATATATCATTCATCCTCCCCTTGCTACCAATGACGACACGGAACTGGCAAGGAAGAAGACCCAAGGCAGCCTACTATTGGCCCGTGCCCTGAAGCGCTCGCTGCTTTAATTCGTGGCTTCGTCCGTCTTAACCGCGTCCCCGCAACTGATTTCATACCAGAGGGTCAACGGCCGGCCCCGAGCAAAGCAGCAAGCCGTGGAAACCGGAACGATGGAACATTCTTCTTTTTCCCAAATGCCCCCAGCCACACATAATGCTACGACACAGGTCCGCTTCCAACCGCTCAACTCCACGGGTGGTCATAAATCCCACTTCCGCGGGAGTGGGGATGGCCATGGCCTACCGCCGCTACACACGTCCAGGGATTGACAATGTTGGGATATCTCCGTTGTTCCACACCCCAGAATTCAATGGGTTCCCAAGCTCTTACACGGGCCTACCTTCGGGGAGCGTGGTCAGCGCTCCCCATCCCATCTCGAGCCATTGGTACCGCGCTACCTCCGCTGAATCAGTTTGGCACACCGTCTCAGAGCCCGGCTGCTGATCCTGCTGTGACCGGAGTGCCGAGGGACGGGAGTACTGATTTGGCCAAAGCGGACCCTGCCAATGGTTCTGGTAGCCTTGGATTGGCACGGGGCGGACAATTACCCGCCAACATCGTGGAGAATCCTCCCGACCTTCACCTATGGCGCCAGAAACTGTTTGATCTACAAAGTCCTGTCATCCTTACCAATGAGGAGTGAGTGAACAATGATATTTCAGCTTCCCCCGCCACACCCAGCTCTGTGGTTATGTTGTCCGTGCGTGAGCGTGCTCATTAAGCCATCCCAGGTACGACATGTACTTTCCTTGGGTTGACAATATCTACTCGCACCGGACGTCACAGACAGCATCTAAACGGGGACTTGTCACCCGTTACTTCGACTGCCGCTTGAAAGGCCGGCCGTCTGGAACACCTAAATCACAGGACCCCAACAAAAAGAAACGCAAACGCACCGTGCGCCCGCTTGATCTATGCGACGTCAGAATCAAGATTACAGAATACCCAGCCAGCTCTGTAGGAGAGCTCACGGCGATATGCAACTCCATCGGCTTGAATAGCGAGCAGGTCGAGGCAGCGGCCTCAAGGATCCGGGACAGGCCGTTTCGAGTAATACAACGCAACGGGATGATTGGAAACGGTGATGATAGACTAGCAACGCACAAGCATGACTTGCAAAAAAGTGACGAGACCAAGAAGAGTACAGCCTTGCGATACCTGGCTGGGCGCGAAAAAGAGGCGAAGCGGACTCAGAAACCGCCGGCTTGGAAGCCGAGAGGGAACGCGGCGGCGACGGCAAGGGATCATAGTGGAGATGCGGATATCAAGTTCTATTCGGCATGTTTCTGGTGAGGCCGCCTATTACAGTATCTTGGGCCTGCTGTTGCTGACACAACGCCCATAGCCCTTTCTCCCAACGCGTCTGGATCGCTCTTGTAGCCATGGGCTTCGAGTACGGCAGTATTGGCGAGACAGATCCAGCTCCGCAATGCCCAAACCGCACATCACCTTGCTCGAGGCAAGACCCGAGCAGGGCTTGTCCCCGCCGGATACTGGTCAAGGGGGGTGGGCTTGTGCTGAGAGTTCTGTCATTCTAGAATACGTATGTTTCCCTACATAGTCATTTCTCCAGTTCTTTTTTCTTACGCCAGCCATCCTAGGCGGTGGCATTTGGAGCACCCTTTATTAACAATATGCCCTCAGCTTGAGGACACCAACAACACAGTCCCGCTACACCCGACGATCCCCAAACTGAAAGCGAACTGCCGACTGTGGATTGATTTTGTACGCTTGGTCCGCTTCTATCTTTTCGTCGACTCACGTCCTTACTTGGCCTGTTGCTGCAGATTAATACTAGAATCGTTCCCTCCTTCTCCAGCGTTCTATTAGCAACCGTCGATGAGGTGAGGAGCCAACAGCTAGAAATATTACAAGATCACATTCGTGAGCTCACCCAGGCCGCTGATGAAAAGGCAAGTCTTCATCACCAACAACAGAAGTGGAAGCCGTGTGCCTGACTGCATAACGCCGAACAGGGCCCCTATTTTCTCGGCGACCACATGTGTCTCGTTGACGTCCACCTTGCACCTTTCGCGCTCAGACTGTCTCGACTGGCACCTTTCAGCGGACTGAGCCTATCAGCACTTCCAACACGATGGAAAGGATGGTTAGATGCCCTCGAGCAGAATCCCCATGTGTGCAGCACCATGAGCACCGATGCGCTTTACGCTGAGTCGATAGATGACTTGATCAAGGGGTTTCAGAGAATATCTGACTGAACTCTACGTCTTGCGCCTCTCGTCCAAGGTAGAATGGTTATATAACTTTGCTTACCCAGTTGCCTACCAAAATTGAGGGGGAAGCAGGTAAACAAGAAAAGAGAAAGAGGTAAAGAAAACCGAGCAGAATAAATAGATAAAAGAAACTGAGTAAAACAAAAGCAGACGTTGGACTTCTGAATGGTTTTCTTTTCCTTCCTCGAGTAGAAGGTTTCGTCGGTACAAGCTTGCACTTGAAGTCCCCCCCCGACTTGGCCAAACCTCAAAGCTTTGACTGTACCCGCACTGTGTAGACTTTTTCTAAGTAAGGCGGGTTTACAAAACAAACAAGCAGACCGGTTTCAGTTTTAATGGAAGCAGGTAAGACTCACCAAGCCTACGGTCATTAATTTTTGTAGTCCGAAGATATCGCACTATCCCTTCCCATAAAGCCGGGAAACGACCAGATTACAGTCGACGCCTAATGGGGGCTGGGGAACAGTGCGAAGACTTTCTCAGGGGCTTGGTTGAGCTCGGGGCAGGGTCATCTCTGGCAAGTGTCCCCCACTAAATGCATACAATTCCAACCGCCGCCTGCAGATGTCCGTCAACATTGCTTGTCGCAGTGGGCCACCCGAACACCATCTGCCAGCCCCGCGATCCCGAACGCCGACAAAAAGTGACTTTCCGCATTAAAAGTGCCCCCGATCGGTTCATCATTGTTTAATTCAACCGTCGCAACGGCCTTTCCCTCCGCGCCGCTCGTTTTTCATTGCCAGTGATCGGCGCCCAACCTGACGACACGAATTGCAACATATCCATCGCAAAATGGATGACTACGGGACCGAGTCTGATAGTGACTACACCAGCTACTGGAGAGATTGGGTATGTGTTGATTCATCCGTCAATTCTCTTGCGTCCTTTACCCTCCCACCGTTTTGGGCCTGACACGTCTTGCACAGTTTATCTCGTCCCGTGGCAACGAATACTTTTGCGAGATCGACGAGGAGTACCTGACGGACCGCTTTAATCTGACGGGCCTGAACACCGAGGTCCAGTACTACCAATATGCGCTGGACCTTGTCACCGATGTTTTCGATCTCGACTGCGACGATGAGATGCGTGAGACGATAGAAAAGTCGGCCAGGCACCTGTATGGCCTCGTCCACGCTCGGTATATCGTCACAACAAGAGGTTTGGCGAAAATGGTAAAATTACCCCCTCTTCCTCCCACTTGTCCCTTTGCTCTGCCCGCCCTCCCCTCCAATATCATACTAACAGATGACGCTCCCGCCCTCCCACAGCTCGAGAAATACAAAAAAGCCGACTTCGGCAAATGCCCCCGCGTAATGTGCCACTCGCACCCGCTGCTCCCCATGGGCCTCTCCGACATCCCCAACCTCAAGCCGGTCAAGCTGCACTGCGCGCGGTGCGAGGACACGTACAACCCCAAGTCGTCGCGGCACGCGTCCATCGACGGCGCCTACTTCGGCACGTCCTTCCACAACATCCTCTTCCAGGTCTACCCAGCCCTGATCCCCGCCAAGAGCGCCGAGCGCTACGTCCCGCGCGTCTACGGCTTCAAGGTCCACGCCGCCGCCGCCCTCGTGCGCTGGCAGAACGGCGTCCGCGACGACATGCGCCGCCGCCTGCGCAAGATGGAGGTCGAGAGCGGATTTAAGGACGGCGACGACGACCTGGACGAGGACGATGACGACCCCGAGGACGAGGAGGAGCTGCTGCAGCAGCTCGCCGTGGCGGAGTACAGAGGTGGCGGTGCTGCCGCCGTTGCTGCCGCTGCTACTACGGGCGGCGAGGCGCAGATGGGGAGTGTTGCGTAATGCATCTGCTACGGGGTGGGAGAAGGTATCCCATATCTATATTGCAGCAGGCGGGGGTTGAGGTTGGTATGGCATGGAATGATTCCATCGGTTCTGCCTGCCACGGTGTGTTTCTTTTTCCTTCTTTGATGCTCGTAGGGGAAAACTTTGTGGCTGGCGCATTTGCACTTGGCGTTCTTGTTGGCATGGGCAAAGGTGGAGGGGGAGTTGAAGGAGGAAACCGGAGCAAGAGGAAATAAAGGATGGCCAGCCAGGTGATGGTTGCAAGCGGTTCAGCTGTTGGTCTGGCTCTTAATGCATTGAACGTGGCACGAAAAAGAAGTACACGATACCACTAGTTACATAGGCTGACGGTTATTCTTTTGGTGCCTTGACGGAGCATGTCCGGCCTCCATACGGTTATCCATGGTTGTTTAGGTTCCGAGAATTGCCCGTCTGTAAGTGCCCTGCAGAGCACATCCGGAACAGCCTTTCGACCTGGGGATGTCTTGATCACTGCCGCTTCTTACCGCATCATTCGCAAGACAAATAAATCGATAGTAAAAGTTTAGCAGTCTCTTTCAGACCCAACGCTTCAGTAATAAATTGCCTACCAACCCACTCACTCATCCTTTCCCAAAAAGCCAATTACATGTACACACAAACCCCCTACCGCGCTGGTAGTTTTGCCCAACATAAAACAGCACCGCCCATAACGCCCAAAAACCACGCCCGGTCATCTACGATTTGCTCCCAAGGCACCGGCAGCATCGAATCCCACGAAAACAAATAGAAAGACCCCAGCCCTTGACCGCCCAAACCACCAAACCGGAAAAAGATGAAACACCAAATCGATGCATTCTAGATCCGCGCCTCGCCCACGTACGAGACATCCCGATCATCCGGGCTGGGCCCCTTGCGCGAGGAAGGCGGCTCCGTATTACCGCTCATGCCACTGCCGCGCCCATACCCATCGCCGCCGGTGAGAGCCTCCTCCTCATCCCCAGACCGGTACTGCCCGCGCAAATGGTCCGTAGCATAGCTAAAGCTCCCCACGCCGGCCCAGAAAGCTTTGTCGTGGCTGCGGGGTCCCCACGCCCACCCAGCGCCGCTGGAGATGGGCAGGTGGTAGTAGCGGAAGGCGAAGATGGCCGAGACGGCGCCGATAAGGTAGCCGAATATGATGTCGAAGCCGTGGTGGCGGTAGTCCCACCACCGCGAGCCGGCGATGAAGACCGAGGCGAAGAAGGGCAGGACAGCGAGGCAGAGAAGGTAGATGGGTGGCGCCGCGGCCTGCCGCCGGACTGCCGAGACGGTTTGGTTGTGGCGCGTGATCCCCTTGTTGCCTAGAGCCGAGTCTAGCGTCGATGGTGTGGGCGCGCCGGGTCCGCGGTTGGAAAGTTCGTAGGTGTCGGGCCCTGAGACCTTGATGCTCGGTAAACGTGTGCGGGAAGGGAACGCGGTGAAGGCGGAGGCGTCGGCGAAACCGGCCGGGGCAAGGAACGGGATCGTGATGGCAAACTTGCTGGCAATAAAAAGGGAGAAGTAGATAAGCCCTATTGCAAAAAAATAGGTTAAGCAAACTGCCCGTTTCGGCACTAACAAACGCCCGGGGCTTCCAAGTGCGTACCTGAAGCTGAAGAACTCGAGTGCCCGCTTGGGTAACTGCGGAAACCATCGTCTAGGGTGGACTTGTCCGGATTCTTGCAAATGTCAGGGCTCACGAGCTGGCCGCTCGTGGTCGCTGTTTTCAGCCCCTTTAAGCCGCCGATGATATACTTGGAGAGGTTGTCCAGGTCAGGTTGGCATCGGTCCAATAGATCAGGCCGTGGCTTTCCAAACAAGTTCTTCATGCCGTTGGTGATAAACCAAGCCGCGACTACGGACAATGCGAGCCCGAGCAGGCCTGTATGCAGCTCCCAGAGCTTGCGCTTCCATATCAGGGACTTGGGAGTCCCAACGGGGACTGTCGCACCGGGAACGAAGATGAGGCAGATAACTATGATCAAGAAGATGGGGGCGATGATAGCGATAACGACCGCGAGCCAGACCGGAACTGTCTCGTTGACGGTGAATGGAAAGCTGCGGCGCTATTAGTATCCCGTCTTAAGCGACGAGGCACCAAGAGGGGACGCCCAGGGCGACAACATACGCGATATTGCGGTCGTCTAGAGAGAATGGCCGTTTATTCGGAGTGATATGCCCTAGAACGTAGCCGATGGCGGCAAAGGCGGCGAGTACCGCCCAGTCGAAAACATAGGAGAGCGCTAGGACCCATGATACCGTCCCTTTCCTCCGCACGTTACCCCCGGCGAGATCCAGATTGTCCATACTAGTAGGATTGAGGGCTTCGAAGGTCGGTGCGGGGGAGAACGAGCGGGCGTAGATGAGAGGGCGAATGGAGTCGTCGGGCATTGGGACGCCCCTTGGGTAACTAAGGTATGAAAAAGAGAAGGAAAAGATGGGAGTGAAACAGGGCCGGACAGGCGCAGCCAACAAGTCGAAATGCCGGGCCCAGACCACGAACGGAAGGAGGGCACGCTAGCAAGGTGTGAGCAGACCACTTTAATGATTAAACGCCCGCCACCGTCTGTCACAGGAACAGCGGTCTCTTTCAAAGAATGTCAAAATGTCGAAACCAAACGGAAAGCCCCGAACGCGTCATCCACAACCTTCTTGGTCATGGAATGGCTCTCGAGATTCCCCGTTGGGCAGTTTGGGTTGCCGCTTCGTCCCCCTGCAACTCCACGCCGAGACCCCCAAAAGGGACACACGCCTTTGCCGCCCTGTTGTGTGAGCTCAGCCACAAAAGGGATCGAGATGACCGAAACACGAGTGGTTGGCCAAGGCCGATCGGCGCTGCGGTGTCTCGGGGGCGCAGGACGAGTCGAGGGACGAAAGAAGTGGAAAACCGTAGTGTATCTCAGGTTTGCCCTCATAGGGACAATGTGAATAAAAGGGGAAAAAAGACAAACGGGAAAGACAAGTCTTGGAATTCAACGGTCGAGGTTGCACAGGAAAGAATGTACCGAACTGGACTTCTGGGTTAGTTCCATAACATGGGATGACTGGACCGGCCAAGATTTCCATGAATGAAACCCTGGCTGCAGGGGGAAGCTGAAACCGGAAGCCCCATCGAGACCACCACGTCTGCACGTGCCTTCTGTTGCGAGGAACTGACCCTCGATTGCCAAGTCACCACATTTACCCATGAGATAACAACTTTTTGCGAGTTTGTTTCTCGCTGGAGACGTCGTACCTGGTATCATTGTTATTGACCTCTCTTCTTTTCATCCACACTATGGGTCAGAATACAGCCCTCGAAATCTGTACAAGTATACTGGTAATTGTGAGTCCCAGGCACTGATGCTGCTTAATTCGGGCTGTTCGCCAATCAATTTTGGTCGCTTCGCTCCTGTCGAGTCCACCGAACTCCGTTTGTTAGCGCCGAAAATTCCCGAACCGCGGAGCCCTGGCCGCGCGGTTTGCCGCCAAACTGGTAGGCGCCAGTCAACTGGGGTGCTTCAGCGCTTGCCCGGCGGCTGCCCTGGACACCGCAAGGCGTGGCTATATCAGGGATACGGACCAGACGACGCGCCGGCTGCGGTTGGCTGGGTGAGGGTTTGAAAACGATTCTCAGCGCCAAGGCGACAGCATGGCCCCAATCCAAGCCGCAAATATCTCTCGACTGGCGCTGCGTCGGAGAGCACTCCAAGAGAGGGTTGCTCATCAGGCCCGAGCCCGCTGATACGGAAAATCAGGGTTGCTGATCTACATAATGTACAACATGTCTTCGCCCAGCACTCACCAACACAGCCGCCGCACTCATTAGGCCATGTTCTTGTCTCTCCGCTTGCCCATGTTCCGTACCCGGGGCGTGACGACCCATTTGTTGATATTGCTCTTTGTACGGGTCTTGAAACCGCCTTTGGCAGGCTGGCCCCATGGGCTGACAGGGTTTCTGTTACCCTTCGATTTACCACGCCCACCGCCGTGGGGATGGTCATCTAATACCGTGTTAGCGACCGAACGAGAACGACTGACGGTTGCAAAGAGCAATGAGCCAAGTCGGGATAAAGGAACGGGATCATGCGCCACATACTTGCGTTCATAGCCAAGCCTCTCACTGTGGGCCTGATGTTCAACAAACGGCTACGTCCAGCCTTGCCCAACTGCCTGTATTGGTGCATGATGTTGCTGGCCACACCGATGGTGGCGCAAGCATCTTTGCTGACCTTGCGGATTTCGCCGCTCTGCAACCGGACCACGACATGCTTCCCGGTCATGACTTTGGTACCGTCGTCCCGTGTCTCCTCCTCCTTGGAGATGATGGTCGCATATGTACCGGCACTGCGGCAGAACACTGCACCACCGTCCATGCGGGATCCCACATTGTACACCACCGTGCCGACGGGGATCATGTGCATCGGCAAGCAATTCCCTCTCCAGGCCGTCTTTGCTGCCAGAATACCAGGGTCGATGACACCGCCCATGCTGTCCAGAAGGTCTTGGGGAATACCAGCCCGGTAGCTCTGCACCACGTCTCCTGCACGCATACCCTCGGCGGCCACAATATAAGTCTTGTTACCCGTCGCCTGCTCCTGTCAACAGGGCGATGTGAGCACTTCCGGCCCGGGTCGTATTCGATACGGTCCACCAAGTGCGGCCCCAGGCGCCCAGCGCTTGAAGTCGAGAGTGCGGAGTCTCCGCTTGACGCCTACCCCCGGCGATGTCTAATGGTGACCCGGACCCGTGTTGTTTCTGCCACCTTTCCTCGTGACCCTTTTTTTAGGGATCGTCAACGGCAGATACGGCCTTCCCTTCCAAAGATGATCGTTGATCGGTCGCTTAAGATGTCGGAGACCGGGTGTCCGCGGCTTGTACGTTCGCATCTTGACAGCCTCAATTTGGGTGGATGGAGGGCCGAAGCCAGCAGAACCATCTTCGCCGGGCGTATTCTTGACATCGCCTGGCACCACGGCGGCGTATCGTCTAATCGTGTTGAGTTGAAGGGCCCTCTGGCAGAGTGAGGGGAGCGACGCTACCCCCGCAACCAAGGGTCGGAGCCGTGGCTGCAGCATTGTCGAAGAAAACGCAACTCAACCAAGACCCGGGGAAACCAGTACCAAGATGGCGTCAACGTCAGCACATCGAGCCGCGCCTGGTATCCGGGTGTGTTTGTGGGAGCGCAGAGCAGCCAATTGGCTGCAGTTATCTCCGGAGGGTTGGGGGTGGATAGCCGTAACGGTGGGCTGTCGTTCCGTCAATACCTTGGTGTTCTGCGGCTTTGGAAAATTGCTTGCATCGACCCATTGTCAGGTCCGTGCACGGATTTCTCACAAGTGTGGCTAGTGAGCTTTAGGATCGGGGCTGGTCACCGCGTGGAGCCACAGCCCCACCCAGGCCGCGAAAAACGCGAGTGCAGTTTGAAGACGACCAAGGGTTTGCAGCTTCCCAAGTTGAGCCAATCGCAATGCGGTTGCCCGGTGGTTGCCACTGTTGACGGGGCCTCGGGAAAGCAGGCACGAGCTGGACGACCGCGTCCCCCTGCTCGTATCGTGTACCTGTCATCGTATAACACGGGCAACCCGCTGCCAATGATATCACCAATTTTTCCTTCACCATCCGATCTTTTTCAAACTACGTTATGAAAAGCTATTCAGCGCATCTCTTCGGCTGGACTTTCGATCGACAATTCCAAGCACTTATTTCTGTAGCGGTTGGACTTTTCTTGCACGTTCTCACCACCGCGTTCTCGACGCGGCGGACCCACCTGCAAAGCTCAGCACCATCGCGTCGTGTACCTGGTACTTGCGCCCAGCCCACCACGCTGATTTGACCGTGCCCCCCCGTCCCGCCCGGGGTCAAGCTTCTCCCTAAACTCACGAGCCTTTCCTACCCCATTACCTCTCAACCAACACATCTTAAAAAACAAGAGAGCTCCCAACCTCGCGAGCATTCTCCAACGTCACGAAGCCCTTCACCACAACGTGCGCTTCGAACCCTCGGCATCCTGCCCTTCTCAATTGTAAGGTCGTCGTCGACTTCGACTGGATCCTGCACTCGCAGAGCGAGAGAGAAACGCGTTATTTCTCGAGATTACAGCGACCCAAAAGCGCGTGTGGTGTTGGACGACTTCACGGCATATCGACAAAAAACACGTCATATCGCCCTGGTGATCCTTTATTTCTGCATTTTTGGTGAGCTGGCTCACCCTACTTGGCGTCGTCGGTCCCCGTCGCGTCTTCAATGAGGTGGCCGGGCTAACCCTGTCTTGGCTTTGAAGTAGCATCCGTTTGTCTACACGTTCCCAACATCAGCCGCCACAATGCCGATTGTAAGCCTTCGTCCCAGACGTGTCCCCCGTTCTGCCTGGACGCGATTGGACCTTGAGTCGAAAGATGACTGGCCGTGCTAACCACCATTCAGACTAGGACAAGAAACCCCCGTTCGGTGACGAACGAAAATGACGAGAACAGCAATGCCACAGCCCGCGTTACCCGGGCGAAAGCTGCGGCAACCCTGAACGTTGATGAGCTCGCCATGCCCACCAAGGCGCTCCAGTCAAAAAAGACAGCGGCCAATGTCAATCCCACGAGGAGGCGTGCTGCCCTCGGCGACGTCAGCAATGTGACCAAGGTTGAGGCTGTCGAGAGCAAGAAGGCAGTTGGCAGGACCGGGCTTGTGTCCAAGGCAGCTCAACCCACGGGCGTCCAGAAGAAGACCACGGCGACGCGGTCAGCCTTGACTACGAAAGAGGTCAACAAGAAGACGGAAGTGAAGCGCTCGGGACCCGGATCAATTGTGGCCCAGAAGCGCAAGGTGTTGAGCACCTCGACCACGAACACTCTCGTCAAGGAGGGTACCCCTGAGGACAGCGAACCGATCCGTAAGAAGGTTCACACACTTGAGGACAAGAAGATCAAGACCGACGTGAGACAAGAAGAGCCTGTTCGAAAGGACGCCGCACCATCATCACCGCCTGTTGCTGCCAGCGAGCCTGAGCCGCGTGTCGAGATCCCAGAGGCCGCACTCTTCCTCGACCGCGAGGACCTCGACGACCCGCTGATGGTCGCCGAATATGCGAACGACATCTTCGAATATCTTCGCGACCTCGAGTGCAACTCCGTCCCCAACCCTCAGTACATGTCGCACCAAGATGATCTTGAGTGGAAGACGCGGGGTATTCTTATCGACTGGCTGGTTGAAGTTCACACCCGTTTCCATCTGCTACCCGAGACACTGTTCCTCGCTGTCAACATCGTCGACCGGTTCCTCTCGGAGAAAGTTGTCCAGCTCGACCGTCTTCAACTTGTCGGTATCACCGCCATGTTCATTGCTTCCAAGTATGAGGAAGTCCTCTCACCTCATATCGCCAACTTTCGCCATATTGCCGATGATGGCTTCACCGAGGCCGAGATCCTCAGCGCTGAGCGGTTTGTGCTCGCGACTCTCAACTACGACCTGAGCTACCCCAACCCGATGAACTTCCTCCGCCGCATTTCCAAGGCGGATAATTATGACATTCAGTCTCGTACTATCGGGAAATATCTCATGGAGATCAGTCTGTTGGATCACCGCCTAATGGCCTATCGTTCCAGCCATATTGCCGCAGCTGCTATGTACCTGTCACGGCTGATCTTAGATCGTGGCGAATGGGTAAGTCTGCCATTGAGTTGACACTTGTTGAGCTCGGCTAATGTTTTCCCCGCAATAGGATGATACATTGGAGTATTATGCCGGGTACTCGGAGGAGGAGATCCAGCCCGTCGTCATGTTGATGGTTGACTATATGGCACGGCCCGTCATCCATGAGGCCTTCTTCAAGAAGTATGCTCACAAGAAGTTCTTGAAGGGTGCGTTATCCTACTCCACGTCGTGGTCCCCTGGAGTGTATTTTTCTAACGAGGACTGCAGCATCAATTCTCACCCGCCAATGGTCGAAGAAGAATGCCCACCTTTACGGCATCGACGACATTCACCTAACCCTCAGTGAGGTCTCTTAGAGGTCTCTTAGAGGTCTCTTCAGTATCATCTCGCGCCGTCGCACGCAGTGTTACGCCGCGCTTCGACACGTGTTGTGAATTGTTAGGATACCACGCTGTGGTTGGATTCGCCGCCTTGACGACATCTCACGATTATAGATTAATGACGCATCCCGGGTCCTGCTCCTTGGGAGACCGGGTGCCCGTTCCCGGCATCTTCATCTTCGGCACAAACAACTCCCATCGAGGATTAGGGGCGTCTCTCCACGGCATTGTCGGTTATGGTTTTTTGTTTTTGGGGATTGTTTCTCTTCACCGCCACCTTTTATCCTTTTCCGATTATCGGATTATTTGGCGACGGCGCTCGGAGGGAACAGGCAGGGGGACGGTGTTTGGGTGAATGTGCTTTTGGCCTACTCTGGCGGGAGGGAGGCAATTTTGCTTTTGCGAAAGCTTTGCTGGAGGCTTTGAATGCCGCCCTCTTATTGCTGTAATACCAGGTTATCCTCTTGGTTCCTACGGGATGGCCATGGGATTGTCCGGTGGTGTATTGCTGCATAGTAAGGGGTTGCGGGAGAGGATTGTGGGACGGACGGAAAGGTAGGCTGGGTGAAGCCAGCCGTTGGGAGGGGTCCCTGCTATCCCTGAGAGAGGGGCTGGTGGGGATCATTGTGTACATACATCTCTGTTGGTTTAGCCTCGGTGATGACGGTTTAGGCATCGGAATGGGAGCATTGCATTATCACTGAAGTATCTTCTATCTTGTCGACCTGCCCGCCTTCTAGCGGCGGGAGGAATATGGGCCAGCGGTTCGGAGCGAATACCCCTAAACCTTGTTGTCATAACAACGCTTTTGTTGATTTGCGGGGTCAATTTAATCAAGCGCATTCTCCCGCCTTCGTGTGTCGGGTGACATTACCCCTCAGACGCGCTCGCGTTTGTCGCGCGCTGTCTATTGGGTCCTCGGCTCACCGGACAACGAGCGCAGGAGGACGTCACTTGCTGTTTAGCGGAGGGATAGAAGTTTAAGAAGCAATCATATCATTTATTCTTGACCACGGTCCCGCCCTTCCATGAACCGGCCTGAAAACGCCGCCCCCTTCCCCCCCCCCCACCAGTAACACCGTGACCAAAACCCAATGACCCTGCCCATCCATGCCGGGCAATTCAATTCAGAACATAAAAAGGAAGATAAATTAAGGCAAATAAAAAAAAAAAAATCGTAAAAACTCCAGCCAGAGTTATTGTGGTGTAATCCATCTCAGCCACGCCAAGCGAATACAACAACAGGGCGGGTCAATAAACGGAAAGAAGCGAGGCAATATTATCCAGTTTGGTGATGTCTTTCCAATCCTGTCTTCTTCGGCCCCGAGTATGTCTTCGGACACTTGTTGGTGGCGGGGACCCAATCCAATTCCGTGGTGATGACAAATTAGGTTCAAGATTGTGAATCGGTTGGTTGGTTGGTTGGTTTGTTGGAGCCCGCGGGTCAGTCGTTGCTGTTATTACCCTCCCATTCCATCCTTGTTCCTCCTCTTATTTATTCCATTCCATCCTTGTTCCTCCTCTTATTTATTCCAATGCGGTTGGTCTGTTGGCCCCATCTGGTTCTGGTATCGCGATGGTTGAACGACTCACAGGCTCGTTTGCCCCGAACAAACACCACGCAACAACAACGCGGGGTTGGCTACCTAGCCAGAAGATGGTGTACCCGCCCAGCGCAGCTCAGTTGGTTTGATCCTCCTCCGACTTCCTCAGTACACCGACCCAACGGCAACGCACTTGGGACCCCTATGCGCGGACTCAACAAAGACGTGCCCGACGACGTCGCGGCATGACCGCTTGAGCTTCCGTACCGTTTGCTTGGCCACCCTGGCCTTGGCGCGGAGGATTTGCTTGAAGAGGGTACGGTGCTGGAACCGCTGCGACGACTGCTGTTTCTGTTTCATGATGTCGCTCGGGTAGTAGGTTGGGATCAGCGAGGCGTCCGAGATGATGGACATGTCGTCGGGGATGGTGTCCCCTGCGCGGAGGATGGGTCGCTTCGGTGGTCTGGGGAGGTTCCAGAAGGGCATGTTTATCGTTTCCATCTGGCTGGTGTTGTCGGTGTTGTTCTGGTCGTCGTGGTCTTCGCTGACCTGCGCAGTGTGATGGTGCATCGGCGGAGTCGGTGCTCCGGGCATGGCCCTGGATTTTCGCGTTGATCGACCCACTGAGATGCATTGCGTGTCGTCGAAGTTGACGTCGTCGCAGTTGACCATGTCGGTGCTCCCGAACGTGATGTCGGCTTCCGAATCGGTCATGCGGTCGATCAGCCGTGTTCGGAATAGACAAGGGTCTTCCCGATCGCTCGGTAGCCGGCTCTCAATGGGAAACGAGGGCTGGCCCCCCAGCTGGACCATCTCGTCGTCCATCTCTGACTGGCGAGCCGGTAGTAGTATGTACTTGGCGAACCGACCGTCAAGAGCAGCGAGCGGTTGGCGGAAAGGTACGTAGGAGAACATGGCCGCTGCTACGATGGCGGTAAAGGCTGTATTGATTGATTGTCAGCGATTTTGTTTTTCTTTCTTTACAGGCTCTCCTGAATGATGATCAAGGAAGACGCAGCTGACAACAGAAGCTGAGAAGTGAAGATCGCTAGGCCGGGAGGCGAGAATGCTCGTGGTCAAGAAAGCGAGCGAGAGATACAGCAAGGGGATGTGTTAAAACAAGGATCGCGGCCCATTTTGCAATGTTTTGCCAACTTTTTGAGTTGTTGTGGCGGCAAGCTGTTTACTGAACAAGCAATACCCGAGTGTGTTTGGGATGGAAACAAATAAGCCGGTGTAAGCCATCACACCGGGACACACAGAACAAAGTGAATAAACCACCAGGAAGGTGTGGTGCGACATGGGCAATGGTGCTCCTATGACTCAACGGCCCCGAGGTATCTCACCTTCATCATATCGATTCCCAGAGACTCGTGTTTTTTGTGGTGGGCGCTCAATTCGGCCAGTGCTGAGTTTCGCTTTCATCTTCAGCGCTCGTCGGGGACTGCGGCGAGATCGGTCTTGTGTAGAGAGCCGCAATGGCCAAATTGACATGCCCATTCCACTTATGATGTATCGCCAGTTTCCGCCGTCGACGGCGGGGTTGTCGATACTGGCGCTGAGATTCATGGTGTTGTTGACTCTGGTTAGGGGAGCGCGAAGCAAGCAAACAAGAATTGGCTGTTTGAGTTTGTCAAAGAAGATACCAGTTGCAGAGAATAATCCCAAGTCCCAAGCGAAGAAGAATCCAGCTTCATTATCAATTCACGAGATGAGAGACGACACGCGTCGTCAAGTGCCACCGTGCGTCCATGGCAGGCTTGAATTCAGTGGCTCAGGCAAGTTTGATGCCCGACCCACGCTGTCAGATGCCTCGTGCTCCGTATGGCAGACCAAAATGGAGCCGAGGCGAAGCTGGCTGGCTGGCTGGCTGGGTGGTGCTGTCCATACATGAGAGAGGCTGTCTTTTTTCGCTACCCATGTCCTTTCCCAACCACATCAAATCATGAGGCGAGGCATGACGTGGCTTGGCGGACCGCGCTGTTCTGCCACGTCGACAGAGCTCTCAACAGTTCGCGCGCGAGGGGCTGCTTCAACCCCACGACCCCACGAATTACGGTCAAGGACGGTGAGCTTCGTTGGGAGGGGCCCTGACCTTCGGCCTCTTCCGACGGATTCTCAGCCGGATCCTGCTGGTTGGATAAGTACTCCGAGTTGGGGAGTCGGGAACGTCGTTGGAGGTTTTTGGACCGAGACGGGGCGGCTTACATCAACCAATCAGTCCCTGGTCCGATGTAACCCCCTGCAGCTTCATGAACAGGTGCCGTGTGTAGACAGCAAGCTTGTGACACCGAGGGCCTTCGCAGAGAGATGGTTCCTGCATTTTGCATCTGCATGCTACCTGCATGTCTGGGCGGCATCTATTCATGCATTGTATTACCGCAAAAAGAACACGCCAAATTTAGAAAAGACCATGAGAAATGGGTTGAGCCAGGACAACTGTTGGTTCAGCTAGCTAGGTATCCCTATAAAATGCAGATAGGTAATGGAACAACAGCATTCATTACTGCATATAACCCCGATGTCTCAACCCGAAAGTCGGGGCACATAACGCCAATTTTCCCAAAAAGAAAGCCCGAACGCACTATCCCACCGTAGCCGTGACCATCACTCCTGACACATTCCGTAAAGGCAGCATTATGTCGTATAAAAGTGGGAATTGAAAGAAGATCTGTTGGCCACCTTTCGGGAAGCCAACAGCCAAGAAGCACTAACACCTGACCATCCGGGCCTAGAAAGACATCATGCGCTCCTCGAGGCTGCAGAATGTGGCAGCAGGCCTCGGCTCGAGGATGTGCGGTGGGCGCTCGGCCTCGTCATGAGATTCGAGGCCTGTCTTCTGGCGGAAGACGATGCTGTTGATGGTGCTGACCGGCGAGCTGTCCTGCGACGCGAAAGAGGCCCGGTCGGTGCTGCTGGCCCGCGAGGACGTCGACGAAGACGACATGGATCGGCGGAACGAAGTCCGGATGTTGTGCGGCGAGAAGCGCGCTGTGATAGCCTGGAAGCGAGGAGTCTGCATGATGGCGGTAGGGATGTAGATGTCTCGCGTGGGCGATGTAGAAAGTCTAGTTCGACTGCTCAAGTGGAGCGGCGAAAAGGCAGGGCACAGCCCTGCGTCGTTTGAAGAAGTAAAATGTGTCCCTCGGAAACCTGTCCGTGGAAGTGGCGCGAATGGCAGACGACGAAGAAGCGAAAGACTGGTGTGGTGGATGTTTCTGAAAAGACGGGACGATCTATGCCTGGCACCGATCAGAAGGCAGAGGATATGCCGATGGTAGTTGGTCTTCGTCCGCGTCAGCGACAACACCTGTTATAAAGCCCAAGAGCCTGAGTAGGATGGAGTATTATCGGACCCGGTAAATGTGCCGAGGAGGATGAGCACTTACTTTAAGTAGAGACGGGGTGCAAGTCTCGTATCAAACGAGAGTCGGTGCTGGAGAGTCAAGTTAGGGGGTGCCCCGTGCCAAGCAGGGGAGGATAATCGGGTCGGAACTGACCTGGGTTAGAAACAAAGGGCGGGATGCAAGGGGAAGGGCACAATGCAGGCACAGCCTGGCTCGGAAGGGATGGAAACAAAGGGCTACTGTGAAGTCACGCAGTAAAAAGGCAGGGGCGATGAATGGGTTTGCTGCAGCATCCGTCATGCGTCGCTCGGATGAGCGGGGCGGGCGTCCCTTAAAGCCCCGCGGCTCAAAGCACTCAACACCACAAAACAACGAGTCCCCTGGAAAGGCGATAACCGGACAGGGAGAGCGTTGTCGTATTCAGCTGCTCAGTTGTCGCGATCGCCAGCGCAGCACGTCACTCAGTTGCGCATCAGTCTGGTGGTCCCGGGGGGATCCTCGCAAAAGACCACCGTCATACTCGTAAAATGGGCCGCGAATTGGCCTTGAACGGCATGCAGCGACATGATCGCCGAGACATGTCTGTCATTGATGCGTGGTGTTGTTGGACTTAGCCAAGGGCTTCTGGCCAAGATGCCCAGGAACGCACGGGGCAGGGGGGCAAACTGTGGGCCAAGCGAGGAACGATGAAACAGCCCCACTTTTGTGTGGGAGGTGACGATTCAAAAACGATGGGCTAGAACTCCCTTTCGCCCTTTCAACACTCGTCACATCACATCAAATATTCAATACTTTCAAAAATCGAGTGATGGTATTGCTGGCTCTTCGATATGGTGACCCAGAAGACCGCCGTTGAAGCCGTCGATCGAGCTGTGCGTCTGCCGACCAAACAGCTGCCATACAAGGCCCACCCAGGTGACCCTAGAGAGCTTGTTTGATCGTCGTCACAGGTGGGCCAGAGCCCTGCTCAGAATGAGGACCCTGCACAGCAAGGGGCGATTATCACCAAGGGGAAACCCCTTCACAACTGTTTCGAGCCCTCATCCTCGCCACATCAAATATCCTGTAGGCCATGGAACACTTCTTCTTCTGAGCTTCTAGAACACTAGGTGGTCGAGGCTGAGCAGTTCAAAACTCGCTCATTCCCTGGCCGTTTATGCTCTGCCCGCATGTCACTTTTCGATTCTCGTGGAAATAGAAGGGTTTGGCGGCCATCAATCACTCCAGCTACTTGAAACAAACTCATCATGCAGTGATTTCGTTGTGATAGTCTCGAATCTAGCTAACCCTTGAGACACTAAACACCGCCACGCCATATCCATTCCACTTTTGGGTTGTATCGTACACGAAAAAAAAAAAAGGAACAGTGAGTCGCATCAAGGCACACACACCACACACTAGGATCTCCCTTTCTCCTAGTTACCCATGAACTCGCTCGCTCGTATCTGTTCCAAATTGGCATCTTCAACCAAATCAACCGCTCTCTCAAAATTACACAATGCCTCCTCCCCCGCCCAATACACGCTTGGAATAGTTGAAGTCTAGAATCCCTCCCCAATAAGCGCCAGTGCTTTGCAATGACCGGGCCCGCTACCCGCTAAACCGTCCAAAGAAAACAAATGATGCATCCCCCATTATCATCCCTCATAAAGCCAGACCAGGGGCACCCGGTAAGGTGTTGCTACCAAACGCCAGTTCTTGCATGATTCCACCACCACCTCCTCCCCCGCCCCCGCCACCCCCGCCACCGTTACCACACTAGGTACCTAGTAGAACCTCACTTGAAACCTCCCGCGGCGCCCCCCCACCCGCTCTTTCTCGTCGCGCTCCTCCTCAAACTCTCCACCCACACCGAGTTGTCTAGTATATCCCTGACGACGGAGGGGTCAACCGAGCTGCCGCGTCTCCCCAGGCTGGTCGCCTCATCCGCGTCGTCGCCCGCCACCAGGCCCGGCTCCGTCAGCTCGAAGCTGAAGGTGCTCCCCTGCGACTGGCGGGCAGGGGACGCCGCCGCCGCCGCCGGCCGGGACCCCCGCGGCCCGGCGAGCGGGTGCCCGTACGAGGTGTCGTAGGACGACAGGTCGGCGCCGAGGCCCGCCCAGCTTCGGTGTTGCGCGGACTTGGCGCGGCTGGTCGACGGCGAGAGCAGACCGCCTGATCCCTCGACGGGCGTGGTGACCGCTGCGCTGGACTTGGCTCTGCTACGGCTCACTGGAGAGTGTTGCTGTTGCTGTTGCTGCTGTTGCTGCCGCTGTTTTTGCTGTTCCTGGCCTCCCTGGCCGCCACCACCTCCGTCGCCCTGTTCGGACTGGCGCTCCTCGTTGTCCACCAGAATCTCGGGGATATCGAGCTGCGGGATCGCCGTCATGCGCCCGGCGCGCTTCTTTTCCATGTGCCGCTTGAACTGGCGTGAGTAGTAGAGCATGTCGAAGAAGCCGAGGACGATTCTTCTCCGGACTTCTTCTTCGACGCGCTGGAGGCGCAGTTTGCGACGCAAGAATTCTTCAAGCCTATTTTTGCATGTCAGCTTGTTCCCTCTCTCTCCTTTTCGGGTGATCAATCAAGGTGGAGCAATACATACCGTAAACTCTTGCTGTCGTTGATGATGTTGTAATGCGCCAGAAGCATTAGCACTGTCGTGAACGAGATACCTCTCTCAGGGTCCGCTGAGACCATCACCTCCTCAAAGAAAATGTTGAACCGGCGCCGGCGCTCGCGGACCTTCGCAACGTCAATCATCGCCAGGCGTTCGTTTAGCTTCTTCAAATCTACGCCTGTCTGGTATTGGCTCTTGCTGATGATTGACGCGTGCCTAACGCTGGCTGCGTCGTTCTCGTTCCGCACGTCCTCAAGGATAGCCCGCACCGAATCGTCGTTATCGTAGATGCGCATCTCGAACACCCCGGAAAGCTCGCCGTAGGAGCCGCGGAAACGCGTCCTTGCTGATGAACCCCGTGCCGGACGCATCAACACTGCGCCATGCTTCCTTGAAACGCCGGATTTCGTCTCGATCGACCGCGGCCAGGCCGCTTGTCCGCTGGTACACATACGAGAAGCTCTCGTAGATGAGCGAGACGAACAAACTGACGAAGATGTACATGCTGATGATGTTCCACGCCACAAAGAGCACGCGAGCCCACGCGGTGCTGCCGCAGTCGCTGTCGAAGAAGGTCTGGCCCTCGACACAAAACGGAGGCTTGACCTGCGCAAAATCCTCCATCACCTCGTTCCAGCCCTCTCCGCAACTGAACCTAAAGAGGAGGATGAGGGCGTGGGGTACGGTGCGAAGGTTGATGTTGGCATCCTCTTGACTGCCGAACCGCGTAAGGCTGAATGTCTGCGTCAACGCTATGGCAAACACCAGGAAGAACACGATCCACGTCGCCAGCAAGCTGCCTATCGTTGTCAGACTGGCTGCCGCCGTCTTGAACAGCTGGTCGAGGGCGTCGTTCCGCGGAATGAGCATGAGCACCAGCGCCACCAAGAAAAACTTGTGGAGCTGGATGTACGTGACCTCACCCCTGTCCGTGAGGAAGAGAATCGAGGTGGCTAAGGCGCGCCGTGACGGCCACGAGAGAAAACAGATCCCAAGAGCTCTTCCGGAACCGCGTCCAACCGAGGCCGAAGACGCGCACAATGAGGTTGGCAATGTAAATCAGGGTGAAAATGAGGAAACAGATGTCCTTGACTTGCGTCCAGTAAACCGGCTCTTCGTAGAACTCGGTGAGGAGAAGAACTAGGTGGAAGACAAGGACCGTGGTGATGGCTAGGTACCACTTTCCGCGTTTCTCAATGGCGCGTTTGTGGCACCACATCTTCCACTTGTTCTTTTTGTCGTCGTAAGCGCTCTTGGACGGCGAGATCTGACGGAGCATTTTACGCAGTTCAAGCCAAGACCGTTGCTCGGCAGTCAAGAATGCCACTCCCGTCTGTTCGGTATAGCCTCTCATGAAAACCGAAATGAACAGAGTGAGAACGAAGACGGTGGCCAAGAGGTTGAACACCACGAAAAACAAGGCGTTGCCCTGGGCCCCGTACGGCGGCTCACCATCTGGTTGGAGCCCTTTGCCGGTGATGGCTTGCGCAGCGAAGGACACATCCGTCCACCCTTCTTGACTCACGATCTGGAAGAGGATGAAGAGGCTGGACCCGAAATCGTCGAAGTTGAAGAAAGGATTGTCGGCGACCCTCGGAGCGAGCATAGGCCAGTCGGCATTGTAAGGTGTGCTGTTGAACTCGCCAACGCAGTCGCTCAAGTTCACGATGCCGTCGCCGTCGTTGCACATCATCAACTTTCCGTTGAAGAGATTGAGCCCATAGATGGCAAATGGGATTAGCAGCGAAATCGAGACAAACGCGGCCTAGATGGTACATGTCAGATTAGTATAATTCGCCCCTTTCCCATCGCTCGAGACATCCAAAAGAAACGGCGACTCACACTTAAAATCTTCCAGCCACCAACGATGATGAGGGAGTGGAACGTATCCCGGGCGCTGTCACTGACATTAAGCAGGCGCAGCGCCCTGAGAGCCTTGAAGGCGCCGACGGCTCGAGAGATAGCCCCTGCATTGGTGAAGAGGGTGACCACGTTGATCCATAGAGTGACCAGCACGATGGCGTCGATGATACCCCAGGTGCTTCGAAAGTAGGCGTTCGGGGTCCAAAAGAAGCCGTCGGCAATGATTTTGATGAACGCCTCGACGGTAAACACGATAGCAAAGGCAGTGTCCGTCCAGACGAACCAGTTTAGTGGGGTGAAGGGGTGTTCACGGAAGTACTCCTTTTGATAGAGTGGGGTGGTGACGCAAGCCAGTACCACCATGGCCACGATGGCCGCGTAGATGACGGCAGAAAATGTGTACCAGGCATACTTGTTGGGCTGTACTCCGTCGAACCGTTCCGTTCCGTGACCCGGGCCCACGAGCTTCTGACAGAGACGACGAAGGCGATTCCGCGGCTTGAAGATGAAGAGAGAAGTGTTGTAGTTGGGATGTCGCATCAAATACTCCCTCTGCGCCTTGCGCCGGGCGGCGGTAGAATTCACGGCTTGGCGAGCTAACTGCGCAGGATCGAGAGTGGCGATCGGCCCGCCAAATCGAACGTTGGAATAGAATGGGTTGGGTTCCCCGCCGAGGAACATCGAGGCCACTTTTTCCTGCACAGTAGCTAGAAACCCGTTGTTGGCTCTGCCTTTCACGCCGGGCTGCTGTGATTGTTTATCCCCTTGAGGCTCCTGGAGCTCGTCCAAAGCGTCGTCGAGAAATTCCCGCACGAATCCCTCCTTGAATAGCATGTCCACCACACCGGCACCCGTAGTCTGGTCGAGGGGATCCGCTCGATTCCGGGATCTGCCAAAACCAAAGACCTTGGATAAGGCTAGATTGGACGAACTGCCCAGCTCTCTGCGTTGCAGAAACGCCTTCACCTGCTCCAAGCGCTTCATGTCCTCGCCCACGTCAAAGTTTTCTTGGATGACAGCAATGAACATGTTGATGAGAATGAAGTAGGAGAGAATGAACCAGCCGATGAGGAAGATGGCGCCTATCCAGGCCGTATTGAGTTGGGTCGTGTACGATGTAACGCTGTAGAGAATATCGGTCCAGTTCTCGCTCGAGAGGACCTGGTACATGCCGAGGAACGAGTTGTAGATAGTGTTGAATGGAATCCTCAAGTATTCCCCGTCGTCGTCCGTTGCCGGTAGCTGGCCCCGGAACAGTTGTGAAGCGAAGATTGCCATCAAAAACGTAATGAGAAAGACAAACACCATAAGATTGCCGATACCCGTAACGTTCCCCAGCACCAGCTCGATGAGCTTGCTTGTCATGGGGATGGCTAGGACGACGCGGTAGACCCGGATGATTTGGAAGATGGTGAGCCAATTATACACCTGGCCCGAGTTTCGGATCGGCGGAATGAGAATAATGGTGGTGATCACGGCGAGCCCGAGGTCAATTAGATTACGCGGCTTGTGATGGAATCTCCGGATGTTAGAGAGAAACCGCAGGAGTATTTCGACATCGAGAAGGCTGGTGACAACAATCTCGGACGCGTTGATGAAATTTTCTCGGCTTTGTGACATAGTTGCGCTCCGTAATGACTGGCAAAAGAGGCCATACGTAATGACCAAGACCCAAACCCACGAGGTCTTGTCGAAGATTCGTTGTAGAGCCGACTTTCTCCGCGGGATCTTCTCCATATTTGTCTGAAAGAGAGACGGCTCGTCGTCGGCGGTGAAAGCACTGGCCTTGGATTCTTCTCTGATGACTTGGAAAGACGAGGTGATGACGGCGATCAACAAGTTGGTCATCCAGAGCATCATGATAATGATACCGGCCCCGAAGAAGAGGGCAGCCGGCAGAAAATCCGAGCTCACCGTGTAGTACATCAGATCAGAGAAAGTATTGGCGCTCATGATGACGAAGACCAGCTCGAGAGAATGCCCGATATCATCGAAGTTGACCGTACCGTTGAACGGATTGTCCTGCTGGAGACAAATGGATCCCCTCGGGCAGATGAAACCTTTGGCACTTTTGGCGCCGGGGATGAGGAACTCCGGAGACAAGTTCTTCGTTGGGGAGGAAACCCAAGGTTCGGTCTTGTTCGTCGTCGCGTTTAGATGACCGCCGCAAAACGACAGGTCTGGAGTGAAGGCGGCTGCAAAGTTCGTGGGATCCTCGGGGTTGATCCAGGTGCATTGGCGGCTAAGGCTGGACTTAAAGCTCTGGACCCCGATGATAGCGAAGAGAAGCCAGAAGAAGCCCATCAGAAACGAAACCCGAACGAGAAGTGGGGCAGACTTCTTAAGACTCCTGAGAATGATCTGTAACGGTGAGTTAGCAGGCAAAGGCGGGGTGAGTTGGGAAAAGCAAGAGCTGACTGACGAGATTGCCCTTCGTGAGAGCGAGCAGCCTAATGATGCGCAATGAGCTAAGCATACGAAAAACGTAAACATTGTGCTGGCTTTCCAAGCCAGTGACGCCGAGGACGAATGATATCCAAAAGGCAACAACGGCTACGAAGTCTAGCCTGTTGAAACCATGGCGGAGGAATGCCCTGCGGGCGAGGTGAAGCCGCTGCTGTTCTTTTAGCGAAACCTCACCTGGCATCCCATGCATCATTGTAAATGATCTTTGGAAGGCGGGCACGAACTGCTGCTCCTGCGGCGGCTGCCTGACTGATTTCTGGCGCTGTGGTTTGAAGATGGCGTGGTACTGCTCGGCCACCCTCTCTCTCAGTCTCCGCTTGCTTCCGACCGGGGCATACTCATCAGCGTTGATGATAAGGCCAGACACGATGATCCTGACAATGATTTCAAGAGTGAAAACGATGAATAGACCCAGGATGGCCCAGTCAATTCGGGTAGTGCCCCAATGCTTGGGTCTGCCATTCCCCTCGACGAAGACGTCAGGAGCTGCCTCAACCGCTAGCAGGATCGCCTGGGCAACAATCAAAACCAATATGAACGGCTCCGTCCATGGGCTGACCAAGACATCACAGAGCCGTTTCCGTATTGGGTTGTCGGGAGGGAATATGCCTAACGAGTTCCCTTTTAGTGGGTTCGGGAGCGGACCGTGCCGCCGGGGCATGGGGGCTGTTGGCTCAGGCTGGAAATAATCGGAACCGGGCCTTTTCTCGGTCGGCGTGGGGAACAATTGCGAGGGGTAGGAGGTATCAACAAGCATGGGTCCAGACACACGGGACGGATGACGCCCATCGGGGCTCGGCGAGCGCGACCGATCCCGCCGAGCTGCCTGATCGACTAGGTCACCCTCTCCGCTGATCATAACGACGCGTTGAGACATGGCTCTCATGATGGAGCTTGCTCTGGACAGAGCTCCGCTGGTTGACGGGGAACGAGACCGACGCCGGTCCATGGGCGCAAGATGATCCCCATAGCTACGGTGGCGATTAGACGCTAACCCTGGTTCCAAGTCGAAACCAAGCATCTGGGCGCTCCGGGCGCGGGAGGGTGTATTTCCCATATCAGATACGGTTTGGAAACTGTTCCGGGGCGACGGCTCGCCGTTTGGTGCATCTAGGCGGCCGATGGGTTGTGCTGCAGGCTTCAAGGGCACCGTGTCCGACTCGAGAGAATCCGTGTCGGCGCGCTCTTCAAAGTACGCATGGGGGGTTCGGTATGGGTCGTCGGCGGAGGTTATGTATTGCTCAAGCTGGGACCTAGGTTGTTGTGGATGTATATCGGGAGGGAGCGCAAACTGTAGAGCCATGCGGTCGATGGGCGACGCACCGCCACTGGCCCCGGCCCCGTCGTCTGCATGAGGATATGGGTGTTCCCAATATGACGAGAACCCAGGTAGGTTTGCCGACATGGCAATAGGCGACGGCGCATCCCCGGCTCCAAGGCGTGCTCCTGCCCCTGAGTGCTGTTGCCATGTCCCCTGGGCCGTCCCGCCGCTCCCGATGCCGCCCTGCAAACCCGCCCCATGGCCTCCATCAGCTTCCCCCGGGCGTTGAAGTTCACGGAGAGGGATTGATTGTGCGGGATCCGGCGAGAGACCGGAACTTGTTGTTCGGCGGGGCGTTTGCGGCGTGTTCTCGTTCATGTTGACGGATCAGACGGTACCCGAGCCGCCGTTGTCGGTTCGTTTTATGGGCAAATGCCAGCGCGCAATGCGCTAACACAGTCGCGGAGTGTGCCAACTAGGTCTCGAATCGGGCATTCTGCGCGTGGAGGGCAATGGCCTAGGTGGTGTAAATGGTAGGCAAAATCGGCTCGCTGCTGACTATACGAGCTGGGCGTGGCGGGTGGCGGGTGCGTGTTCGAATATGAGTTGTACCGTGGGGTGGATTTGTCGCAGAGCACCAAAGGCAACACAGGTAGCGGCAAATCGGGCCAAAAACAGCGATAGAAGGGGCGGAAAGGAGGTGATCGGTCTGGGGAAGGCCGGCCAAGTTGGTCGACAGCTGCGCCGCAAATATGGATCTGGAGTTTGTATGAATACGGGTGCGGCAGGCACGCAAAGGGAGCAACAGGGGGACCTTCAGCCCATCCAAAGAGGGAAAGCTGAGAGCACTGCCTACAGTGTCTTGGCGCACAGTGGGATACGTCCGCCTTGGGTTCCATTCGCCGCGGCAAATGCCTTTGGGGTTGGCCAGCCGATAGGGGTTGCTCAATCAGGGCCAATAAGGAACATACTGAAAGCTGTGTTTCTCGCTGCCAGGAAATTGACTTGTGGCTTTCTTGTCTTCACAACGGTGCGTGGTGCCTACTGAGGTTCCAGTTCCAGATCTCAAACGGCAAGGCTTCAGGTACACAGTATCGCCCCGCAACGGATCAACGGGCAAGCCCCACTCTCACATTTTTGAAACGCCTACGGCACCCGCACTCTGATCCGCAAGTCGTCATGCACGAAAGATGTCCAGGTCTTAATTACTTGAGGGCAGCAGGGGACGTTTCTGTCACGAGACCTAACAGCGGTACTCGGAATGTTTTGATAAGCCTGAAGAACAAACAACTGTGCCTAGCAAGCAGCATCGAAAATAAACATTTCGGCACGAATAACTCTGGATGATTGAAGGTAAATCTTAGCAGTCTCACGGAACCTGTGCATAGGACGAAGTTGGGTATGCATTTAAAGGAACAGTTGATACATTGGCCATAAAAGTCATTTATCGAGGCCACAGATAGTTAAGGGGGCGGAATCGTCCATGCGGGCCCGTCGCGTCTGGCCTGACCGCGCCGCGCCTTGAACTGGGCTTGGCAGGCGTCAAACCAACGCGATCTGTCAGTCGCTGCATCATCGTTCAAGATTCTCCCCACCAGAAACTTGTCTTGGGATAATTTCGCAACTTGTTGTCGTCGCCCATTATCGCACTATTTTTCGAGTGACACGGGATCTGCCATGAAGTATTTTTCTCTTTGGCGAATTCCTGCCAACACCTGAACCCCGAATCCCCAGTCAAACGAACCACTACGCCTAGCATTCGTCGCATTCCCGTATCAAGCTGAACACGACGCGCGAAACAACGAACTAAAGATGCCGCCAGCCCACAAGCGCTCCTTGCAGGAGCTCAGCTCTGCCAATGTGCAGGGCCAGGAACAGCCATCCATGTTGCATCGGATCAGGAACATGTGGCAGTTCGCCAACCTTTTCCAGTTCATCCAGCTCTTCGGCCAAGCCCTCAAACTCGATGATAGTCTCGACATTGAGGTACGTCGCCTCCTTTCCTGATTCTTTTGCGGCCACTATAGCCATGAAAATAATGGATTTACTAACAGGCTACGTGCGCTAGGATCTGGAAGCCGAATGCCTCAAACCCGGCGCCGGGGCGCTCCAAGATATCGGTCTTCGTCTTCTCAAGTTCCTCTCCTCGCACCGCGGCCTGACGTACGTACCGCCTCCCCGCCGATGCCACCGTTACCCCATTTACTAAGTGGTTTTTTCTGCTATGCAGTCACGAGTTATTCGACGAGTATACAAGAAGGCAATTTCTTAGCAAAGCCCCGGAGAAAAACCCATTTGGCTCTGCGGAGTTACCGACCAAGTTTGCTCACTTCGATGTGTTCACCAAGGTGTGCTGCGCCTACTACGAAACCCCTCCCCCCCTTCACGACTTTTGAACTAAGGAGGTGCCGCGCATAGATTCGAGTATTGCAGCAGATGACGCAGCTAGTCATGGTAAACCCGGAACGGCTACGTGAGAAAACCGAAGAGCAAAAGGACACCGACCAAACAAACTGGGCATGTCACCAAAGTCACTTGGCTACCTATGTTGAATCGCGGGCCCTGTACTAACTTTTCTGCAGCGAATCGAGCCCTACGGCTGGGATCGTCTCGATCGCACGTATTTCGTCCTCGACGACAATCGCTTATATCGCCAGACGGATGCCTCGCCGCCTCCCCCGAAACCTAAGAGCAACACGAAAAAAGCCAGGGCTGCACAACGGTCGAGCAAAAGGCGGCGTGTTTCGTCTGGGGCGGCAAGCGATGCTGATGATGCGCACGATGAGGCTTCCGACGCCGCCGAGCAGGTTGGACCGGTAGACGACGGTCTCGGGGGTATGAAATGGGAATGTATCGCTGTCACTCTTGATGAAGTCCGCGCATTTCTATCAACGATTCAGAAATCCAAGGACCCCAACGAGAAAACTCTGCGAGACCAGATTCAAGGCCACTTAGTACCCATCCTCGAGAAGCAGGAGGAATCTAGGAAAAGGAAACAGCTTCAGCGGGAAAAGGAGCTTCTCAACTTAGAAAAGATGGCCTATGCAAAAAGATCAAGCCGGATTGCCGGGAAAATGGAACAACAGAAGATGGAGGAGCGAAGTCGTGAAGAGGAGCGGAAGAAAATAATCGAGGAGCGTGCCGCTAAGAAGGAAGAGCAGCAACGGCTAAAAATGGAGCGCGAGAGGGATAATCGGCTGATGTCGAGAGAACAACGACTCAAGGAACGGGAGGATCGCCGTCGGCTCCACGAGGAGGAGCTTGCTCAACTGTCTGAAGACAGCAAGCAGGCGAGCAATGCCGCCGCCCGCATGTCAGAGCGACGACGATTGGCGGAGATCGAGAGGAACAAGAAGGCTCTACGGGAGCTCGAAGAGGAAGAGGATGATTGGATTTTCGATTGCGTTTGCGGGGTATACGGCCAGATTGACGATGGGACACACAGCGTGGCATGCGAGAAGTGCAACACCTGGCAACATAGCAAATGCCTGGGTATCGACGAACAGGAAGCTGATCAGGAGGATTTCCACTTCGTCTGCAGCTCCTGCCGCCGACGAGAGAACACGGCAGATGATCCACGGGTCAAGGTGATCAAGCTCAAGGTCAATCGTCATGAGGAGCCGGGATCTTCTACCGGCGAGCACCTAGTTGAGGAAAGTACAGGGCCATCTCAACAGCCCCCAGCGCAATTGGTCGTCGAGCTTCAGTCCCGGCCATTAGCAAAATCGTCCAGCGGCCCCGAGCCATTGCCATTGCCGTCGCCTGCACCAGCGCTTCAAGCAACACAGCTTCCCGTCTCGGATCTGCCTGAACAGAGAGTAAACAGCAATCCAGCGACCGATACCGCATCTGGCCCTGATCAAACCCAGCGATCACCAGTCAGTCAAGGGAACAACCCCTTCTCGTCACCGCATCCGAGTCTTTTGCCACCAGGCCGACAGCCGGTCAAATTCGATGCTCCCAATCTACCTCTCGGCAATGCCGCGACCCTCCCAGCTAACGATGACGATACGAAGACGGGATCGGTTGCTAAAATGGTTGTGTTGGATAGCGTTCTTTCATCGCTGGCCGGAAGCGGGAATGGCGGCTCATCGCCATCAAAGCAACCACATCGTCCCCCTTCCCCGCCAACAAAGACATCCGCGCCTACTCCCGCGGCCTCGAACGTGCTGGCTTCCTCATTTTCTACGGAGAATACTAGCAGCATGACATCTGCATCGTCGATAAGTTTGCCACACCTCACCCCGGCTCAGACCCGTGATGCCAGATCCGATCCTGTCGTGTCCGGCTCCTCGCCACTGCCGCCCTTTAGCGGCGGCTTGTCTCCTACGAAGCACTCACCCCCCGCACCCAAACGCCAACAACCCGTCAATGGAGGGGCTGGCGCCGCCGCGAGTCACCCCCCTTCAGCCGTGTTCCCGCCTGTGGCGGCCCTCTCCCCCTCCCCGCGACAACAGGTATTGACGCCTCCGGTAAAGCCTGCGGAGCCGGTCAGAGTTCCCCTTCTGCAACCACCGCAAGGCACACAGACAACCAAACTTGTCCCATCCAACTCCCCGCGACCGGATGCCCATTCAAGCTGATCCCAGCAGCGGGAGGCCAGATGGTTAGTCAAGCTAAATGGGATTGAGGCCCTTGGCTTTAGGGAGTTTAGGGTATATTGGTAGGCAGGCATGTACATGTAGCTATTGTAATATACGGAAACAGGGGCTTGCTCTGGTTTTGGAGCACATCTTGCTTCGCGGGCGCGACGTGGGTGGATGGGGTAATCATAGCATGCAAATCATAGACGGTAGAAAGCGCTGCTAAATTGATACGGAGAGCGATTCAACGTCGCCAGGCAAGCTCGCTGGAGTGCATGCATCCAACTGCAACCGCCCACACAGGCATCTAGCGGTGTATCCATCAAAACCGCCGTTCGATGTGTCCGAGAGCCCATCTCGTCCCTCGCCGGAAACCCGCAACGAACCTAACAGCCAACAGATCCGTTGTGCCTAAACAAGAGATGCAGTCCTCCACGAGCAAACCACACCGAATCTGCAAGGAGTAAGGAGGAACTAATCACCAACACCGCAACGGCACAGTCACTCACCAACGACAAGTGCTTCCAGAAGTTGCATCTAGCCATCTGCAGATTACGTGGCGGCGTTCGTCCCCAAGCGAAAGGAGCTGGGATGAGGCGTTTGGGTAGCGTCTCGAACAGAAAATGACAAGTGAGATGTCACCGCTGGCCGCACCCGCACTCCAAGGGCCGACAGGTACATGAACAGTTGGCCTGGGCTTTTTTGAGACATGAGATCGGACTCAGCACATGGCCCGGCACGCAGCGGGAGATGCAAAACAGAAGCATCCAGGTGCCAGCGGAATGGACTGGGGAGATTATTATTGGGCTCGCAAGCCGGGAAGTCGCAGATTCCAGATAGGCAAGGCAGGTAGACCGCCAGGTACGCAACACCGCCATCTCCCTAAACAACGGCCAGAACTGGTCACCGTCGGGTAGGTGAAATGAGCGCGCGCCACACCCGGTCACCTCCCCAACGACTCCTTCTTTGGGCCCGATTGTTGCTTGTCAGCACAGCCGTCCCTTTTTTTGAACCGTGGAAGAAACCCGCGATCCTTTGGTTGTTTTGAACTTCTCTTGCTGTAGCAAACATGCCCAAAGTAGCAAGCCTGGTCCAGAGCACGCCACTCAGCCGCAAGGGAGAAAATAGAAGCTCAAGGGTACCTATTGTGGCCCAGATCTAGTACCCCCGACCCTGGATTCTCAAATGCGCAGCTGCAAAGAGCTACGAGCAATCGGACCCATTGGTCTCCCCTGTCTTTCTGTGCGACTGATGTTCAAACACTAGCAGGCTAATGCAGCTACCCGTTACGGCTTGCATGGTAGACGGCCAACAAGACGCGTGCTACAACGAACCATGCATGCACGATACGGCTTAGGCAAGGATAACATACCTAGGGCGTGGTAAGAAGAGCAACCGGACGTTCAGAACCCTCACAGGCAAACCTGCCTCTGCGGCGGTCGGGTCCTGTTCCCATCCCTCCCACATGTGGAGTTGCCCCCCAGTCACGGGTGCAGGGCGGGAAGGCTTTCGGAAGGGGCGACGGTCAAAGGCCCGTTGGAGTTGCTGGTCAAAGAAAGATGGAAGCCGCTTCGGTAGGTGCCGGGGTTTTAGCGATGGCGAAGAGCAAGAAAACCGTTTCCGGGATGTACCCGCCCACATTCCAATGAGCCTCGGGTACCTCGCACAATCAGCCTTGCATTGCTCTCGTGGCCTTGTGTGACCCGCAGAGAAACTCAACGAGTCCCCGTTGCTCATCCGATGGAAGGGGTTGGTTCGGTACTCCGCGTGAACATGTGGAGCACTAACCTGATAGAGCGTGGCACATGGGGGTGCTGTAGGTACCATATTTGGAGGGGGACTGTTGCAGAAGGGGCTCAACTGGCCGCTGGGTCGGGGTTAAACATTTCTTTCGTCCCCAGTACCTACACGGCTTGCCGCCTCCGGCGCCGTAGGGCCCACGCAACAACTTCGGGTCTCCTAAGCCGACCGAACACGGACGGATTGCCAACAAGCGGTAGAGGGTGGATTCTCCGGGACCGCCATCCAGACTCTGGCTTTGCACTGCTGACCCGGCTGGCTTCCGAATGCGTCAACCCACTGGGGCTGCACACCAGATCGCAACAGCTTTGCCCAGCGGCGGGGCTGTAATAAAGAGAATACAAATACAAGGCCGGCCCCCTTTCCCTTTTTTCCCCGGGGCCTCTTGAACCTTTGCCTGAGACAAAGCCCATCTGCCACGTTCATTGAGGCGGTAAAGAAGAGAAGCCATCAACCGCCTGCCAACCTAGCGTCCCATACCCTGTCGCCGAAGGGCACATAACAAAGAAAAGAAGCTTCGCTGTCGTCTCTGGAAAGGCAACGCCGATTTCGCGGAAGACTGGGCTGCATAGCAAAGTCCACGAAAGAGATAACCTAAGGAAAACACACCGCTCGCTGGTCGGAGTGAGGTTGAAGAGATCCTATCCAGAAGACGTGGTCCGCATCGCAAAGATTCGACGTACCTGCTGGAGTCTAAGGATTGATTCCTTGAAAAGGGTCCGTACCATCACCCATCACATTTTTGTACACCCTTCGCCACCCCGAGCCCTCCTGACACCGCTAGATGCACAGTCCTCAGCCAGGCGATACCCATCCACTCGTCCACCCCAAGCACTGCTGCAAGAGCTGGTCTCGCCAATCCTTACCCGATTGTCTCCGCCAGCCTCAGCTTCCACTCGACCAGCCGGTTCGCGATTCAACACTATTGTACCAACGCATGCCATTTCTGCTATAAGCAGAGCATTACCTGCCCCAAACGCCAAGGATCGAAAGAGACACCCCGCCAGCGTCACCTAGCGCTGAGCCTAGAAAGCACTCGAGGAGCAAGCTCCCATTCCAAACGTCGCAGCGCCCCATTCGCGGAACCTGGAATCATCAACTTTGCGTCCTTGCGACTTCGCCCAGACCGTTTCAAGAACCAAACTAGCAAATCCGCCATGGACCGGCACACGCCGCCGTCCCCGGCACCAACCAGAGTAGACCCGCTCCCCTCGGGATTCAACGAGCTGCTACAACACAACGCATCGTATTCCCACGAGGCCATTTCCGCCGACCCCATCCAGGCACACTCGCAACCAGGTTCGAGGTACGGTACACCCGGGCCACAGGCGCATCACCCACACGGGATTGACACATCGATGTATCAACAACGCGGAGCTGTTGGCGAGCTGGTAAGAAAAAATGTATCGCCGATCGTGCAAATTCACAAGACTAACGCAGTCGTTGCAGGTATATCACCAGCAGACGATGTACTCGCAAGATAACAGTTCCTATGGGCCGATTCCCGAGGTGAGTGGCCAGACTACTGGCCGGATAAGGAACAGAGATACTAACATGGCTTGTCCTTCCCAGCCGTATAGCACTCCAGCAACTTCACCGCCAACGCCGTCGCGGGGGTCAGACGTCATTTCCACTCGAAGCAGCGCCCGCGGAGATGGTGGCGCAAGGGCCCTGGGCCCCCGAAGCACACGCATCGAGAAGTCGACACCGAAGAAGAAGAAAGACCGGGCCAAGGCACCAAAGAATATGCCGGTAATCGATAGGCCCATGAGCGAGCTGACCAGAGGTTCCTCGATCGCGATTGCCGATATCGAGACGTATGTGCATCGGTCATCCGAGGTACGGCGGCAGGAGATCGAGACAGGCAAGAACCCCGGCCGGATTAAGAGACCGATGAATGCCTTCATGCTGTACCGGAAGGCGTACCAACAACGAGCCAAGGAGTGGGCATCCCAGCACAACCACCAGATCGTGTCCCGGGTGTGCGGCATGAGTTGGCCCCTTGAACCGGAGCACATCCGGCTGCAGTTCAAGGCGTGGGCCGACACCGAGCGCGACAACCACCAGAAGGCCCATCCCAACTACAAGTTCACCCCGGCGAAGCCACAAAAACCATCTAAGTACGAAGGAGGTTATGACGAGCGCAGCGACGGGTCAGACTTGGAGGACTATAACTGGGTTGGCAGGGGTGGTTCTCGGATTCGGTCGGCGACACACACGCCCGGCGCCGATAGCGATTACATACCGAGCCGCTCAGTGTACGTGGCAACCCATCCGCACCCGAACCAGCTCAGGGGGCTGCACCCCATGGGCATGATGCACCAGACCCGGTCGACCGCCCTCGACTTCCACTCGGGGAAGCCATTGCCAGGTCCATATGAGTACCGTGGTTTCCAGGCGCAGTACTTTGAGCCGCACATGCGGAATCAGCAGAGGCACTTGCACCATGGCGCCGACGACGTCGCTATGCACAGCACACCATCGCCTAGCTCGGTATTCCAGCAGTCGCACTACGACCTCAGCCAGCAATACCACCCAAAGGTTGAACAACAGCAGATCCAGCACCAGTCGCAGTCTCATCAACACCAGCAGCACCATCAATTCGAACACCGGATAGACCCATCGCTGGTTCCGCAAGACGACGGCCTGTTTGACCCAGGCAGTTTCAACACCGTCCCGAGCATGTTCGACGGTAGCCTTAGTGCGACGCAGCAAACCTGGCACACGTCGCAGTCGGCGGCGGCTGGCGAGGGCGAAAGCCAGTTCTCGAACGCCCTCATGGGCCTCGATGATCCCCTCTCCTTCGAGCAGCAGGCCCAATATATGGGAGGCGAGTGGCAGGTTGAGCCTCTCACGGAGACTGCACACTTCGACACGAACTGGGTGGACCCGAAGACAGAGCCCTGAGGGTTGTCTCGTGTGAGAAAAGAAGGAAGGGAAGCAATGAGGGATGAAACCAACCAAGAAGCGGTCGAATTCTGGAATGAAAGAGATAAAAAGAGAAAATAGTACGGGTTCAAACAATATTGTAAATGCCTCACCTCGAGGGTCCATGGCCGGGAGCGTTGGCGTTGGGATGGATGGGACCTGGAGTTTGGGAGATCCGGCCGGTTTCTGGACAAGAGCATCTTTTTGGGGTGAGGGGACAGAAAGGGTGTTTGGATTTTGTGATAAAACACACAGAAACTTAGCTTCGCGTCCATATCAGATGACATTAACCTATTGCTTTCATCTGACCTCCTGCCTTGCGTGTCACGGCCGTTTTGTTGCACTCAATTGCTCCTGGCCTCGAGGTCATTAGACAAAGCCATTGTGCAATGAAGCCAACCAATGCAACGAAAATCACCTAGGTACCGCATGTTCGCAAGCGGCCTTTGGTCATAAGAACTCGAAGGCTGATAAGGGAGATTTCGCTCACCGACTTTCAGCGGCGCGCAAAGACGATAGAGAAAGGGGAGAATACGTCGAGAAACTTCGTGGTTGATGGCGACAAGAACGAGATCGTTCGCTGCAAGGACGCCGCCAGGCTAGAGGAGCCACGGGCTACCTACTTGGGGGAATGTTCCGTAGGGCTTACACGGATAATTTAAGTCATTTGGCTGCGGTTTAACTAGCAGGACGAAGCTTATACGGTAAGCGAGGTATACCATGGTTATATGCATAATCACCAAGGGTCGACCAGTTCCACAACACCTCCCCAATTCAGCGTCATCAGGAGCTTCGACGCATCTCAACCACAAGTACAAAGGCCATCCGACGCGGCAATGACACTACTTTCGAAAACCATTACGGCCTTTGGCAGCCTTCTTCTGGCTCACGCGTAGGATTTTCCGATTTCCGTTCAAACCCATTTCTCTAACCCACCTCCAGCTGCTACTCGGCGCGAGAACACACCGCACTCCAGTCACTCCGAACCGCTACTGCCGCTACGTTAACTTCGTCCACGACAGTAGCTACCTCGCTCCCCGTGGACATAATAATCGAAACGATCATCTCAACTTTCATCATCCTTCTTGGGCTGGTTCTAGGAACGCGCCCGCTGCGGCCGCTTGAATGGCGCGTCTGGGCCGGGAAGATCGAACGGGAAGGCGAGGAGGGCTTTACCGACAACGCTGGCGCGGTAGACAAGGATTATATGGGCAATCCATTCAGTGTTTTTGAGTCGCGACCAAACTTCGTGGATATCCGGAAGCAGCGCAAAGAGTTTGCCGCATGGGTTCAAAATGGCGGTGCTCGGCAAGGGCAGTGATACACCAGATTACGGAATTTAAGACTGGTTCTTTCTTCAGCAATCCATGGAATTATGCGGCTTCCACACGAACTTACAGTTTCCAATCTCCTAGATTGCTTCAGCTCTCGTCGCCACAGCCGGCTTATGCGCATTGGGAGGTTGCCCGATATTCCCAACCCGATCGCGCCTTCCGAATTTACTTCCAAATTTCTCGTCTCACTTTGCCCACCAGCGCAGAGATCGGAGTCAATGCATTGGCAAACCAACTTGTGAAATCCTCAGAATCCTAAACCCTCCCTGGGATATATCTATCTAGCCCAATTACTCCTTCAGGTTTCCACTATACTGCCGTTAACCGAGCATCTAGCACACGCAAAGCTTGATTTTCGCAGCTTGATTACTGTCAGTTAAAACCCTGGACCAGCCTGACGAGTTGCCGACGAACATGCCGGCCACTGGCAGTGCTCGCAGCGTCTACTCGATCGCTTCCCATCTACTCTCTCCCCGAAGTCTTGACTCGTCCTCATCCCCTGCTCAATCGCGCTCACAATCTGTCTCATCATCCCGCTCGGGCACGCCGCTGCCGCCTTTGGACCGACCGTCTCCGTCTTTTTACCCAAATTCTCGCCACTCGGAACATGCTCTCCATCGTCTATCAACAGCTTCCCGCTATCCGTCAAATCGCCGCAAGAGATCCGGTTCAAAAAAAGGCGTGACCCGTAACCGCGCCTTTTCCAACCGCTTGAGCTCTCCATCAACTGCCTCGGCGTGTCCAAAAGACGGATATGGAGATTCAAGCGTCGCTTCTACCCCTTCTGATCTCTCGCGGACCCCCTATGTATCATTATCGCCCGAAACGCGGGGCAACGGGATCCGAGGAGGATCAAGGCAGCCGCTTCCGGAAACTAGATCTCGATATAATCAGGGACACTCCTCCCGCCTCCTACGCCTGGCCGTGCCGGGGGGTGCGATGGTTCCAGAGATGCACCCTGACACGGCAGCTTATGAACGGCACAACAGAGATTACGACCAAGACACATTGAGTGAAGTCATCATGGCCATTGACGTGGATAACGACGGGAAGGTTGGCTGTGCTTACTATATCGCCATGGATGAAGCATTGGTGCTCGAAGAGGACATCTCAATGGGAGGGGTTGAAGCTGTCGACACGCTTCTGCTTCAAGTTCAACCGACCTCAGTCATCATACCGAACAGAGCACCCGGTGACCTGATTGAACTGCTTGAGAGGGATGCGCACCGCTTTGACGACAACGAGAGTTCATGCAGCGGGCAAGGGGCATACGTCCTGCGACACATCGTCTCCGCCCATTTCGACTATGAAGCTGGAAAGGAAGCGTTGGCGAAAGTCGACCAGGCGCCGTCAAAACCTGACCCGATAAACGTCCTGGTGTTGGGCGAGGAGCCCGTGCAGTCCATTGGCTCCTCCATTCACAACAAGCTCATGCGCCTTGCCGAGAAGATTGATCTCGAGAGCTGCCTGTCAATCGGGTGCGCGGGGGCAGTCCTAATCGATCTTGAACGGCGAAGGACGACCGAGAACTCATCTTTCGAAGAAGAGGAAAGCAGGACGTTCCAGTTCTTGGTGAAATCTATCGAGATGAACACATCTACAGATACGATGCTCGTGAACGGAGACTCGTTGATATCCCTCCAGATCCTTCAATCAGAACTGCATCCTAACCCACAAACACGTTCCTCAAACAGTTCCGAGCCTAAAGCCAAGGAAGCCCTTTCCATCACTGGGCTTCTTCAAGCATTGGCCTCTAGCGCGCAGGGCAAAAAGAGACTCCGGCAAATACTGCTTCGACCAAGCACTGATATCGGGCTGATCCAGGAACGACAGAGGAGTATTGAGACTCTTTTGCATGCCGAGAACAGGGAGGTTGCGAGGAACATGCGACGGCTGCTCAGGAAACTGAAAAACACCAAAACACTGCTTCTCCATGTTAGGAAGGGCGTGGACCGGATCCGGGGCCAGCTGTCCATTCGCGTTGGAGACTGGAAGGCTTTGCTGAGGTTCGCAATGGTCTCTGCCCAGTTGAAACGGTCAATTCACACATTGAAGGGGGCTTCGGGTATCGATGTATTTGACAGGGTACGTGTTCTTTCTATGGGCTCTATTTAACCATCAAGCTTGTTAACCCATACAGATACGCGCCGAAGTCGACGTGAATCGCTTCCTGCATGTCGGTGATATTATCATTCGAACCATCGACTTCCAGCTCTCCAAGGAGAGTGGCCACACGGAGATTCTTCCAGGGGCAAGCGATTACCTAGATGGACTCAGGCGAGAGTTTGCAAATGTTTGCCATATGCTCCCTGAACTAAAGCGGTCTGTGGTGGAAGAGGTTCCGGCGGAAGCTGGCCAATTCATGCTCCATTGCACAATCATGCCGCAGCTGGGGTTCCTAATCGCGGTCAGGCTTGACCCCGGCACCGGAGAAGGGGTGTACCATGGCCAAGGTCACCCCGAGGGTGAGTGGTTGATGTGTTTTGTAAGTGGCGATATGGCATACTATAAGAATCAGCTCATGCTGGACCTCGACTCCCAGTATGGCGATCTGCCCTCTCGCATTGCGGGTAAGTTTAAGCCATAGCCTGGGAAATGGTTTGCAACTAACATTACTCCTAGATGAGGAAATTGAGGTAATGATGGCGCTTTCCGCAGCTGTTTTAGAACATGAAGAGGCGATCCTCGGCGCGTCTGAACTTTTCGGAGAGCTGGACAGCATGCTTGCGCTCGCCTTAGCCGCAGAAAAGTACAACTGGTCAGCTCCTACAATGACGCCCTTGAACGTGATCGACATTGTGGAGGGGCGCCACCCACTCCAGGAGCTACTTGTGCCATCGTATATTCCCAACGACACTACAATGGCCGGAGGTGACGGCACAGGCTGCTCGGAAGGAGTCAAGAGGCCAGCCCCATCTATGCTCATACTGACCGGGCCAAATAACTCAGGCAAGAGCGTCTATATGAGACAAGTTGCACTCATCGTCTACCTCGCACATACTGGTAGCTACGTTCCGGCCACTCGTGCAACGATCGGGATTACCGACCGGATTCTTACTCGCATTGCCACGAGAGAGACGGTCGTTAGTGATGAGAGCGCCTTCTTAGTGGATCTGAAGCAAGCAGCGTTTTCAATGAACTTTGCAACACGCCGGAGTTTGCTTCTGATTGACGAATTCGGCAAAGGCACAACAGCGGAGAGCGGATCAGCTCTCTTTACAGCTTACCTCACATATCTTCTGGATCTGGGTGTAGAGCGTCCCAAGGTGATCGGCGGGACCCATTTTCACGAGGTTTTCGAAAATGGCCTGCTTCGACCCGGAAAAGATGTCGCCTTTGCTCATATGGATGTTCACCTCGACCCAGAAGCCGAGGACCCGGATGAACAAATCACTTTCCTCTATCGCCTGCTGCCTGGGCGGGGCACGTCAAGCCTGGGCGTATTATGTGCGGCAACAAATGATGTCCCCAGCGCCGTCATCAGCAGGGCCAAAGCCGTTGTGGCCCTGCAGGACAGAAATGAGAACTTGGTGGAGGCCTGCTCTGGTTTGTCCGAAGAGGATAAACAACGGCTGGAAGAAGCTGAACTCATTGCAAGGAGATTCTTGGAGTTGCAAGTCCCGAATTCGGGCCGTGGGCAAGGCAATGGGGCAATGGTTCGGGACATGTTGCAAGCGATGCTAACGCCAGGAGGGGTAGAAACGCCGCGTTCATGATGGCTTCTAGGGTCGCTGATAGGAAGCACACACAAAATTGACCGATGACAGGGTTGTGTTGATATGTCGTTGCTGTGTCGGAAACGGAGGCCGTTCATGACGTCCATCGTCTCCTCTCCCTACTAGTGACTAAACATTCTTTATTCGCCGGCGATCACCGACGGGGGGTATCAGAACGAGGAACAAGAAAAACAGGGCATATTCGTACATGGCCGTGGCTTCTCTCCAAAGCCGCGGGGCAAACCATAACCTCCTCATCACAGTGCATCGTACACATCCATCATTACCCCATTAAGCCCCTGACAAGGATGTCCTTCATCTCACCAATGCAATCACTCCAAGGTTAGGAGAGCAACAACCACGGGCAACCCGAGCAACGCAAGGAACGGCTGAATGGCTGATCCAGCGGAGTCGCCGGTAGAGCTGAACGGATCGCCACCACCACCACCACCACTAGAGTCAGAGTTGTCAGACGCGGGTGACTCGGATGGTGTGGCGGAGCTCTGGGTGCCAGGATTCGGCACCACGGCCGGTGTCACGGCGGTGGTGGTTGGCTTCGACTCTCCAGCTTGCCTGTCCACGGTCGAGGTGCTTGCAGGGCTGTCGTTCTCTGTCGTCGTCGAGGACAGCGGCACCTCTGCCGTGGTGGGGTCCGTCTTCTTGGTTGGCTTGGGCGTGGGCGTCACCTCGACGGGCGTGCTCTTGACCGTCGTGGAGGCGGGTAGCTTGCCGATGTAGCTGGTGGCGAGGCTTGCGGCGGCCCTGAGCTTGGAGCGGGGGATGTCGCGGCCGCTGTCCTCGCAGCCTTCCTCGATCGGGTCCAGGAAGGCGTCGTCGAAGTTGCGGAGATCGTCCTTGCAGTTGAAGAACAAGCATGAGATGACCGAGTCGAGCAGGATTTCCCGGGCTTCCTTGCACATGCACCGCGCGCTGTCTGATGGACAACCGGAAGAAGTGACACAGTTGTCGGCGCACAGTGAAAAATCGAACCTCGCCTGTGCCTGTGAGAAGAGCAGGGCTGCGCCGACGAGGGCGAGCCGGATGTAGCTGGCGAGAACCATGGCTGTAGGATGCGAGGTCGCTGGTGGTGAGAGTGTTGACTAGCCGGCGAGCCTCAGGTGTTGTTAGAGAACACCCGGTGATGAGCGATCTCGTGGGGATGACGACCGTGAGGGAGGGACGGGATGGAAGGGGGAGACGCGAGGCACAGCATGATCGGGGAACATTGCAAAAATAGGCCGCAGCCGTCTCCTTTCATCTTCTCGCGTTTCCCAAGTCACAACCTCGCGTGGTGCCGATGTTGCCGTTGATCATCGATGAACCCTTGCCATTGGGGAAAAGTCTCCAACGCTGCGAGACTGAAACACCACCGACAGGGGTCGAGGCACAACTGCCAGGTCCTTAATCAATTTGCGAGCCTTGGCCAATGGACAGCTTGGCTTGCCTGGGAAGCATCTTGTCAAAAGAGTGGTCTGAGGCGCAGAAAGGGCGGCCTGAATGGGAGCTACACAGCAATTCCTTCGATTATTTGCGAGGAATCAAGTCGTGGGTCTATGGATGGTATCCCTTACGCATGTATTGCCCGTCTCTGAGGTTCGTTTTCTGGATGGACGTTTGCATGAACACAGCACGATCTTTCAAACAGCGAAACCTTAAATGGACTCCCTGCTTGGTGCGAATAGCGCTGAGCACAAGTCGTTTTGTCCCTCACGAAGTAGACTCTTGAAAATAATTACATTCATACACTATCATATTTTTCCTTCTGTTTGCCCACAGTTCTTAGCAAGTGAGAGAAACCCCTCCAATCTACGAAGCAGCTTGTCTTTCAATCATTGCCAGAGAAGCTTGACCCTGGCTTCCGGCACCCCGGCACAGCAACTCATGCCGATCCATTACAAGCCCCACCAAGCAGGTTTCCGTGGGGTAAGTGACCGAGCGATAAGCCCGACATGCCCACGATAAGGACCAAATTTCCAAGCGGGTGGACTTGACATTGAGAGTGGTGGGACAGTCGCATACTCAACCAGTAGTCCCAATCTCGAACCAAGTCGGCCCCAACAAGATGGCACCGACAAAACCCAAAAAGAAATCGGCCAAAGACAAGGCGAGGGACCGAGCCCGAGCCAAGGCAGCCGCGACACAACCCGCAAATGTCAACACAAGAGAGCTCCTCAACCAAGCAACCGCCTCTCTCGAAGAAGGCGACCCCGAGACCGCAGCAAGGATAGCGCTGGTGGCTTACGAGCACATTGGAGAAAGCGGGAGGCAAGCCGGTGCGGCCCTGTCGCTTCTTGGTCAGATTCATGTCGAACTGGGCGAGGTTGACACCGCGCGCGCATTCTTCGCTGCCGCCGTCAAAGTCGACGAGGACGGCTCCCTTCCAGAAGACATTGGCGGCGGGCCCGAGAAGTTTTTGTGGCTAGCGCAACTCAGCGATGACGGCGGCCAAGACAGTGTCTCGTGGTTTGAGCGCGGAGCTGCCGCTTTGCGCTCCCAGATCCAGACGCTCACCGAGTCGCTCGAATCGCGGCCCTTGACGCGCGATGCACAGGAAGCGGTCATAGCGGAGAAGCGGAAACGGCTTGCCGAGACACTCTGCGCCGTGGTGGAAGTCTACATGACGGATCTCAGCTGGGAAGAGGACGCCGAACAGAGGTGCGAGACTCTCATCACCGAGGCGACCATGCTCGCCCCCGAATCGGCCGAGACCTGGCAGACCGTCGCCAATGTTCGCATCTCACAGACGAGAGTGGAGGAGGCACAAGAGGCTCTGAAGCGGGGGTTGGGATTGTGGAGCGATCTTGCGCCCGAGGACCCTGCCGTACCGCCCTTCCCCTCACGAGTCAGCCTTGTCAGACTCTTGATCGAAGTCGATATGGAGAAGGAAGCAACAGAAGTCACCGAGCGTCTGATAGCCGAAGACGACCGGAGCGTGGAGGTGCTCTACCTTGGGGGGTACGCAAAGTATATCTCGGGCGAGAAACTAATGGCCCAGGGGCAATCTTCAGACGCTGAGGCCGGGAAAGCCTTTTGGCGGTCATCAAGGAAATGGCTTACGCAGTGCCTAAAAGTTTTTAAACAGGAGGAGTATGAAGACGAGAGGCTAGGAGAGCACGCTCAAGATCTTCTCAATTCTATCAAGAAGGAACTCGGCGAAGTGGCCGAAGATGGCGAGGATGGCGATGCATGGGAGGATACTGACGAGGAGGAGTGGGAGGGTCTGGATGACGACGAGGATACAGAAATGAAATGATGCGTTCCGGTTCCCTTCTTGCATGTCGAGGGTCTAGTTGATGGGAAACGGTTATTTATGTCCGCCGAATCTGCGGTGTGTCCAGGCGTTGGGATGGAAGATTCTTGTTGGTGTCTTAAAAGCATAAGCAGCGGGTGTCAAAATACGTTCGCTGGTCGTGACATATTGCATGGCTAGAACCTGTCGTTGGTGAACCTACCCAAGTCCCCTTTCCCGGTCAGCCTTCTAAATACGGCAAGCAAACTTAATTGTCACCAACTTTGAGTTTCTGTACATCTTCCGTCGGCACACCATCCTCGTCGTTTTCTTCCTGACCAGCTGTGGCAAGACCCCGCTCCCACAGTTGCTTCCCTGTGAGCTTCGCCGGCTCCTTTATCCTAGCTTTCTTCAGTTCTGCTGCCCGTTCTTCCTCCTCTCGGATCCGGTTCTCCTCCATTTCCTTCAGAAAGCCCTCCCTCCAACTTAGGAACGTTTCGCGATTGACCGGAGTGCCGTGGAACTTCTTGTTTTCCTCCCGTTCAGCCGCGAGGGCAGCTTCTTCTTGCACCTTCGCGGCGGCTGCTTTACGCTCCTCCACCAATTGCTCGGCAGCTTCCTTAACGGCCGAAACCAAGGTAAATACCATGGCCATACCAAGGTTTTCCTCGATCACCTCTTCCAGCCCCCGTAGCAACTGATCCTTGTCCTCGGCGATGTTTATGTATTCATGGGGGATTGAGTTTTGAGGCGCGGCCAGCTCCAACAGAGGCGCTTTATCTGGGTAATCTTCCGGATAGCGCACTGTGAGTAGGATGACTGGTGGTTCGGATTCATCGTCGAGGAGATCAAGGGTGATTGATATCCGGTACTCTGTCTCTGATATATCTGCAACCAAAAAGTTGGTAAGCCCCTCATTACCACCAATTGTCTTGCGAACTGTCGGTCATACCTGTGATTTCGTCTGGAAAAATGGAGTCTAGAACTTCCCGTTCCTCGGTCTGTTCCTCGCGCCCCATCGTGAGGTTGGTTGGGAAATAGAAGTACCCGTTATCAAGTTTGGACTAACTTGCAGTTCTCGAGGAAGCTTTACGGCCAAAGCGAGGGAGGGGCAGCCAAGCCCGGGGAGAGTTTTGGTGGGGTTGGCATCAACCCGGCTCCTGCACGCCTCACCGCCCTGGCAGAAGCAGGGGTACACTGCAGCGCTCCAGAAAAAAAATCAGAGCGATCGAGATAGTGAAGCCGTTCCTAGCCCGTGGATTTGCGACGTCTTGTTCTGGAGCATCTCTGGAAAATTCCCACCATGGCCCCCAAACACTCAGCATCTGCCGCCTCGGCGAAAAGAAAGTCATTCTCGAGCGATAAACACAATGACGGAAGCCGGGCCAAAAAGGCAAAGACAGCAACCGCGCCCAAGCGCCAGAAAATCGACGAGGATGAGGACATGGCTTCGGACAGCGATGGCAGCGGGTTTTCTGACTCGGATGATGGCGGCGCCGAATTGAGCGATCCTAAGCCGTCCCGGGAAGCGGCGAAAGCCAAAGAGAACGGACGAGCCTTTGCGCAACAGAATGGGGCTGAACGAAGTTTGTTTCTCCATCTCTCATCCGCTTGATCCTTGTTCTAACGCCTTTCCAGCCCAAACCTCCCGCGAAGCGCACGCAAAACAAAAACAATTGGCACAAGAACGCAAGGCCGCGAAGCCATTGGCGGACGAGGTGCACCGGACGAAGAAGCTGTGGGAAAAACTGCGCCGGAAGTCGCATGTGCCCAAGGAGGAGCGTCAACAGCTCGTGGATGAACTGTACAGCATCATCACTGGGCGCATTAAGGAGTTTGTACTTAAACATGACGCTGTCCGCGCCGTCCAGACCGCCATAAAGTACTCGACCCCGACCCAGCGGAAGCAGATCGCCAAGGAGCTCCAGGGCACCTACGCCCAGCTTGCCGAAAGCAGATACGCCAAGTTTCTAATTGGGAAGCTTCTTGTTCAGAATGACAACGAGATTAGAGACATCATCGTCCCCGAGTTCTACGGCAAGGTACGAAAGCTCATCAACCATGCCGAGGCGTCCTGGATTTTGGACGACATCTATCGCGGAGTAGCAACGAAGGAGCAGAAGGCCCACATGCTACGAGAATGGTACGGGCCTGAGTTCTCCTTGTTCAAGCTCGACAAGGGCGTCGAGTTAACGGCAGATCTCCGCAAAATCCTCGCCGACGAGCCCAGCAAGCGAGGCCCCGTCATGAAGTATCTCTTTGACATGACCAACGGCCTCATTCAGAAGAAAATGACGGGCTTCACGATGCTCCACGACGCGATGTTACAGTATTTCCTCAACCTCAAACCTGAGAGCGAGGAGCTCAAGGAATTTGTCGAGACGGTCAAGGAAGATGAGAACGGCGACCTGCTGAAGAATATGGCCTTCACCAAGTCGGGAGCCCGCCTTGTATGCCTGCTGCTGGCCAATGGAAGCGCGAAAGACAGGAAACAAATCCTCAAGACATATAAGGACACTTTCCAGCTCATGTGCGGAGATCCCAACGGCCATATGATTCTCCTGGCTGCCTACGATGTCATCGACGATACCGTATTAACATCGAAGACAATATTCCCGGAGATCCTCGGGAAAAACGAGGAGAAAGACATTGAGAATATCGCCTTCCTCGCCAACGACCTCAACGCCCGGATCACGGTCTGCTACCTTTTCGAAGGACAGTCCAAATCGCTGTTCCCAGCTAGCCACGCGTATGACTTGGAGCTTCTAGCCGAGATCCATGAAATTCGCAAAAAGACGAGTAAGAAGGACGCCGACGTCCGGCGCAAAGAGTTGGTGACGGCTATGTCACCTCCCTTGCTTGCGGCAGTTGCGACCTCCCCAGCGGACCTGGTGGCCACTTCGTTCGGGTGTCAATTTGTTACCGACGTCTTGCTATCAGCGACCGGCGATAAGTCTGCTGCTTTGGAGGCCGTGGCATCGACAGCGGCCGGCAACCCAGCGCCGGTGCAGTCCGAGGACGCGGACCCTCTTTACCCTCCTCCGCCTCACATTTCTCAGACGCCGCATGGAGGCAAAATGTTCAGGACCTTGATCGCCGGTGGCAGGTTTGACAGGGAAGCGGGCGCCGTCAAGAGAGTCGATCCCCCCCTGAAATTCGCCGATATTCTCTACCCAATCATCAAGGAGTATATCATGCAGTGGGCGATAGGGCCAAGTTCTTTCGTTGTGTTGGGTTTGCTGGAGGCCGCCGATTTCTCCTCCACGACGGACTTGCTTAAGGTCCTCCGTTCAGACAAGAAAGTGCTCCAGTCGGCGGCGGCGGCTAAGGAAGTGGCCAGCCAGACCGCAGCGGCAAATGACAAGAAGTCAAAGTCGAAAGGCAAGGGAGCACAGTTGGACAAGGACAAGACTGGCGGGAACCAAGGAGCAAAGCTGCTCCTTGGAAAGTTGTAACCAAGTGTTGGACGAGCCCTGTTGGAGAACGTGGGATGGGTTTACGCCCGGGAGAGAGATAGTAGTGCCGAATGGAGGGCAAGTGGTCGGGGAAGGTCCATGACCAGAGAAGCTGTAATATCCCGAGCATTTCCTGGTCTCATTTACCTGTTGATCCAGTTTTCTTCTGAGCCCGGACCTCAACATAGATTCTCAATTTGGTCGGTCATGCCTTGGCTTATATTCTTATCTCGGATGGGTGATCGCATTGTGCATATGCGTCTGTTTCAGGGTGTTGAACGGCTCTCCAACCCCAACCTCTAACTGGAAATCTCATTGAACAAGGGAGGGAGATATGTGATGCTATTCAAAGCACTCTTTGGTGTTAACTATCGGTTGAACTGAGACGTGATTTAGGTTCTAATCTCTGAGGTTGGACAGAGAAGGCAAGAGCCACCTGCATCGTTCTTCATGTACTGTGATTAGGCACGGTGCTTTCCATCCCGAGTAGCTGCACTCACACAATAGAAGCACAAATTTCAATTTTCCGTTCTGAATCTCGCATCGGCCCTGCCTCACCGTCAACATTGGAAGCCATCTATCGTCAGAGTGTTGTTGTGTAGTCTCCATTTCGTTTCCAATCTAACTATCAACCTAACTCTGAGATACCGCTTCCACCGGCCTTCAAAACTAGGTATTGCGCAATCACCGGGCTTGCCGAGTTTTCCGACAGTGGAGTTGATCGCAGGTGGAGTGAAGGGTTGGCGCGAGAAACTCGTATCGCCATGACGCCATCAGAGACCACCATTGACACCGCAGGCAAGGTCTGCGAGACAAAGAGCGGGTATTATTGGTACATCTGTACCTGGACAACCCCATTCTATAGCGGCTGCTGCCGCATCGATCCTTGTCAACAAGACCCTATCGGCTGCCCTCGACAGGCTCGCAGCGATTCTGGGTTGGCATTCACGAGCACTACAACGATATCGGTAATTGTGACTAGCACAACGTTCGTGACGCACTTGCCGTCATCCCTCTCATCATCGTCACTCTCACCATCATCATTCTCACCAACATCATCCTCACCAACTCCAGCTTCAACATCGCAGGCTCCAGGTGCAAGCGCACCATCACCACCCACCATCTCTTCCACGTCAACCGCCAATATCAACCAAGGCAACAGCAATGGGTTAGGTATCCCCATCAGCACCCTTGCCGGAATCGTGGTTGGTTGCGGCATTGCCGTCATATTCGTGGCGCTTGTCGCGTGTATGTGGTGGGGCCGACGGCGTCGTGAGAAAAGGGAGAAGAGCGATCATCCGGAGAGGCTTGCCTCTTCGAGAGGGCTGGGCGATGATCAGATCCCGCCGGGGCTTGAGTCTATTTTCAATCCCATGGCACAGAATGGCCCTGGCAGTGTCTTCGATCGGACGGAAGGTATGAGTGGCGTGGGGCTTGAGAGCAAGAAGATCACGGAGGGCTAACATGTCTTGCTTAGGACGGATGGCGAAAGCAGACAGTATGCTAGGGTTCAGTCCGCTGGCCCATGATCATCGGTGGAGTACAACGAGCAATGGCGCACACAGTGGCATCGTTAGCCCTCCCACGCCTGGCGGTCCATGGGGATCGGGAATCCCTTCAAGCCCTTCGGAACTTGACTCAACAATGGTCCATGTACCAGGGAAAGGGAATGAAGGGGCCCAATCCGGCTCCGAACCTGCGGTGGAGGCAGACGCTGTGCCGAGGGCGACACTCAATTCGACAGAGCAGGAGCGAGAAGCAGGGACTTACGTGAACAGCTGGACAAGGTTTCAGAATGTACAGTTGTAGGGGCTCGCCAAGGGAAACGGTGAATTGCGATTTGTGGTTGGTTCAATGTATCTAGGAGATGGGGATAATAAGGTTCTGTTCGGAATGATACCATATGGAGAGGCGTTGATTAACTCGGGAGTTAAAAGGACTATATCACCCTAAGTGTTAACCGTGGATCTTGACCCCGGGAGATATCCAAATGGAATTTGCGTACATCGGGACCCTGCTAGAATGAATCCCGGAGACTGCTCGGGTATTATTACCATACAAAGGAAAAAGAAAACAAACCTAACCCCCCCAGACCGCTATGCACCGTGCCATATGCCATGCAGACTTTTTCTCTGCCATTCCGACCATATCTCGGAGCAAGTGGCGATATGCAGAGAAAATAATAATAATAATAAAAAAAGTCCTTCTTTCCGGCCTCAGCCATAAACCCAAAATATGGTAGCCACAAGAAGTTATAATCATGGCACTCAATTCGCGAGGGAGCTACCGTCTCCTGTCGTCCAGAGAGCGAGCAGTTTGTACCTAGGCATCTCAACTGCTCATGAGCTTGGCCATCTCATCCAACAGCTCCTGAAGGCGTTCGTCGGAAATCTTGTCGGCGAGAGAAGGGATCATCGTCTTGCACTCGTCGGCGCTGTCGCAGCAGAGGGAGCCTAGAAGCCACGAGCCCAGTCAGCCCACCGCACCGTATCCTCGAGATGGGAGCAACTCGACGCAAAAAGAAGAGATGAGACAAACGAGGGAAAAAAAATAAGAAGAAAAAAAAAAAAAACCAACCGATGTGTGCCCTCTCAAACTTAGTCAGCTCCTTATGCGAGCTCAGCAGGCGCTCGACGGCCTCGACGTTCTCCTTCTCCTTGAAGCGGGCGAACGCGTCGAGGTAGTCGAGCGTCTTGTTGAGCACGTCGGTCTCGTTGCGGTCCTTGCGGTCCTTGCGCCGCTTCAGCATCAGCGCGTCGATGACCAGCGACGCCTCCGACAGCGTCAGCGTGTCCACACCCTCGAACTCGCCCAGCTTGAGCACCGCGCCCGCCTCCTCCTCGCCCGGCGGCGGCGGCTTCGACCGTGATGTGGGCGCGTGGTTTTGGTCTGACATGTTTGTTTTGTGGGAGATGGGTTGTTTAAGAAAGGAGGTTTGGTTTGATGGTGGATGGGCGATCGTCGTGTGGCGTTCAGCACAGAGCGGGTTCTCTCGTTCTTGATTAGAGCCTTTACAGCGGGTGTATGTGGATTTTGGAGTCAATGGTCTTGTCGCCCGTGACGATTTGGCAATTCAGCGGCCAATTCTTCGAAAGGACGTGTAGTCGGGGTAGATAGTCAAGGTTCTTGTGTGGGATGTGTGTGCTAGGTTTTTGCAAGCTGTTCGCGGACTGCCTGGCTGCCTTTGTCGTCGTTCTCACAGTGCGGCGCTAAATTAATCGCACGGAACTGTGGAGCAAGGTAACGAGTGTGGTCGAGGCGTCACCGCGGGATCAACACATCCCTGGCTGCTTGGTGGGGCATTGCGGCTCAACATGAGCAAGGTGGGGGTCACGTACACCCTCAAGCAGCTCAACTAGATCGTTCTCAGATAGGTAGCTACTGTCTCTATGATTCTTTCACGAGCACCCAAGACTTTTGTTTCCATTAGCATGCTAGGTGTATTTGTGCTAGGTGTATTTGTGCTTGTATAAGGTATTCGGGTTGGCGCAGACCATGTCTGGCCCGGGCACATACATAGGTAGGGGAGACAGAGCACCCCCCAGGCTTCATTAATCGGTTGCATTGCGGTCCTAGCACCCCTTGGAATGCATGCTACCTCTAGCATCCTTGCTATCTTGCCCTGTGCGAGTCCCGCCCTACTGTGTATGCGACAATGTCTAGGGCCAGGGTACATCATGATCTCAATGTCCGACGTCCTGACGAGGAACAAAAGTCTCCCGCCTAACCAGCTGCTTCCAATAATTACTGGTGCGCTGCTATGCCAGGCCCTCCTATTCCTCTTAGCTGTTTCCCATCCGGGTTTGCCTTGCTTTCCCATTTCCCTCTCTAGCCCATTGTGCGCTGATGCTTTCCGGAACGTTGAAGCCGGGTAGACATGAGGGGTCAAGTGTCGAGTGCCGTAGCGCCATCTTAATGAAAAGCTGGGATCATGTCGGGATCCTTTAACCACTACAGCATTGTAGTCCAGTCAGAAAGCGTCGCACAGAGACCTTCCTCTTGTGTGATGCAGAGTGAGCACCTCTCTACAAGGCAGAGAAAACGAAAAGCTAAAACATCATGTCAGTAGATTGTAAATTGCACGACCGGTCATCTGCGGGAATTTTGCCCTTACATTATTTGTCGCGGCAATCGCAATGCTGTCTTCAAAGGGATGCCAGCTCATGTGCAGAATTTTCTTGTTGAAGTCAATCTGGTCCGCATCGGTTTCTTTTCGCATCCTCTGGCCTTGCCCTGGTGCCGCTGGGCTCCCCGCCCGTGAGCCACCCTTCTTTCCATTGGCAGTTGGGCTCGTGGCTGAGTTGATGGGCGTCGGCACTCCAACCTTCTTAGCCTTGAAAGCCGACTTGTCGGCCTGAAGTACTACTTCAACCTCCTGTTCGGGGTCCGATGGGTAGATCATGAAGTTGTTGTTGTAACTTCCCGTCATGACGTTCTTGCCATCACCCGAAAACACCACCTCAAACTTGTCGAAGATGCTGTCATTCTCATACGTGTCACAGAGCCTCGGTCTAAGATGCTCATGAATCGGTATGGTCTTGATGGGTTGCCTTTCCATGTTCACGTCCCAGATTTTGACCGTCAGGTAGTCGCGAGAGAGAATGTAACGGCCATCGTAGGAAAAGCGGACATCCGAGATAGATGAGATGATCTCAGAGAAGAATGACCTCGTGGAGGGATCCTCTTCTTGTTCAAACACTGCGGCTAGGTTAGCCACTACCTCCCGGGCTGGCGGAGAGTTTGTCGGGGCACTCACTCTTGGCATGCTGATCGCACAGGGCGCTCTCCCGCATGTCAGCTAGCTTGATAGTCCCCTTGGAACTAGCATACATGAACCAGTTGCAGCTCATTGGGTGGAACTCGGCCGCTGTGATCACCTCGGTCAGCTCCTCCATGTTTGCTGGCTTGATGTCGACGATGTTGAAGCTCTGATCCTGAATGTTGAGATTCCAGAGATTGATGCGCAAGTCGTCACTGCTGATGAATGTCTCCCCGTCGCTGTTCACCGAGATGCTGTTGATATGATAGGCGTGGGCATTAGCATACGTCCGTCGGGGCACAGCAGCCACCACGGTATCGTGGTGGGTCAGTCGCGGGAGCTTCAGGTCACTGGCATTGCGGAAGTGGGCGCTGGGAAGGGGCCGGGGGGCTCCGCCTCCTCCAGCTATGTTTGCCGGAGTGAGATCGTGGGAGAGGTTGTTTTCGGCCACAACCTTGAGGGACTTCTCAAACACCTTCCAGAGTTTGATGGTCTTATCGTTTGTTGACAGCAGATAATGAGAAGCGTTTTGTCGCCGGCACCACTTGATCTTGTTGATCTTCTCCTCTATCTCGAGCGATTTGAGATAATCGAACTCGGGCTCGTGTGACTGGAACTCGGTGTGGAACTTGTATTCGCAAGTCTTTTTCTGCCCGGGGCATCAGCAAGGGTTGTTGTTGAGAACAAGGGTGGTAGCTGGGAGCAGGCGGGGTGGGGCATGGATTTCCAACTGACTGTTTCATTGCGCTCAAATAGAACCACGCGGCCGCCCTTATCGCCCGTTGCCAGATAATTGCCCGTGTGGTCGAACTCTACAGTGGAGATGATATCGGCTAGAGTAGACTGAGGTCAGTACAACGCCAGGAGCAGATCCGCCATATGTTCCGGCATTGGATTCGACGTAGAAGACTTGGGCGAACCGCGGGGGCGTCCTGTCGTACCTTCTGTGATATCTTCCACATCTCCCTTATCACCGAAGCACCTGTGATTTTGTGATTAGCTCACGTGGAAACACGGCGTATTTTGTGTGGTTGAGGAGAGTAACGAGGAAGAATGAGCTTACTGGGTGAACTTCCATGTCGGTACATTCGCCTCTGCGTCCACCATCTTGACAATCTGGAGGAGCGGCAGGAGTCCGCCTCTACCAACAACTGTTGCCGAAAAAAAAAAAAAAGAAGTGGCAACGGTGACTAAACCGAGAGCGACGCGGTAAAATCCAAATCCAGATCAAGGAAGGGTCCCCGAAGTACCGGTTCGTGTCGGGGCGGCGGCGGCGGGACGAAGGCGGGGTTCGACAGTTGTGCCCGGGGTCCGTGGGAGCTGCGCAGGGCTAGCACAACGCAGGCGGATGTGGTGCGGGTTTCGGGAAGGCGGAATCCGAATAGAAGAGCTCAGGGCTGAGGGCTGAGGCTCGTTGTGATGGTCGGCGGGGAAGGACGCGGGAAGCGACTGTGCCACCTGGACGGGTTGGAGGATGGAACGGATCAAAAATGAAGGCAAAAAGAGACGACGGCCGACCCTAGCAGTAAGCTTGGTCTTAGTACATGCGTGGGTAAGTGCGGGGCAGAAACTTCTAAAATAGGACGTACGTGAGGTATGGGATGGGCTTGGGCCGTGGCCAACTGTGGTGTAGCTGAAAGAGCACGAATGTTGTTGGAAACAGGTTGAGCTTGAAATGACGGGGAGCCACTGTTGGCGCGAGCAATGGCTTTGATGGTGCTGCAGTGCGGTTCGGTGCGCCCAAATCGGCCAAACTGTTTCCAGGTTGGGGCCAAACGGGGTACCCAGAGCACGGGCGCACAGTGTGCGGGCACCTACCTACCTAGGTAGGCACCTAACTAGCCAGCGTTTTTCCCCGTACGAATATGGACCTGACGAGCTAACCTACGAATGTCCCCGCTTTGAACACTTCGCCTCACAAATCAGTGGGAGGAGGAGATGCCTGACCTACCAGCTCTTGAACCCGCTTCGGAGTCGTTCTCTAGCGCTGCCCTTCTTCCACTGCGGGCGGCTAAGACAGTCCGTCGTGTGGAGTGCCTCGGGCCGGGGTATGGAGGTACTCGGGCACTCAGCCCGAATCCAGGTTTTACTTAGAAAACAACCAACGAAATCGAGCTCTCATTGCCTTCCATCAAAAAAACCTCCTTTGTGCCATCCCGATCGAAGCACACCTAACCCGGGCCTGCGGGTGAGAACCTCCCGGTACCTTATTGGACTTTGGGCCAAAAAACACCGGGTTTCGATTGGGAATTACCACCGGGCAGCAACGCTCAGTCTCCCAACCGGATCGCATTTGCACCATTCACATGCAACTCATCGACCCGCAACGTGGACCTCGCTCGCTAACGACGGTTAAGTGAAGACTACCATCCGCAAGCACCGCACAGCCTCCATTGGCCATATCTGGAGTTGAGTCGTGCCCACGCTTGCCTAAATAGCCACAATGGAAGGCGCTGCTTCGGGCAACGAGCCCAACGACAAAGGCAAAGGCAAAGCCACTGCTGCCACTACCAAGCCGGACGAGGGTCCGGGTCGTGAGACGGGTGAAACAAATGGCCCCGGGGCATCGCTGCCTCGGATGGCCCAATCAGCGGCGACTTTCTTGCTATCGGGGCTACCGGAAGGGGGTTTCGGCGCCAGTCATGAAAAAGGGAACTCATCGCGGGCCGGCGAGGCGTTGGCCAGAGCGGGCGAGAGCTCCGTCCAGCTGCGGCCTAGCGCACAAGGAAGCGCGACCATGAGGATGGGACAGGCGCAGGCGCACGTGGCTCAAGAGGAGGCATCATTTGCCGCCTTTCTGGATAGTGGAAGCGCACCAATGCTCTCAGAACCAAATAGCATGGAAGAGGCTTGGCAGTCGGCCGTTCCTCCTGATCCGAGGCCCAGGGCCATAGGAACATCGGGACCGGTGCCACTCTCAGTCGCGGAACAGGAAGCAAGGGACGGTGTTGATGTTGCCGCCTTGCTGTCTGGCGACGGTGACCTCGATCCGGTGTTCGACCATACCAACGAACCCCCCGCGCTGAACGACCTGGCGGGGCTGCGCGAAGCGCTCTTCGGGGAAAGGGCCGATCAGGGCTCGTCATCGCCGATTTTATGGGATGATGTGCTTAATTTCATCCCAGAGTTCCTTCGAGCGCCAGATAACCAACTCTCATTGCATATGGGTACTTCTCACAGGGACGAAGCCTGGCAGACCTGGATTGACCAGTGGTCCCGCGTGCTTACCAGCTATCAAGACGAGGTCTGGGGCGATCTAAGCTCACTTGTCGAGGAGGCCCGCTCCGAGGTACAGCGGATAGAGGAGGCGAAACCGGGTGAGAAGCCCCCTGAGCCGACGGCTTTATTGCGGCTACGAGCCATCCTCGGTCATTTACGAGGACCTTAAATAACCACTCTACACTCCCGATACGTCTTTACTTGACCGTTCCGATATTCCAACCGGCGAGCTTCGCCCAACGCAGGAAAACGGGTGTGTCCTTGAACCCTCTAGTCGCCCCATGCCTTGTCACGTGGTTCCGTTCTTTCACAGCTCGCCAGATCGCGACAAGGCTGCCCCTCCTGGGCCGTGGTGTTGCATTCTTACCCCGCTGGCGCCCACCAAGCCAGGGTCCAGTATCTGGGTTGCTGGGCCAGCAATCGGATGACATCACCGAGATGCTTTTAGCCTTGTGGTTGGTCGGAAGTGTCTTCCCAAGCTTCCATCACCCACCAAACCAGACTCGTTGCGGTGCTGTGTTGTCCGACCTCTCGGCCTTCCTCGGGTCGTAGCCGGCGCAGCACACCGCCCTGCTCCCAGAAAAAGGCGCTCGTCCTGCTATCGCAAGAAGTGTTTCAGCGCCGCAGAGCTGCAGCCCAACGCCGCATCGCTTTTGTTTGTTTCCTGTAAATAACACTGCTCCTGCGGTTGGAGCAGCGCTGCAGGCTTCCTGCCGTCTCTTAAATCTATTTGCTTGAAGCTTCTCGCGCATACCCGCCTGCATAACGGATATAACAGGTACCTTGCTGTCCTCGTTGCTAAGCATCATCGTCCGCCATCACCTCTGTACAACCAGTGCCCGGATAGACCCCCTCCGCCAGCCGCTCCCACCCCACAGTTGGCTCCAAAATAAGGCAGAGGATGGGGATCAAACAACTGCGATACGGGCGGAACCCAGGTGGTTTGTTCTTGGTGCTTGCATGGGCATCAGTAGTTTGCGCCAGCCTGCAGCCCTTCCAGCCCGTCGAGACAGCAGCCCCCGTCGCAAAACGCCAGGAGTCCGGATGTCTCGCCAATTTCTTCAGCTGCGCCGACCAGGGTCCTGCGTTTGACGGCGTCTGCTGCCAAAACGGTCAACGATGCGCCCTCGACGCCAGCGATAGCCCGGCCTGCTGCCCTACCAAGTGAGTTGGCCTAGCACAGTCACCCACCGCAGCATAGACACCGCGCGCTAACAAGTCTGCGCTTCTCTTCCCAGCGCCGTCTGCACCGGCACCGCGCCAGAAAGCTTCGTGCCCCCCGGCCCGGCCGCCACCACAGCCGCCTCCTACGTCCCGAACGTCTTCTTCTCCTTCCCCTACGTCGCCACCTACTTCGCCAACCCGGGCCACTGCTCCGCGGCCATCAGCCAATGCAACGCAAACCACGCGGCCTGTACCTCGCAGCTGGCGGGTCAGGATGGCTCGGGGGCTGGGTACGCCGTTACCGTCGTGGTTCCGGGCGGCGGCGAGGACGACGGTGACTGCGGGGGGAGGGATCAGCGTCGACGCTGCCGCCGTTACGAGTATTTGTAAGTCTCATTCTGTACTTTTTCTCTGGCTTTTTCCTTCTTTCTCTCCCCCCCTCTCTCTATCTCGCTCTGTTGAATACCGGGAGCAATTCGCTTACCCCCCCCACCCAATAGGCAACAGCTTGTCCAGCGTGGCCTGCGGCGATCTTCGACCCAGCATGTGCACCATGACCGGCACTTCTACCGATGGCTTCTACTTCGGGACGGATTCGGGCAATGCGGCAGCGAGGCCGACGGGGGCAGCAGCATGCGCCGGACTAGTTGGTGCTGTTGCCGCAGGAGTGGCTGGGCTGGGGATCCTATGAGCAGCCAATTGGCGTAGGAGAGGTCACCGCGTTGTCATGCGTCTCGTTCCTTTCTCTTGGTCGTTCTTGCGGGCTGTGATCGGTTTGCCGACACCGGCAGCAAACGTATGGTTTCTCTTTCTCGGTGATCCACGTTGAGGACAAGTAACTTCACGAAGTCACGAATGAATGACCTAATACCCATCCTTCCTTGATTGTCAAAGGACCAGAATACCTGTGGTTGCACAGTGACCGCATTTCCAGAGTACGCGAGCTGTAACTGTCCCCGAATGCGTTCCTTGATTACCCGTTCCGATATATAACCCTTACCGCCTTGGTCCTTCTAAGTATCCCGCGTGTGTACGTACAACATTATATCTGCCACTCCGCCACCCGAAATTAAGGACAATTCGATCCTGACCTGTTGACACCCCCATTTTATGCGCCGTCGCTAAAACAACCAGAAAAAAAAACGGAAGCAAAAAAAAAAAAACCCAACACGACCCGATTTATGAAAGGGTCTGCAACTGCTACTTCAACAAGTCCAACAGCAGGTTACACGATATGGAAGCCACGAGGAAACCTCGTGAGCGACGGACCAAGGGGACCATCTCGTCCCACCAACTATCGTCTCTCGTCCACCACCTCAGCAGAACTGCTTAAAAGATCGACCTCGTGGTCAACTCTGTTAACACTGCCCTGGTTAACGAACCCGTAGCCAGTTGCTCCGCCGTTGGGTTCTTGTAGGTCGACCTGGGTAAACTCGTCTGTGAGCCCTGCAGACGAGCCGGATAGGCGTTTCTGGGACGGGGTCCGCTCAAACGGTAGCCGGGACGGCGTTGCTGCCGACGGAGAGAGATTCATTGGCCGATCAGTCTCGGGTTGTAATAAGTGCGATTCCCCCTTCTGAGAGCTGGTCCACGAATTCCGTTTGGAGCTCTTTCGGGGAACATCCGGGACTTTCAGATCGCCATCCGCGTTATGCTGCGGGTTTTCACTCGGTAGGTTGGCGGTATTTGCCGTGGTGGCGTCCTCGGACGCGATTGGGACTAAAGGGGGGTCGTCTGAGCTGTCCTCCTGGGACCTCCGTCGGCTGTTGAGTGGCTCTCGTTCCGGTGACGTTACGTGTGAGGGACCTGCAACCTTGCCCCCCTGCCGCTCGTCCTCTTCATCTGACTCGATAGGTCCGTTCCGCAAGACACCCATTGCGACTGGTATCCCTTCCGGCGGGGGCTCATCCTCAAAATTACCGCCCGCAGCTCGCATGGCGGGTGGCATCCGTGAACTCCTGACCACCTCAAATCCTTTCCCTTTGTCCTTTGCTTTATTCCCAAACAAGCCCCAGAACCACCCCGTCGCGGATGGGACCGGCCTGGTCGGGTCCGCCGGCCCGGTCCTCAATTTACGGTTCGGCGCGTCCGAATTCAGCCGCTCACCCCTGACCCCGTAATAGAAATCCACCTCACGGGTTGAATAGTCAGCTCGTGGGGCGAAAGGTACAATGTAGGGTGCAGGCGTCACGTCTCTAGATATCTGGGCCCCGATTTCCGCAGGATCTCCAAGCATGCCGGTTCCAGGCTGGCTCAAGCGTTTCTGGGACCGTTCACCGCCTTGCCAAGTCCCGGCCGTGTTGGAAGTCGGCGAAGACGGCGCCTCCAAGGTCGGGCGTCGCTGTCTCGGTGGACGATAATAGGGATCTGGTGTCTGCATACCAAAGGGGCCGGGGTGTCGGAGTACTTGTTTAGGTGATGGCAGATAGGAGAAGGTACTCGCCTCGCCCGGTGTTGTCGGGGTGAAGGAGCTTGCACCGCTGTCGAAATTTCGGGCTGGGGTATCAAGGCTCAAGTTATCCAAAACGGATGAGCTTCTCTGGCGGCGATGCATCAACATCCCGATACTTCCGGCCGATTCGCTCCGGACACGGCCACTGGGCATAGCGTATCCGGTTTTGGACACTTCGTCGGCGTCAAGCATTGCCGAGCTGGATAGCTGGCTGTGTCTAGATGGCCCATTCTCCCGTCGGGACATGCGACGCGATAGTTGACGCATCCCAAAAATCTTGGATAAAGCACCCCTCGACTGTCCGCGGATGTCATCTCCGCCGGCTCCAAGCATCCGGGCGAGAACCTCAACTATGGTCTGCACGGCGTTAAGGAGGAAGCCAAGAACGAGCACGCCGGCATGGGTGACGAGGATAGCGTAACCAATCCAGCCTTTGGGTCCATCGGTCACTCCAAGTGAAGGAATGAAAGCTACCATCAAAAGAACCGTGATGAGGCGAAGGGCGGAAAAAAGGGTGTGGTAAGCGTTCATGGACGTCGGGGAGTGGAAGGGTCGAAAGGCGTGAAGGGTCAGGATTTGTATCACCTCGCAGATGGCGAGGAGGACCACCTGGGCTACCCCTGCGGGCTGAACGGCTCCAATGGCGATGCCGCGGACGAACGTGAGGACGACCGGGATTAGCGTAAAGGCGGCGGCTTCATCGGAATAAGTGTTGTAGAGCGGACCGTAGAGAAGTAATGTAGGGAGATCGTCGAACAAGAATGCCCTCGGTTTCGTGGTTGCGATGAGGTAAAGTAACCAAGCGGCAAAACCGACGATCAGAATCAACGTAACAACCGCCAAGGTGACTGCGTAAGCCGGTGAACCGCTGGCGACGACCAGCTGAAAAGTTGACAACGCTACAATTGGCAGCAGGAAATAGTTGAAAACAATCCTGATGACGTTCCCCAGGGTGAAAGGAATATTCTTGGCACGAAGGTCCTCCTCCGGTATCTTCTTCACGAAGCGATAAAGCCACTGGGCGAAGAAGCCTGCCTGGAGGAGCACAATCATGCAGCCGATGATAACGAGCAACCATACCATCATCCCAGCCCATATGTCGTCGACGTTGCCCATACCGACCAGCTGGGCAAGATCCTGCAGACCGTATATACCGTCTGTGATGTAAATGCCATCCCGCACGCTGATCCACCCGGGTTCCTTGCTCACGAAGGTCTGGTTAAACATCAAGGTCGCCCAAGACCCCTGGCTGACGATAGGTTGGTAGAAGCCTGGGTAATTCAGAGTGAGCCCTCCCGTGAGAACGACGAATTGGATGTACTGCAGGCAATCCCCGAACCCGGGTGTAACGAGGCGGAGAAGGTCTGGATCGCGGCCGTAATTGGAGCTCCACTGGAAGATGTCGGCTGCCCCCCACGGGCTGAAGATGCCGGCAAAGACAGTGGCCACGCCCACAAACAACAACACGAGCAGTGGCAGAAATTTGAGCAACCAGGCCAGATCCCCCAAATCGGGCGTCACGGCAGCCGAAACACACCCAATGTCGGTCCCTTTGGCATCTCCATATATGATGATGAAAGTTGCCGTAAAGGACGAGAAGGCGTAAGACGAATAGAAGTCGTTGCTCATGGTTACGGATGGCAGGACGTACGGAAGTAGACTATTCATCCGAGCCCGGTCAGCATCAGAAGTTGATGGAGGGATTGGCCAGCCGGCCCAGCCAAAATACAATACGGGAGCAAATCAAAAACTTACCTTGAGTTGGCCTTGACGAAGACAGCCCCAGGTGGGCACGAGGCATTGGTTAGTGATGTGTTGCAAAAGTTCGTAAGGTCACTCCAAGGTTCGTAGGTCAGGACATTGACCTTGCTCCGGAGGGTCGTGAGTTTGGGGTTCGGCACGTCCGGCTCAGGCTCGTCTATAATCTTGCCGTCGGTCCTGGTCGGGTCCTTCCAGTCCGGACTCTCGGGCGGCGGCAGCACAACATCGGTGAAGGCCCCCTTCACATTTCCCCACATGGTTACACGGAGCGTGTGCTTGGGATCCGTCGCGTTGAACGAGGCGTCGACCCACTGAGGGACCCATTGCAGCGGCGTAGGTATGTTATTGATGTAGGACGCGGACAGGCAGTTTTCGAAGGGGACGGCGGCGGCCGCGGCAGGACGGAACAGGGCGCTGAGCACGAGGATCAGGGAGGCGAGGGCAACGAAAACCGATGGTCGAGGCAGGGAGCGAGGAAGGCGTTTTCTCTCAGCAGTATTGTTGGACAACAAAAAAGTGGAGGGACCGGTCGGGCAGATCGCGGAGGAGAGCGAAGGCGGGTAGCAGGGCGGTACATGCCCGGAAGGTCGCCGACGCCCGCCGGCACGGTCGTTACGGTGGGCACCACATAGCTCGGGCTCGAACTCGGAGGACAGAGGGCCAAAAGTATCAACCGTCGGCATGATTAGATCCAGTCCGGAAATGGCAAGTATGTCGACGACCGGCTGACTCGAGGCTCAAAAGGAGGGACGGGACCTGGGAGCGAACAGTGGGCTACAGGGAGCAGGAACCTAGGGGCGCGGATGGAGCAACAGCACAAGCGCCAGCGGCCGACTAGCTGTGCATCTTGGACGAAACTCCCCCGACCGCAGCGCCTTGTTTGCAGACTTGACTAACGGCGCAGATAGGGGCTCAATAACCAGGGCGATAGAGGAAGCGAGTGCAAGCGTTTGTTTTGAGGGCGGGCCTCGATCTCGTAAAATCAAAAAAGTAAGTGGAGGCCCAAGACGGGAGATGGATGGTGAATGGAGAAGGGCGGCCGGGCGGTCGCTGCCATGCTCCACTGTGCGCAGCACCGGGTTTGCTGATCAACGGCGGTCCGCTTCGAGCGCTGGTTGGCTACCAAGGCCTGGTTGTTGACTGTTCTTTGGGGCTGAATGGGTGTGATGACGTCCGCTTGCTGAAGTGGGGACTGAGGTTGAAGAAGCTTCGATCCCACGGTCCAACACGAGGATCCACGCAGCCACGAAACACAAACCAGTCACCAAATGGACGTCTTGTCACCCACGCGCAGCAAGATCCCAGCCGTCATTGCTTCAAAAATAGCCCGACCTTTAAAAAATACCGACCAAGATCATCGCTGCGGTGCACTTTGAAAGCTCCCCTCCGTTCCAATTGAATGCAGGAATTCCTCTGCATGCAAGCTCGTGTCGACTCAACTAACAGATTACCTACCACAGAGAGCAAGCGGTTCTGTCCTGTCAGTAGGTTTGGCCAGCTTGCTATGTATGTTCCTCACTTTGCCCCCCTCTTCCATTTCCCCCCAACCCGGGGTACAATTCGTCCGCGTATGGGACGTCTGCGACGAGCTCAGTAGCGATCTACACTCCCCATGCCCAACACGACGGCGTGTGCGATGGTCCCAACAAGACAGAGAGAGTAAACAGGGCCCCGAGGCCATCAAAGCATCCGCCGAACATATTTTTCGCGTGATTGTCACGGCGGCATAATAGTGGTGTCGCTCAGGCGTTGACAGTTGTTCCGTAAGCAAGCCGTGCCAACAAGGGCTCCATCAACCTGGCTGTGTCCTTGGGCTCGGTCCCGTCCTCAAAAGCTCCTCTCAGCTCCCCGTCAACCAACCAAGTGTCGAATCTAGAGGCTTCGGTAAGCAGCTGTGCCAAACTACTCGCATCGACTGCCATTCCCAGCAATAGGGCACACGTCTTGGAATCACAGGGTATTGTCTCGAGGGGCAGCTGGCCAGTTTTGAGCCGCTTGGGCTTTTTCCGCACGCTCGCTGCGGTAAGGCGCTGCTGTTGAATGAGTCTTGCCCTGGGATCATCAGTTCGTAGAAGCGGCTGGGAAGTGTTTTCATCTGGCTTTCCCGCCAGCTGGGCCTCGGTTGCGCTTTCATCACCTCCAACAGTGCATGACAAAGACACAGGCGATATATGTTGGACAGTGGCTCCGCCAGCCGAATCAACCCCGACAAACGTTCCGGTCATGGTGTCCTCGTCCTCGACATCAACTAGACGAGTTATTGGCGGGTTCCTTGCGAGCATGTCTCGCCGGGTAGTCTCTGAGACCTGCTGATCTAGGTCAAGACCAAGATCGGGGTGGTCACGGAGCCTTAGCCGGTTACTGTTTCTGTCGAATGGAAGCCGGGACTGGATTATGCGGGTCGGCCCTGTTAAGTTTTGCGGGCGGGGGCGGTCCCTTGAAACAACCCGCTCGCGATCTTGGTCATGCGGAGAGGAAGTTGGCGGGCTTTGAAGTACGTGGTAACGACGAGGCCGGTTCTGCTGGTTGGACAGGCGAGTGGAGTTGACAGTCGGCTTGTTTTGTTTGTGCCCGGTGAAATCTTTGAAACGCCTGCCCTGTGATTCCGGGTTCCTGTGCCTATCGCGAGGACTATGTTGGGGGCCCCGGCTGTGTCTTAAGCTTGATTCCTGCATATGTGGCGGCGAGCTCACACTGAAGGGGTCTGTGGTGCTAAGCTCTGTTGACTGAGGTTGGGTTTCCCGCCGTGTATCCTGCACGGGTCCTTGGTCCTGGGGTGCATTATTTTTGGGTTTTCCGGTAAGTTTGGCGATAGACCAGGGATTCAATCCCTCGTTTAGAGGCTGTTCATTGTCCCCTTCGCGGGCTTCAGCCTCAACCACCTGTTGTGTATATTGTGGTGTGTGGCCAGTAGCCTGATCGCCAATCTCATCATCGCTCATGCCATCAAGACCTGACGACATGTCGACCCTCCACGACAAAGCCGTAGCCTTGGGTTGTCAGCAGCAATCGACGGTACGTATTTAGAAATACCCATACCTGTAGCGACAGAGATGAATTCGAAATATTCGTGGTCTTCCTTCCAGGTGCTTCAACGCTCGTTCCTGTGGTGGTTATTGGTAGCGGCCGTGACTGCCCAACACCAGAGGCAGGGTACACGTATGAAAGAAATGACTCGAACTGATCAATGATATTATGTTCCTCCTTGAAGATAACATCCTCCTTGGACGGCTCAACGTTAACATCGTAAGTACTGGGGGGACACCGGATATTCAACCTGATGAAGGGATTTCTGAGAATGGTCTCCGAGTGGATCGATGCAAAATGGTCCCCGATGCGTTTCTTGAAGATGGACAGCAGTTTCTTGGCCGCTCCTCGAAAGGCCGAGAGTGGTCGAGCATCCACAGAGATAAAAGCTCCCTTGGAAATTTTCTGGGGGTCAGCCGTGGGTCTCGGCAACAAAGCTTCGAAGATCACCCTTGTTCCTTCCTTCGGAGAGCAATCGGGGACGTTCTCATCCCTTGAAGTTTTGTCGCCGCCTGGAGTTATCTGGCTCGGGGAAGTTTTGAATACGCACTGAGACGCTAGCTCTGTGCCAAAAAGCTGAATTGCTGCTGCCTTAATCTCCCCATTCGCCGCTGGGGCATAAGACCACGAGAGGTTAGGAGTCTTCAGAACTGTGAATCGCAACTTCACTGTCGGTCTCGCAAGTACATAGGACTGCAAAAGCTCGTTCATTCTTGCCAAATTCCTCGGTGCCTCCTTGACGGTAACCTGTGATCTCACGGGCATATGCGAGAACAAGTTCGTCACACGGACAGTGGTGCCAACTGGAGCGCCAACATACCGTAGGGTGTCAACTCCTCCCCTTTTCGCGAGAGAGATGGCAGCGGCAACGTGCTCGGTTGGCACTCGAGTCGTCAGAGAAACATTTGCGAGGGTGTTGGCACTGGCCAATGCAACGCCGCGAAACCCCAATGTTTTCCCTCCCAGAGTGTCGAGTTCATCCAGTGACGTGAGCTTGCTTGTGTGGCCGGGGCAACCTAGGTAGCCAAAGTCGGCAGGGCTAATGCCATGGCCATTATCCCTAACCTCGATCTTGTCAATCGTGTTAGGAGACACCAACACATCGATCGACGTCGCTCCGGCGTCGATGGCATTGTCTACAAGCTCCTTGAGTAGAACCACGGGGCTGGTGATGACAAGACTGGATCCCAGGTTGCGGACAGTGGCTTCAGGCAAAGGTACGATTGACATAATTGATAAATATGGACAATAAAAAAGGTATGTCGGAAAAGGGGTACAAGAGGGTATCGCAGCACCGAGAGCCGGGCCTCGAAGGCATAAGCGTCAATTCAACGGCCGATGTCAACGGATCTTGTTGGATAGGTAACTGGAACGGAACTGAACTCTAAGGCAAATTTCATCCCAGGGATGCGCTTCTGCCGACCTCGGCTGCATTTGTGACTTCGAGTTGAGGCAGGAACATTCGACTCTTAGAAGGCGGGAAGATAAGGAAAGAGCTGTGGGCTCAATCCTTCCGGCGGCATTCGTCCCGTTAGTGCGATTGGAAGACAATGGATAGAAACCAAAAGTGACATCAAACAACAAACAGAAGAGCCAAGTTCGAAGGGCTTGCTTCATGTTCTAAGGCGAAACTTACCTACCTAGGTAGGTAGACAAGTATGTGAAGTCGTCTCGATGTTCCGTTCCTGCTAGAGCTGACTCAGCCACCTACGAAGTGCCCCACTGCACTAACAAGGGAGAGTGGGACCGCGGCTGCCCCTCCATACGCCCCTCCTTCCACATCCGAGTGAATTCCTCAGCCTTGACATTTCACTTCTCGATGCTCATGCAGGAAAACCGATAGCTGCTCAATACTTCAACTGATCACCAGAGATCTCTTTCGAAGGCCAAATTTTCAATTGCCCTCCACGCTTGCTCTCACTCCTTGAACAAAATGCATACCAAAGGCCCGGCCCCGCAGCTCCACGATGGTAGCAACTTGCGCATCGGTATCGTCCACGCGCGCTGGAATGACACCATCATCAATCCCTTGCTCGCCGGCGCAAAGGCCAAGCTCGAGGAGTGTGGAGTCAAGGAGTCGAACATCGTGGTTCAGACCGTTCCGGGCTCGTGGGAACTACCAATTGCCGTTCAACGGTATGCTCATCTTTTGCAACCCTCCCCTCTCCATGGCGACGACAAGCGGCTTCCCCTTGTGATGTTGCCGCCTACCCCCCACAGGCTTAGGCCGTTGGGATGAGATGGGACCGTTTTATACTGACAATACTTTCTCGTCGTCTTCACAATAGCCTCTACGCGGCCTCGCAAGTACAGTCCTCGTCAGCCGGCAGCGGCGGCTCCGCAGGGGACCTGCTAGGCAGCTCGACAGTTGACTTAACGTCCTTACCCGCGGCCTCGGCTTCGACGGGACCGTTCGACGCCATCATCGCCATTGGTGTACTGATCAAGGGAGAGACGATGCATTTTGAATACATCTCTGGCAGTGTCTCAGACGGGTTGATGCGTGTGTCCTTGGACACGGGTGTGCCCGTCATATTCGGTGTCCTCACCGTGTTAAACGACGAGCAGGCGAGGGCCCGCGCAGGTCTCATCGAAGGGAGCCACAACCACGGCGAGGACTGGGGGCTTGCTGCTGTTGAGATGGGTGTGAAACGGAAGGCCTGGGCGTCCGGAACAATCGAATAACTAGCGACGCCTTGCTCCCCGTGCTTCTGTATGGTTTAGCTCGGCTCCGTTCGAGTCCATGTTTTAGAGTCGAGACGTCTAAAGAGTCGCTTTTTGTATATTGGTATTACCAGATTAGCGCATCAAAATGCTATGTCTATCATGAATCCTCCGCGCAAACCAAGCGAGACACGAGCCCAAGCTAGTTTCTCTTGCCGACTTTCGAACCCGTCCATTCCACTCCCTTGTAAGTAGAACGAAAGAGGATACAATGCAAGCGCCATGTCTCGGCCTATTCAACGTATGCCATTATACAAGCCCCAAAAACTTTCATCCCCGACAGTTCATCCCCATCGCCAAGCATCTAAAAACTCGTTTCACTAATTCCAAGCCTCGTTTAGTTAATGAATGCGCCAATATCGTCCCCAACAGACTTCTTGGCCCTCCACAGTGATTTCTTCTTTTCACGTTTAGCTTTCATGGCCTCCCACCCTTCTTCGTCATCGTCGTCCGACGCACTGCCAGACCGCGTTACCGAGATGCTGGGCTGCATGATAGCACCGGACATGGTTGAAGATTTCCGCAGATGGCTCGCTGTGGGCGCTACCGGCACGTGCGAGACCGGACGGTACCGACCCGGAAGGCCAATGTTGCTGCGTTCCGAGGGAGCGATAGACGGGGCATAACCTCCACTTTGGAAGCGAATCGAAGGCGCAAACCCGGCAGGCTGCGTCGGTTGGATCCATGACGCGGAACTCGGCTGGACCATGCTCATGGTGCGCATTTGCGCCTCACCCCGACCGAACGGCGACTCAAGCATCGAGTCGTTACCCATGAACGAGTGTCGCGTATCGGGGCCCATGAACCCGGGGTTGAGGCCACCCATGGTGCTGAGGTTCCCCACCGACGGCGATGTTAGAGGCCCGCCGGCCATGGCAGGATTGCCATTTTGGCCAGCCACCATCTGCATGAATTGCATTTGCATCTGCATGAACTGCTGCATTTGTTGAGTCATGTGGATTTGTGCCTGATCGCCTGGCGTGAGTACCGGCGGGCTCGGGTTGGCCGGGTACATCATGTGGGAAGGAATGCCGGCGACAGGGTCAAGACCGGCTCCTCCGGGCATGGGGTTGGGGCCATCCATAAGCGGGCTACCTCTCCTCATCGCGCGGTTCCGCTCCTCGTTCGCAATCACACCGATGAGGCCGCCGGGAGGGACTGGCGGGCTCGGCTGCCCTACGGCGGGAGCACCACCGCCTAGGGCCATGCTCTCTCGAACAGAGTTGCGGACAAGTCCAGCGCCGACGAAGGGGTCTTTAGGGAGGTTCCTCGCAAAAGCAGGAAGACGCGGGTTTCCTGCCCCCTGCACATCACCAACCACTGACATTGGCCGCTGGTAGCTCGGTTGCTGGGAAGCCCGCAAGTTAGGATTCGACCCCATGGTACTCAAGCGATTAGGCGGGCGGTTCTTGGCCGGGAAGCCATGTGCGGCAAGGATTGCCAAGGGGATTTCCTCGTCTTCGTCGGAATTCTCGGTTGCGATAGCCGCCGGGCCCGCGTTTGGCAGGTTCGGGGTGCTAAAGGACATCTGCAAACTGTGTCGGGAAGATGGTAGGCTGCCGGCGGCTTCCCCAGTCACCTTCATCATCTGTTGTCGGTACACCGACATGTGAGCCTCCTGCTTCCGTCTTTGTTTTGCCTGCTGTTTCGCCTTCTCCGCATCGTCCTCTTCGTCTTCATGATAGTCGTCCTCGTCGTCCTCGCCGGCCTTGCCCCCAGGTGCACCCATTATCTCCCGTTCCCTGTCTTGGCGTTCCTTGTCCTTCCGATACCGCTCAAACTCGGCGGGAGTCATAACTTTGTGGGTCTCGGGAGGGCTATCCTGTTCTTCAACAACGGAATAACGGCTGCCGTACTTGGACGAGTATGCGGGCTTCGAGTCGAAAAGACTGTCACCTTCTCCTTCCAGGTTGTGTTCCCCCCGGCGGTATCCAGGAATCGACGGCGAGGTCGAGTTACCTGGGCGGGTCATGAACATGGACACGGTAGACAACGAATCCTTCAGCAGTTTGGCTTCCTCGTCCTCGCCATCGTCCTCCGAGTTGACTCTTTGGGCCGCGAGCATGGGTCGCCTTGATCCCACTTCTGGTGAAGTTCCTGGCCTTTGGCGTTCAAAAGTGGGCGATGTGTGGCGCGGGACCGGAGGCGCAGTGTGATTCTTAATCGCGGGCGACGGAGAAGGGCTAGTCGGGGCAATCAATTGGTCGTCAGAATGCTGGCTGCTCCATGAGTGCGCAGGGGGGTCGACTTTGGTCGTTGTGTCGATCTGAATTGGTGTCGGTTGAATCGGTCGAGCCGCTGTGAGGGATCGAGGAGCGGGCATCTGCCCCGAGTACTGGTCGTTTCTTGCCGTGGCGACACTGGCTCGTTTGTCGTTCCCTAGCAACATCTTGCTAAAATCACCGCCGAGGTCCAGACTAAAGTCCTTCATGCCAACCTTAGGAGGCGTCACCGTGGTAGAGGTCGACGCAGTGGGCGCTCTAGGGCGTCCGTTTGCAGGCGTTCTCACACCCGCGCCAATAGGGCTCGGTGGCGGCGACTCCTCTATCGTGGGTGGTGCGGGTAGGTGCTTTTTTTGCCCACCAAAAGAAAACGTGCGCCCGGCAGCCCTTCAGAAACCCAGCCGAGGAGGATTTCGGAATCGGAGGCACCGGGATGTTCAGTTGGTAGTTTTTCTTTGCGCACCGGCGCCATTCATCGAGAGCCCCCGGTGTCAGCGGTTGAGGGGGGTGGTCGAAACATTACTATGCCGCGACGAATTATCCGTCAAATTTGTATTGGTGTTCGAGGAGCCGCTCCCTCTATGGATAATCAGCAAAAGAATGCCACGTACGGCCACGCCTAAAGGTTGCCTAGCACATACCGGTTTGGCTTGAGGTCGGGCAAATATATTGTCATCAACTGTCACGTCGGACCTGGTCGGCTTGTGTAGCGAAATGGGTCATTGTCGTAAGTTTCGCACCCCCGTCCAAAGACTTGGCTCCACCCACCTCGGTCCGTTCCAGAACGCGGAATGAGGGGCCCGTCCCCGCGGCATTTTCTAGATTGTCGGCGGTCGACTTCCGCCTCGCGAACCACACTGAAAACCGAGGCATGTAGACGGCGGGTAGCCCAGGCTCCTCCGGGGATAATTAATTGAAGAGCCTGCCAACCGATTGGTTGTCGGGGGGGGGGGGGCGGCGCAGATGGTGTCTTTCGTCTTCTATGTCGCCAGGCGAGACACCCCTGGGCACAATTGAAGCGTTAGGACGTGTATGGGCTGTTGGTCGCGTTCTTTCCAAAAGAGGCTGTTCTGTTCTACCTGTGCATGCAAAACTTGGGTTAGCTGCGCTGCCGCGGAATGGTGATTCGGATGAGGAATTAAGGGTCCAGGGGCCAACAGGAAAGTGGGGTCAGCCTGCCACGGGACGAGACAGGAATTGAATGGATTAACATTTCACAAACCAGTAATGGGCCCAAGCTTAAGAAACAGGATCGAGGAGGAAACCAACAGAAAAATATTCCGGGGGGGTTATTCACGGAAGAATGGCCGAACCGGTTTGCGCCCAGGGTTCGCTGCCCACTGGGAAAGATGCCGAGCATGGTACTTACGAGTCAAGGGGCCAACCGGATGGACCGAGGGCAACGGCCCGGTTCGGGAAGTTGAACCGAAAGTCGGAGGCGGAAGCCAGAAATCGGCGCACGTTTCTGGTGACAGCCTCGCTGCGGTCGCCTCGAAGAAAAACCGAGGTAACGATGCACAAAATAACGGGGCAAAACCAGGCGGCTATGGAGAGTGAATCCAAGCGCTGTGGGAAATCGGCCGGAACGCAGCGGTTGTGTATTAAGGTGCGACGGGTCGGACGGAGGGACAGGGCCCAGTGCGACAAGCAGACGAGAAAGCGGAGCCGGCTTGTAGAGACAAGCAAACGGCCGAGGCGACACAAAAGTCGCGATGTCTAGAGAAGAAAGGCGTACCGAGGCGATAGCAATGGGGAGGAACAAGGCGGCGACGGGGATGAACACAATCTCTCAGGATTAGGAGGGAAGAAGGAGTCGGTTGGTCAGGAATTATTTTTATTTCCTTGGCCCAGAGTTGCACTGGCACTATTGAGACGGGGAGTGGGGAGCGAGAAAAGCGCTACCGGCGAGAGGGACAGGGCCCATTGGTGAGAAGAACGGGCTCTCTTGTTGGCGGGCTCCCCTGCCTCTTCGGGCTTCCGTCCCCCTGTCCCATCGACCCAGTGTCCTCGGCGGCTGCCCGAGCACAGAGCGGGCACAGCAAAAAGCCACGACAACGGAGCGAGGCTCGGCACGCCACCTGCCTACCGCAACGAGACACGAATGCCTGGAGAGGAATGTGCCGTCCGGTCTGTGTTGATGGCCGGGCGGACTGCGGGGCCTTCACAAAAAGGAAAAGAGGGCAACCCGGAAATGCGAAGCAAACTCCTTGGAAGGTCTCGGTGCAACCAGGGGTTGGTCCAGCCGGCGGGCTGGGCAACGAGCTGGATCGCCAAGGATCGCCCGTCCCCGCTGATGGACGCGTCCGGACTTGATGCTTTTGCTGCAGGTCAGGAGAGTTAAATTGCTATTGGTACTATGCATTCACTCGGATAGAAAGTCTGGTTCGCGGGATCTGGATTTGTGCATGCAGGTGCTCCGTCCAGAGGACCCCTGGTGGGAGAAGCCAACAACCAAGTCGCTGACTCACATTCAACGAATAGGAGGAGAAAAACAAAAAGACAAGAAAACGAAGCTAGCTGAACTGCCTGCGAAGTTCCATCGAGTTAGAATCAATCCTTCAAAGCTGGAAACGGCGCATTGATCGATGTGCGACCAACTCCCACACAGAAGCTGACAGCCAAAGATTGGCCCACCAGCAGGAACGCTGTGGGGCTCAGATCGGAGATCCAAACTCGCTGATCACAACCCATCTTCAAAACAGCCTCCGTTCCCGTCCGCCAGCTAACTTACTAGCGGCGTTCAAGCGGCGATGGCGCCTTGCTGTGCCGCAGGCGGTTTTTCGCTCTTGCTTCACTGCGTCGTCGGCTTGGCGCCGGAAACTCCAGGTTAGGCATAAGAGTCAAAGAGGCCGACGTGCTGGGGGCTGAGAGCAAACGTGGAATAACTGCTTTCAGGTTCTCGTTCTCCAGGCGGCGAGATGGAAGCTTTGCGTGTTTTTATTGGTTTGGCCGGCCAAGAGTTACTGTGTACAAGATTAGTGTCCGGTGCGGGATTGTGGCACCACCGGAGAGGATGACGTGGATTTAGACGAGGTTCGCGATGTCCACCATTGTGATACGTCCTTTGCACATAAATGTCTGCCGGAACCAGGTCAAGAGCGGAAGCTTCAAGGGTGCAAAACGATGCAGTGGGGGTCATTGGGGCGTCCAGATGACGGTACAGACCCAAAAAGGGGTCAGTATACCAGGGGCTGGAGGAAAGGGCTATTAGCTTCTTCAATCACCTAGGAAGGCCTAAGGAAGCCCAATGTGCTGTTTTTATGGTCCCTAGCCGTGCCAACCTGACGGAATGCGATTACTTTGTAGCTAGTGTACGAGTGTATGTACATAGGAGTTAACTCGGTGGATGCTCGGACAAGGCCGAGTCCGATGGTATTTGAAGGCTGTTTCAAAACACAGTCCAGTTACTGTGTAAAAGACTTCGCCTGCCTCCCTCGTATCCCTTCGGGGCGAGTTTTTTTTTTATAGTGGACGAAACTTGCTAAATGTTTGAACGGCAAGCAAGACAGCGTTCGCTGGGACACCGCCTCGATTGCGAGACGGCGGAGGGCAAGGATCATTGGACTGTCTGTGCCTGATGGGTTGGGTGGTTGGATCCAACTCTCTCACATTCGGTAGCCGCCCGCAAGAGGCACAGATCGCTCTTTGTGGGAACTCGTGTGCCATGAGCTTGAAGAGCGGCGTCTAATTGGATGGCCAGCGGCCAAGTCTAACTAATGCCCAGGAAAAGCTTCGCTGCGCTTGCTGCTGCCAAGCCGGCATTGGCAACTCTGGCACGGAACAACCGCGCTTGTCAGGGTCTTGCAAAGCACAACACGGCCCGAGACCGAACCAACATTCCCATTCATACAGCAACTCGACTCCAAACGGGGCCGGTGAAGAAAGTACTGTGTAGGGTCCATGGCAACTGTGTCCGTGCCCGCCAAGACTGCCAGTGAAGCCGTCAACCAGCCCACAGTTGCCGTGAATTGCATTTGAGTTTCCGTTCTGGCCCGCATGACATCAATCCACAGATAACTCTCTCCCGGCAGGCACGCACAGCGTCGATGCGGCCTGGGAGGCAGCGGCACAGCCAGCACGCACAGAGAGACTTCCTGCAATGCCTGTCGACTTTCCCGTCGTCAAGCCCTGGCCGCATGTGCCGTCCACTGATTAATTGATTGATTGACCACCAGCGGCACCAAAGGGGCAAGGAGCAAAGAGCGACTTGATGACCCTCTCCTCTTGCTTGGGGGATGGAGAAAGTGGGTGTGCGGGGTCGGTTCGAGAAGGAAAGGAGCTGGCGGTGCTGTTTCAATGTCCGCTGTTTCGAAACACCAAAGAGAGGGTCAGGGGCCCGTCATGGTGTTCGCTGGTGGCGGGGAGGGGCAACCGAAGCAGAACTCTACCAGGGACCGGCATATGGAACAATTGCCGATGCTGCGCTGCGTTGCGTGCACGGCTTGAGCACGGGTCCGCCGCCCTTGCTCTCGCCGCCCCTCGTCTCGTCTCGGGTTAAAAATTGCAAGGAAACAGCCAGGGCCGAGTCACATCACAGATTACAGTTCCCAGACTCCTGACTCGGGCAAAAGTCAATGGCTGGATGTCGTAGCGATTTTGAAATTTGATTTTTTTTATTATAAAACAACAAAACTTGAGGCTGGATCGAGGGCGTCAACCTCCACGGTGAAGAGTTGACTTCCTAGAGCGAACAATCTTTAATTGGGCAACCGCAACATCGCACATCCTATCCCTCCGATACCAGTTATCTCGTCCCGACCTCCAAACTGTAGAGCCTCACGTGCCGGAACGTGGCAGCCCCCAAAGCAGATCCGACTGGCGACGCGCTTGATACACCATTATGAGTTCTCCAACAACCCCGCGCGCCCCGCGAAACCGGGGTGCGCTTCTCCTACTCCAGGATGAACCGCCTCTCGCGCCCATAGGCCACGGTGCTTTGGCGTCCCTGATCAGACACCGTGGGCGCGAGGAGGAGGAAGGTCTCGGCAGCGATGGCTTAGAAGACGAGTTCCCGCGTCGTGATGAGCGCCGCTTGAGTGCCATCCTCAACAGTGCCAACATCCGCAGTATGCGCCTGATCGGCAGCAGTAACCCCCGCTACTGCTGGGAGCGCTATTGGAAAACTGAAGCTGAGCTGGCCACCATGCCTAAAAATGTGTTCGTGACCCCTTCGCTCGTCCCGTTCCTTTCCCATGCTTACTTACCTATCTCGCTCCCACGGCTGTAGCCGCAAATACCACGAGCGCGTCAACTACCTGGTTCAGCAGTATCTGTACATCGACCGGTTGCTGGACTCTTCTCTCCCACACGACCTGCTCAATGAATACAACAACATGCCGGCATCTGCTTTTCGCGGTGTTGAGATCCCTGCCACCATCATGGAGACATCGTCGGCCTCCGTAGGAGAGCCGGCCCGCAAGGTGCTGCGGACGCCCAAGGGCATATATTGCCCCACGGAGGCAACCCCTCTATTTTCGACCCAGGACGGTGGCTCTTACGGTAGCGCTGCTGGCGACGGTGACGATGATCCCGAGGCCGGCCGTCCAAAGCCCGAAATACCCTGGCTCGAAGACGACGTGGTCGACAGCGACGCGCCCATCGTCACTCTCGCCATTTACGTCAATTTCGCCGCCAATTTCATCTTGTTGGCTGGCAAGTTTGCCGTTGTCATGTCGGTACCGTCCGTCTCGGTGCTGGCTAGCTTGGTCGACGCCATGCTCGACTTCCTCTCCACTGTCATCGTCTGGGTCACCACCTGGCTGATCCGCAAGCAAGACCAGTACCGCTACCCCGTCGGCAGACGGAGGCTTGAACCGTTAGGTGTTCTCGTCTTCTCCGTCATCATGATTACGTCCTTTGTTCAGGTTGGCCTCGAGGCCATTACTCGGCTTGCCTCACCCGACCGTGACATCATCGAACTGTGCGTTAACCGGCCCCCTTTACCCCGTAGTGCTGCCTTGCGTTCTATCATATGCTAACGTGTCTTGGCAGCGGGATTCCGGCTATCTCTATCATGTTCGGGACCATTGTTATCAAGGGTCTGTGTTGGCTGTGGTGCCGCATGGTCAACAATTCGAGCGTTCAGGCACTGTGAGTTCATGTTATCTATCCCTCTACGACAATCCCATTTTGGTGACTAATAGGGGAACAGAGCCGCAGACGCGAGTACAGGTACGTGGACAGCGGCGACAGCGGCGCCACCTGAGTTGTTGTATTTCTTTGGCGGCATCGTGCATCTCTAACACTGCTGTTTTTCAGATGTTATCTTCAACGCCGGGTCCATAGCTTTCCCCATAAGTCAGTCTCCCCAGCCCCCAACCAGTACCAAGCCAAATTACTGACGCAAAGGCACGCACAGTCGGTTTTTATGCGAGGGTATGGTGGCTTGATGCCCTCGGTGGTCTCATACTCTCCCTCGTTGTTATCTTCAACTGGTCCCAGACTTCGTTTGAACATATCAGGCATTTGTCTGGCTTCTCGGCCACAGCTGACCAAAGGAACATTCGTGAGTCCGCCCTCTCCACCTCTCGATCGCATGAACTTTTCCCGTTCTCTCTAACCGAGGTATTCAAAGTTCTCTACCTGACCATGCGGTTTGCGAATACCATAAAACAAATCCAGGGCTTACAAGCCTACCACGCGGGAGACAAGCTTAACGTCGAAGTCGACATTGTGCTGGATGCCAGCACCCCGCTCAAGGATAGTCACGACTTGAGGTGAGATCCGTTTAAGCTCTGCCCGCGTGCGGTTTTGTTCCCCCAAGTCTTAGAGTGAGAGCTGACCCGAGACGTCATAGTGAGAGTTTGCAATACGTCCTCGAGTCGGTCCCCATCGTTGACCGGGCTTTTGTGCACGTCGACTATGCGACCTATAACCTGCCCACTCATATGGAGCAGCAGACGGGCTAAAGTCCTCGATTTCTGCGGACCATAACGACTAGTTTCGAGCCGATCATGACCGAAACTAGCCTGCGCTCGGTAGGAGGGAACGTAGGCCTGCAGGGGCACAAGCCGACTCTGGAACATAGTGGCACATCATTGATTGCCTCGCTAGCCTGATTTTCGCATCACGATGATGGCGATCACTCAAAGGAGGCCGAAGGTAGACTGGGCCAGATCGAAAAGGGTGGGGAGGAGAAGCAGGCTTGCCCACATGTGTTTGGGCCATGTCTTCTAGTTCATTCCACAGTCCGTGACAGTAGTAGTTAGCCACTGGCGTGCTTCTTGGGAGGGCTTTGTCGCCTCTAGGTTTATACTGGTGTCTAGATATCCGACATACCTAAAACCAATTCCTACCTCTTGGGGGGTCGGGGGGGCGGTCACATTGTCTTCACAAACAGCTTCGGCGAAAAGAAATGGCAATTATTATTATCAAGCTCTATCACATCTAAACGAAATATCCCCCCACATTCAATCCCATGTACGCTGCATCGCTAGCAGCTCCTTCGCCGGAAGACCGCATCAGTACGGGATACCGTTTGTGAGCAGCTGGAACTGATCATAAATGCCAGTCGAATAGCTGCCATAGCTTCGCTTGATGAGCCCCCTCATGAACTCGGCGGCCTCACGCTCGCTCTTCTCCAGCACGAAACGCTCCTTAAAGTGCTTCACGCTCTCTGGCTTGAAGCAGGGCAGCCCGCTGTCCATCATGAGCAGCACAATCTGGGAGAGCTTCTCGGTGTACTGCCGTGATGCTAGAAACGCCTTGACGCAGAGCTCCTCAAACCACTTGAAAGACTGATGCTCGGCGCTGCCGCCCATCACTGCGACCATCTCCGAGGTCAGCTTGAAGGGCGCCCGCTCAAATTTGATACCACCAGGGGCGATGTCGAAGCAGAAGCCAAAATCAATATGCAGGATGTGCCCGGCGTCGTCGATCATGATGTTGCCGTTGTGCCGATCTTTGAATTGGAGGAGGAAGGAAATGACGGAATACGCAGCCATGCTCTTGACGAAGTTGTTTCGTGCCTGCTGGAACCGGAGTGAGTCCTCGTTGCCGTATTTGGAAACAAAGTAATCGTAGAGCCCGTTCACGGCTTCGCGGCCGAGCATATCCCGGGAAATGGAATTCGGAAGGACGTCAATGACACCGCAGCCGGGGGCCGTGGCGGTGACACGATAGGGGAACACGTAAACGTCCAGACCGACGCTGTGGAATATCCCGCGGAATGCAGCAATCATCTGAAGAGCCAGCACGTCCTGGCGGCAATCGTCGCCCACCTTGAAGATAGCCGACTGCCATACCTCGATCGCGTTCTCCTGACCGGTCTTATCGGTGCTTTCGGCGTCTTCCTCAAGCAGTTCCTCAACCTCTTCATCCCCGCCCTTGTTTCTCTTGATGCGGAACGTTGCCATGTAGGGAGCTTTGGCATGGCTCTGTAGCGGTTTACCTGACTTCCGGTCGATGCCAATAACGACACCGTCTGGGTTGCTGGGCAGATACACTCCAACTTCGACCTTAATTTTTCGAAGCTCTTCCTCAATTTTCTGCTTCTTCTCGGGCTTTGAGCGCTTGATCAGCGGCTTAAGTTTTCCCGAGATGCTCGTAACTTCGTCAAAGAAGGCAAATTCGCGTTCGTAGAAATCCCGGTCGACCTCGGAAAAGCTCTCGACCATATGGCCCATAACTTTGTCAAGGGTGGGTTTGATGGCATCGGGCTAACAACCAGGGTCAGTACCACGCAGTGGCCAACATGCCCCGAAAAGCTTACAATTTGCTGATCATCATCCTTGTAGGCGTTTGCCTTCATATTCCAGATGATCTGGTGTGCGAAGAGCTGTGAAAACTGCGCAGTCTCCAAAATGTAACGCTCAACGTAACCTAGGGCGTCGTATCGAAGCGTCTGGACAATCTGCGGGACATAGAAGAACGTCACATCAACTGAGTGGCTTTCCAGCGCCCTCATAGCGTACTGGATCAAGTACGGATGGTTCCGATACGCCGGCAGGAAGAGGGTCACGGCCGTTATCGGGTTGACGGGGGCCCAAAATAGCAGATACTACAGTCGTTGTCAGCGAGGGAAAAAGCAAACGAAAATTGAAGACCTGGTCTGGTTGTTTCTTGTCCTACCTTCAGCTGGAAGCTAACATCGTCGGGTAAGGTACCATCGATAAGAATGGGTATCGACTCCGGTTCTTTCGCAGCCTTGCTTGGGAAGTTCAGCAGTAGCCAACGAACCTCCCTCTGGACTCGAGGGTACGGGAATCTGCTGGCCAAGTGCACGGCAAGGGACGGGCTCTCTGTCCAAGCAGTCCGTACTAGGGGTTGGATTGCGGCCTGAAATATGTAAACGTGAGCAAATTAACAAACAAGTGTACAGCAAGGAACCAAACTTACCTCAAGTGGGCTCTCCTTGCCACCATGATGAAAGGTTGACTGCGGCCTTGACGCGTCGACGGGACGGACCCAGACGTGCAGTCTCGAATGCTCGCTCTCCAAAAGTAAGACAAGCAACCTTTCCTTGGGCGCAAGCGACTTGACTGGGCCTGCCGGTTCGGCGCCGATGCCGACCGTCTCCCTTAGCGCTGCCATGACATCCTCGATCAAGCGAATCTCAGTCCTGAGCTGAAGAATATTGCTTCCGAAAGACCAGCGTGGCGAAGCATCAAACCAGCTAAGACCTGCAGAAAGGAGCTGGTCCTTTAAGCGGTATTTCGCAACGATTCCCATGGTGGTGCTGGTGTTGAGCACCTTGAGGCCGAAGAGGATCACCTGGAACCGAATTTCTCTAGCCATTGGATGGGGCGTCGAGTTTTTGATCGCCTCCAGCGTTATGTCAAGAAGGCGGAGAAAGAGGTGCTGCGTATCGGGGCTCCCCAAACGGGTAGCATTGTAGTGACTGCCCAAGAATTGCAGGAGTCGAGAGTGGGGGGCTAGCAAATTGTGAACGAGCTGCTTACGCCTCGCAAGAGCCGCATTGTCGCTAGGAGCAAACTCCTGTCTAAGGAAGAACGGGTCAGGGTTCGTAATGGAGGGACTGAAAAGCCCTTGCCGTTTCTGCACGCTGGACTCCCACCGATGTACAATCTCGGCCAGGAGGCGGGGTTCCATTCTGGGATTCTCATTCATGACGCCGAGCCACAGGGAGATACCGAGCTTGATCGATTGCTTCGTGAACATGGCAAACGGTATGCTGACAAGATAGTGAATGATGGAGCACTCATCCTTCTCACTTCGGCATAGAAGCGCGGCGGCGCGGCGGAGGATGTCTCTGACATCTGTGTGCGAAGCGGCCTTGCGGCCAATGATACGCTTTTCAATGTGAGCGAGGGCCGTAATAGCGTCGGCGCTCTCGTTGTCCGGCGAGGTGAGGAATGATGCTCGATGGCCCACGCGCATGAAGCTGGACCATTCTCGGCTCTGGTCGGGCAAGGCCTCCGAGTACCGATATTCCTGCCGCGTCGTGTACTGGGCCATGAAGTCAGAAGCCGTGTTTATGGGGCAGTTCCCTAGCATGTCAAGCGATGACAGCCTTTGGTCGGTTGATGGGATGGTCGAACCGATCTCAACTGCAAATGATCTGCCAAGGGACATGTGGCCGTAGCCGCTCTCCTCATCAAACTCAGACAGGTAAGTCTGCAATAAACCTTTGACGTCTGCAGGGGCGATGTTGATCGCCCTCGCCAGCCAAGCCTTTGCCTTTCTGTGAAGGTTCGCAAGAGTGAGCTGCCTGAACTGGTAGTCGTCTGAGAGTTCGACAACCACGTCCCCCCTGGAGGACCTGAATGTGGTCCTCGGCTCATACCGGTCTGTCTCTGCTTCGAGACAGCTGGACCACATTAAGGAGAGAAGCTCAAGGAGCGTGAAAAGGGATGAAGGTTGGCAGAGAGCTGACGGGATGGACTCGACTAAACGATCCGCACAGCCAAATGCCGCCTGCTGCACTCGCTCTATCCGATGGCAACAGCTGCAGAATATCCTGGCTAGCTGCGCCGCTGCATACTGGGCGGAAAAGGTCGGGTTTGCGGCGTTGACGGTCTTGTATAAGTACCTGTCCATGACAGCGTTCATGATAGCATCCATGGTGCGGCTCGGTTCACCCCGTCGCATACTGGGCTCTAGGAAATACGACAGGGCCTTGGTGCAATCGCCAGCGTCCGCCCGCAGGCTCTCGACAAGGCAAGCAGCCTGAAGGAAGATTGTTTTGCGATAACTGAGCCCTTTAATCTCGCTGCTTCGCGCAGGTACTAACTCCGCAAGGAGCTTCTTCTGGAGAGACTCCCGCTCGGAGCTTTCGCCCCTGCGGAGGATGGGGTTCAGGTCAATGTCGCTCTCATCTTGCTCCCCGCGATTTTCGGATACCAAGGGCGGGGAGTGGATGGCCATGATCCGGAGATGCTTGAGGCTTTGCTTCCCCCGATCGGTAGAAGGAGTGAAGCCGTGAACGACGATATTAAACCAAGCATCGCGAAGCATGGAGCGCGTATCATCGTCAGAGGACTCGTCAAAAGCTTGTGGATGCGCAGACATGAAGATGGCGAGAGGCGGGAGCAGTTGGCCGATTTCACGAGCAGCAAGTTCTACGTCAGATTCTTTGGCATGGTGATTTTGGCTGGCATGAGCGTCGCCCTGGGAGATGATGCCGTCGAGTAAATCTTCTAGGTAGATAGCAAACAAGGGCGAATCTCGTCGAATGTTGGCTGAAATATGGGTTCGGGCCTTCAAAATCTACGATAAAATCAGCATGGCCTCTTTTTGGTGTTAGAACAAGATCTTGGGACAAACTTACGCCTTGTAGAACCCCATCCTTGCTTTCCATCACAGCATCATGCGCAACGGCAGCATACCGCTTGAGGAGGTAGCGAAACTCGGACTGGCCGCCACTGAGGGCTAGGGTAGCGGCGCCAGTGATAATCCGAGCATCAAGCCGGCTGTTGAGCTTGACAATCTTTTGCGCGAGCATCGACTGGGCAAGACCAGTGATCTTTTCATCTTTCGAGGCACCCGCGATCTCGCAGATGGCTTGTACCACATTCCCCTGGACGATCGGCGATTCTTCTTCGCCTGAGATCTGCAGTGAGATCGAACTGCCTGTCGAGTGCCTGGATCCATAGACATTTGAGGGCCCTTGACTGGCGCCTTCGCCAGCCCCGTTGGTCACGGGCCGGTCGTTCCCGGGGCCCAAAACATTGCCAAGGGTGTACAGAGTGGTGATGACAGCATCTTTGGAGAGTTTCTGTAGTACGAATGCGAGGGATTTCGACGCGACGGCGACCATCTGACTCTTAGCGCCGCTTTGAACTATGAAACGGGGAAGGAGCCGGCTGACGTTAATGGCGTATGACGGTGAGACCCTGCACAGCAGCGCCATAGACTTGAGGACCACAGCGGCAAGTTCGTCGTCGGTCATGGCCGCGGCATCGCCAAGGGTGTCCTCGAGCCAGGACATGAGAACTTCGCCGTCGGCGGCATCATCGTTCAAGGTACACGCATTGAGATAGCTGATTAGGGCACAGGCCTTGACGGAAGAGGCAAGCCTCTGCTTGGCTGGAGACAGGCTATCAAAGTCGGCACTGGATTCCAGGTAGTTCATCTGGTCGATAGCGACTGTGGCATATAGTTCAACAGAGCGGAAATCAGCCTCGGCGCTACGGGCAGTCAGCGGTCGCCGCAGGCCATGGCCAGACATGATAACGTCAAGAACGTGAGATTCCCGGAGGGCGCCCTCTTCCGCGACCAGAAGCGATGTGGCAGCCACAAGCAGCCTCATGAAACTGCGCTGCAGGAGTGTAGCCCCCAGCGGGCGATCCACGTCGTCGTAGTGCCGCGTCCATCGTTTCCACTCTTTGATATGGCGGTCATGGGGATGGGCATTTCGAATAGTGGAGAAGGCCGCCTCGACGGCGACGAGGAAAGGCTGGGAAAGGAGATCGCGTACGCGAGTCACCAGACCAAGACGGCCCCCTGATTTCCAAAAGTCCGCCTGCGCACACGCTGCGTCTAGGAATCCTAGGAGAGCAATTACAATGGTAGCGGTTCTGGTAGCATCTTCCACGGCCCCCGGATCGTCGTCATCATCCGTAGCGCGGGGAATACTCTCGGCGGCGCGAGCACAGGCATTGATGAATCCGGTAAGACTATCAGATATGTTCTGCCGTACATCGGGATGGTGTGCCCCTAACGAGAGGAGTGCGGCGGTGACATGGAAGCTCAAGGACTCGGTTGGCGAGGGCTCAACTTTGCGGAAAAATGGAGACGGAGCAAACGCTTGGATGTGGGAATCCATAAGGTAAGGCACGAGATGGCGGGATAGCTTCTGGGCGCTCTGTGTCGTCTGGAGAGAGGGAGCTGTCTTGCAGAGGGCCAGTAGGATTTCGTACTCGCGAATGGTCTGCAAGAACAAAGACGTGGTTAGCCGACTTGCATACCCTGACCAAAAGTCGCCAAACTACGAGGGCATCGGGTACTACCATCGGGACATGGCCGATTTCTGGTCGGGGACCTGATACATGGTGACCGTTGAGGGACGGCGCCGAGCCCTGGCGGGGAGGAGTAGCCCTGCATAACCTGTCGAGATCAGATTTGTCAAAAGATACATCTGAGCTTGCTGCCGCTAGTCCAGCAAGCCGCTGGAGGGCCTGACCCCGAAGATCACGGGCCATGTCGTCGTCGTCGATGAGGCGGAGAGTATGGGCGCAGCCACTCAATTCCCACGCAGCCTATATATAATAAAACAGGGCTACGCGGTGTTGTCCAAGTTCTCTCCCAGGTCACAGAAAGAGAATGGCGTCGTCCTTGGGAGTTTCCAACAACTGACGATGTTGGATCTGCCACAACGCGGCGGCGCGGCACGGATATTGAAACTGGAAAGAAAGGGATAAGACACCCTGATAGCCATGGCGACTCTTTCCCCCAAATTATTTGACCCCACTAGTAATTACCAGGAGCTCGAGCAGGAGCCACCCTACATTGCTGAGTCATCAAGTGGGATAATCCATTTGGCAGCCTCAGCTGTTCAGGCTGCAGGGCTGACGCGCTACCTCGAGGGTCCCCCGCCGTTTGAGCTTCGCCAACAACCCCCAGCAACCGTTCATTCACTTTCGATTCTCCAGCCAGCAATCAGGTCTACCCATCCACCCGTCGAGCACTATACTCCAAGACTTCCCACTTTCGCAAACTTAGTTAAGGATACAATCGTCAGCGCCCAACACCGAGACACCATGGCCGCATTGTTCAGTCAAAACCCACTCATGAACGGGCCCAACTACTCAATCAACGATGCGCCTAGAGTTAATGCACCCGAGGGCGCCCGAGAACACCGCTTCGATCCGTATGTTTTTCTTTCTCCAGTGCATATGCGCCGTTGTGGTTCTCTTCTTGTTATGAGGTTGCTAACGCTCGAGCTAGCTATACTGACAACGGCGGCTCGACCCTCGCGATCGCTGGCGCCAAATTCTCCATCTTGGCCGGCGACACCCGTTTGACATCGGGCTACAGCATCAACTCGCGACACCACCCGAAGCTATTCAAGATTGGCGGTACGACCGCGGATCAAAAAGATGCGACCATGGTCCTCTCGGTAGTGGGCTTCGCGGCAGATGGAGAGGCACTCAAGGAACGTCTTGACACAATTTGCAAGATGTACCGGTATCGGCACGGCAAGCCGATGAGTGTCAAAGCGTGCGCACAGCGATTGTCGACGATCCTGTACCAGAAACGATTTTTCCCTTACTATTCACACGCAATCCTTGGCGGGTTGGATGAGGAGGGCAACGGCGCCGTGTATTCGTACGACCCCGTCGGCAGCTACGAACGCGAGCAGTGCCGTGCCGGCGGCGCAGCTGCCAGTTTGATCATGCCGTTCTTGGACAACCAAGTCAACTTTAAAAATCAGTACATTCCCAACAGCGGCGAGGGCCACGCTCTGCAAGAGCGCGAGCGCCGGCCCTTGACGCGCAGTGAGGTCGAGGTGCTGGTCAAGGATGCGTTTGACGGCGCGGTCGAGCGGCACATTGAGGTCGGTGACGGCCTGCAGATGATGATCATCACAAATGATGGCATCGAGGAGATCTTGTTACCGCTGAAGAAGGATTAAGCGGTGGGTGGCTAGGCTCGGTTGTACATAGCATCGTGCACCAGGGCTCCTCCTCCGAACGGGGACAGATACAGGTGCCGGGCCCAGTTTCCGGCGATGGCCTAATGGCAAATTTGGTGATTAAATTTCTCATTTTGATCTTCGAGCCATACCTACGACGTCCCAAGCTGTGGTTCTGATACGCGCACGACAAGCAGCCATCATCAGAACCCGTAGTTGCGTGTGCTTGAACATTTTCCGCATGTGCCGTAACAGAGGAATTTCAACCGGTAACGGGCATCGTTTGCCCCCAGTTCAGGCAACACTCAACCCTAGATGACCACTTTTGAGGCTTGAAAAGGATAAGGGGGGTCCAAACCCAGACCACTCAAGATGCCTACCCACGCAATATATACATACCTTCATCACCGGCAAATCTATAAGGATCCTTTATATATCAGTCGTATACATGTGAAGCAAGACAACACAAGGAGCCAAGCTCCTGCCCTGATGACCGAGTGTGTTCCCTATGACGTAACCAAACCTGGCAGAGCTCCAACATAGGCCCACTTTTGCCGGCTTCGAACATCCTGGCAGCCTGGAAGTTTGCATCTTCGACGAAGCAAGAATACTTGCACACTGACGAACTGTTTCATCATGGCATCGCCTGCCTTCTGGTAAACCAAACCCGTACAGGTTCCAGGGATCCAGGCAAGCCAGGGACTCCGGGCCCGCTAATGGTGAAAAATGAAGAGGACCGAAACAAAGTCGCCACCCAAGCGCCATCATCATCAAACCCTTGGCAGATTCGTCTACTTGCAGACGCGCTATCGTTTGCAGAAGCAGACAATACGCCACTGCAGTTGGAGGGAGAACGGCCTCGGACGGGCTTTGAGCTGAACCGCAATACAAGTGTATGTGGTATCCATCACCCTAGGGCTTTTTCCCCGTACCCAACAACTCCCATATCACATGGACCCATGTGCATATACGCCGACGACATGGCAGAGATCACGCTACTCTGGCGAATACCCGCACAGGGCAAGGAGTTATCGAAGTTGCAGAGCTGAAAATGTGGTAAAATTTGCCTTGACCTAACCACCTCGAGCCCCTTCCCCCGTGAAATACCACGAGCACCTATTTTGCTCCTTGCTGTGGTGGCAAAACGAGCGGCAAGCGTCCATCTTTTGCCTGTTCCAGCTCTCGACTGCGTAACTTTGCCGCCTCCTACCACCCCATCCTCGACCGCCTAGACTCGGTCATCCACAGGCCGAGAGACAGAAGCCAACACGGCAGCAACACCTTGTCATCCCGGATCGACGTCAATCCCTGGCGAGCCTGGCACTGCATTTGCCTTGTCACTAAGTCCTTGACACTACTTTTTTTGGATCCGCTCCTTCACACACAGCCCCAACACTCTCTTGCCAGTTCTGTCAGGAGTGAGATACCTTGAACGCCAGTCTTCTATCTTGTCCCTTGAGCCCTTCTGCCAGGGAAGGGTCCGACTCATTTCTGTTAAGAAGTACCTCCGCTGTTCGACCAATCCCGCCTTTTCACAGCGGAACTTGAAGGTTGTCCTCGGACCGGACCTGTTCGTCCCACCCGGTTCTAGACTCGCAGGATCTCTCCGCTCACTGGTCGGTGTTGAAAGTATGTGACCCGCCGCCTCATCCGCATCGAAAAGGTACCGGGCCATATTATATCCTACATTACAGGAGTTGGCCACCCACACACTGCTGATCTATAGTACTACAAGGCCTTCTTTTGGACCCGAGAAACTTCGCCGTTGGACACCATCTGCACTACCACTTCGGCAGAAATCACCGGCGCTGAGAGACCTGACGCATACGACCAGACAAAGCTTTGCTGCCGTGCTTTACGCCACCGAGAACCCTTCTGTATTCTCTAGGCTACATCCTCATCCCCGCCAATTCCCTCCTTGTGCGGTGCTTGACAGAAGCCAGGTCTGCCTGGTAGTATTACCATCCCACCACCACATTCACCTAACCCACACAAACATCACGCCTTCGCACACGGATCTCGGCCGAGAAACGTACCGCAAAAGCCTCCCTCCCTAGTGTACCGGGGCGTCTCCACACTTCCAAGTACCCAACCATTCTGCATAGAGCTGCCCTAGTCAAGCCGTGGCGAAACGGTTGCGGCGTGGCTCACAAGGAGGTGCGTTTCTTCCTCTCCCAGCCCGTTTATTCGATTTCTCCGTCTTGCCTTGGGCGGCTGCCTTCACTACGAGATTACCGTACCTTGGGCTGACCTCATTAGTCTCCTTGGGTCAAAGGACTTGAACTCAACGGAGAAGACATTGTTTCTTCCTTCACTCACAGACGGGGTCCTCGTTACCGGTGCCTTATTGAATAGCGCATTGGCCACGGGCACAACACACGCGAGACAAATGTTGATCGGAAACACCTAGGTCTACTTTTGAACCATTAGAGCCTAGCACTACCACATATCCCAGAATCCCCAACCCCAGTGTTACAGGGACACAGAGGCAATACTCTCTTTCGAGGAAACGTGGGGAGCCCGCATCTCTATAGGTTCACCGTCACTAGCGCCCCTATGGGAGACGAGGCGAGCCAACCTGGTGCTCCAGCTGAGTTCACTGGACAAGAACCTACCGCTGTCGCTGTGTCGGAGCCTGGGCCGATGTTAAGGCACCACACGGCAGAACATCCACGCCCCTCCGCCGCGTCACAACAATCCTTTACGCTACCCATCATGACACATCAGCAGAGAACGGCGCCCTTCGATATGAGCGCGTTAGCATCAGCCGTGCCACACGACTACTACCGACCACAGTCATACCATGGTGCCCCTCGATACACCGCCCCGATTCAGATGCCACCTGCTCAGTATGGGCCACCTGGTGCGATGGGCTCTATTCCCACACAACAATACTACGCTCCACAGCACCCCAATATGGCGCAATATTACCAGCCGGCAATCCTCAGTCAGTCACCGGCCACCCATCCCCCCCAAGAGACCAGATGTGGGTTATTACCCGAATCCCATTGTCCTAAATCAGGGACCTCACACCGCGAGCGCACTTCTATTACCCGTCTGAAGGGTCCCTTTCCTGGACAGGCGCCCCATGTACCGGGGCAACCCGGCGCCCGGGCGGTATAGGCCATCGGCTACTCCTCAGTACCAGGATCCCAGAAACCGGCAACCACAACACAGCGGTCAGGAGGTAAACGCGGCCCCGCCCAGTCCGCAGGACAATGGTAAGCTCCAACGCTCGCCCCAGTGCCCTCGAGGGTCATACCACTGACGGGTACTTTGCGTTCCTCTTTTGCAGGCGTCACTGGTGGTCGCCAGAGCATTGTTAGGGGACCGCCCAGAAAGCCACGGCAGAGCGGTAAGTGTAACTCTCTGTTAGCCGGATGAATGAGCAACTTGGGCTGATATAGTTTCACCTCAAGGCCATGCCATCTGGGTCGGCAATCTGCCTCCGCAAACCGACCTGATGAGCCTCGTCCACCACGTGTGCAAGGAGACGGAAGGGCTGGAATCTTTGTTCTTGATCTCCAAGAGCAACTGTGCGTTTGCAAACTTTAAAAACGAACAGGCCTGTTCGGCGGCGCAGCAGAAACTGCACGACTCCAAATTTATGACGGTCCGCCTAGTGAGTCGGCTAAGGAAAAGCACCGTGGAGGGCCCGGCGGGGGCAACCGCCCCGACGGGGCCAGCAGCATCGACATCGCAGGGAGGGGCTATGGCCATCCAAGAAGCTAGTCTTAGCGAGAACGGCGACGGCGAAACCAAAGAGAAAGGTGTCATCCCGGATGCGGTGGCCGCAGCTGCCCCGGAATCCCAAGCAACGATTCCGGCTGTCAATGGCAGACCCCGTCAAAAGGACCGTTTTTTCGTCCTCAAGAGCCTCACCGTCGAGGATCTTGAACTGAGTGTTCGGACAAACATCTGGGCCACGCAATCGCACAACGAGGAGATGTTGAACTCGGCATATAAGGTAAGAAGGGAACACAGCGCATCTCGGGCGCAAGAAGTGAATATACGATGAACCCTGCTGACACTTATCCTTCACAAATAGACCTCGGATAATGTCTACTTGGTGTTCTCGGCGAACAAGTCTGGCGAGTACTTTGGCTACGCACGGATGGCGTCAGCTATCAACGAAGACCCGGCCGCCGCCATCGAATTCGCGCCGAGCGCGCAACCGGCGAATGAAGTCGATCTTCCCAAAGCCATTCCTACAGACCCCACAGAATTCGCGCCCAGGGGCCGCATCATTGACGACTCGGCGCGCGGCACCATATTTTGGGAGGCGAACTGGGAGGACAAGACGGCGTCTGACGGTGGGCAGGATGACGAAGGTTCCAGCGGCTCGGCCGGGGGGGACACGGGCAGTGTTCAAAGTGGGCAAGAGAGCAACATGTCAGAACCCAAAGCTTGGGGCAAGCCGTTCCGGCTCGAGTGGTTGTCAACAACCCGTCTCCCGTTCTTCCACACAAGGGGACTTCGGAATTCGTTCAACTCGAACCGAGAGGTCAAGATCGCGAGGGACGGGACCGAGATCGAGCCGACGGTTGCAAGAACACTGATTGGAAAGTTCTATCGAGCGCAAGGCCCAATGCTGGGCATGCTCCCGCCCGTGGTTCCAGGCGGGTTCCGGATGCAAGCTCCCGTCACAGTTGGATACCCCCCTATGCGATGATTTGTTGACACTACATCGATAGAAGCTAAAACGTGAACAAATACCTGTACTGGTGTCTGTTTTATGTCCTCGATCCCCCAACAACCCATGCATGCATTGGTGATTGACAAAGACCAAACCGGTCGAAGGATTACATGGAAGGTACGAAGTAGGTGCCTGGCAACAGTGAGCAGATGCCGAGCCTGAGTTGGGGTTCCCGTCAAGCAGCCCCACTTTCCAATTGCCTGCCCGCAACTTCTAGAACCAACTCGACCGTGGATGACCGAAATGGCAACCCCAACTACCCTATGAAGCGCAACTACCTACACAGTAGACGGTGCATCGCCACCCTCTCACGATGATGATTTCATCTGGTAGTTTCCAGTGTCTTCATTCGCAGCCATGTTTCATGGAACCATTGCCACATTCGTCAGATGCAGGAGCTTCCAGCATCTTCCAAGTAGCTAAGCTCGCACTCCCAAATCACTTGATCGCGATGATTCAAGAAGATGGTAGAATGTGCTATCCGTGTGCCATTATGGATATATAGACTAGACGAGCTTCCTATGCTGAACTGTCTCTTCATCTCCCAGAACAATCACAAACAATACAGCTTCCACAACCAGCCGAGGCAATCTTGTGACTATCATACTCCCCCAAAGCAATCATCTCTTGCTCAACAACATCAAAGCCACAACCGCCAACATGTCTTTCTTCACACGTGGTCTCTACGGCTCCGACCCGAGCTTCACGCCCCTCTTCCGCCTTCTCGACGAGTTTGACAACTACAGCCGGGAAGCCCAGGGCAACAACAACGGGCGCTCTCGCCACCGTGGCCGCCTGAACTTCCAACCCAAATTCGACGTGTGCGAGACCGACAACGCCTTCGAGCTTCACGGCGAGCTCCCCGGAATCGAACGTGACAAGGTGAACATCGAGTTCACCGACCCGCAGACTCTCGTGGTCCGCGGCTTCGCCGAGCGGACCTTCACAGCCGGCACTCCTCCGGCGGGTCTCGTCGAGGGCGGCAAGCAACCTGCTGGCGTTATCTCCGAGAAGGGCGAAGAGGCCGCCGCGGCCCCGCCCCAAAATTCCGGCAGCGGTGTCGAGGAGGTAAACCGCCAGGACAAACCCAAGCCGGCTTCCGACAAGTTCTGGCTGCAGGAGCGCTCGGTCGGCGAGTTTGCTCGCACATTCAGCTTTCCCAGCCGCATCGACCAGGATGCCGTTTCGGCCAGCCTGAATAACGGTATTCTGACCGTCATCGTGCCCAAGGCGAAGAAGCACGAGGCGCGCCGCGTTACTATCAACTGAGTGCCTTGCTTGCATTCGTTGGCTTTGCACGGCTCTTCAACCCCAGACTGTGAGCATCGGACTTTCGGAAATTGGAGGACTATTCACTTAATATGTTATTTGCCTGCTTTCAAAACTGTTTTCTTCGAGGATGATAATACTTGGGGCTCAAGAGCATCGTGATGAGATTTTTACATTGAAAGCGCTCTTTTACTCGCAACGCAAACTCGCCCCTCAGTAGCTAGTTAGCTTTAGTGGCAAGATAAGGGTATATTCATCGGACATTGGCATTGCATTTCCAGTGAAGCGTATCCGTTCCTTATTTGACGCGGCTCTGGCCCGGGTCCTTTTGAACTACGGAGGCTAGCTGGCCCTTCCACAGACCTCCGACTACTAGACAGGTAGAATCCCAGATTTGGGTATCCCGTACCTAACTGGCAATACTTGCGTGGTCCGGATCGATTCGGCATGTCCGCCGAGAACTGTTATTTCCTCGCAAAGCACCGGCCTTGCGAGCGCCATGGTTGGAGCTTGTTCTAGCACAAAGCTCCGTTCAATCGGCAGAAATATACATAACTAGACATAACGGTCAGAAGGCTGTAGGATAGAGGTACTGTACAACGGGCACTGACCGTTGTTTCCTCTAACGAATGCATCACCGTAGCTCCTCCGCTTTGCGCCGTTGACATATTCTTCTGTCTTTTCCAACGCGATGTTCATGTATCCATCCACAGACTGAAGCTCCCCTGGGGTCGCGGAAAAGCACCAAGTTAGTCAACACTCGGCCTCGGTGCCTTGTGTTATTCGGTCCTAAGGGAGGAAGAGTAAGTGCTCACCCTTGTAGACGACGCCCGAGTTAAGCTTGACCGTCACCGGGTTCCCGATAATCTCACTCAGAAATCCCGAGGGGTCTTTTCCCTCGCCCTGGGTGGCCGCACCGTTCTCCATGTTTAACAAATGGCTAAGATCTCTGGACCGCGTGATGCCGTTTGAAGGTCAAATAGTCCTTCCTGTTTGGAGTTGAGTTGGCTTGTGGTGAGGGAAGAAGAGGCCCGCAGCAAGAGAGCGAGCAAACTGCCCCACTCTTAATATCGCACGGACCTATCGAACGGGCGTGCCATGGGGGAGCTGCCACAGCCCGAATGGAAGCAGCTTTCCCCCAAACCAAACATCTTGGGATAGGTATTTGAGTGACCCATCTCGTCCGAATTGGCGGCCTAATGGCATAACTAGGGATTTGAAGAGTCATGCCGATAAAAAAATGTGAAATAGCTACAAAGGTAGCGACCAGCCCCCATTACAGCTAAAAGTGAATTAAGTAGACAAGTCAATGATAACTCCCAATCCTTTTCCTACTCGCTGGTTGCTGTGCCTTCAGCTACCCCAGTCAACTGTGTAAGGCTGAGGCCAACCACAGCCTCACGACCTTGCACCTCAAGGACCAGAAAAAGGGCATCTGCATATTTTAATTCGCCTTTCTATTCTTTTTTACTTTCCTCCCTTTTTGCTTCTTTGCCTCGCCCCCAACGCTCGTTACGGCTCGACTTCGTCACACAATATGGGTGGTTCTGCCTTCTCTTCGGTTCCGGATCCGCCTTACACGCCCCGGATGCCTCCAGTGGTCTATCAGCGCGCCGTCTCCGAATGCAGTGCAGCGCTGCGGAAGCTCTTTGTCTGTGTGGCGACACCAATCGAAGGGCCGGAAAAAAAGGACCATGGCGATGTCGACATCCTCGTCGCGCTGGACAGGCGGCTCGTTTTCCCCCAGACGCCCGATGACTCAATTCCACGGGAACCGAAAGACCTAATGAAAGATGTCGAACACAATCTTTGTGCTCAGTACTCCATCATTCACCCGCCCGGTACCGGGACCTCGGCGCACCTGGCGATCCCATGGCCGTCAGACATGGACGAACACACCATAACCCCCGAAGAAACACCCGGTGCCGGAGGAACTGCCGGCACCTTGTACGAGTCGAAGCCCAAATACATACAAGTCGATATCAGGATCTGCCAAAGCGTAGATGAGCTTTACTGGGTAAAAAATGCCGTGTTCGGGAAGCGGGTCGGGAACCAATGATACTAACACGCTCGTAGAGCCTCTACAAGCATGCTCATGGGGACATTTGGAATCTCCTCGGAAGCACCATCCGGCCCTTTGGCCTCACAGTCGACGAGAAAGCCCTGTGGCTCCGTATTCCCGAGATTGAGGAGTTCGATCGCAAGCAGTCAAGGGTATGTCTTACCGAAGACCCCGTCGAGATTCTCCACTTTCTCGGTATGAGAGTCGAGGGCTTTTGGGACAAGCCGTTCGGGTCGGTAGATGCCCTTTTCGACTACGCGACGACCTGTCGCCTCTTCTACGTCCGAGACACGCCTGATGGTGACGCGGGCGGTGATGCAGATGAAGCCGGGGTCATCGGCGGAGAGGCAGGGCGGAGGAAGCTCAAATCCAACGACCGACGGAGGATGAAGGGCCGCCCGATCTATCGACGTTGGATAAACGAGTTTATCCCAGGACTCCGCGCTGAAGGTAAATTCGTGCGGGAGAACTCCGGCACGTCCATTGAGGAGATGCGAGCCTTGGTTCGGGATCAAGCTTTCGACCGCTTCCTCGTCGAGGTGGAGTACACGCGGCGGTTGAGAGAGTGGCAGCAGAAGAGGAATGGCGAGCAGATGAAGTCGTTGATCAAGGAATTGGTCCCAAGCACCATGGAACCCCAGCGGCGAGCATGCGTGGTCGGCACGTTGAAAAAGATCATTGTAGAAAACGATACGTCGTTTGGTTTTGATTCTTTTGGTCTACGAGGCCCAGACGGTCTTTTCGACGCCGGGCTTGTCCGCAGCTTTATCCAAGATAATCTGATAGAGGTGGGTGAGATTGGGTGGGCGAGACAACAACAGCGTGCGCAAGAATCGATGCGGTTGAAGGCAGCTAGTCGCGATACTGGGAAAGGGATGGAGGAGTCAAGGTGACAGGGAGTGAATTCAAGGAAGAGGAATATACCTCGAACTCAACGCTAAGCTAGTGACATATGCTTGTGTGAGACATTCGAACAGCGGAGTGAATGAAAAACAATACATTTCGGCTATGAATGGTATCTTGATATAACAACCGACTTCTTCCCCGGTACCCTTCCTTAATAACACAACCACGAAGGCGCTGTTCTAGATACAAACAACCGAGGCCACCTCCTCACGGATATGGAATACAGCCACTCGAGTTAAAAGTGCCTTGTCCTTCAGCCACCACGGGCGTTGACGCCGCCCCAAAGAAACAAGCGGGCCGGGGCGGTATGCATATGAGCGCTGACATGACCGCTTGCGGTGCTAAGTCCTTTGGTCACCACCGATACTCTCATCCTCGCTCACACCGTACCCCATTTCTTGCGCCGACTGGACTTTTGCATTGGCTTCCCTAACAGACTTCCATCCGTTGAAGACGTCCTTATCTTCTGGGCGTTCAACAAAGGGCTTGGCGAGCCCCTTCCTAGCCAACCGTCTCCTATATCGTCGCTTCTGTTCCCAGTTGTAGCGAGACGTGTCGACTGCGGTAATGTCGACCCCAATCGCGGCGTCCCGCAGGTCGGCCAACCAGTCAGCTACCTCGGGCCCAAGTTGGCGTGTGAATTCCCTGCCCTGCCCCCCAGCTACCCATTGATCCAACTTTACCGGAATTGCGTAGCCCCAGACCGGGTCGTCCGAGGACCAATCGCATGGCGCACCAGGATAACAGTATTCGGGCTTGCAGTACCGGAAGCACATCCATGATTCCGCGATGTACCAAAGAGAAAGCAGGAAGAGGCCGAGGCCGAAGAGCGTGAACCGGAATTTAGGGCGCCGGTGCCAGAGGCGAGGCAGTGGGAAAGCGACGTACGTCACCGTTGCATCCGACGGTGAGTTTCCTTTAATATGTTGGTCGTGTGCCGTATGCTGCGAAGGTTTCTTGACATCTGCCTGGGCGACTTTGTCCTCGAGGCGCTGAATTCCCTGCTTTGCAATTTGAATGCCCAGGAGCCCAGTCTCGAGTGAGCGACTCATTCGGTCGTATGCTTCCAATTCCTTCTGGCCATCAAGCTTGTTATTGCTATTGCTGCTGCTGCTATCGTTGTTCTCTGGCTTGATCCAGCGAGCATCCGGGACGATAGGGTCAAGGTGGTCCTGGTGGTTGAGCAAGTCCGCAAGATCGTCCAAGGTCGAATCATCCATTTGGTTGGCTCTCTGGATCTCCAACAAATCGTCTCTGACCGTGGGGGGTTTCGCCGAGTTTGCCAACGGCCTGCGGCTTCGGGACAATGACCTGGCACGGCGTCGGGAAGAGAGTGACGACGATCGCCCGGGCACTCTGTCTCCCTTTGATGACTGCGCACGCTTTTGTTGGCGCGTCACAGTACCATCCCTATTGCCTTGCGTAAGTGAGGGCCTGGGGTCCACGCTGCTCTCGGAACTTCCGTTACTGCTGTTGGTCGGATATCTGTGGCCGTCCTCTCGTGTTTCACTCTCCCTTTCCTTAGCAGCCGCAGCTGTGACAGAGCTTTCGGGCTTTTCCACCTTGACTGTTGCAGGCGTCTCGACAAACGCTCCCACCACCCTAGGGGTGGGCTGCGTGAGAGGGTCGACCTTGGTGGGTTTTGGTGTCTCAGCAGGTACCTCCTCCTCGGTGTCCGGGGACAAAGCTCGCAAAGAACCTTTTTCTGACTGGTTCTCTTGCGCCGCGAAAAGCTTCATTTCCCCTTCTATACGCTCCGTAGGGTCAGAGTCTGAGTGAACAAAACTTCCCCGCTTAGCCACCCTCAACTCAGCCGAGGAACTCCTCGAGAGGCCGGTGAACCCAACAGTTGGCCTAACATCGCTCTTAGCGCCGCCAATCGACCTTCTCTGTCTCATACGTTCTGCTAGCGACCCATGGCCGCGAGGCGCGGGAGGTTGTTCACTCGCAACTACTTGCGCTGCTGACGCTGAGCTGCCGCCGCCGCTGGCGATCAACAGGCCTATAACGTCGTTCGTATCGTCTTTCGGCTGCGCGCCACTGGATAGAGGTTCTCGGCCTTCGCCCGCCTCTTGAATTTCGGTACTGACTGTCTTGGCTGGGGGGTGATGGACCGTGGGGGGAGCTGACCCAAGGCTGCTCTGGTCGGTCTGATCCATTTCGGTTTGTTCTGTAGCAGCCACGGTTTCATCCTCTCGTCTCCGCAATCTATCTCGCAACGGAGAGAAGGCTCGTATTGGTTCTCTGCTGGACTTTCGTGCAATATCTGGAGATGGCGAACGTGATATCGCAATATTTCTCTCCCGAAACTCATCTAGCCTAGCCGTGGCAAGGGCCCTCCTAGATAGAGTCTCAATTTCACGTGATCTAAGCTCGTCCAATCTCACACTCGCTCGACTAACGGACCGAGGGCGCGATGCTCTATCACCACCCTCAGGTGCCGCCTCCTCCGTACTACCGGCACCCTGACCCGACTCGAGAGGTTTGCTGGGTAACTTCGGAGAGGCCCAAGTTTCGACGGCGCCTATGCCCTCAGCCAGGGTGCTTTCGGGTTGTTGGTTGGAATCCTCGGCGAAGCGGCCATTGAGCTCAGCTTCCAAGGCGCGTATTTCGTCGATTTTGGTGTTGCTGCGCCCGATGGCCACGGGCGGGCTATTAGACACCTGGAAATCACCGGCTGTAAAATCCGCGTCGGCTTGCCAAGCAAAGCTTTTGTTGGAAGTATGGGAGTCTGGAGGAGCGATAGCAGGTCGCCCTAGGGGCGTCGTGCTTGGTTGCGGAGGCCCGTCGTCAGGATGTTCGGCTAGATGAGCCCAATCCGCCGGTTCGGGAGCTGAATAGGCGTCGCTCGGCTCCCGTCTTATCCCAGATAATCGCCGCAAGAGCGATGGACTACTTGCCGCCGCCTTGGCAGCCCGCGGAGAGGAGGAATCCTCCAAGCTACTCCGACTGGATCTGCGGACTAGTAAATCCCTTCCGGTCTCGACAATCTTAGTCCCGAGCCTAGATCTGGAAAACAAGCCGGTGCTGCGGCGGCTAGGTTCTTCTGGAATAGCCTGCTCTTGGGCATACTGACGCAGCTTTTCGTCAAAGGTACTGTCCGAGAGGTCGCTTTGTTGTGATGAACCGGGGCGCTCGTTCTGGCTGCCGTCACGGATGAGTCCTGGAGGCTTCGCATTCGACCCGCCGCGCGCCAACACACCTAGCGTGCTGGGATTCGGCTTCGTCAGTTTCTTCCCAGTAGATTCGCGCCGAGATCGCCATAACCGCGGTGCTGGGCTGGGCGATCCTTGGGCGGCCTCCTCTTCCTCAGCCATCCGGTAGGCATCTGAAAGTGTGATTGGTCGTTGCTGGGCGGGGCGCGGGATTTTCGTGTTGTTCGGCGACGCAGCGTTGGTGTCAGAAATCGAACCCGAGCTAGTCGGGCGAATAGCGCCCTCCTGGGACTTTGGTCGTGAGAATAAACTTCTTCGCCGGGCCGGGCTGTTGATGACGAGCGGTGAGGTGAAGCGGTTATTCGGCGGCACAGCTCGTGTATCGGGGTCCCTCCCGGCATTGCCAGCCCCGTCAGGTTCCATGTCGGTGTTTCTATTGCCGTCGTGTTAACGAGAAGCGTTCGGGTCGCTGGGTGGGATGATCAGGACCAGGCGGACGCGTTGCGCTGGAAGCTTGTCGCGCTAAATGGTCGCGAGAGCTGTCGAAGCAAACCAATGCGCTGTCATGGTAAATCGGTTGCAAAACGTCAGAAGAAATTGAGGTCGGGGAATGACCGCACCCCGCGGTTCATGGTGCAAAGTATGTGCACCGCTGCTGAGACCCCAGCCAACAATCATAGGCATGCGCCGTTGTCGGTGCTGTCCAACGCAGCCGCCAGCTGGACTTGGTGACTTGGCGGGAGCCGAGAGGGGCCCAACCAGAAAGCACAAGGCTGGCGCCCCACCTCAACCTCTCTATCGCAGCCAATAAAGACTCGAGAGTCGTGGCCGGCCCACTTTCACCATCTGCATACCCCGGCCTTATTCGTCCCATCTGCTGCAGCTGAGGCTTTTCGGGTTGGTTAGGCATTGGACATTGTGTAGCTGCTCTTTGCCGAGCGCTGTTTTCCAAGAACAATACAAGGCTGGCTCGAGGGGACAGGGTCCGATGGATGAACAAGGCGTCCCTGGGGGTTGTCCATAAGTAGGGACATACCCCTACCGACTTATTCAAGCTGCTCTCCTACCGACACACCTCGGTATGTACCTACCGTGGGGCTTGGTGTCGCTGGCGGTTGACAAGGGTTAACCAGCGTTGTATCGCTTGCCGAGTGGAGGAACGATCTGCGATCCTTCATGTTGAAGAAAGCCAATTTACAACCGGTGACGCAGGTATCCCGTTGCTGCCCAAATCATACAGCGTGGTTGCCGTCCTACTTGCCAACAATGGGCACCTTGGGTGAAGTTGTTCGGCCCCTTGGGTCGTGGTATGTCCATATCTCCCAAGCCGGCTGTTCCGGGGCTGGCAATTTGTCGTCGCTAATCCCAGCCTTAGCGAGGTCTACTCATCGTCAAGACACGCCTTAGGTTTTTATCGATGTGTGGCAAACACCTGCCGATATGCGGTGCCTTTGGCTCAGGCTCAAGGCCAAAGCATGTTAGACGTGTTGGAAACTGCTGTTGCCGGTGTTATTCTGACTATTCCGTCCTTGACACTTGGTATCGTTGGCGAGGAAACCTCCAGCCCCCGGTTCACCCAACAGAAGTCCATGAATCTCGAAGACCATTTCGAGTTGATCGAAAAGGCAAACACAGATCCCGCTGCCCGTGATTCTATCCTACTTGGCATTCTCGAGGACCTACATGATCGGCGCTGGCCTGACATAGAACGTCGACCGCCTTGGAAGCTGACCGTCCTTTCCTGGGACACCGAGCCGGAAGGCGGCCTGGTAGTGCTCGATGTGGTGTTCGCGGTACACCATGCTATTGCCGACGGGCGGAGCACAGCCCTCTTTCACGCAGCATTCCTCCGCGAGCTCAACCGATCCTCGGGCCGACCGGCACAGCTTTGTGGTCGCACCTTGAACCTGACAGGCGTCCCCACTGGGAAACGTGAGCCCCCACAAGAAGATCTAGTTGGATTTAATAAATCCTGGGGATTCCTAGTTCGGGTTTTGTGGCGTGAGCTCGGGCCCGCCTGGCTCCAAGGACATCAACCCGCAGCGCCGTGGACCGGGAAGGTCATCACCCGCGAGCCATGCAAGACACGGTTACGGCTCGTCAAAGTCCCCCGAATCGCCGTGCCGCGTATTCTAGCTGCTTGCAGGGCGAACCACACGACACTCACGCCATTGATCCATGCCCTCGTTTTGGCCGCCCTCTCTCGACACGTTCCCCCGGAGCACGCCGTGGCGTTCCGGAGTTCGACCCCCATCGACCTACGGTCATTTATTGCCAGCAGCTCGCAGCCTCAGTCGAACCGGGACTTGTTTGGCGTTTTCGTTACCGCCCAATCCCATACCTTCGAGGAGTCTACCATCACAGCGCTGCGGGAGGGTTCCTCGGCCGAAGAAATATGGAGAGTGGCCGCAGGTCTGCGGCGCAGCATGAAACAGCACCTAGACAATGTGCCAAATGACGATATCATGAGTATGCTTGGTTGGGTGTCCAACTGGAAGGAATTCTGGCTGTCCAAGGTAGGGAAGCCACGTGGAGACACATGGGAAGTATCCAATATCGGGTCAATGCCTATCGTCGAGGCGGCGAGCGAAGAAGCGGATGGAGGTTGGAACATCCAGCGGTCCCTCATGTCTCAAGGGGCCACAGTTGCCGGAACTGCCATTAGTGTTAGTGTTGCCGGTGTAGCAGGAGGAGAGATCAGCATCGTGCTTGGATGGCAAGAAGGGATTGTTGAGACGGCAATCGTCGACGCCCTAGCGACGGACCTCCAAGGCCGGCTTGATAGTTTGGGGCTGGATTAGCAGATTCTTTAATATCTAATTAACACTAGAGACACCTGGCCGCCATGATATGTGATACTCAGTACTGTGTACTTGACCACCCTTATTCGAAGCTGTGGGACAGGAGCTTTCAACCTTTGGATGCCTTGGCGGGCGTTCCAGATTCGCTTAGCCTCGAGCCCCACTACCCCGAAGATTATCCGCCGAGCTGCAAGTCAATGGGAAATTTATCTTGGGACTACGATTCCGTTAGACAACAGCTCGGCCCTCGCGTGCCCCCCGCCCCTCCGAATCGAACTTAACGACGATGGCGGTGCCGTTAGTGAGCAGGTCACCTACATGTTTGGTATGCCTGAGGAGGCTGGTACAACCATTCGGCAACAGCAATGGAGGTTCTAGCACCGTCTCGTTAGTGCAGGTTCGCGCAAAGTCCAACAGGCTGCGGCCAAAAGATCAAGGCGTCGTCGTGCGCTTGCTCGAGGATATCCCGAAGTTTGGTCGTCGAGGTAAATTTAGCCGCTTCCCTTACGTTTCTGTCCACTACGAGACAATTGGAGCTGACAACCACATTCCAGACTCTGTGTTCCGCATCGAGCGAGGACGCATGCGCAACGAATGGTTCCCCTCCATGAAAGCAGAGTACATGACGGCGTCGCGATTTCGCGAACTTGGCCTGACACACGAAGATATTGGAGATCGCGATACAACGTTTGGCACGATGGCGGCTGCTGATGACGCCGAAGATGCCTCTGAGTTCGAGGTTCCCAAGGCGGTGCTCACAACCTCGGTATGTATCCCCAGAACTCCTTCTCGCCCCTCGCTACCCAGCGTTTACTTTGGCGATGCTAATGACAAACAATGCACACAGCCCGAAAAGGCTCACACTCTCCTAACGACCATGATCCCTGAAGCCCTCATATTCCACCGAAAACCGATCCCTGTGCCGGCCCCTCCACCCCCCACCCAACCCATCTCTCCTCTTGTCGCTTCCGCAAATACAAACACTGCGCAGGATCATAACAACGGCCCTCTCGCTATTTACGGCTCCGTGTCTGCCAACGATATTGTAGCCCACATCAAGGGGCTGCTATTGAACGATGCTGAGGGTAGCCATGTCATACTGGGGCCGGAAAATATCCATTTTCAGGGCTTGGCTGAGGAGGCCGATAGAATCAAAGCATTGGGTCGTTGGGAGATCAAAATCTCAGTCGGCGGCACCGGGTTGGAGCCCGTCCGGAAGGTTGTCGAGATCCTCCCTCTAGACGAAGCTACGAGTGAGGGCGAAGCACAGCCTGCCCTATGAGCAGAGTAACTATTGCCCTCCAAATTCCAAATCGTGATGCAGTCACGGGTCACCTGTGCAGCCACCGAGGCAAATCTGACGATCGCAAGGTCGCGTGTATTTATTAGCAGTAGGCACAAAATCATGCTGCGATGCTATCCACCTAGCCACCTCATTCCTATCTTTCCTGGCCCTTCCCTTAAACTCACTCGCAGAACAACCGGCGAGAGCTAGAACCGCCCTGTGTCACCGCTGTTGGTTACCAACTCCCTCCCCCCTTCAGAATCCCGTTTAAAGGATCCTGACGCCCCACCCCATGGTTGACATCGAGGCTCCAAAGCAAATATCAAATTACGCTCCTCTTCATTGGATTCAAAAACACAGTAGCATTCTGCTTGTGCCGCGGTCTAAGGGAGCGGGCCTACCGACAGCTTTTGTCAGCAGTTTAAGGTGTGGGAGCTCGTCAGGGTCCCATTAAAGAATCCATATCGCTGCGAACCTCTGGCTGCTGCCTCGGCTCGGCATCCGTCAGCCTTCCGCCGACTCCCATCACCCGCGTTGTCTCGGTAGTATGCGAGGAGGCCAGTGGTGAATCATGCTGCGCGACGCCGGAGGCTGTACCATGCTGTTGCGTCGGGCTCGCCGGCACAGGCGTATCGGCACGCACGGCACGCAACGAGTTAGTTTCACTAGCGACAGCACTATCCCGGCCTCTCGAAACTCCTATCGCGAATGGGAGGGCTTTCCTAGAGCCTGTGCTGGACCGGCGGCTCTCGAGACTTTTAGATAGCGTCTTGCTCACTCCTTCGATACCTGATGCGGCGCTACCGCGGTTCCCAGTCACTCCTCCCTTAGAGCCACCTCGCCCGTGGGTGTGTCTATCGGCCATGGCTTCAACATTATTGGCCGCGACTGTACTTTTAGCGAGTCCCGGGGTCGATGGCGCCCCAGGCTTATCCTCAGCAGCGTCGAGTAGGTACCAGCGAAGGCCGTCGGACAAATCAAAAGGGTTGTCGTTCTCATCGTCATAGGGCGATTCAGATTCAGTTGCCCCCCCTTTCTTAGCCGATCCTGGGGGGGTTTGGAGCGACTTCGAGAGGTCCACGACCCGATCCTGAACCCGCGAGATCCTAGCCAGGAGCCACTCCCGATTGCGTAGCCGATGTGCTTCTTGCTCTCGTAGAAAGTAGTGCGGAAACCCAACGTTGAATGCTGCCCAAGCTCCAGTCGTCTGGTTCCTTGTTGGAAGAAAGAGGGCAAGGTCGCCCTCTTTGAAATTCTTAAACGCAATCTTCTCGTGCGCTTCCTTCTGCAACGCTCGCGCCTTGTCGCGATATGCCCGCGCGTCGCGCTGCAGCTTACGGGACCATGTGCTCAACATCTCGAACGCGCCGATACACAGTCTTTGTTTCGCTGAAGACGTCCATGTCGGAACGATCCTAACGAGGATATGTAAGCATCGTACTTCTCTGACTCGGTCCCCTTGTCCGAACAGTTCACCCAGTTAACGAGGTCGAGGTCCGTGCTGCTGACAACGGCGGCGCGGCTGTTGAGAATGCCCGATCGGCGGAGCGATGAGCTCGGGTCCGAATCGTTGGCGTTTTGTGATGACCGTTCGGAGCGGGATACCTTTTGTATCGCCATGCTGCCACCTTGACGAGTTACCGAAAACCCGAGCCGCTCGAGTAGGTGGATCAAGCGCTCATTGTGCGAGTATAAACGCTGTGTGAGATCCTTTGCGTGCTCCGATCGAGTATCAAAGAAAGCCGTCAGGCTTGACAATTCGGCCTGTGACCGCTGCAGCTTGTCCTTGTAATGCAGAACCTCTTCTTCTAAGCTTCCCACCTGTGAGCTACGAGAAGCGAGCTCCTCTGTGACGGCAGTGATCTTCTTCTCTTCTTCTTCCAGACGTTTCCGTAGGGATTCGGAACCTGTTTCCCCGTCGGCGATTTCGGTACGCAATTGGCGGAGCTGCTCGCGACCGTCACACAACTCGCCCTCGAGCGCTAGAACTTTGGCCTTCTCCTCAGCCAAACTTTCGCGGAGGCGAATCGATGATATCTCCTCGTTTGATACGCGTTCCGTCAGAGCTTCCTTTTCCACTCTCGCTGCTTTGATGGCACTCTGCGCGGAGTCCAGCTCCGACCGGAGTAGAGAAATATCACCCTCTAAGCTTTGCATCTTCGCCACGGCATCGCTGGCTTTTATTGAGATTCCATCAACAAGGTCGGCCAGGTCACCGGGGGACGGGTTCGCCTGATGATACCTGATCCCAAAGCTCACGTAGCGCTTTGAGTTGCACATCAGCCGCCTTATTGAACTCTTCGAGCTTCTTGCGAGAGTTGTTGGATTCGTTCTGTGCGACTTGGGTCTTCCGCTCCTGGGTTTCTATCCTCTCGCTTTGTAGGCGTGCTTCTTCGTGTAAGAAGCTGATCTTGGCTTCTGACTTGAGCGCCTCGTCACGTTTCTCCTTCATCAACCGCTCAATCTCGAGCTTGAGGGCCTGGATTGTCTCGTCGTAAGAAGCCTTCTCGTTCTCTCTGGACTCCCCGAAATTTTCAATCTCGTCCTCGGTATCTTCCAACCGCGCCTGCAAGCGTTTGATCTCGTCCTCGAGCGATTTCCGTTCTTCCATAAATTCCCGCTTGAGGGCCTCCATGTTCTCAAGCAGATCCTTTTTGGTGGAGTTGACCTCATCCATCCGTCCTTGGACGTCACTGTACAATGCGACTTGCCCGCCAAGGTCCTTCTCAAGAGCCGCAGACCGCTCCTTTTCGGTACGCAACTCGGCTTCCAGTTGTTGAACACGTTGGGTGAGGATGTCGGTTCCTTCCGCAGACCCCCTCCGGCCATCTGAGGCATGCGGGGATTTGAGCGAGATGCTCGAGTCAGCTCGGTCGTAGAGTTGGTGACTAGGAATCTGAAAGAGATTGCCCAAGCTTGGTCGAGATACTTGTGTTTGCCGATGGAGTAAATCCTCGAGCCTCCTCACGCGACTCTCGGCTGTCTTCAGCTTGCTCTCGAGCTTGGACTTATCGTCTTGTAAAGACCGTAAAAGGTCGTCATCGCCTCGGATCAGCAAACCACTGCGTCCCAGAGCGGCGTCGTGAACGCTACCGTTCTTAAACGCTTTCATCCGCTTAGATTGTTGCCGTGTGGGGTTGCCCAATTCTGAAACCATTTTACCAACATCTTCAATAATCCCGGCATCGGCCTGCTTGGTTTGCAGGAGCGCTTGGAAATCCTCAAGGTCCTTCCATGTCATGGCTGGCCACCGTTCCTCCTCTCCGAGGAGGTTCACTTCAAGGCCGGGAACATTGCTGTCGGAGCGGAGAAGTTCTGGGCCATATGCGGGGCCCATCGTTTTGTACCACCGCCGTCGTCGCTTGACTTCTTCCTCCTGAAATAGGGCCATCTCATTCGCAAGCGTAGATGAGTCTTGTTTCATCTTGTCGTACCATTCACGGCGCTTGATGGCCTCTGCGACGAAGGAAGCATACATATACGGGACCTGTTGAATCAACCGCAAGTAGTCGAAAGTAGCAAAATCCTCCTCTTGGTTCACGACGCTGAATTGCGACTTAACACTTTGGCTCAACGCTGTGATATTGGTGATGCCGCGCATAAAATCAAGCGATTCCGTGGCCAGAGAATTTCTTGCCTGCGTGACGGAGCGCAGCATGTCATGCATTTCCACGGCTCGTTGGCTCACGCTCGGCAACAAACGCTGCGTGTGGTTCGCGGCAATTTTGGAGGCCTGCACCACGGCATCTCGGGTAGGACCGGCATAACTGAGTGTCGTTTCGTAGTCGGTGCATATCTTCTGGGCCAGGGCTTCTATGTCGTGAACGAGCTGCTGGGGTTCACCGGCGTGAGGCACCACATATCGCCCATATGTCCCCTCATACTCGCGAAACAGGTCCTGGGCCCCCTGAAACAGGCGGGAGGCAGCTTTGTCGAGGTCGGCGACTTGGACTGTTGAACTTACGGAGCGTCGCAGGCGCGAGGCGGCCCGCCTTGCGTGCCACCTCCAAGTCCACCAGATCCTCAAGGGTTGCCTTGCGTTGTACTCGTCCTTTCGCGTCACCAATGTCGCAACCGGTCATGAACCGGACCATGGCGGGGGGAAACCGGAATGCTCCTGGCAAGCGATAGGTACTGTTCCCACCCCGCCGCCAGGGCACCATAATCGGCCTGGGTTTCTGGAAACCATTTCTGGAGTTCCGAGTATTTGGCTTCATGCCCCTTGATGGAAGCCTCGAGGTTCCGAACGGCGGCATCGAGACAGCACACCATGACGTCCATCTCGCCATACCCGTCTTCTACTACCGCGGCCATCTTTCGGCAGTCCTCGACCACCCGAAGCGCCCAAGCACTACGCGTCTTGAATAGCTCCTGCCATGACTGTACGGATTCGCTTTCTTCGATGGAATTCGGTGGGCTTTCGATAGTGTATCGCTCGGGGACCGGAAGCTCGGGTTTAGGGTCTAACGAGGAGGTACCTGGTGAGAGTGCCTGTGCCAGCCGATTGTCGTAAATGCAAATCTCCTTCTAAAGCTTCTTGTCAGGAACCGAGCGCTACATAGCAGAAAGATATACCATGGGTCACCAACCTCGGTCTGTAATGTCTGGGATTTCAGCGGCCTCCCCTGCGGGGTCAGGATAATCAGACATTGGGCCGGTATCGAGCTCTTCCTTGCCACCAAAGTCTTCAAATCATCCAGTCTAAAAATTGTTAATCGACACAACATCACCAACTTAGCGTGCTACTACAAGAGGACGTACGAGGAGAGCTGTGAGGCGTCTATTTGCAGGCGCTGACCCGTATGGGCGACCAACACCTGTGTTGCCATGCCAAAGCATGCCTTCCAAAAGAGGACGGTCCCCAAAGGGAGAAATCAAAACGGAATTAATTGAGCCGAAGCCTGAGCCGAGAAAGAAGAGGTGGTCGATGGCGTGTTGCCGTATCTGCGTTTCGGTTGACCCGATGTGGTTGGCCGGTGAACCCCTCAATCTTGGGCGCCCAGACCAATCCCCAAGAGCCTCTGATAAAATCGTTTGAAAGTTCGAAAGGATATTCCCACATTTAAGATGGAGCCTTGGTCGGCGCACAGGGTGAGCCAAAGAGAAGCCGACTTCTTGCGTGTTGCCTAGGTACCTAAGGTAGTTCAAGCTGGAAAGGCACGGGCGCTCAGCAGACGATACATAACCCCAGTTAGTCTTCGCACAGTGCGAAGGCCGTTCCGGGCTTGTGCATGTGAAATCAAAAACCCTGGCACTTCCCTGACAGAGATCTGTCAATGCCAGTCACCGTGTTTGATACTGTGTCATTCGTTCGCGTCATTCGTTCGCGTCATCCGAGCAGAGTCTCCACTTGTAAGCTCGGATCATCTCTCCGTGCTTCCTATCCACCTGAGGCAAAGAAACAACTTAGAAGCTATCACCAACCGAGCCCCAGATTGCTGCTGTTGATGACATGGCCTCACCAGCCGTACCTGAGCCATTTTCCATCGCCACAGAAGCTGAGGCCAATGCTTTGACGTTGTATGACCAACTACAGCAACTTGAACTTGAACTTGCTCTTTTACGATCGCAGCGAACCCACCATGCATCAGGTTAGAATCGGCGCGGGAGGCGTGCAGCAAGAGAAGGAAGCCTTCCATGCTGACGATCTTGTCAGCAGATGAGAGCCCACAAGTCTCTGGGCACAACTGGGCAGGCAAACAAACCCACTTATTAGAAGCAAAAGCAACCCTCGCATTGCGCAACAGTGCGGTAGAAAGCGTGGCAGTAGTCCAACCGACACTAAACGCCGCCCACAAAGCGACGCAAGCCTCAATTGTTGAAGGGTACCATTAAAATACTTCCTCAAACAAATAGCCCAACGGCCAGGGCGTGCTGACGATTTGGTTTCAAAGGGGCCTGTTGCCAACCATACAGCAACGGGACAAAATCACGGTCAAAGCAGCAACAATATGCGCAGATTTGCAGACAGCGCGCGGCAGCCTGGCAGGACTTGAGGTCGAAAATCTTCATGCCAGCCAGCGAAACACGTCACTTGCCACGAAAGTTCTGGAACTCGCCGAGATAACCCATAGCCAAACCCCAGAGAGTGTCGAAAGCGGGCAGTACAAGGGCAGCATAGATATTTTAGAAAGCAAGGTGGATTCGAGCCGTCGTAGATGGAGGGTAATGAAGGGGGCAGCAAGCGCCATTGTCGCCGGAAGCGGTATTGATTGGGTTCGAGATGAGCGCTTAAGAGACTTGGTGCTTGATCCACCAGAATAACGCAGACCTTGGGCGTCTCTAAAAAACAGCACGCGGACGAAATTCTTCAATATATCTCGGGAGAAACGGCTACTTGAAGATGAGCCTGGAGAACTTGCAACTTCGCCAATTATCATTTGGGCACTTAACTACCTAGGCAAACTTGGTAGTTACAAGTAGACAGTTCATGCCGATCATAGGAAGCAACGTGGGCAGGGAAGTGGATGCGCAGGCCAATACAGCACGAGAGCCGGTTCTTCTCACACAAGGGAGTCTCTTATAACATCTCATGATCAAAATTGGGAAGGGAGAGATGTGCAAAAACACCGCTGGGACAGCTTTGTTGGGGGAGGTGGAAAGTCGCGGAAGACACAAGGCAAATGGTGGATCGCAAAGCAGCCAAACAAGTCCTTGGTCTCGGCTGCTGGCTGATGTGGGCAATGTACGAATAGGGAACCGGCAAACGCCAGAGGAAAGATAGGGGAGCGGGTTCCGCGCTTCGAGTGTGGCATTTTGTGCGCAGAAAGATACGGTGTGATTGACCAACCATGGATTCCGAGGAAGGGACGGAGGGACGGAGGGACGTGCCCAGACTGATGGTTGTATGTGGTACTTGGCGAGCAACGAATTTTAGTGCCTATCCCTGTACTCGGCAAGCTCGCTCAATCTTCGCTGGCACTGATGCCATTGCAAGCAGTGGAAGACATGGCAGAGTCGACCAAGCCCTCAATCTCGACCAAGAGTCACCAATTTTTTCGACAACTCCATGATTGCGCAGAACGCTACTTCAGTTCTACAGGATAATCGAATAAATACCTACTTTACCTTACCTACCAGGGCATCTATCCACCGAGGGTCTGTTCAGCGTCGCCGGCATCAAACCAGCCAAGGAGACCAAGCAATGGATGTTCTGCCCAGTGGACGAAGGCGACTCGGCTTCGGTCTCCAACGGATGACGGTTTGTTATAGCCGGCATCATGATCATCCCTTATAATGTCTCTTTGGTTCGTGAGAACGCGAAGGAAGCGACACAAAAACAGAGTTTGACAAGCAACGCCTCCTCACCTTTTTCATGCGCCCACAACATTCTACGTCGACCCATAAAGGATCCCATTGGGGGTTGGAGTATGTTTGGCCCTTGCAGCCCCCCAGGGGAACTGAGAAAGGCCGGAAGGTCTGTTTTAAACGATGCAAGCGGGCGCTGGCTTTGGCAGCTCGCCAGGTACAAGGTACAGGAACGCACAGTCCGGCTGTCCAGGCACTCATGTATCCGATACCTCCAACTGGTCCGTGCTCAGGAGTTGTGGACGCGCTGAAGCCCAGGACCGGGCAATGAGAGATGAAGGGGTGCCTCGCCCCTCCCCAAAATCGGGCCAAAAAATCAGCCCGTGCTGCAGCCCTTTTTGTTATGGCAGGAAGGAGGGTCCCCCGCTTCCCTCACTCAATCAGCCGCCCATAGTAAAATAGGAGCACCGGCGTCCCCCCTCCCCTCTCAAAATCTCCCTCCTCTTCTCCCATACAAACTCCCACAGCACAACGCCTCAGTTGACCTCCACATACCCAACTCGCAGTGAGTACCTCCCCTCTCCGCAAATCTCAGCCGACCTCCCAAGTACTTCCCTGGCTCCTCATTGGCGTCGCGCTTTTCCATTGGGTGCATTTTCCCCAGTCGCCCTACGATCCAAGCTCTTCCCAGGTTTGCTGCTATCGCCGCGCACGCAGCGCTTATGCTCTTGCCTCTGCTTCCACCCAAAACTTGCCTCCCGTGTCTGCAAGCGCATCATCTTCTGTCCTCCGCAACGCCAACAAACCCGCGCATCTCACAATCAAAACAATCAACACCGCGTTTGCTAACCCCAGGCGCAGGGCTCGACAGACCTGCACAACGTTTTTTTTTCCCCTGCCGATTCAATTTAAAGTACGTATTTTAATCGCTATGGACCGGTTTTGAGTTTCGCAATGCCTTATCGCATCTCCGTTGCCACCAATCCGACAGAGTTCTGTGGGTTGGTCGCGCCAAGCATGTCGCGCCGCGCAGATGGGACCAGACGCGCGACGCGCCTGGACCGGCTGCCCCTCCCCCGATTCCCCGAGGTCTACAAAATAGGGTGACGCGAAACCACGCCGGCGCTACACTCCACGTTCCCTCACTACCCATCAATCACCCGCACACCAATCTCCGATGGCCATTTACTAATTGTTCTAGTTCTCCACGCAGCCACTATGCCGAAGGCAGCTAAGAGCAGGTCTGGCAAGGCCGAAAAGAAGACTCGTCAGAAGAAGGGTAAGTAATTATTGTCCCGGTCCCAATTGCTTCAAAGTCGATCAAAAACTGACTGGCCACCATAGACCCCAACGCACCCAAGAGGGGCCTCTCTGCGTACATGTTCTTCGCCAACGAGCAGCGCGACAATGTGCGCGAGGAGAACCCTGGCGTCTCGTTTGGCCAGGTCGGCAAGATCCTTGGTGAGCGGTGGAAGGCCTTGAGCGACAAGCAGCGCGCGCCCTATGAGGCCAAGGCGGCCGCCGATAAGAAGCGGTACGAGGATGAGAAACAGGCGTACAATGTAAGTGTCTGATTTCTCCCAGACCTATGAAGTGCTCGCCGTCTAATTATGTGTCAAGCAAGCTCAGGCCGACGCCGAAGAGGAAGACTCCTCCTGATCGTGCTTTGCTCTCTATTGCGCTTGGGGTAGCCGGCCTTGGTAGACGTTCTTCAATCAAGCAGGTCAGCCCCATCCGAACGAAGCCTTTCTTTCTTGTATTTTTTGGGATGGGCGGTGTTGCTTGGGGCACGGCAATGGGCTTTCAGTGCTTCTCTTTTTTTTTCTGGCATGGTCTGCGAGAGGGTTACTATGAACTATGGAAACTGGAAGGCAGGATTCCTTTGGGGTGGGTGAAATCGATCCATTCCAGACGAGGGTGCAGCACTGGGCCCGACGACATGTATAACAAAGACCTTTCACACTTTCAGGTACACCCGCGACCATGTGACGTCTGGTGAGGGCTCATTTGTGCTTCCCTAACTTTCCCATATGGCCTGCCAACAAATTTGGCTGCGAGCTAGCAGTCCCTTCCTGCATCCACCCATGTGGGCTCGTGCGTACTTCAGTCGAAACAACATATCCTCTCGCTTGCCGTCTCACCATCTCTTTTGGACAAGCGACAGGCGTTGCCCGCAACTTGCCTCGCCGACCTGCGTCATCGTCGCCCCCCAAAGTTAGCTGAGCTCCTTAGCCCATATGTGTGTTTCGCAACCGGGCTCGCGGGAACGCCCGTCCTTTTACACTAGGGATCCATTTCCACTTCTCCACTTTCCCACGCCGCCGACGGCATGGTCAGAAACGGTCTCTAAGTGCGATATGAGTGGTGGCAACAACACCAGGCCCAGCGACTTCAGTCTCTTGAGGCGTGGGACCACATGCCGATTGGTCCCGTCGCCCATGGGAGACATCCCCGGAACTAAGTGCAACACGATCCGCATGCGGAGCTCTGGCGCGCTCTGCAGCACATACAATTGGGCCGGCTTCGTGGCAGCCTCTGACTCCCCAGCCGCCACGTATGGCCGTGCGTCGCTGCATCTTCGATTCGACGTTCCGCATGACGTTGATTTTGCGTCCCGCGGTGATTCGTAGGCTCCATTCCGTCGGCTACGAGGTGCGACGCATCGCAAGGGTGTGCTGTCCCCGAAGACCGTAACAGGCCGTTTGTGGTGCCGAGATGCCCAATCTTCCTTTGCCCTCACGCATTGTAACAGACGGTCAAACACCTTTGTCTCGAACCCGTCATCTTGACCTACCCGCCATCGTCAGGTGGCTGTCGCATCGCAGGAAGTGGGCCTCTGGTGTCTCGTCACTGGCGCTCGAGCGGGGATTGGGCCGATGGTTTAAGTCCTCGTTCGACTTTCTTCCACCATTTTCCCCTCCCTTGTCGTCTCCCACGAAGACCGACGAAACCACATCTCCTGACTTCTCGGGGCCCCAACACCCTATAAGGGCTATGTTGAACTAGTCTCTGTTATCTATCAAGGTGTGGCACCCGTCAAAACATAAAGGTCCCAACAACGTTCATCCACGAACCAATCATCCCGGGAACAGCATTACAAGAAACAACCGGCCGTACGGCAGAACCATGGTGTTATGCCTTGGCGATGTGTCGGCACAATCGATGAGACTCGTATTTCGGGCTTTCAGACACGACACAGCAGTGGGCCACTAACTTAGCCCTTCGCACGGAGAGGCACGCCAGAATGGAGCCACCGGGCCCGGTCAATATTCCCGTCGAGACACACCTCCTCTTGGGCTGCTGCCGCGAGGCCGACCAGGCTGAGGTCACCGCTCGGGGTCTTGATCAACTACGAGCAGCACTTTCGGAATCGTTCCATAGCCATCTCATAGCCCTGGCCGAGGAAATTCGGGGTTCTAGCAGACTCCTACGCGGCATTGCCGACCACTCTCAAATGCACATCACGCGGGTTCCTTTTATGACCAGCTACCTAAACGTTTTACTACCTTGCCTATCCCGGACTCTGAAAGACATCACAACCCACTACGAGGATAAAACCCTCTCTAGAGAGATAAGATGGCGCAAGATGGTACCAACAAAATGGACGGGAGGAAGGCTGCTGGGCCTCCCGGTTTGCCCACAGCCGCTTCCGTTCTTTACAACCCACTTCGCTGTCGCTACTAAAGCAGCTTATCTCATTAGGTATTACATAGGCCCATTCACTCATGCCGAGTTTCCGGCCTTTGCCTAACCAAAGACCAGGTCTCCGAGCTTCGACCTCAACACACTTGAGACCCTCCGCACGCGAATCGTTACGCTACGTGAGCAAAGGGGAATACGTAGGTGTTGCAGCTCGTCGTTATGTCGAAGAACATGTCCATTGACTCGACACATACCTCACAGCCCCACCTGCGCCGCAGACAGGAACTCTAGTCCGCCAGAACTTGATGTCCCTTACAGTTACACAAGACCGCGTTCGTACTTTCTAGCGCCGCGTTGCATGTCTGCGTTCTCTAACCCGGGGGCCAGCATTCGCATTGGGCGGAGCAGATCTTTTCTCTTCCCCTCCCATCCCGAACGGCATTGAAACACCGAAAACCGTGAGTATTGCCGGCCCAAACTCAACTCTGGGCCTTTGCCGATGGGTCCTGCTGACCTCCCTCCAGGTGCAAATCTTACGGTCCATTCTATGCATGGGGCCACTTAACCATACCACAAGACTCTACGGTTCTGTTCCGGCGGTAAGTTTCCTTGGTAACTCCAAGGCGCACGGCACAATACCCAGCTCAACGCCCGATTGTCCGACAACATAGCCGGTTCACGCCGGACGAGTCACAGTATCTAACAGATTTGTGCAACAACAGGCCTTTTGACAATGACACGATATCCATCGTCGTCTTCTTGAGCTCCGTCGACCAGTGCCCGTACTTCTTGATGAGGACCATGCAGGACAACACCCCGTGGTACTCCATGTTTGGTGCCCATGAGCTTTGTATCGAGCGCGAAGGAAGTGCTCTGCAACTGAAGAGGTGGAGTCGCTCGGAGCAATGTAGCAAGCTTTGGGTGGCACTGTATTTCCTGACCTGGGAAGGTGAGTAGCTGAAACCCAAGGGGCGCGATGCTTGTTCGTAACGCTTGCTGATCGGGGCTAGAGATGATATTGTTCTATTGCACTTTCGTCGCCCTCAAGGCTCGCAATTTATTGACTGTTCAAATCCACCCAAATGAGTTCCAACTGCGCCGGGAGAAGCGGTTGTTCCAAGCGTATGCCCCTGGTACTCTATATGGCCCGGGCTTAGGATCTAACGGCGAATATGGCTAGCCAAATCATCGACGACGGCTTCAAACACTCACTGATTGTCTACGAAGACATGCAGTCACGGGGCCTGCGACTGCACGCTGCGGTCTGGGAAGGCGAGCTCAGGCAATGCCCTGTGTGGACCGCCTTCGGTTGGTTATCCCCGCCACCCCTTTGCTTCACTGACCCGGCAGTCGTCCGCAATATCTGGTCCCAAATACTAACCGTGACATATTTACCAGTCACACACCAGTCCCAATCCTCAACATGGCTCAGCCGCCGCTCTCGACACAGAGTCTGGCTCAAAGACATTCAGCTTTACGTGTTTTGCAACACATACCGGCAGGAACATATGCGCCAAAACAAATCTGGAGCATTCGAGATACATTTCGACCGGGAAGAAGATATGTATTGCCCAGCGGCCCGCCCCAGGACGGTGCTTCTGGCAACATCCCCTTCGAGTCGGCCCATAGTTGCCGTTGATAGTACTGACTCCCCCCGGCCGTAGCAGCCAAACGATTTAAAGAGCTGTTCTCTGTCAAGACAGTCGCTCCAGAAACGTCCGAGAATGAACCCGTCGCCAGTTCTTCGGCGTAAACCCGCTCGTCCCCTACCCCTCAGGCAGTCCCCGTACCCGAAGACTATACAGGCGTCGAGGTTTTGCAGTGTAGGAATTCTCCGAAGAGTAACCTCCAATGAAGACTTGCTGGTCCACTTCCTTCAGCCAATTCTCACCCACAGGGCGCGTAGTGAATGGTTTGCCGAGATGCGATAGATCGCGGGCAAATATCAACTCGGTATCCTCCAGGGACAATATGCGTGTAACGTTCTGTACGTGTATCTGAGACAATATAAACCAGTTAAAGCTTCAAGGATGACATCACGACTCCTTCGTCTATCGGCGCACATGCTAACCGGTCCTTTACCGTCCCGTGAACTAAACCCTGTTTGATAATGCCCTCTCGACCTCATTGCTCATACTAATTGAGTACATTGCGACACCATCTATATTCTGTTCCCAGAAAACGCACTAGCAAAACCAGCCCAACAACCCAAGGTTGGAGGATCGGGTGCGGGATGCGGCAACACAACCTGCGTCGATGGATCCGGACCTGCCAATAAAAACCCAAGTCTCGCGCATCCCCCATCATCAAGGAAACAACGGTGCCGCAGTCCACGCCACCTGGCCACCCCATGGAAGGGAAGAACTTCAGTGTTGTCAAAGAATGGAGCAGCAGTGGGGCCAGCTGAGGGTCTCCCCAGGGTCCAATACCATCCGATTTCTATCCGCGTCGGTACGCTGCGGTACCTTGACCTGTCATCAGGTTGGGTAAGGCATCTGCTTGATGGTTTTAAAGCTACGCCGCCCCCCACCACCAACCGCAAAAACGGCCACCGTCTCGAGCTCCTGTCCTCAACTGCTCCCACCACCCCGCTATCCACCCACACACCGACAGCGGTAAACAACAAACAGCTCCTCTCTCAACCAGCATACCAAAACAAAGATGGATGTCAAGACCGTCGATTTCACGCCCTTCACGGACCAAAAACCTGGCACGTACGTCACTGATAACCCCGCCCCCGCATCACTCACCCCGCCAAAGCTTCCCCCGAGATGCGTTTGCGAGAAGCATCATTGTTGACACGTCCGAACGCTCAATAGCTCTGGCCTGCGCAAGAAGGTTACGGTTTTCCAAAAGCCGAACTATAGCGAGTCTTTTGTTGCAAGCATCCTACTGTCCATTCCCGAGGGCGCTGAAGGTGAGATCCACGATGGGTCATGCCAACCACCAGTACTGGTATTACGGAATACGGAAAAACTCACAAGCTTTTCGAAGGTGCCTCTCTCGTCATCGGCGGCGATGGGCGATTCTGGAACCCGGAGGTGATCCAGTTGATCGCCAAGATGGGTGCGGCATATGGCGTTAAGAAGCTTCTAATCGGTCAGGATGGCATCTTGTCGACGCCAGCCGCCAGCCACCTTATTCGCAAGCGCAAGGCTACCGGTGGCATCCTCCTGACTGCCAGCCACAACCCCGGCGGTAAGTGGCCGCTCGTCGCGCTCGGTGTGCAGTTACCTAATCTACAGGCGTAGGGCCCCAGAACGACTTCGGCATCAAGTACAACCTTGCGCATGGCGGGCCCGCGCCCGAGTCGGTGACGAACAAGATCTTCGAGACTTCCAAGACGCTGACATCGTACAAGATCGCCAGCATCTCCGATGTTGACATATCCACAGTGGGCACCAGGACGTACGGGAATCTCGAGGTCGAGGTGGTCGATAGCACGGCCGATTACATGGAGATGCTAAAGGACATCTTCGACTTCGATCTGATCAAGAAATTTTTCGCAACACATAGCGACTTCAAGGTCCTTTTCGATGGCCTCTCGGGCGTTACCGGGCCGTATGGTAAAGCGATCTTCGAGCAGGAGCTTGGTCTCGGCCCCGAGTCCACCCAGAACTGCGAGCCGTCGCCTGATTTCAACGGCGGCCACCCGGACCCTAATTTGACTTACGCGCATGAGCTCGTCGAGGTTGTTGAGAAAAAACAGGTTCCTTTCGGCGCCGCCTCGGACGGAGACGGTGACCGGAACATGATCTACGGTGCCGGCGCCTTCGTCTCCCCCGGCGACAGTCTGGCCATCATTGCTCACCATGCGAAGCTGATCCCGTATTTCAAACGGAATGGGGTCTACGGATTGGCCCGCAGCATGCCCACATCCGGGGCTGTCGATCTAGTGGCGAAGAAACAGGGCCTTGACTGCTACGAGGTACCCACGGGGTGGAAGTTCTTCTGTGCCTTGTTCGACGCCGATAAGTTGTCCATCTGTGGCGAGGAGTCGTTCGGGACCGGAAGCAACCATATTCGGGAGAAGGATGGTCTCTGGGCAATTGTTGCCTGGCTTAACATCATCGCTGGCCTTGGTGTGGCGAACCCTGGTGTTGCACCGAGTATCAAGCAAATCCAGAAGGACTTCTGGACCGAATATGGCCGTACCTTCTTCACCCGTTATGATTATGAAGACGTCGACGCGGATGGTGCCAACAAGGTGGTCGGGGTTCTCAAGGACCTGGTTGCCGACCCTAGCTTCGTCGGCAGCAAAGTTGGCCGTACGTACAAATCCCACCTGGTGTGCATTGTTGGTTCTATCGACTTTCAGCTGACGTGCCCACCCTCTTCCTAGACCGCACTGTGACCGGAGCTGGCAACTTTTCCTACACTGACCTAGACGGTTCCGTGTCGTCAAACCAGGGCCTGTACGCCTGCTTTTCATCTGGCAGCAGGATCGTTGTTCGACTATCAGGGACTGGTTCGTCGGGCGCCACGATCCGTCTGTATATCGAACAGCACAGCAGCGACCCGACCACCTATGACATGGATGCCCAGGACTTCCTCGGGCCTGAGATCAAAATGGCGACGGAGCTCCTAAAGTTCAAGGAGTTCATTGGCCGGGACGAGCCCGATGTGAAGACGTAGTAGGTATATTGTTGAACTGGGGCGACCGGCTTGATAAAGGCGGCGGGGTTAGGCCATGCTTTGTCCGTATGTTCCGTCTTATCCCCCAATGCCGGCATAGAGAGCAGCAGCCGGCTCAGGGCCCAGCAGGCTGGAAAATGGCCGACCTATAATACTTAGCCTCTTCGATGCTCTCGAGTATGTCGTCCTTTGCCTTGTGTGTACCCTTTTTACGAGGCACGGTCAAGGCAACCTGCGGACTGTTCGAACGTAGTTAGTGATTGGCGATGTGAAAGGGGAGGAAGCCTGCCGCAGCCACTTACTCGGAGCTGGTAGGCATCGAGGTTGGCACAAGGCCCGGGCTGATGGTAGGTCAAAAAAGGCAGGTCTACTTACCACCATCTCCGTGCGGCCTCCTTGATGCTGCTGACATCCAGTATACGGTAGTGTAGGTGATCGAGTACCTTCCTGTACGGGCCTTTTCTGAGAAATGCCTGGTCGGCGTGCACGCTGTTCCCCGAGAGAAGTGCTTGACCTCTTTCCGGGATATATTTTTGTATGTAAGCCAGGAGGCCATCCGCTGCCTGCTGAGGTGTCACGGTTGACTGGATGACGGCCGCAGTGAGGCCACTCTCGCCATCTACCACACTCTGTTTAGCAACCGTTCCCCATCCGTTCTTTCCCATAGATGACGAAGAACCCCGGGCAGGGTGGAAAATGGAGGTGTCGAGTCCTGAAACAAATAATAACATGGGACGTGACATACGGACACGGGTACACCACTCATCCATCATGCCCATTTTCTCTTTTGTCTGGTGTACGACAGTGCCCCACCCCGACTCGTCAAGCAGCTTTAGTTGGCCATCGGTAATAATGCAATAAATCTCAATGATGGCATCCGTTTCTGGGTCAAGACCCGTCATCTAAAACAACAAGTTAAAGTCGCTACTCAAGAGAGAAGAGCAGGAACAGGCCCGCACCTCACAGTCAATCCAAACTAGCGGATCATGTCGCTGAATCGGGTGTGCGGCCGAGGTGGCGTGGTCAACGGACATCACGGCGATAGAGGTGAGAATATATGATGGTGGTGTTAACTAGTACCTGAGCTTGCAGATTGAGTCTGTTAGGGTCCGTCGTCGCCCGATAAATAAAAGACCACCTACTGCGTATGGGGCTTTCCGTACGAAGTGCCTTATAACGACGCACGGTACGAGAACAGGGCCCACATCGTGGGGGGATGGATACAGCCAATTAGAACTTTTATACTAATACACAGTACGAAACATACACATTACGAAGTATAGGTACCTGTGCAGTTACAGGGCACTGCACCCACAAAGTACAATGGACTCGCACTGTGGTAACTGTATCTGAACCCGGAAGTGAAGAATTTGGGAAAACCCTCCCTAAGGTACCTTAGGTAAGTCCAGCTACCTAGGTAACTACCTAGGTACCTAGTCACATCGGAAGTCTTCATGCTGCACTGGACTTCACAGTGCAATTTTGACCCGGAGCACCCAACTCTCATTGGTTAGTGGGTGGCTTGGCTTGCTTCCATGCTTGGCGCTCCGGCACGCACGTCGCGTTTCCATTGATGTGGGTAACTGGTCGAAAACACCTAACAACGTGATGCCGAGAAGCTTCCATATCACCTCTAGGCACCTCAAGGCAACGACATGCTTATCGCCAATTGTGACATAGGCGATGAGGATGTGACTCACCGAAGAGGTCCGTGTATAGGGGGATGGTCTATTTCGACGTGCGCCGCGGCGTAGGCACCTGCAACCTCAGCTTTCCCAAATCACATCACCTACCGAATCCTTCATCCAACCTCCTGCTACGATAGTTATTGCCATGGCCGATAACGTGACAACTGAGGTCCGGCGCGTGTGCCTCAAGTTTCTCGACGGCGTGCTTGCGACAATCGATACGCTTGGTAACGGTGTTTATGTGCTTGATGACGAGTGTCTTGTCTCGCTCAATATTCGAATGGCGGAACCTCTCAATATTGAGGAGAACGGTGTTGATTTTGGCCCCCGTTTTTTCTACCCTCGCTATACATTAGAAGAGGCACGGCAGCAAACGGCTGCATACCTTGCTGATCTTTATCCCGATCCGTCTGATTACCCCGAGTGGGCGGAATGTCGTCCCTATGGCCCCCAGAACCCACAGCCGCTGTATAATAACCCACACCCACTGCATAATCGGATGTCAGATGCGGAGGCTAGGCTGTCTTGGTGTGCCGACGTGATCGGTGGGTGTAGCCTTAATGAATCGCGTAACCAGGGTATCTGGGGTGGTTCATACTAGAGGTGTTTTGAGTAAGTTATAGACCCTAACCGTAGAAGTGAAGTCAATACCGGGAAATACAAACGCTGATGATGGCTTCTAGTTCTTGGAACCTCTTCCCTGATGAATGGGGTAATCCGAGTCTCCCGGACTACCACGAGTTTGTGCGGGTTGGAAACCCGCCTCGGCTTTATTCCTTTGACGTAAACAAGGGTATTCATGGGCAACCCCTTCGCTGGCATGCCGCAACATCGGAGGGACGGTGGTAGACGTGGCAGAATCCGCCACGGGGAAGTGTTGCGTAGCGAGGTCGTCGCTGCAATCACCCTCCTGAAGCTCCAGTTCCGCTTCCACCACTTCTGCCGACACCATACCTTGCCCGTGAGTTCCATCGCTTCGGAAACGAGCTTGCCTCCTGGCCTTCTGCCGGAGGCGTTAGGCTAATCTCAGGTTATCGTTTTCTCTTTCATGAACGACAGGGCCGGCCGGAGTCTCGCACTTCCACTACCACGGAGAGGTCCCTCGTACTACGACAATTCCGCCTGCTCGACTTCCGAAGTAACGAGCCAACAACCGACGCCTACCACATGATCCGGTGGATGGCTAACCGCCCAATGGGCGAAACCAGATTCCTCGACGTCGGAGATGAGGAGCCCTTTTACACATCCCACCACCACATGGACAAGGATGATGGAAAATTATTATTCATACTCCGCTATGCCCTAGGGCGTACCGGACCCTCAGCTATTTAATGTACAGGAAAACCGTGCCCTCCCGGGCCGGGTGAAAAACCCATACCAACAATCAAGGAGCGATACGTTTTAGTGAGCCTACATATACAAAGAGAGGAGGCCTCCTGGCCTCCGAACGGGGGCGCTTCGGGCCGCCGCTTCCAGCTCGAGCCTCCTGGCTAAGCTGTACATCGGCAGCTTCCCCGAGTCCATCAGCCAGTCGAGAACTCTCCTCGCGAGCCGTGCAGTCGTGGGATTGATGCCGTGTAGAACAGAGTAAAAGTCCCGTCGTGTCCGAATTCGAAGTTCTCTCCCATCTTCTAGTCAACGGTGGGGCCCAAACACCACACTACCAGGTGTTCTGGCAGTCTCTCGTCCCTCGCCACACTCGCAGGCAGGAGTCAGAACCTCCGGGACTCCCCGTGTAAACAAGAAGTCCTGTAAGCCTATTGCTCCCGTCCGGATTTGAATCAGCAGTGAGCTCTTTGCCTTGCTGAGACCGTCGTGCCTCCTTAGGGTTTCGTTTCGGAATAGCGTCTCCTGCTGATGGTCAAAGTCGTCCGCCGGCCTGGTGATTGCCCTGCCGTCCCGTTCCTTTAACCACCTGGCTTTCCAAGCCTCTTCTACTACCCTGTTCGTATCAACGGTTCCCCCCGTCCAGCGCATGACCGTGCCCGCGGCTCTCTCCACCGCCGTAGGCCCTTGAGGTCCCAAGGTTCGCGGTCGGCCCCTGTTGCCCCTCCTCGAGCTAAGTCTCTGCTGTATCTTGCGGCAGGCGGTGAGGACAACGCTCGCCGCCGTCTTCTTGCCGCCTTGACCGTCGTCCAGGTCGGGTCGTTGGAGTCGGTTTTCGAAATCTGCAAGCCGTTTGTTTAGGTACAAGTCCAATGGTGGTACCCGTGTCTCTGTCTCGAGGTTACGGATGGGGGTAGACTTAAAGGCTCCCGCCACAATCCGCAAGCTCTTGTTCTAGGCCTTCCTGAGGGCCTTAGTGATGCCTTTCTTTGCCGGCTCGCCTCCCACATCCGTGGGATGATGGAAAATTAATGCCCATTATCAGTTAATTTTCTATAGTAGACAACGCAGATGTCCTGGTAGTTGCATATAATTACATCAGATATATCATATTTTCATTCCCTGACAACCCGTGAATCCCAATGTCCTGCAATTGCTGAAGCTCACGTGACCCAATGGGGTTGTCGGGCTGCACACGGCACAGTGCTGGTTTTCATGCCTTGGTACTGTACCTGCCTGAGAAGTCGGCTGACTTTCAGCTTTAAGCTCACTCGCTTGACTGTGTAGGACACCGGTCCAGGTGCGCATCCAATCGCAACACAGCCAGCACTCCGAGTTTATTAGCGTGCTAAGGCCCTATAGGCCCAGTGCCTCCGGGCGAAATAAATTCCATCCATCCACTCCGAGTTTAAGGAAGCCGATCTCAAGCGCCGTCTCGGGGTTCATGCGAACACCAACCCCTCTTCTGGGATGGCGTCTAAGCAACAACACCTGGTGCTCGTTTGTTTCCTCCTCTAACTACCCAGCAACTTTCCTCCCCCCGCCTCGCGGTAACTACCTATACAAGATGTCAGGCACCAAGGAGCACATACTGCCTACTCTCACCCCCCCGAGCCCGCCGCGCATTCTAATCATCGGTGCGGGCTCGCGAGGGCGGACTTACGCCAGCGCCGTGGCATCGTCAACTAATGGCGTGGTCGTCGCTGTTGCTGAACCAGACGATTACAAGAGAAATCATTTTGGCGAGACCATGATATGGGGTCCTCAGGGCTCACCGCCCGAGGGTGCCGCCTTTAACGACTGGCGTGATTTCATTGTCTATGAGACACAGCGCCGGGCCCGGGTTGGGAGCGGCGCGGTGAATGTTCCTCCTGGCGTCGACGCTGTCTTCGTTTGCGTGTTGGATGAGATGCACCGGGAAGTGGTTGTCGCGTTGGCAAGCCTTGGGGGACTGCACATCATGTGCGAGAAGCCGCTGGCAACCAATCTCCGTGATTGCGTCGAGATGTACGCGGCCTTGGAATCCAACAAGGTCTCTGGGGGGCAACAGGCCGTATTTTCTATCGGACATGTGCTGCGATATAGCCCGCATAACATGATGCTCCGCAAGCTTGTTATTCGGGATCGCGTTATCGGCGATATTCTGTCTGTCGTGCACACGGAGCCGGTTGGGTGGTGGCACTTTGCCCACAGCTATGTCCGTGGGAATTGGTACGTGGCATCATATGGAAAGCTCTTAACTTCCCGCACCAGTCTAACACCCATAACCGTGTGATGGTTGGCTCGCGACCCGGGGGGAAGACATGTCTCAAGTCTCGAGTCCTTGCCTGAGTTCTGCTGATGACGTTTCCAGGCGCCGCGAGAGCACATCAGCGCCGAGTCTGCTCACTAAGAGCTGCCACGACATAGACGTTCTACTTTGGTTGCTGTGCTCGCCCGCCGACTGCTCGGCTGAGGATTGCCCGCCGCCCCATCTGCCGTCCACCGTCACTAGCACCGGCTCGCTCCAGTATTTCCGACGAGGCCGAAAGCCAGCCGAAGCGGGTGTCGCCACGAATTGTCTCTCATGCCCCGCCGAGAGTAATTGTAAGTACTCAGCCAAGAAGATATATGTCGGCCCGGAACTCGCGGGTGTTGAGTCAGGCAATAAGAGGTGGCCAGTGAGCATAGTGCTCCCCGACATCGAGTCCTATGGGAGCCAGACGGAGGCCCGAGATGCCATGCTCGCCGAGCTGGCGAAGGACTACAACACCAAAACACCGAAGCCAGAAGTTGCTCGACGAAATTGGTTTGGGAGGTGTGTATACGAAAGCGACAACGATGTGTGTGACGAACAAGTGGTCACACTCAATTGGGATGATGACCCATTGTCCGGGAACGCTGAGACGAGCGGCCGCAAGGCGAAGACCGCAGTTTTCCACATGGTCGCCCACACGAAGAAGATTTGCGACCGGTACACCCACTTATACGGCGTCGATGGTGAAATATTCGCAGATTCAACCACAATCACCGTTGAGGATTTTCGCACCGGCCGGACAACCGTCCATCGACCCAAAGTCGAGGATCACAGTCATGGCGGGGGGGACATTGGCCTTACCCGTCAGTTTGTGCTCGCAGTTGACAAGGTCAAGAACCACGGTTGGTCTACCGATAGAGCACAGAGAGAACTTGTTGGTTGCACCCTAGAAGAGGTTATTCGCAGCCATGCTGTGGTGTTCTGTGCCGAGGCGGCGCGGCGCGGCAGGAAGGTGGTCGATTTTCCCAAATGGTGGGCGGCCGAGGTTCAGGACAGGCCGACACAGGCTCCAGTCTAACCGATCTGTATCTTATACACAAGTAACCTCCAGTGACATTTTATGTACACTGCACAGCCGTTATGGCAATGGTCGATGGGTATACAAGAACCCCAGCCAAGAGGATCTGAATATTCCAGTCAATGAATGAGTAGGCTTGCGTAAGCCATGATTAAAATAGATAGTTAGTACAAGCCCAGGTATGTAGCGGCCATCCTCTCATGGTTCCATGTAAATGTTCAACCTACCGAAAAACTGATGGCCCATCCAACTGCCTACAAATAAAGTTGTCGGACCTGCCCAAGTGGGTTTTGGCGGACGACTTTCAAGCGCCACCAGGGGCCGGCCCCGCTCAGCCTAAGCCCAAGCAGCGTACCCAGATTTCGTCCCAAGCCAAAACCCCCAAGCCCGCCAACGTGCTCGTTGCCGAGTCAAACCCACACGTCCGTCCCACTTGCACCCCCTTGCATCCAAATTCCAGCCCTCATTTCAATATCACCTACGCAGTAGACTCTTGTGCTCCTGTTCACCCCACGTGTTGGTTGGGTCCGTTTTGCGCAACTCCTTACGGCCACCGCCTACTTGATCCATATTCCCTTGGATTCGCGTTTCTATATCTAGAATACGCACTACGCGGCGCCCGACTTCACCCCACATGGAGTCCGCAACACCAACGCAGCAGGCCGGCGGTGTCGGAGCTAGCTGGGGCGCTTTTCTCAAGGTTCGACGCTTCCAACAATACTTCCTGCGGGCTAGTTAAGGTTGTCGGCTGTCGGCTGTCGCAGCGCTACAGTCTAGGCTAGCGTAACTATATGCGATTCCCATTTGCTAACTGAAGACCGGTTTAACTAGTCGATTGCGTCCTTCAACGGCGATCTCTCGAGCCTTACCGCACCGCCCTTCATCCTTTCGTCCACGAGCTTGACGGAATTCAGCTCGTACTGGTGCGAGCATCCCTCCGTCTTCGCCGCGCCTGCGCAGGAACCCGACGCCGCTAAGCGGGCGCTCTTGGTGCTGAAGTGGTTCTTGACCACGCTAAAGCAGCAATACGCCAGTCGAAGCGAGCAATATGGCAACGAGAAGAAGCCGCTCAACCCCTTCCTTGGCGAGCTATTTCTAGGCAAATGGGAGGACAGCGCCGGGACCACGGAGTTGATCAGTGAGCAAGTTAGGTGAGTGCATCGCTGCCGTTGGCGGCGTCTGGTAGCTCTGCTGACCCCGGTCGCTTCTCTACACGATAGCCACCATCCGCCGGCAACCGCATACAACATCACCAACCTTCCTAGCGGCGTCCGACTCGAGGGTTACAACGCCCAGAAAGCATCTTTCTCCAAAACAATCAACATCAAGCAGATCGGTCATGCGCTGCTCACAGTCCCTGTACCGTCCTCCGCGGAACCCGACACTTTTCTGATCACCCTGCCATCACTTCACATCGAGGGTCTTATTTTTGGTTCGCCCTTCGTGGAGCTAGATGGCAGCTCTTACATTACTTCGTCGAGCGGCTTCACCGCAAAGATCGACTACAGCGGAAAGGGGTGGCTGTCCGGCAAGAAGAACTCGTTCACTGCCAATTTGTATACCACCGGAAAGGAGAAGGATGTTCTTTTCAACGTCTCCGGGCAATGGACAAAGTCCTTCGAGATCCATTCTGGCCCCGCCAAGCACAACAGCAAAGAGAACCTTGTCGGGAACTGGGACCCGTCTCCGCTTAGCGAGCTCATTATTGCTCCCCTCGAGAAACAACATCCGCTGGAATCTAGACGGGCCTGGTCTAAAGTGGCAGCTGGAATTGCCAAAGGCGACCTTGACACCGTCAGTGTTGAAAAGGGGAAAATCGAGAATGCACAGCGTGAGATGAGGGCCAAGGAAAAGGCTGAAGGGCGCATCTGGCAACGGCGCTATTTCTCCGCGCAAGAGGATAGTACTGATTCGATTTTGACGAGCTTGGGTCCCGCCGGGGGCCTGCCCGAAAATGGCGATGCAGACAAGACTGGCGGCCTCTGGCGGTTTGACGCTGCGAAGTCTAAAGTGGCGCACAGTGAACCTTCGCTGAGTGAGGAGGAAGCTGAAAAGATGGCGAAAGAGCTGCTAGGGCAATGAAGGGCCTCCGTTGTGGCCACGGATCCTCCTTAGTACTGTATAGGACAGATAAACATCGGATATGTGGTCATCGCGGTGATGCTAGGGTGTGTGGTGACTAGCCATGTGTCCCACCGGCGCTCCCCATCAGTAAGCATTTCGATCCGCTCTAGTACCAGACCATCTCTAGGTTAATCGTAGATGCTTCTTTGGCCGTAATACCTTTTCCAACTGTGCTAAGGAGAAAAGACAAAATTGTGCCGCAATCACGAGCAGGTGGTGAGCATCACATTATCAATACAGTGGCTGCATTATTTCGTCTCTATCGTACGTGGATGCTAGGGGGAACATCCTTATCAAAACTCTATATATTCTTGTGTACATGGTCTAGATCTAGTTTGTTCCTCACAGAGGAGGCTGTCGTTCAATCTCGTAGAAAAGCAAATACACCTCGCGTTGCATGTTTAGCACGTCACGAGTACTGGCTTCTTTGATCTTTTCGTCGCTGATCCGCCACCAGCGGGCCTGCTGCTTCCGTGACTTGGATTTCTCAGCCAGCGCATGGCGCCCGGGAGGCGCTGGCGCTGGATGATCTCGCGTCTCGGCGGGCTGTTCCTTGCTACGCAAGTTATCAGAAAACGAACTGCGGGAGCTCCCTGCCGCTGCCGCGCCTGGGTCCGGAAAAGGGGGTACATCGACGTTGGTTCCGTTGGCCGAGATCTCCTGAGCTGAAGCTGGAACGGTAGGTATCTCAGATAGCTGGCCATCGGCCTCGAGCCGAGGCGTTGGCGCTGGACTGGGTCTCCTACTGTACGCCTCCGACGCCTGGAACGTGTTCGGATTAGAAAAGGGTGGGTATATGTTCTGGCGCCGGAAGGACTCGTAGTGCCCGCTGTGATGGCTTCCTTTGTGCGTCACGACACCGAGGAGCTTGTATTTTCGTTGCTGAAGCAAACCACCCAACGGCAACTGTTCCGGGAATGCGACCTTGGCCGAGTTCTTCTGCGATGAATAGCCCGCGTCGAAGATGGACCTTGACAGATGGATAGCCAGGACCTTGGGGAAGTCAGTCAGACGGATGTGACGCGTGATCCTGCGTTTAGGGGCGGATCGCAAGTCGGGAAGTTGGACGTCCTCTGGCGGTTTCTCCGGATCTGTTTCGATGGCGTGCCTCAGCTTTTCCACCGCTGCCTGGGCTTTCGCCCGCACTGTCTCCGATGAGGGCCGCTGCGCATCTGACTCAACGATAGACAACGCGTGCAGAAGGCGGCATTTTTCACACCTGAAGTCATCGATGTACTCAGTTTTGAACATGTCGTCAAAACATGCGCCCAATGTCGTGAGATGAAACCCGAGGCACATTGAGGGTCAGTGTGCAGAAGGTGGAGACCGTCGGCCGAGGTTTAAACCCGCAGAGTTAAACACTGGATCTGTGACTCGAACCTGCCTTCCAAAGAGAATCCTTCTTCTTCTTCGGTGTCCGTACCTTCTTCTTGACCAATGTCACGTTCCACCTCGTTCTTAGACGCCCCAGCGGATGACTCCAGAACCGGCAGAAAGCCTCCTGTCAGGGGTGCAGGGTCAGGTAACTGAGGCATCCCGGCGTCCAATATCTCAGCGACGACTGCCCGCGTTATGGATGGCTCACCATCTAGAGTTGCCGCGTGTCTGGCGAGCCACCGCGCCCTGCGTCCCGCATGGTATTCATCACAGAGTCTCTCGGCCACTACCTGCAAGAACTCCTGGGCGTCTTGCTGCTGCCGGCTAATACGCTGCCGGAAAGCCTCCTCCAGAACCTTCACGAAGCGTGCGGCGGAGATGGTTTTTTTGTGAATCGGTCGTTCGTTTAACGCATCCAAAATTTCCTTTAGGCCCCTGGTGACGCTGCCTCTCTGCAATCCGTCTAGCTTCCAATTCGGTATATCCTTGCCGAAACGCGGCAGGGCCTTTTCATGCTCGATCTGCGCCAATATGTCGGCTGGGACGAGCCGGGCGTATACAGATTGGTCGTCAAGGCTGCGGCGATGTATTTCTCGTATCAGATAAAGTCGAAGATCACCAAGGCCCGCGAGAGCCTGGAGTACCGAGTTGATAAAACAGTCGTTCGCAGGGTTTGAGAGCCCGACAACGCCTTTTTTTCGCGTTAAGAGCGCGGCGCTGCCGGAGGTCGAAGCGTCGCCATCAAGGAAATACGTCGGTGCGAAAACATAAACGAGGGTGATTGCCGCTAGAGACGCACCGGCAGCATAGGTGACAACCTTCAGCGTCTTATCTGGCATTATCAGGGGTGTCTAAATGCGCCTGGTGGTGAGCAAGCCAAAGATAGCAAGGAGCAGGCGGCAAGGAGAAACTCATTCCATGCCCCACATGGTGGGTGGGGCGGTCAGTGAACGACCGACTTGGCATTCAACGGCATTTCAACTAAAAAGAGCTAGCATGTGAGCGACGAGGGACATTTAGGCGAGGCGCGAGGGCACTGCCGATGAGACTCTATTCTGCTAATTGCAAGATGGGGAGAAAAGGAAGAGAAGCTGGAAGAGCTCTCGCGATACAGGAGTTAAATGCCAGCGCGTGTGGTCACGTGCCCAACCAAGTGGAGTCACAGTGCACTCCGACGGCAGCTGCCGTCACACTGGCAATTTTCCTATCCCTCTCCGGAGGACAATCGGGGTTAGGGTTGATTACGGGACAGACGAAGCGCCAATATCTGTCCGTCGGCCAACAACTCCATCTACTTGAGCCGTCTTCTTACACTTAACTATAGCTACTAATCGTTTCTATTCTGCCACTCACGTTACGTCTCTACACTCACGTCCTCGCTACTTACAAATCAATTAGACTCTGAGGGAACCTCCCCCGCCACAGCATCTAACGCCTGCAGTTGCCTGGTAGCGTGATCGGACAACTTCAACCCCATCGCTCGTGATGGTGTGACGAACCTACTCCAGGGCCCCGTCCTGTTAGGGTTCAGCTTCGGTCAAAGGTAATCTTGCAAGGGTGCTTAGGTTCGGTGCAGCCAAAGGGTGCACAACAAAGACTTGTCTCAGCAGTAGGCTTTCGAGCTTGTAGCGAACTGTAGTTGTGATTGCTAACTGGAGAACCCCCAGAGCTCTCCAGAACGAGTGACTATATACCTAGCTAATTCCAGGGTGCTCAGTGTGCTCAGTCTGCCCTTGGCAACTGAGCTCACTGATCACTGTCGAGCTATTGTTATCCTGATTGGTGATCTTTACCTGGTGCTCAGTGTGCTCAGTCTCGGCTTGGCGACTGAGCTCACTGATCACCTCGATCACCTTCCTGGCTCCCTGATTGGTCCTTTTAATGATTGCCTCGGGGCGTCCCGCGACCCGAGGTCCCTCCTGTTGGCATATTCGTGACAGATGGTGTCTCGCGGTAGATCCTGCTGCGGTCGAAGGGCCGCTCAAACATCAGCCCGCCGGGTGTCTTCACCCGCGAGACGGCCACGTAGGAGAGGCCAGAAGCAAACTCTGGCGCAGAGATATCGCAGACGACCTTGTCCAGGATGATGCCCTGTGACTTGTGGACGGTGATCGCATAGCTGACCCACAGCGGGAACCGCTCTCTCGAACATGAGTTGGCGCCGATCATGAATTCCTGCCGCACTCGGAGAATGGGAACAGCCAGTTTCCCTCCACTACGGAGCGGCTCCCCGTTCGGCATCGTGAAGGCCGGGCCGTCGTAGTCATCGAAGGCCACCATGATGACCTCGGGCGGGTCTCGCAGCACGTCGGCACCTTCTTTTCAGGATATGTCGTAGACTGTCCCCTGTGCGCCGTTGACGAGCCCGACGTCGGCCCACAAATTCCGCGTCAGCATCATCCTGCAACCAACACACAAGGGCAAGCGCTTGGCCAAGTTGCCGGCATTTGAGGATTCAACCTTCTCCGCACCAACACCCTCGTGCTTTGCCTCGACCTGAATGGCGGGGCTGTCCAGGCCAAGCATGTGTTGGTGGTTGTACTCGACAACCTGGGTCTTGGTGGGATAGATGCGAAGCGCATCAGCAAAGCTGTCAACCTCCTCGGGTGAGAGCTTGACAGAACACCTCGAAGAAAGGAGCTCCCAGGAGGGTACCGACACATCAGCCATTCGCAGTTCTTCCAAGGCCCGCCGGAAAGGAGCCTGGTCTTCGCCCTGCTGCCGCTGTATTGTGGTCAGGAACACGGACTTGTCGAACGAGAGGTACGCGTTGCGCCCGACCATCTCGATATCCTTCAGGTCGTCGCGCGTTGGGTACAGCGGCTTGTTCAGAACAGGGGGAAGCTGGAAGAAGTCCCCGATCAGGATGACGCTGAGGCCGCCGAAGAGCTCGTCGCGATTCTCCAGGAACACCTCTCGTAGGCGCTGATCGATCCACGCGAGGGTCTTGAGGCCGAGCATGCTCTTCTCGTCAATCACGAGGTAGTGGATGCCCCTGAACCGCCGCTGCAAGGCGTTGAGGGTCGTCGGGGTCTCGGAGAGCGAGCGGTAATTGCCGTCGACGGGGAGCCGCAGAAGGGAATGCAGAGTCTGTCCCCCGATCTGGTTGCTCGCCACGCCCGTCGGAGCTGCTCTGACGATGGGGGAGGGCCGGCCATAGAAAGCCGCCTTGGCCTGAAGGTGAGAAGATATCACCTTCACCATATACGACTTGCCAGTCCCACCTCCTCCATCGATCTGCAGCCGGAGGGGCGGAGGCCGACGGTTCTCGTTCTTCGCCCTGAAGTGGCGCATGATCGTGTCGTATACCTGACGCTGCTGTGTGTTCAGCGTATCACGGGCTGCAAGAGGCATATCTTCCACGTCGTAATTGCCTGGAGTCCCTCCGCGAAGCTGCACCTAGTAGCTTCCAGTAGTAAACGCCTCGTGGTAATAGCGGCCGATGTGTCGCGCCCAGTCGTGGTTGACATCCAGGTCCCGGCGGCCAAGCAAGTCGGCCCGTTCATCGGGAAGCTCAATGTCGGGGACCAACCGCGCTACCTCCTGCCAGTCCACAAGGGTAATGTCCCCGGCGTCCCCCTCTGGCTCAAACTCCTCATCTGGAGACGGATCAGGCTCGTCAACCGTGCCGTAGTGGTCGTCCGGGTGGTCGTGATGCTCAAGGCAGTAGCGATAGGCAGATGCGTGGTTGTCGAACTGTCGATCATCAACCTGGGACAGATCTTCCGTCTGGCGGTGGGGATGGCTGAGCAGCAGCTTGACCCGGCAGAAGTCGGAGTACTGCTGATGTGAGCGAACTGGCTTGTACCGGGGGTAATAGTACAACACCCTGGGCAGTGCGGGAGCCTGCCAAATCGCCCATCTCACCGGATTCCGCGCCTTGAAATTCCAATTTTGTAGGAACTCGAAGTAGGAGACATCCTCCATATGATCGGGCCGTCGGAGATACTTCTCGTAGACTGTCCGAGACTCTTCAATATCGCCATCCGCCGTGATGTCAATTGCACGAGCGTGTCTCTCGCGGGGCCTACAGTCAACGCTCTGCACCACTCGGCTGTCCTCTTGCAGAGGGAGTCCCAGGAGGATATGACAGATCTCCTGCGCAGAGTAGTCCCTCTCTCCGATTAGTTTATTCATCATCTTTGACACAAAAGAAATCATCGGGTTGTTGTCTGATATGTGGGGGAAGGATACTCTGGGCAATCTGCGCATATGTGCTGGTCTGGGTCTCGGACTTGCTGCAATACTTCGCAGCATGGTTGATAACAGCCTCCGCACTCGTGCAGGGTGAGCAGTCCGTATTGGCCAGCCAGCAAAGAGAGAGAAGTGGGTTGTACTGGTTCAGGTGGGTATCGTTGCGCTCGGCTTCGAACGACCACCAGCCCTTTCCGGCCATCTCGATGACCTCGGCCGCCCCCCGTACAGGCCGGGGGAAGAGAAACCGACACGTGGGCTCTGGCGCCGGCCGTTCTTCACCGACAATCTCCCCGGCCGCCTCTCTGGCCCGTTGGGCATCTTCCTTCGTCACCCGCAGACAGTAGGTCGACGAGCAATGGTGTCGCTGACAGCGGTTGACGATTCTGTTCAGCCACTCCCAGGTAACGGGCGTCTCCAGAGGGTCAACAGACAGAGGGTTACCCTCGTCAGCGCCCTGCTCTTGCTGCGGACTGACTGCTGTAACGTGATATCCCCAGATCCTTGCGAAGCGCTCTCTCGCCTCGGGGGTTGCCATATGAGGAGGGCTCCCATGGAACCAGTAGAGCCCAGGAGAATGACTACTGCCGCGGCCTTGCCACTCGTACCGGTACCAAAAGTCGGGCACATTGAACTTTTTCTTCAGCACAATCTTCCTGCAAAGCGAGTTCCGCGAGTGGAAGTGCCAGGCCGCGATATGCGGGGTCTCCCGCAACAGCCGGCGGGACTTGGCCATGCGTCTCGGCTCATCAAGCGCCTTCCACTCCTCGTACTCGGGCATGTGCTGGTAGAGGCTCTGCCAGTGCAGGTCGGCTGGGCTCAGTGTGATGAAAGCAGAGGGGACACCAAGACAGTGCGCAAAAGACTCGCACTCGCGACGTCGGCGGTACTAAAAGGGACGTGTGCCTTTGATGACACTAGCATAGCGAGAGATCCGGTTGAAGATGGCCTGGGCCTCTGGCGTGTCCGGATCGGCAAGCGCCTCCTGCAGCGCCTCCTTCGTAAGAGGCGTTCGGTGGTTCTTGCTGACGTAGAATCGGCTATGACCCCTCGCCTGCTGCCTCATCAGAGTGTTTAGCGCGATAAATCGGAAGCTGTGGTGTTTGGCAAATCGGCCATCCTCCCATTTCATGGCATGCTGGATGTAATCCTGGCAGGAGATCTTGCGCTGCCTGGGCTCGACAAAATCCGCAACTCCCCGAGGAAACAGGGTCGGACAGGCGAGAGAGAGCAGCGCATGCTTTCGGTTGAACTCATCGAGAGGAGTGCGCCGGATGGAAGGCATCTGCAGCTGGTGAGCAGCCTGGGGGTCGACTGACTCTAGGGGCACTTGCTCATTGACCTCAGTAGCCCTATCATTGACTCGCCCTTGAAGCTGGTTCAATTCCGAACCATGGATTAGCATATTGGGCACTGCGGCTTCGTCAACAACCTCTCTGTCCTCTTCCGGTTCTTCAACAGGGCCAGAATCTGCAGGCAAACCTCCAGACTCGGCGACCTCGTGGATATTCAGCTGGTCAAAGACGTCACCGTCCTCTGGCAACTGGGAGAGGTTGTCGTAGTTCCAGGTGAAATTTCTGTAGCCAAGGTGGTTGTTGGCGAGGAATCTGAGCCATGTCTCGACTGCTGCTCGGCGGACTCGGAAGCGGTTGCGGAATTGTCGATCCATCTGTTCGACCGCTTCGGATCCACGCGGTCGGAGGATGACAATGTCCAAATCCTTGGGCAGCAAGGGAAGCTCTGAGTACACCTTGCCCACGTCGCGCAAAAAGTGTACAACATGCCCGCGATACTTGTATTGCTGCCCACGAACCTGACGCTGATTAGCTAGTACACTCTCTCGCAGCGAAGCATCGTATACCGTGAAGACATTGACGCTGACGTGCACACGCGCAATGCAAAGCTCCTCCAGCGGCTCTAGTTGGGGCAACTCGGGTGGGACGGCACCAAAATCAAGCTTGTTCTCTGCGGAGAGGAGAAAAGGTTCGTCCTGCCGCTTCTTGTCATCTTTGTCATGACAGCGCTTGCAAACACCATCCGCCATGAGCTTGACGTCAAACCATCATCGCTCCTTGCAACGAAGGCATCGCTGCATCGTCTCTGCAGCAAGTGCCTCGTCTAACTCTCTCTTAACTGCAATGTCTTCGGCCAAAAGTGGCGTCTCCTGGTCGCCGCCTGTGAATCGGGGGCCCGGTTCGTCGAATTGGCGGGGTGGAGACTCGTCGCGGGGGGGTACCGCAGCGGAGCGATGACCACGAGGTCGGCCAACCAGGTTGCGTGAAAGTCGTGGCCGTCCACGCTGACGACCATGAGACCGTGGCGGGGAACTGGGAGGGGGACGATGGCGTGCAGGAATCCGCCCAACGCGGGGGAGCTGTGGTTGGGTGGCCTGCGGATTGTCCTCGTCGTCTCTCACGGCGCTCGGTGCATCATCCCTCTGCTGGGCAGAGGCGGGGCCATCCTCGGCATCCGCCGGCTGTTGTTGACGAAGCAGACCACTCATGGTGGGGGTCTGGGAGGGCTCTTCGCCCTGACGGCGCTGGACGCGATGCTGTCGCCGGATGGCTGAAACCTGGCCGCGAGCAGCCGCCATCTCCGGCGTGTCCGTATCCAGACGTCCACCCTCATGGTACATACTGGCAAGTACCCGATGGGTGAGGTTTTGCCGCGGTGCAAGATGTACTGGGTCGGGCAGAGAGAGGGCAGCGCTCTCACCACGTCCGATCGCGCTCATAGCTGAGATGGCGGCCGTCGATGCAGCTCTCTGTTGTAGGTTAGCTACACAAAACGGAAAGGTATCACGATGTTGAACTTACAGCTCCCGCAAGCCGATCCCGGCACTCCAGGCAGTTTAACACAAGCCTGCCATTGCCACGACGATCGTAAAACTGGTCGATATTTTTCTCGACGCGACAGCGCCGGCACACCTTTGCTGCGTTGGGAGAGCGACGGTGTGGGGTGCTGCGGGAAGTGGGGCGCAGTGGTGGAGCAAGGCTTATCCGCTTGTTGGAAAAGGTTCAAAAAAGCTCCGCAATTCCTTATCAATTTCCCATAGTTACAGATTAGTAATTAACGAAAAAGTTTCAGAACAATACTGTCCTCCGGACAGGATAAAACCTAATTTAGGATCTTCTAAACTAGGTTTATATATTATTAATCATACTCCGCTATGCCCTAAGGCGTGCCGGACCCTCTGCTATTTACTGTGCAGGAAAACCATGCCCTCGCGGGCCGGATGAAAAACCCATACCGACTAGACTAGGTGTATATATCAGCCTCCCTCTAATCAAGATAGGTTTATAATAGTTACATTACTACCTATAAAGATCAATACGTACTGGAATGCCACGGAGCCGCAGCTAAACCTCAGCCCTGGCCAGACGACGGCGCAGAGCTACTGGAGTGGCTAGATGACGTGGAGAAGGCTGCCATAGTGGTGGGGTGGGTACTTGGGCTGGGGAGGCTGAACGAGTTCCGGCTGGCGGTAGAGCTGGAAAATGAGAACAACGAGGAGGCCCGCGGCGGGGCCGAAGCGGAGTAGCACGGGGCCGAAGCGGAGTAGCAGAGGGGCACCGATGGAACAGAGGTTACAACTCATTTTATCTATTTCGTTACTTTGACCTCGGAAGGTGGGTGAGCCCTTTCGAGGAGATGGATCCACGGGGTAGCGGCGAGGCCGCAGCGGAGGTGCGGAGGTTTTCATCCAGCTTAGGCATGGTTTTTCCTACCGAGTTAATTGCTGAGGGACCGCATGTACTTAATACCTAGCGTGGTAAGAGAAATAATAATAATTCAAAGATCAATAGCTAGTAGTAATAGTAGTTTTTAGGGTTTATATTTTCTATAGTGGTTTAAAAACTACTTTTAATGTTATTGGTTCCTCTACCGATTCTTCCCATAGAGTTTAAGTCCTCCTCTTTTTCTTGATATTATTATAAGGTTTCTTTCTAAGATTTTCATGTTATCCCTATACCTTGTATACTAGCTACCAAAGGTAAAGTAACTTATCGCATTTATTAGCTTTAATATATGTATTATATAATATCAAGTGTGAGAGATGAGTGATAGGGGTTGTGGGGCACAAAGGCACTGCAAGTACCACTTTATTCCGTTAATCGAAAGCTAAGGAAAAGAGAGAGAAAAGATTAAAATACAGCCTGTGGATGGCTCGCGGAATGAGTGTGGTGTGCGCACAGACCACTGCAGAGGATTACCGGGAATGCGCATCCAACCCTAACCTTGGGCACCGGGCGCATTCTCCGTCAGAGCAAGTAGACTTCTATAATGCTTACTAAAAGTTTAACTAAGGATTGGTATAGTATCTAACGTAATCTATCACCTTTCCGGCCACACCACCTTTCTGGCCACGTTCCAGCCCCGCAGCCCACCACGTCCACTCTGGATGCACCTTACCATGCCATCGTACCCGGCAAAATGCCAAAGCCTCTGTAGCACGAAGAACGGATCCAACTAGCGGTCGAGGCCTTGCGTTCAGGCGAAACCCAAAGCATTCGCAAAGCTGCATTTGATGTACCAAGGGCGACTCCCCAAGAACGCGTCAAAGGTGGTGCTACGCGTCAACAAGCACAAGTCAAGAACCGAAAGCTACACCCAACTGAAGAAGCAGCCTTGATTAAATGGATCGATTCACTGGACGACCGTGGTATGTCGCCAACGATCAGCTACATTCGACAAATGGCCGATCTTCTTCTCCGCGAGCGTGGAAACTTGCTCGACGCGTCTATCGCAACTACTCCGGTCCCTGCAATGACTGTTGGCGAGAACTGGGTTCATCGGCTTCTTGATCGGCATCCCCATTTGAAGATGAAGCTTTCAAGAAAGTATGACTATCAGCGAGCCTTATGCAAAGACCCAGAGAATATTTCAGCGTGGTTTGCACGGGTGCAAAAGACGATCAACGAGTACGGAGTTCTCGACGTGGATATCTACAACTTTGACGAGACCGGCTTCCAGATGGGTGTTGCAAGTACATCTAAAGTGGTTACTCGGTCTGACCGACGGAACCGACATGTTGTTATTCAGCCAGGGAACCGAGAGTGGATGACAGTCATTGAATGCATCAACGCAACTGGTTGGGCACTTGATCCATTGATTATCTTCGAAGGGAAAGTCAACATTTCAACGTGGTACGAAGACTCACTCTTGCCGAAGACATGGCGGATTGGTGTTAGCGATAACGGCTGGACAACCGATCAGCTTACTTTCGAGTGGCTTCGAGAGGTCTTCGAGCCACAAACTCGAAACCGAACTGTTGGTCGATATCGGCTTCTTATTCTCGATGGTCATGGAAGTCATTCGACGCCTGAATTCGACAAATTCTGTACTGAACCTCGGATCCTTACAGAGTGCATGCCTCCGCACTCGTCGCAACACCTCCAGCCTCTTGACGTCAGCTGTTTCGCTGTGCTGAAGCGAACGTACGGCGACCTTGTCAAAGTTTGACAAACCGCGATTCCTCGAACTGTTTCTCGAAGCTCGGAAAAAGATATTCAATACAAAGAGCATTGCAAGCGGCTTTAGAGCTGCAGGGCTCTTGCCTTTCGATCCAACTCAGGTTCTTTGTCGGCTACAAACCAGGATACGGACACCGAGTTCCCCTCCTACCCCTATCCAACCGCCAAGTCTGCCTCTCAAAACGCCCGTAAACATCGTCGAACTTGACTCTCTCCAGAGAAAACGCCAGAGAGAGACAGGCCCAACAGATCAGGCGCTTCAGAAAATCATCAAGGGTTGCCAGATGTCGATGCACAACGCTACTCTTTTGCAGGAAGAGAACTGGCGACTTCGAGCTGAAAATGGTCGACAAAAAAGAAAGCGGGCACGCCGAGCTTTCATTCAGGCAGGAGGGACTATGACGATTGGAGAAGGGATGACACACATCGAGGCCTCCCAGAATGCTCGCCAGAAGGGTCAAGAAAGCCAGGAAGCTCGTCGAGAGGTCGAAGAAGGAGAGGTGGGGCCATCGGACACGACTGCGCCAAAGGCACGAAAGCGTGCGCAGCCGAAGTGGAGTATTTGTGGCTCAATCGAGCACAACGCCAGAAAATGCCTTGTAAATAAGGACTCGAATTATATAGAATGTATTCCGAATAGACTCTCCTTTGTGTTGTGAGGTGCATCCGAAGTCGACATGGTGGGGTGTGGGGCAGAAAAGTGTCTCACAAGGTGGTGTGTCCCAGAAGGTGACGGATTACGTTATCTAGTAACTATTATAAGTTCTGGTATCCTAGAAGAAAAACTACATAAATTCTACAACTTAGATCCTATACTCTAAACCTTCTAACTATTTAAGCTATTATATAGTAGTAGTATCCTATATTTTAATACCTCTTCTTCAAGATTTATTATTATTATTTCCTACACCGATATGCCCTGGGGCGCGCCGGTCCTTCTACTGCTATTTACAAAGGAAACCGTGCCGTATAGGCCGGATAAAAACCTCTGTCTACCACTTTGAGACAACAATCTATGAATCCGTCATACTGCAAAAGAAAGGAGGCCCTTTGCCGGCCTCCGGGCCCTCTAGCCCTCCCCATCCACTGTTTCTAGCTCCAGCCTTCTGGCCAGCCTATACTCCAGTAGCCGGCCAGAGTCCATCAGCCAGCCAAGGACCTTCCTAACAAATCTTCTGCTCCGGGCACCTACTCCCCGTAATACGGTTTGTAGGTCCCGATGTGACCGAATCTCTCTGCCGTCCCACGGCCTTTGTAACGGCGGGTCGGGGCACCAAGCCACCAAGTGCTCCACCGTCTCCCTGCCTCTCCCGCACTCGCAATAGGGGGTGCGGACCTCCGGGACTTTCACCCTGAACAGGTAGTCCCGGAGGCCTATATCCCCGATACGGGCCTGGGAAAGGAGGGAGCTCTGCGCCTTTGTAAGACCTTCGTGTGTCTCATCAGAGCTTTGTCGGTAAACAAGAGGGCTGGGGGGTCTTCGTCGGCTATCCTCCTGTTTAATACCCTCTGTCGAGTAGTACTTTGTTGACCAGCTCTCTGTTGTTCCCACCGGGCCTGCCAGGCCAGTTCGACCACCTCCTTGGTATTCGACCCCCTATCCTTCCCCCCGATCTTCCATTTGTAGTTAACCCACTGGGCCACTACACTAGCGGCTAGTTCAGTGGGGCGTGGGACTCTGCGGGCCCTGACGGGGCCTCCGGCCTCGGGTTTTCCTCCTCTTGTTGAACCTTCGGTAGACCTTATTGCAGGCCTCAGTGATTAGATGCCCCGTGGTTATTCTCTCAGCCTCCGGCCCAGCCCCTGACTGTAGGGCCTGCTTCTGTAGCCGGCCCTCGAAGTCGGCCAGCCGCTTGTTGAGATATAGGTCTAGCGGTGGCACCCAGGCCTCTGTTTCTAAGCACCGAATAGGAGCTGACTTGTATGCCCCTACTACTATTCGAAGGCTCCTGTTCTGAGCTTTTGACAAGACCTTTGCAGGCCCCTTCGGCCCTGTAGCTCTTGGAGCTGTTGGTTGGTGGAAGCTGGAGGCTCCGTAAGCTATGGCACTGCGGATGCACTTTACGTAGACCTCCCGAGCCCTGGATAGGCTCGGGCCCCACGTCTTTGCTGCAATCCTCGATAAGGCGAAATCTTGGGTTTTGAGTTTCCGTTCCACAGCTTGATGGTGCGCCCTCCATGACAGCTTCCAGTCCAGCCAGACTCCTAGAAACCGAGCCGATTCCACTGGCTTAACTGTGCTGTAGCCACTAGCCCCTGGGTGGGCCAGGGCCACCGGGTTCTCCCACTGTCTCCGACCTTTGTTGAAGTGAATTAATTCGCACTTTTGAGCTGCAAACGCCATCCCCCGGGTACCAGCCCACTGCAAGCAGGTCTTCCAAGCTTTTTCCAGTTGCTGTGTATTGGCGTCTGGGTTCTTTCCAAAGGCCAGTAGGTTTGTGTCGTCTGCGAACCCTACTATGCTAACCAGTGGATGGGCTGTTTTCAGGGCCTGATATAGGGAGGCAATGTAGAGGATAAATAGGATCGGGGATAGTGGTGAGCCCTGGGGGACTCCCGCTATGACTGGGATGTCCTCTGTTTTCTGGCCGTCGAAGTGGAGGATCGCAACTCTGTTACTTAACCACGCCTTCACCCACAGAACCACCCACTGTGGGTAACCCTGTAGCCGAAGAGTGGCTAGTAGCCGGGTGTGGTTGACGGTGTCGAATGCCCCTGAGATATCCAACTGTAGAAGGGAGGCGGTTGCTTTCTGCCGCCAGGCCTCCTGGACTTGGGCTACGACTAGCCGAATCGCTACCTCTGTTGACCTGTGCTCTCGGTTTCCCATCTGCTCCGCTGGTAGTAGGCCGTAGGCCTCTGCAGCACTAGTAATCCTCTCTGCTACCAGTGCTTCTATGACCTTCCCAACTGTAGGTAGGAGGGCTATAGGCCTGTAACCTCCTGGAGTTCGGTAGGTACTCGGCTCTTTTCCGGGCTTTTGTAGGACAACTGTTTTGGCTCTCTTGAATATTTCTGGAAACCATCCGATCCGGAAACACGCCTCCGTGAGAACCGCTAGCACCTTGAACAGTGGGCGCCCACAGGCCTTAAGAAGGCCTATAGGTAAGTGGTCCTCGCCTGGAGCCTTCCAAGGACTAATCTTCGAAAGGACTGCCCTAACATCACCCACTGTAACCTTTTCCTCTATATTGAACTTCGGAACCCACTGTTCTAGCAGGTCCGGGTCCTCTATATCAGAAAGGTCAGCTTCTGGGTTAGGGTAGAACCGGCGTGCTAAGGCCTCCGCCTTCTCCTTCTGGGTGGAGAGGTCCTGGCCTCCGGGGGGCCCTGTGAGAGCGGGTAGTTTCGGGGGATCTGGGGGGGCGAAGCTTCTGCAACGGGCCCAGCGTTCTAGGCTCCATAGCAGGTCGGTTTTGTGGGTGGCTTTCTGCATTGTTGTCCTCCAGGTCTTCGTTTTCTCTTTGTTGATGGTGGCCGCGAGGGCCCGTAGACCTTGGTTAAGTCTTTCTTTGTTGTGCTCCGACGGGGCTGCCTTGCACTCCCTTTCGGCTCTCCTTGCCTCTCCCTGGGCCTCCTGGACCTCCACTGACCACCACGGCGAGCCGTGGCCTCTGTTGGCCTTCTTCCGAGGGGTGGCCACTTCAGCTATCCTCTGTAGCTCCTCGACCAACCAGTTGAATGCTTCTTTTAAACCCTCCTGCTCCCTGACTTGTGCCCGGAGGCCCTGTGGCCCTAATACTCTAATAATAGTATCATAGTTAACCTCCATAATATTACTATTTATATAACTATAATTTAAGTGGAAGTAAATGTGATGGGACTCGACCTTAGGTATGCGATGGTATTGAAGTGGTTGCGCGAAGGATTGCAACCGTGGGGCAGGCAGGGCCGTCCAAAATACAGCCCCGGCTACAAAGCACTGACCATGCAGGGTGGTATGACCCTAACCCTAGCTACGAATACAACATGGCAGTCACAGGCAAAGTCTGTGACATATAGCCTTATAAGTATAAAATTTATTTCTGTCACAGGCAGAGCTGTGACATGTAGCTATAGGGTTAGGGTTGCCCCGCGCACGGGGCATGTGGGCGATTGGCATGTGGGGCTCCGCAGACCCACATTGGCGCAGGGTATATCCCATACCCTGCGCAGCCACCCACTCTTGCACTCTTCGTGCAACCTTGTTGATGAGAACCGTAACAGTAGGTTGCACCTTCAACTCGCGCGCGCAACCACGATCGAATTGTCTTCATCGAAACGACATTTCCATTGAGATACAGAAATTGCAACGATTCAGAACGATTTTCCAGCGATCAAATTGATCGACTTTCGACATCCCGACCGACCGACAATTCGACCATCGCGCAGTGCGGGTCAACCGACAAATCGGGTAATTTACCGACATCAAGACAAGGCGTGCATCGCCAAGACCAGTCCGGTTGGACACCGATTACGATACGATGGATACCCCGATGGATATTCGACAGAGCCTCGCGGAGGCATTCGCCAAGAATCAGAACACCCAGCGCCTCAGCCACTTCTTCCAGACATGCGAGTACCCAGTCGTTTTGGAGAAAGCGCTGCAGGTGGCCGGCGACACTCAGCCGTCGGCCCTCGCGTTCATGTCGATAATGGAAGACATGCTGAAGGTTAAGGAGATGAAGGAGGAGGAGATGAAGCAGCACATGGGCCAGCTCAACGAGAGGATCGGCAATCAGAAGGAGACGATCGAGAACATGCAGAGGGAGGGGAACGCAGTGGCGGAGAGAGCCGACCGCTTGGCGGCCGAGAACGTCGGTCTTATCGACGAGCTCCAGCAGACGACCGAGAAATACAGAGGCCTGCAGGAACGCGTTCGCCTGCGCGCCGCCGACACCGAGGATGACACGACCTGGAAGGACATCAGCCTGCCCCACCCCGCGACGTTCAACGGCGAGGAGACCAACACGTCGAAAAGAACAGTCCAGTTTAACACCTGGAGTAACTCGATCACCACGAGGTGGTACATGCGCTCCAATGAGTTCAAGACAGAGCTCCAGAAAATCCTGTACGCCAAGTCAATGCTGTCTGGCATGGCTTACGCCTCAGTCATGAACGGCGTGACGAACGTCCTGAGGAACCCGACCGACGACACCACCTGGCAGTGGAAAACAGGCCAGGACTTCATCACAGCCCTGTCGAAGAAGTATGCAACGCATGACATTGTTGCCGACGCAGAGAACAAGCTCACCGACCTTGTTCAGAAAGACAAGTACGTCGTATTCTCGGATTTCCTTACCGAGTTCGCAAACCTCACCGACATCTGCGAGTGGGATGAGGCCACCAAGGTTCGGGAGTTTAAAAATAAGCTTTCGCAACGCCTCCGCGACGCGCTTGTCGTCCAAGTTAACCAGCCGCAACGTGATGACTGGGCTGGCTGGGTGGAGCTGGCACAGAAGCTCGCCGTCAATTTGGAGGGCGAGGCATATCGTCGTAAGCTCCAAGGCTACGGCAGCGGCGGCAATGGCAACGACGACCGCGGCGCCAAGAAGGACAAGGGCCCCGATGCCATGGACGTCGATGGTATGAAGGTCTATGGGATGACTGAGCAGGAGAAGAGACGCCGGATCTCGCAGGGTCTCTGCTTCCGATGCGGCCAACACGGTCACATCTCGTCCAGATGCCCCAGCAAGGGCGACAACAACAGCCGTGGCGGCGGCAACAACGGCGGCAACGGCGGCGGCCGCGGTGGTAACCAACAGGGCCGAGGCAATTACCAGGGCGGCAATTATCAAGGCGGCAACGATGGTTACCAATGTTACGACAACGGTGGCTACAACGGCGGCTACCAGGCCAACAACCAGCAAAGCTACGCCAACCAGAACCAAGGCCAATACAATCAGGGCCAGGGCCAGAACCGCGCCGACGGCAACCGCGGCGGTGGTTACGGCGGGAACCAGCAGCGCCCCCGCGGCGGCGGCGCACGCGTGCGTTTCATGGACCAAGAGCTCGCCAACCGGAGACAGTACCAAGACGTCTCGACCCCGGGCTTCGTGGTGGGCGAGGTCCCCGACAACACCAACACCGATTACTCGGCTTGGTACCAGGGCGACCAGGGAAATGCCAACCCTCTGTAGACAGTCGCTTACAGAGGGATGACCGTCTGTGGGTATGGGAAGAAGAATGGAGTAGTAATAGATTAACCCTCAGTGCGCTGGGGAGCAGTGACAAATCGATTCTACTTTCTTCCTATTTGGTAACAGACGAGCGCAAGATTGAATGTGTGGCCTTGGTCGATTCAGGATGTACGGGTATGGGGTTCGTGGACTTCGCTTTCGCAACACGCAACCGACTGCCCATGACCAGACTGAGGAGGAAGAAACCTCTCTACCTGGCGAACGGCGAGCTGTCGACATGGATTGAGTTCGACACGATGCTTCAACTGTGGGTGGGCGATCATCGGGAGACCATCAGTCTGTTCGTCACGACGCTGGCGCAGGATAATCCAGTTATCCTGGGTTTTCCATGGCTCGCAAAGCACGACCCGCAGATCCATTGGAGCACCCTGCAGCTGGACTTCGCAAACTGCGGGGAGCAGTGCTTCGGGAGGCGCCGTTTCCATACAACAGTGGAGGACGCCGAGGAAGATGGGGACGACACGGTGGTCGAAGACACCAGGACCATCGACGAAATCGCGCCCGAAGACATCACGACCGATGATGACAAGGCGCCCGAGGCGCTGGCGAGCGCCAAAGGCAACGCCAAGAGACGTCGCATCCGCCAGTGGAGGAGAGTGCTGGCTCGCAGGGAGGCGATCGGTCCGAGCGGTCCACGATGGACGTTCGCCCCTCCGGAATACAGAGCGATACTGATCGACAACCGCACGCCAAAGTCGCCGCAGCCGATCGATGTGCGGGCGGGGAGTAGAAGACCACCCGCGAAACCGCAGCGATCGCGCCCGACAGCCGCACCGCCACCGCGCGGGAAGGTCGACTGGGAGGACCTCAGCCTGTTGGGCGCGCCGAACTTCCTGATGCTGTGCGGGCAACAGGGCGTTACGGTGATGCGGACATCGATGGCCGAGCTGGAGCGAGCAGTGGAACAGGAACCGAACATCCATCTGCCAGCGCTACCAGAGGCGTTCTTCAAGGATGTCCTCAGCGGTGCGTGCACGCCAGAGCAGGCGAAGGCAACGCTGCCAGCGGAATTCCACGACTTTGTCGACGCGTTGAACGACGACGAAGCACTCAAGAAGATCACAGAAGAAGACACACGCAAGTTTTTCGACAAGTCGAACCAACAGTCGCTGTCGCTGGAGGAGGTCAGACAGCGACTGCCAGCAACGTTCCAGGACCTGGCAGAGGCGTTCCTCGCGCGTGACGCAGACGTGTTACCCCCGCATCGCTCATACGACCACAGAATTGAGCTAATTCCAGGGAACAAAGTCCCATATTCGAAGAACCGGCCACTGTCACCCATGGAGCTACGCGTCCTCAAGAGGTGGTTGGATGACAACCTGGCGAAGGGCTTCATTCGGCCGTCAAAGTCATCCGCGGCATCGCCGATCTTGCTGGCACAGAAGCCAGGAGGCGGCATCAGAATTTGCGTCGACTACCGGGGTATCAACAACGTCACCCTGAAGAGCCGTTACCCCATTCCGCTGATCCGGGAGACACTGGATTCGATCTGCAAGGCGAAGTTTTTCACCAAACTGGACGTGATCGCAGCATTCAACCGCGTGCGGGTGGCGGAAGGATGCGAGTGGCTGACGGCGTTCATCACGAGGTTCGGCCTGTACGAGTCGCTGGTAACCCCTTTCGGGCTGCAGGGCGCGCCAGCGACGTTCCAGAACTACGTAAACGACACTCTGTACGATATACTGGATGACTACGCCACCGCGTACCTCGACGACATCCTGATCTACTCGGGAACCCTGGAAGAGCATACCAAGCATGTACGGGAGGTGCTCAAACGGCTGATTGACGCGGGCCTGCAGATCGACATCTCCAAGTGCGAGTTCTACACGAAAAAGACGAGATACCTGGGCTTGATCATCACGCCAGGAGGCATCGAAATGGACCCAGAGAAGGTGAAAGCAGTCGCGGAATGGGATGCGCCCACCACGCGGAGGCAACTACAGCGGTTCCTCGGCTTCGCCAACTTCTACCGACGGTTCATCCGCAATTTCGCCGGCGAGGCGAAGCCATTGTACGAGCTCACGAAACGAACCGTCGATTGGAACTGGACGCCGCAATGCGAAGAAGCGTTCCAGCGGCTGAAGCGATGCTTCGTCACAGCGCCCGCGTTACGAATTTACGACTGGGAGAAGCCAGCAGTGGTGGAAGTTGACGCATCCGACTGGTCCGCGGGCGGCACGCTGTTGCAAGAAGGCGACGATGGCGAGCTGTACCCCGTGGCGTATTTCTCAGCGAAGCACTCGGCGGCCGAGTGCAATTACGACATCTACGACAAGGAGCTCTTGGCGGTTATAAAGGCTCTGGAGGAGTGGCGCCCCGAGCTCGAGGGCGCCTCGCAGACGTTCAAAATCATCACTGACCACAAGAACCTCCAGACCTTCACTACGACCAAGCAGCTGTCACCACGCCACATGCGCTGGTCAGAGTTCCTCTCGCGATTCAATTTCCAGATCGTTTACCGACCGGGCACGGCCAACGCCAGAGCCGACGCGCTAAGCAGGAAGCCAGAGGATATGCCAAAGGATGTCAAAGATGACAGGCTGAAGAACAGAAAACGACCCCTGATCAAACTGGAGAACTTCGACCCCGAGACGTTTGACGACCTCAAGCTGCTTACCCTCGATACGTCGCGCCACGTTGACGATGTCATCGCCGATAGCTACTCGAAGTCGTCATTTATGACGAAGGTGGTGGACACGCTGCGCCAACGCGTGGCACGGGCATGGCCAACAGAGGTCAAGCAGCGTTTGAGGATACCATTTGCGGAGTGCCGGCTGGTGGGAGACCGAGTGTATTACCGCGACAGGCTGATGGTCGACCCCGACGACGCCGAACTACATCTCCAACTCATCCACCGCATGCACGCATCTGCGCCCGGCGGCCACCCCGGAAGAACGAAGACGATAGATCTGATGAGCCGCGCCTACTGGTGGCCCGGAATGACCGTGGCGACGAGGGCATTCACCGACGCCTGCAAGCTTTGCGACACCACGAAGACCCCGAGGACGAAGCCGGCAGGGTTCCTCAAGCCCCTGCCATTACCGCTGGCGCCGTGGCGGGACATCTCAGTAGATTATATCACGCCACTGCCCGCCTGCGTGAGGCACGGGAAGGAGTACAAGCATGTCGTGGTGGTGGTGGACCGGCTCACGAAGATGCGACACTTTATCGCGACGGTTACGCTGGAGGCCGACGAGCTGGCGGAACGCTTTATCGAGAAGGTCTACTCGCTCCACGGTCTACCAGAGACGATCGTGTCGGACAGGGGCACTCAGTTCGTGTCAGCGTTCTGGAGAGCGCTGTCGGCACGGCTGGCCGTCACGCTGAGGCCGTCGTCCGCGTTCCACCCGCAAACGAATGGCCAAACAGAGCGCATCAACGCGGAATTGGAACAGTATTTGAGGCTGTACATCGACTGGGCGCAGGATGACTGGGTAGACTGGCTGCCGCTGGCAGAGTTCGCGGGCAATAACATGATCTCGGAGACGACGGGCGTGTCACCTTTCTTCGCGAACTACGGCTTCAACCCGCGAATGGGAGTCGAGCCGACCAAGCCACCCCCCCCCAACATCTCAGAGTCGCAACGCAGGGAGTTTTTTCGCGCGTCAGAGATCGCCGACCGATTCAAGGCTATACTTGACATGGTGACGGCGTTGGCGCGGCAGGCGCAGAACCGTTACGAAGAGAACGCCAACCGCCACCGAGAGGATGCGCCACGATACCGCGTCGGCGACAAGGTTTTCCTCGACATGCAGAACTACGAGACCGGAAGACCAATGGCGAAGCTCGCCCCCCGTTTTGAAGGGCCATTCGAGGTCACGAAGGCATCGTCACACGCGGTGACGCTCAAACTACCCGCGAATATGAAGATTTTCCCGACCTTTCACGTGTCACGCGTACGGCCGCATCGGAAGGAGGGCAAGGAGGGCTTGCCGGGACAGGAGGAGGCAGAGGGCCACGTGAGGGCCAACGAGGGTCGTGTGGTCACGCGCACAGACGAGGGCGACGACGTCGTGGAGTGGAGGTTCGAGCGCATTCTGGATTACGGCAAGGCAAGCAATGGAAGATGGCAATACCTCGTCAAATGGCTCGGCCACGATCAACCGACATGGCAACCAGCGACTGACTTGCGAGGCTGCGACGACCAGATATGGGAGTTCCACGATGCCCATCCAGAGCTCCCGGGGCCACCGCAATGGGTGCCAAAGAAGGGCAAAGAGAAGGAGACGGAGGATACGGCGAAGCGCGGAGCTGGCGCTGGCGCAAGCAGGACAACCAGGGCAAGCGCGAGGGCGCGAGAGGGTCTGAGTAGTTGATTGGAGATGGAGATCTTCAATTTTGTTACAGATTTGAAGGATTTGGAGGATTTGATGGATTTCGCGGCCAGGAGGCCTTTTTGAAGGGGGAGGTAGTGTCACAGGCAGAGCTGTGACATGTAGCTATAGGGTTAGGGTTGCCCCGCGCACGGGGCATGTGGGCGATTGGCATGTGGGGCTCCGCAGACCCACATTGGCGCAGGGTATATCCCATACCCTGCGCAGCCACCCACTCTTGCACTCTTCGTGCAACCTTGTTGATGAGAACCGTAACAATTTCCATAGATCCTTATTAGACCTAATTAAAAAGGTACGATAAGCTATGGGTAGTTTTAGAGCGATCCTAGTACTAGTATAAAACTTCTTTATAGTTAGGGTTCTTAAGATAGAAGAGGCGGATAAATAGGATTTGTAACTTAAGGGAGGAATATATCTCTTCTATATTATTATTATTTCTCTTATCACGCTAGGTACTAAGTACATGCGGTCCCTCAGCGATTAACTCGGTAGGAAAAACCATGCCTAAGCTGGATGAAAACCTCCGCACCTCCGCTGCGGCCTTGCCGCTACCCCGTGGATCCATCTCCTCGAAAGGGCTCACCCACCTTCCGAGGTCAAAGTAACGAAATAGATAAAATGAGTCGTAACCTCTGTTCCATCGATGCCCTTCTGCTACTCCGCTTCGACCCCGCATCTCTTCTATATTATAGATCCCATTAGAAATTAAAAAAGTTAACGTTATCAGATTATATATGAGCTCTCCTCCTTGAACGGTAGCGTTTTCCTATTTGAAGCGTAATGGTCCGTGCGCCAGCCAAAACGGGAAGGCGGTGAGCTGCATGATTCGCAGCCCTACTTTGGGACACAAATCATGGAACTTCGCTCCAAAAGCCACCATTTTCATCCAGCAGAACGCACGAATACCAAGAAGTCCTTGATTCAAGAAAATACGCAAAACTCTTAATTCTGCTGCGAGAAAAGGAGAATAAAGACCGTTGCTTCCAGGCCGAGGTTAGTCTGACCCTCGGACTGCCACGTGAATGCAGTCCTCTGCGCTGTCTTGCGTGACTTCCTGTTGCTGCACCTCCTGCCGTGATATTGGGGCCGTTGCCGGGACGGCCTTCACTGCCGAGCTTTTGGATTTGTTATTCCGGCCTCGTTTCGACGCCGGAGGTCCTTCTACCTCGGCTAGGTCCTCCGATTCCCATTCGGAGGCCTGGCGCCGAACCGACGGCTTCGTTGCCCGGGGATTCAACCCGGAGGACGAAACCGATCTCCATGCGGCTGCCGGCATCGAAGAGGAGGGCGTTGCGAATGGCCCCGTCCCGCGAGGCCGTCCCTTACGACCGTGATTACGTCTGGCTCTTTGAGGCAGAGAAAGGGGTACTTGCCTCCAGGGATCTCTCCAACCACCAAAAAGGGGCGAAATCGGCCTTCGTGAGAACTCCTTCCGCGTTGAGCTTCTCCTGTAGCTTGTGGGTGCAGGGAAGCCCCCACTGCTGCGTAAAGCGCCTTGAACAAGGAGGGAGTGGTGGCGACCGGCCTAATCCAGCGGCAACTACCCATTTCTTTTGTTTGTTCGCCTTGTTGGTCGCCTTGTAGCAGACCTCCCCAGTTGTGGCCCCCAGCCACTCAAAACTTCTCCCGGTGTATTCATAACGCTGGCGGTTCGTTTGGGCTGCGACCTTCTCCGTGAAAGCAACTTTCTTGGCTTGAAGCATCTCCTTAATGATTTCATGGACTTTGAAGAGAGAGGAGAGACCACTAATGAGATATCCCTTCAACTCCCGATGAGAAGACTCCGTGGGCGACGTGGTACGCTGGCCGAAGTTGCGGTACCGGGACACCCAGGGCCCGGCCCACCCCTCCTTGTACGGCATATACCGCTCTTCAAGGTAGGCAACGATGCTCTGCTGATCAGAGAACGACTCTTTTAACTGGGTCCACGCCTTTTCAAAGTCTTTTTCACTGATTGTATAGACCATGAACTTCCACAAGACATATATAGCCCGGCCTTGGTATGGGGCAACTCCTCAGGGCTCGGGAGTCTTATGCCTGATTCGGTGCCGGGAATAGCTTCACCTGTCTCGTCAACCCGGGCAGGAGGGTTGAGGAGAGACAAAGTTAGCTGATCTTCTTCGTCGAGAAGCATCGGGTCCGCCGTGGCTTTATCCCGCGTCTTTGCCGTGTTGGGGTTGGTTAGCTCTTTCCACTTGCGCTTGAAGTTGAGGACAACGTTGCGGTTGACGTAAAACAGACAGATCTGTTGCTAAACATGGGGAAAGACTGCTGTGAGGGCGTTCTTTAGAGCCTTCTCAAAATCGGTGATGACTTCTGAGATGGGGACGTCGTGCTGTAGACGCAATGCCTGAAGCTGATGCGTCAACCAAGTGAAGCCGTCTTCTCTCTCGTTATCCACCAGGACGAAGGCTACGTTGAAGTTGGTAGATACGTTCGTGACGCCTGTCACCTGGAATAACGGCATCGTGAAGCGGTTAGTTTTGTAGCTGTTGTCCAAATGAAGGACTGTTGGGAACCGTTTTCACGTATCCAGGCACCAGGGATAAGTCCAGAATAGACCTAGTTATCACCTTATCAACGTCCTCCAGAGAATACCGAACGACATGGTCGATATCATGCTCCTCGAGAGTCTTGATCAGGGCTTGAGTTGAGTTGTGTCCGTTGAGTTTGTCTCGTTGCAGCCGTTCCCGGTGATTGGTTACATCCTTGGTCGTGAAGACAGTGCGAGGGTAGCGCTTTTGAACGAATAAGACGATATCTCTAGGACGTTGGGTGTGATTGAGAGACAGGGCTTCTACGTCTTTCTTCATCGCGTCTGACAGCCCCGATGAACGGCGTGAGTGGTCAGCGCTGCCGGATTCTCTCCGCTGGTGTCTTGGTTATGGTACTGGTTGGCGATCTCGAAAGTCCACTGCCTGTCGTTCTCCTTCAAGGCTTTAGCAACGCCTCGCCAGTGGCACCCTGTCTTGGAAGTCGTGGTCTTGCGGACGGTTGCGATAGAAGGTCTGGCTTGTCCCCGGTCGCAGTAGAGATCAAAACGCGTGGCTTGTCCGTTGATGTAGTTCGAAGCTCGCCTCTTCACAAATCCCAGAGCATAGGACTTCCCCTAAAAGCTCAGATCAAGCAAGAGCTCGTTGCAGGAGGCGTAAGCCGGGCCAGTGAGAGGACGGTGGCCTGGCGGGATGCTTGGTGGTGCGGGTGCACCATAAGGAGACCCTGTCAAGACAGCCTCTGATTGGAGTGAAGCCGATAGGTAACTCTTCCATGTCCTGTTCCGAGTACCAGCTGGCGAGGTGGAAACGGCCCTTTACCACCAAAGGCACCACGCACCCGTCGCCAGCGATGCTGCAAATTGCCGTCGCCCATTCTCGATGACCCGGCTGAATGACCTTTGGTTCAACAACCCGATCCGAGCGCGTAACCACCATGCCTGGCCGTATCATGCTCATCATGAAGCCCGTCTCGTCGAAGTCATAGAAGTCGCAGTCGAGGATGCCGTATTTCGCACGCATGTTTGGCAACCCGTCGGAACCATGGCTCAATAATTGCGGGACTTTCACAGAGACCTCTTTGATAGTTATAGACGCGGAGACGCTATTCTTCCGGAACGAAACCCGAAGGAGGCACGACGGTCTCAGCAAGGCGAAGAGCTCACTGCTGGTTCAAATCCGGACGGGAGCAATAGGCTTACAGGACTTCTTGTTTACACGGGGAGTCCCGGAGGTTCTGACTCCTGCCTGCGAGTGTGGCGAGGGACGAGAGACTGCCGAACACCTGGTAGTGTGGTGTTTGGCACCACCGTTGACTCGAAGACGGGAGAGAACTGGAATTCGGACACGACGGGACTTTTACTCTGTTCTACACGGCATGAATCCCACGACTGCACGGCTCGCGAGGAGAGTCCTCAACTGGCTGATGGACTCGGGGAAGCTGCCGATGTACAACTTAGCCAGGAGGCTCGAGCTGGAAGCGGCGGTCCGAAGCGCCCCCGTTCGGAGGCCAGAAGGCCTCCTCTCTTTGTCTACGCAGACACACCAAAACGCACCGTTCCTTGATTGTTGGTATGGTTTTTTCACCCGGCCCGGAAGGGCACGGTTTTCCTGTACACTAAATAGCTGAGGGTCCGGCACGCCCTAGGGCATAGCGGAGTATGAATAATAATAATAAGGGGTGAAGGTCTTGAATGAGTCAAAGACAAAACGATTTGATCCGGATGTAGTTATCATGCTAAGGCCACAACGGCGCAGTGAAATACCCTCATTTAAGCATTTGAAATGGATTATTCAAGTGCTGATGCTTTGATTTCAGATTTCTTATCAAATATATGTCATCGCGTATTCTGCAGCAGATACCGGACAATTGGGCCGTCGCAACAACAGCCGACGGATGGACAGATAATAAAAATGATCTGGAATGGCTGCAGCATTTTGATGAGCATACTGAACACCGTCGGAGGGGTGTATATCGGATGATGCTGGTACTCGACGGCCATGAGAGCCACGTCAATGCCGAATTCGAGGACTACTGCAAGAACAACATTGTCACCATTTGTCTGCCTCCGCATTCTTCGCACCTTGCCCAGCCTCTCGATGTCAGGTGTTACAGCCCCTTGAAGAAGATATACGGTGGTGAAATCGAGCACTTCATCAAGGCCCGGATCACGCACATCACGAAGCCCGAGTTCTTCCTTGCGTTCAAAGCCGCCTTCCGCCGGACTTTCACCCAAGAAAACGTTCTCGGGGGTTTTCGAGGGTCTGGACTCGTCCGCTACGACTGGGAAGCTGTCCTTTCAAAGCTAGATGTCAGGTTGCGGACACCAACCACCCCTGGAACACCCGATGGGCCACCAACAGCTTGGGTCTTTAAGACGCCCAAGACTACCAACGAAGCCCTCTCGCAGTCTACTCTTGTCAAGAGTCGGATTGCAAGACATCCATCGAGCTCTCCAACCCCGATTGTAGCTGCTGTTGATCAGCTTTCCAAAGGAATGCAGGCAGTTTCCCATCGGGTCATCGTTCTAGAGGCCGAGGTACGGACATTACAAGAGGCCAACGAAGCACTTTCCAAGCGCCGGAGGGCCAAGCGGACGCGTCTCCAAGATGGATGGGCCATGAATGGAAGCCAGGCTAGGGATATAATTGCAGAGAAGGGCGTAGTTGACGAGGAAGGACGCGTCGAGGAGGAAAATGAAGGGTCGTCAAAGAGGCGTCGGGTGGGTTTGTGGCTCTGTAGCATCTGTCGCAAGGCTGGCCACAATGCAAGGACATGCCTATAGGCTGGAGAAATGGATAGTCCATGCGATTCTGAGTAGTTTCAATTGATTGCATTGGTTTTCAATGGACCTCTGGTAGTTTGAAATGATGATGTCTAGCAAAGTGCGCGGGCCAATGGTGGATTACGTTATATCCATAAGAAGGGACTATAGATACAAAAAATATTTATAAAAAGGGCTATCTAAATCCTCTCCTCCTTTTTCTCCTCTCTCCTATAATATTTTAAAAACCTTTTAATTGGGAAGGTATCGCCGTACCGTAGGAAAAGTCTCCCCGTACCATGGTACAAAGGGTAATCCCCTACTTCTTCCTGCGCTGGTCTGGAACAGGAAGGCGATGAGACCGGATTTCATCTGGTTGGATGGATGGATGGATGGAATTTATATCGCCCGGAGGCACTGGGCCTATAGGGCCTTAGCACGCTAACTACATCCGGATCAAATCGTTTTGCCTTTAACTCGTACAAGCCCCCTACTTCTTCCCTTTTTCTCGCTGCACCATTTACCTCTTCCCTTGGTTGTTGTTAGCAGATCAGCTTGGAGGCTACTTTCTCCAAGTGTTCAGCGTCCTATCCTCAGCAGCTAAAGCGGGACCTGCTGGTTGAGGCTCGTGGTGTTGAGTGTCGGCTTCTTCTACTGTGACACGACGGCCTCGAGTACTTCCAGTGGCCACCACGATGGTGCTTCGCTGGGAGGGGGTTGCTGAAGGCTCCCTATCGTCGTTGTCGAGATTCACACGCTCCTACTGTGATGGTTCTCTCCGAATCGAGGGCGCTAGGCCAGACTGGCGCTGCGTTGGCTGCTGAGGGAGCTGCGTAGCCAGCGAAGCAGTAGATGGAGGCGCCGATGGATCAGGGGCAAAGACCTCGGTGTTGCGCGGCCAGGTCGTCGAAGTGCTCGAGGTTATCTTCGTACGGCGCCATGGTTCCTGCGCAAATCCTCATTTCGGCGGAGATCTACGGCGTTCGAAAGCGTTTACTCACGCGATTCTAGAGTAGTAGCTGCTGGATCGCTGCAATGCCCGGCGGCGGTGCGCGATTGGTTCGAAGATTTGGTGTTGTGGGTGATTGTTGAAGAAACTTGGGAAAAAGACGTCATCGCGGCAGAATTAATGTGGGTTGCCTGCGCGATGTCCCTTGTCTGGCGGAAATTGGCCGGGATTAGGGTTATGTATGGGAAAACGTGTGCGTCTACGGTACGGCGAGGGCCTTTTCCTACGGTAGGGCGATACCTTCTTTCTTAATTCGGAAAGCAGATCTCCCTCCCTTTGCTTTATATATACTACCGCGAGACCTCTATATGTGGATAAGTTATAAAGCTATAATAACGTATTAAGAAAAGAAGTGGTAGCCTTCTAGTTAGAAGACATAGGTAAGGTTATTATAAGAATTATTCGTGGATGGAGGAGGCAATGAGAAGGGAGTGGATTGGAAGATGGGAGAGTGAGGTAGCTAGGGTGGTCGCTAGGAACCCGGGGCGGGCCCTCGAACCGGCCGACGCGACCGCGCGGTTCGACGCCTCTATTATGAACCGACACCGGTCGAGGGACCCAGCCTGGGAGCTATCGAAGGCGAAGAGTACCCTCCTAGTGCAAGCGAGGACCGGGAAGATTGGGCTTCGAGGGTTCCTCTTTACTAGGAGGGTCCCCGAGGTGGTAACGCCGGTATGCCGCTGCGGTATAGCGCGGGAGACATTCGAACACCTCATACTCGAATGCAACGGAGCCGCAGATAAACCTCAGCCCTGGCCAGACGACGGCGCAGAGCTACGGGAGTGGCTCGATGACGTGGAGAAGGCTGCCATAGTGATGGAGTGGGTACTTGGGCTGGGGAGGCTGAACGAGTTCCGGCTGGCGGTAGAGCTGGAAAATGAGAACAACGAGGAGGTCCGCGGCGGGGCCGAAGCGGAGTAGCAGAAGGGCACCGATGGAACAGAGGTTACAACTCATTTTATCTATTTCGTTACTTTGACCTCGGAAGGTGGGTGAGCCCTTTCGAGATGGATCCACGGGGTAGCGGCGAGGCCGGAGCGGAGGCGCGGAGGTTTTCATCCAGCTTAGGCATGGTTCTTCTTACCGAGCTAATCGCTGAGGGACCGCATGTGTTTAGTACCTAGCGTGATAAGAGAAATAAGAATAATAATAATATTAATTATTATTATTATTTACTACACCGATATGCCGTGGGGCGCGCCGGTCCTTCTACTGCTATTTACAAAGGAAACCGTACCGTATAGGCCGGATAAAAACCTCTGTCTACCACTTTGAGACAACAATCTATGAATCCGTCATACTGCAAAAGAAAGGAGGCCCTTTGCCGGCCTCCGGACCCTCTAGCCCTCCCCATCCACTGTTTCTAGCTCCAGCCTTCTGGCCAGCCTATACTCCAGTAACCGGCCAGAGTCCATCAGAATAAGAATAATATATTAAAGCTACTTAAGGAGATAAGCTATGCCACCTCTAGTGACTAGAATATAAGGTATAGGGATAGAACAAGAATCTTAAAAAGAAACTTTACAATAATATCGAGAGAGAGAAAGGATGGTTTAAATTTTGCAGAAGGAAGTAAAGAGGAGCTAACAATATTAAAAGTAACGTTTAAACTATACCGTAGAAGATAAAAACTTCGAGAACCCCTATTAGCACCAGTTATTAATCTTAATAGGTAACAACATAGCCGCGATAAGCCTATGCTAACTAGAGGAAGACTATATATAAGCCCAAAATATATTTCAATGGAAACGAAAGCACGAAAGAAGCAGCAAAACGCCTGAAACTACCATCATTCGATCGAGCTTGGAAAGCTCTAACCACCAACGGTAGTTTCCCCGTTGCGGGATCTGTCGCGCCTCGTCGCGATGGCTCGCAAAGGAAAGGTAAGACCGCGCCCGGGACTGCGAAAAATGCTGCACGAGGGGAGCCTGCCCCACCTACCGAAGGAGCTCAACCAATCACAACGGACAACGACGAAGAGATGGAAGATGACATTTACAATGGCCCCAACCCTCTACACGACGAATTAGACGAGGTACTTGCAGGGACAATAGTTCACTTGGCCAAGGAACCAAACGAGGCGGTCTCCCAAGTAGTGGCCACGAGATCATGACACGGCTGCGGAGGCTGCGTAGACTGGAAAGCGGAAAGGCACCAGAGACGGGAAGCGAGGGAATCGACGTTACGAGGATTCAAGAAAAGCATCGTGGACGCCGTGGTGGACGGTGTCGGACAAGGAGACAGGGAGGGCCCATGGAGGAAGTGAGAAAATAGATGCAGGAAGTCCGGAAGGAGATGCAGGAGGTCCAGAAGGAGTTGCAAGAGGCCCGGAGGGAACTGCAGGATCAGAGAAAGAAGCAAGCTCCTGCACCAGCAACAACGGTAGCCCGGTCGTGGGCTGCAGTAGTGGCTGGGGAAGGCGAGCTCCCGAAGAAGATTATACCGGGGCGGCTCAACAAGGAAATACTGGTGAGAGGATCTATAGAGCCGTCGCTGACCTGGAGGTCTCCACAAGAGATCGTCCAGGCGGTCAACGGGGTTTCCGAGAGGAAGGGAGCAGTGGCAGCACGCAAGCTCCCTAGCGGGGATGTAATCGTCACTTTTCAAGATGCTGAAGCGAAAGAATGGCACGCGAAGAGCAAGAGAGACTACTACCGAGGATGCGGAGCGTCACATTCCGAGGCGCGTCCACCCTGGAGGAGGCCAACGATGGCTTCCAAGAAGCGGGAAAAACGAAGAGACCACGGGGCCGACCTCCCGGCTTTCCCATAGCCCAGGAGGAGGCTGCAAGGAGTTCGAGGCAAGGAAAGCTGACCTTTGCGAGGAAGGTTGATACGGATCTGACCGGAGACCGAGGAGACGGTGTTGGGGGCCTAGGGGTTACGACTCCAGAGGCCGCGGATACCTTGGAGGCGGACGGTCAGGATGTCGGAATGCAGGGAGCTGGGTGGGCTCCCTTCAACCGTAGCACGACGAATTCTGAAGAGACGGGCCAAGGTAACATCCGTACAGCTTTTCAGTCCGACTGGGAAACCAGGACGCGTTGCCTGTACAACTAGCTAGATAGTTGGACCGGCGAGCCCAAGGGCATAGCGGTCTAGGAATAATAATATATATAAACCCAGCCTCGAAGATCCCAAATTAGGTTTTAGATAAGCTCCTATTTATGATTAACGTAATCCATCACCTTCTGGGACACACCACCTTGTGGGACAGCTTTCTGCCCCACACCCCACCACGTCGACTTCGGACGCACTCCACTACGCCATTGTGCCCGGCAAAATGCCAAAGCCTCTACAGCACGAAGATAGAATCCAATTAGCACTCGAGGCCTTACGTTCAGGCCAAATCAAAATCATTCGCAAGGCTGCGGATGCGTTTGGTGTACCGAAGTCCACTCTCCACAGACGCGTCAAGGGGGGCGGTACGCGTCAAGAAGCTCAAGTCAAGAACCGAAAGCTACGCCCAACTGAAGAAGCAGCCTTGATTCAATGGATCGAGTCATTGGACGACCGTGGGATGTCGCCGACGATCGGTTATATCCGACAGATGGCTGACCTTCTTCTCCGCGAGCGTGGAGGCTTCACTCTACTCAACGGGTTTTTTACATCCACCCCGGTCCCAGCGATGACTGTCCGTGAGAACTGATCCAGCGCTTCTTCATCGGCATCCCATCAGGGAGACGAGTATCTAGAAAGTACGACTATCAACGGGCCTTATGCCGAGGATCCAGAGAAGATTTCAGCGTGGTTTGCACGAGTGCAAAGGACCATCAACGAATACGGTGTTCTTGACAGCGACATCTACAACTTTGACGAGACTGGTTTCCAGATGGGTGTTGCAAGCACGTCTAAAGTGGTCACTCGATCTGACCGACGGAATCGACCTGTTGTTATCCAGCCGGGAAATCGAGAGTGGACAACTGTCATCGAGTGCATTAACGCATCCGGCTGGAGTGTTGACCCGATGATTATCTTTGAAGGAAAAGTCCACATTTCGTCGTGGTACGACGGCTCAGTGCTGCCAAAGACATGGCGGATTGGAGTCAGCGATAACGGCTGGACAACCGATGAGCTTACCTTCGAGTGGCTTCGAGAAGTCTTCGAGCCACAAACTCGAAAACGGACTGTTGGTCGATATCGGCTTCTCATTCTCGATGGTCATGGAAGCCATTCGACGCCTGCATTCGACAAATTCTGTACTGAGCATCGGATCCTTACAGAGTGTATGCCTCCGCACTCGTCGCACTACCTCCAGCCCCTTGACGTTAGCTGTTTCGCTGTGCTTAAGCGGACGTACGGCGACCTTGTCAAAGCGAAGATAGCACTCGGGGTTCATCACATTGACAAACCGCGATTCCTCGAACTGTTTCTCGAAGCTCGGAAAAGACATTCAATACAAAGAACATCGCAAGCGGCTTTAGAGCTGCAGGGCTCTTGCCTTTCGATCCAACTCAGGTTCTTTGTCGGCTACAAACCAGGATACGGACACCGAGTCCCCCTCCTACCCCTATCCAACCGCCAAGTCTGCCTCTCAAAACGCCCGCAAACATCGTCGAACTTGACTCTCTCCAGAGGAAACACCAGAGAGAGATAAGCCCAACAGATCAGGCGCTTCAGAAAATCATCAAGGGCTGCCAGATGGCGATGCACAATGCTACTCTTTTGCAGGAAGAGAACTCGCGACTTCGAGCTGAAAATGGTCGACAAAAGAGAAAGCGGGCACGCCGAGCTTTCATTCAAACAGGAGGGACTATGACGATTGGAGAAGGGATGACACATCGAGGCCTCCCAGAATGCTCGTCAGAAGGGTCAAGAAAGCCAGGAAGCTCGTCGAGAGGTCGAAGAAGGAGAGGTGGGGCCATCGGACACGACTGCGCCAAAGGCACGAAAGCGTGCGCAGCCGAAGTGCAGTGTTTGTGGCTCAATCGAGCACAACGCCAGAAAATGCCCTTGTAAATAAGGACTCGAATTATGTAGAATGCATTCCGAATAGACTCTCTTTTGTGTTGTGAGGTGCGTCCGAAGTCGACGTGGTGGGGGCAGAAAAGTGTCCCACAAGGTGGTGTGTCCCAGAAAGTGATGAATAGATTACGTTACCGATATTCTCCTAACTACTTCCTAGAACTAGAATATTGAGTTTAGTAACCCGGGTGGGATTATATACTTTAAGAACAAGAGTATCGATCATACCGAGGGCACTACACGCCATCCTCGTATACTAATTATATATAGTAAAGCAATTAGATTCCAACTTATTAGTAGGGGCTATCGTAAGTTGGAAAGAGAAGTATAAACTAGGGAGGATACCCCCAATCCTCTAACTAGCGGGAGAGTAAATTATAATTTCACAATTTTACGGGCCGTATATTAGGGTACCGACGCAGCTATGGAAACTAATGACAATTAGAGTCCTACTGTGGAACACTGAAGGAAACAAGCAGGCACTCGAGGCCCTGCTAGAAGAAGCGCAGTACGACCTAATGGCTATTCAGGAGCCATGGATCAACCAACAAACCAAGTCAACCTACTGTCCCAGAGGCTCGAAATACCACCTAGTTCACAAAGCAAGTGGGCGAGCGGCTATATTCGTCAGCCGAAAGTTCGACACAGGACAGTGGGAATATGAGACTTCAAAGGAACATTGTAAGGTATGGTTCCCAGGGCTCGGGAACAGTGGACTAGAACTCTGGTCTATCTATAACCCCCTTGAGGATAAAACCCTCCTACAAACCCTCCTAAGTCGGCCGGCCCCAGCCTACTCCAGTAGTATTAGCGGGGGACTTTAACCTACACTATCCGCAATGGGACCGGGTTTGGCCGGTACGAAAGGAAGGCCGAGGCTCTCCTAGAGTTGGCACTACAGTGGGATCTCGATCTTCGAACTCCAGCAGGCACTATAAACCAGGGCACCGCAGGGGGCCCAGCGAGGCCGCACTTCGACAATAGACCACTTCTGGGCATCAGTGGGTCTACAAACGACCTACTACGGCCTGGAATACAGGGGGAAGTCAGACCACTACCCACAGATTTTGGAAGCTGACATCGGAGGCCCCCTACCACAACAAACCCAGCCAGGGGGTTGGAACTGGAAGATGATGGACAGGCGTAGGGTGGAGGCCGAGGCGGCCCTCCTACCAGAGAAAATAGGCCTAGAGGACCCAGGGCCACAGGGCCTCCGGGCACAAGTCAGGGAGCAGGAGGGTTTAAAAGAAGCATTCAACTGGTTGGTCGAGGAGCTACAGAGGATAGCTGAAGTGGCCACCCCCTCGGAAGAAGGCCAACAGAGGCCACGGCTCGCCGTGGTGGTCAGTGGAGGTCCAAGGAGGCCCAGGGAGAGGCAAGGAGAGCCGAAAGGGAGTGCAAGGCAGCCCCGTCGGAGCACAACAAAGAAAGACTTAACCAAGGTCTACGGGCCCTCGCGGCCACCATCAACAAAGAGAAAACGAAGACCTGGAGGACAACAATGCAGAAAGCCACCCACAAAACCGACCTGCTATGGAGCCTAGAACGCTGGGCCCGTTGCAGAAGCTTCGCCCCCCCCAGATCCCCCGAAACTACCCGCTCTCACAGGGCCCCCCGGAGGCCAGGACCTCTCCACCCACAAGGAGAAGGCGGAGGCCTTAGCACGCCGGTTCTACCCTAACCCAGAAGCTGACCTTTCTGATATAGAGGACCCGGACCTGCTAGAACAGTGGGTTCCGAAGTTCAATATAGAGGAAAAGGTTACAGTGGGTGATGTTAGGGCAGTCCTTTCGAAGATTAGTCCTTGGAAGGCTCCAGGCGAGGGCCCACTTACCTATAGGCCTTCTAAGGCCCTGTGGGCGCCCACTGTTCAAGGTGCTAGCGGTTCTCACGGAGGCGTGTTTCCAGGATCGGATGGTTTCCCAGAAATATTCAAGAGAGCCAAAACAGTTGTCCTACAAAAGCCCGGAAAAGAGCCGAGTACCTACCGAACTCCAGGAGGTTACAGGCCTATAGCCCCTCCTACCTACAGTTGGGAAGGTCATAGAAGCACTGGTAGCAGAGAGGATTACTAGTGCTGCAGAGGCCTACGGCCTACTACCAGCGGAGCAGATGGGAAACCGAGAGCACAGGTCAACAGAGGTAGCGATTCGGCTAGTCGTAGCCCAAGTCCAGGAGGCCTGGCGGCAGAAAGCAACCGCCTCCCTTCTACAGTTGGATATCTCAGGGGCATTCGACACCGTCAACCACACCCGGCTACTAGCCACTCTTCGGCTACAGGGTTACCCACAGTGGGTGGGTTTCTGTGGGTGAAGGCGTGTGAGTTAAGTAACAGAGTTGCGATCCTCCACTTCGAACGGCCAGAAAACAGAGAGACATCCCAGTCATAGCGGGAGTCCCCCAGGGCTCACCACTATCCCCGATCCTATTTATCCTCTACATTGCCTCCCTATATCAGAGCCCTGAAAACAGCCCATCCACTGGATTAGCATAGTAGGGTTCGCAGACGACACAAACCTACTGGCCTTTGGAAAGAACCCAGACGCCAATACACAGCAACTGGAAAAAGCTTGGAAGACCTGCTTGCAGTGGGCTGGTACCCGGGGGATGGCGTTTGCAGCTCAAAAGTGCGAATTAATTCACTTCAACAAAGGTCGGAGACAGTGGGAGAACCCGGTGGCCCTGGCCCACCCAGGGGCTAGTGGCTACAGCACAGTTAAGCCAGTGGAATCGGCTCGGTTTCTAGGAGTCTGGCTGGACTGGAAGCTGTCATGGAGGGCGCACCATCAAGCTGTGGAACGGAAACTCAAAACCCAAGATTTCGCCTTATCGAGGATTGCAGCAAAGACGTGGGGCCCGAGCCTATCCAGGGCTCGGGAGGTCTACGTAAAGTGCATCCGCAGTGCCATAGCTTACGGAGCCTCCAGCTTCCACCAACCAACAGCTCCAAGAGCTACAGGGCCGAAGGGGCCTGCAAAGGTCTTGTCAAAAGCTCAGAACAGGAGCCTTCGAATAGTAGTAGGGGCATAACAAGTCAGCTCCTATTCGGTGCTTAGAAACAGAGGCCTGGGTGCCACCGCTAGACCTATATCTCAACAAGCGGCTGGCCGACTTCGAGGGCCGGCTACAGAAGCAGGCCCTACAGTCAGGGGCTGGGCCGGAGGCTGAGAGAATAACCACGGGGCATCTAATCACTGAGGCCTGCAATAAGGTCTACCGAAGGTTCAACAAGAGGAGGAAAACCCGAGGCCGGAGGCCCCGTCAGGGCCCGCAGAGTCCCACGCCCCACTGAACTAGCCGCTAGTGTAGTGGCCCAGTGGGTTAACTACAAATGGAAGATCGGGGGGAAGGATAGGGGGTCGAATACCAAGGAGGTGGTCGAACTGGCCTGGCAGGCCCGGTGGGAACAACAGAGAGCTGGTCAACAAAGTACTACTCGACAGAGGGTATTAAACAGGAGGATAGCCGACGAAGACCCCCCAGCCCTCTTGTTTACCGACAAAGCTCTGATGAGACACACGAAGGTCTTACAAAGGCGCAGAGCTCCCTCCTTTCCCAGGCCCGTATCGGGGATATAGGCCTCCAGGACTACCTGTTCAGGGTGAAAGTCCCGGAGGTCCGCACCCCCCTATTGCGAGTGCGGGAGAGGCAGGGAGACGGTGGAGCACTTGGTGGTTTGGTGCCCCGACCCGCCGTTACAAAGGCCGTGGGACGGCAGAGAGATTCGGTCACATCGGGACCTACAAACCGTATTACGGGGAGTAGGTGCCCGGAGCAGAAGATTTGTTAGGAAGGTCCTTGGCTGGCTGATGGACTCTGGCCGGCTACTGGAGTATAGGCTGGCCAGAAGGCTGGAGCTAGAAACAGTGGATGGGGAGGGCTAGAGGGCCCGGAGGCCGGCAAAGGGCCTCCTTTCTTTTGCAGTATGACGGATTCATAGATTGTTGTCTCAAAGTGGTAGGCAGAGGTTTTTATCCGGTCTATACGGTACGGTTTCCTTTGTAAATAGCAGTAGAAGGACCGGCGCGCCCCAGGGCATATCGGTGTAGGAAATAATAATAATAATAATAATATTTACTAAAAGAGATTCCCGTTTAGTTAGGAGTAGGTTTTAGTTACTAGCCTGAAAAATGTAGGTTAATAAACTAGAAGATAAAAAGTAAAGCTACGTAACAATAAAGTGGTACCCTTAAAAATAATAGCTTAGATTCTAGACCCTTCAATTAAAAATTATTATTCCTACGCCGCTATGCCCTTGGGCTCGCCGGTCCAACTATCTAGCTAGTTGTACAGGCAACGCGTCCTGGTTTCCCAGTCGGACTGAAAAGCTGTACGGATGTTACCTTGGCCCGTCTCTTCAGAATTCGTCGTGCTACGGTTGAAGGGAGCCCACCCAGCTCCCTGCATTCCGACATCCTGACCGTCCGCCTCCAAGGTATCCGCGGCCTCTGGAGTCGTAACCCCTAGGCCCCCAACACCGTCTCCTCGGTCTCCGGTCAGATCCGTATCAACCTTCCTCGCAAAGGTCAGCTTTCCTTGCCTCGAACTCCTTGCAGCCTCCTCCTGGGCTATGGGAAAGCCGGGAGGTCGGCCCCGTGGTCTCTTCGTTTTTCCCGCTTCTTGGAAGCCATCGTTGGCCTCCTCCAGGGTGGACGCGCCTCGGAATGTGACGCTCCGCATCCTCGGTAGTCGTCTCTCTTGCTGCTGTTGTGTTTGTTGCTGCAAAGCAAGCTCAAAGGTTCGAGGCCGGAAATGGTATGCCTCCCTCGCCGCACCCCGGGCCTTCATTATCTCAGTTTTCAGACCCTTTCTTGGGCGATCTGCTTCTTGTGGTTAGCTACCGTGTGGAAAGTTTTGACGACGCACCGTGAGACTCCGCTGCACCCGTTTTTGGTGGGCCATCAGTCGCGCTAGTCAAATTTGGAAGTAGTCCCACTCTTTTTGCAAGATCGCCTAAGAAAGAGGTCTGAGTCGGCGATCGGAAAAATGGCCGAGTGACAATCGCGCTTCCATACGAATTGAAGCATGCAGCCAAAATTACTCCGCCATTGCGCAACACCACCACAATCTCCAATATTCAAATTTTACGTGGAGGATCGCGTAGACTAGGGCTTTCTAATGGTACCATTTTTATGTTGTCAATTGGTCTGTAACGTAGATTGATATCCTGCTAGGCGTGGCCACGAGCGACGATCGCGTCCATCTCTGCCGCAACCCCCAATTCAAGTTCACGACCACGCGTCGTAAAAATATGGAAATAATACTGCATGTTCTTCCCAGCCAGCGCATCCTCAGGTAGTCATTTTCTCTCCACCAATCCACACGTATCTCAGCATTCTGCGCCCGATATCATGGACGTGTTTGACGATATTGAGCGCGTTCCAGCGACTTTGCGTACGCTTGCTGGTGGCCACGAGCCTCGCCGAGGTCAGATTGAGGCTGTAAAGAGTCTCGCGATCTACCAACAAGACACCATTCTCGTGGCCGCTACCGGCTACGGCAAAAGCGCTGTATTATTCGCATTTTCCGCGATCAAACCCGACAGAATCACCGTTCAAATCGTGCCATTAGTGACGCTGGGAGAGAGCCAGAGACAGGGCATTGCCACCAAGTTACCGGAGTCGAGGCCCATCTGGGTCGATGCAGATACCCACCTCAAAGTAAGTAACTACGTGCTAAGGCGAGCCCCTGACCCCTGACCCCTGAGGAAATAGTAACTTCGTCATTTGATAGAACAAACATGTTTGGAAGGAAGTCGAAGACCGGAAATACAGCCACGTACTCTTGAGTCCGGAACAGGCGCTCAATCCGAAGTTCAAAGCCATCCTGAGAGACCCGGCATTCCATACGAAGATCGGACTCTTTGCCATTGACGAACTACATTGCGTCGGCGAATGGCGGCATTTCAAGGAGGATTACACGTATCTCTATACGTTGCGGACCTTGGACAGAGATAATCAAGGCTATATCCTCAAGCATGCCGGCTTTAATCCCTACCCCAGCATCATCCGTACCTCCATCGACAGACCCGAGATCTCCATTATCGTCCAACCGCTGCTACGAGGCTCGATATACGACTACCGCCGGCTTCAGTTTCCGGTGGAGGGCTCCAGCGCTGTTAATGTCCGGGATGTTCCCTAGACAATCATCTATCTGGATAGCAAGACGGCTTGCCTGCGCGCAAGATATAATCTTGATGCAATACCTTCTTCGCCGTAAATGTTTGAAAAGGGCTTCGCGCGCAAGGTTGTCCGGCGGTTCGATGCAGACGTACGGCCCACCGATAAAGAGATCATCTTCAAAGACTTCACCAACCTCGACACCAACTGCCGCATCATCGTCGCGACGGTTTCTCTGGGTATGGGCATGGATATTCCTGATGTCAGGCCAGTCATACAATTCGGCATCCCCCCCAGCACCAGCATCGCAGATATTTGGCAACGCATTAGAAGAGCGGTGCGCAAGCAGCCTGTCGATGGCCGTGTCCAAGGCATCGCATATCTCTTCATTCTATACTGGGCTTTTGATCACCTTGGGAGCGTCGAGAAGCAGAAGCCAGCCGCGAGGAAGAGGCCACAACCCAGGAGAGCTCAACGCCAACCAAACGCTGCTGTCGTCAGCAGTCGACTACAGCTAATGACTCTGGTTGATGACGAGAGTGACAACGACGCGGGGGGCCATGCCAGTGCCGTTACGCAAGCAAGTCAAGACACCATTGTATCAGAATCTCAAGCACCAGCCGTCCCTGAAGAGCTTACTCTAGAGGCAACTATTAGCTCCCAGTGTCTATTTGACTTTACAACTAAAGTCAAATGGACGAAGCTAGACATATCGCAACGTGAAAAGCTTGATCCTATCTCTATGGCGTTCATGAACGCTTCTTGTTTCCGAAAATTCGCATTGGAATATCTTCAAGAAGATGTGGACAATCCTGACCTCGAATATCGCCGTCCGCTTGACCAAAGTTTATGTTGTAACGCC